GTTCCGCCTTTGTGTGAGATTTAGAAATACAGCTTTGAAAGGTATATGCAGAGCCCTCCAACATCCCTTTCTCTTCATAGAATCTAACACTGAAATGAGCTGCAGTGGGCAAATAAAAAATGCCATGGTCCTTCAGTTTATCGGCATATTGGGGAAAGTTCATCGCAGGGTAGCGAGAATGGACGGTCCTAAGGACGTCCTCAATACATTGCGGAGGTTCGTCATTGTCGGACTCTTCATCGCTCCCCATATAGAGCGCAAAAGTCCTCTTGAGCGGTTGGGGAGCCGTATGGCCCTTTCCTTGTTCTCTCACAAGCATTCCATCGGAGATTGTGTCATTAGTGGGAGGTGGGAGGGTGTATATGATTATGGATGATGGGTGGTATGATTTCGGTGGGCACCCTCTGGAGCCGATGATGTAGTTTGCTCCTTATGTGTCTTTTTGAATTTCATGAAATGGACTCGGAGAGTCCTGGGTAAAGTGACAAAGTCTGGATCTCCAGTTTCGTGCTAAAATCCATGAGTGTTATGTAGTATCCTCGCAGGCTGCAAATAAGTATTTCACATACCAAATATTTAGCCCACTCCTGTAGGTCCCGGGTGCACAATGGATAGTGTGGAGCGTCGGGCTGGGATGCATCGACCCAGCAGAATGTGTCCTCTCCGAGCTTCGGATGGTCGGGGCAGCACAACTTGCTTGTGGACTGTTTCTAGCTCCTTTGTATACCTGCCCGCAGAAGATGTACCTGCCTGTCGTCATGCTTGCTTTCTCTTTCCGTACAGCCTGCAAGTTGATGTCACGTCGTGCAGACGGCTTGCAATCATCAAAGCACGTACAGTATTGACAATTTCAATGGCAACTTTCTTTATTTTTCTGCCAGATCCCTGTTCTGTCTTCGCAGCTTTGAAAGCGCTATCAATGTCATGCGTTGTTAAAAGCCGATGAGGTGGGTCCATGCAGCGAGTGGTAGACAAACACCAGCCCAAGTGCTGATATGTCTTTGAGACATCCATTGTAGCCTTGATGGAGTCAAGTATGTCTATGTGGGAATCTGACTTGGAGTGAGAGCGGTCCACATAAGTGGTTGATTGTTTTCTATCCAGAGTGTGGAGAGGAACTCTGAACTCAACTAGTGCGACACAGTGACATGATCAGCATCTCGTCAGCTCAGATTATACACATTTAACTTACTTTTCTCGAGCTGGGCCTGGCACTGTTGTCCTGTAAATTCTTCTAATGGCAGCTGTTCAGTCATTCCCTCATAAAAATGCTGAACCGCACACATGCAGTTGATCTCCTTGTCCTCGACACTGGGCAGTTCCGGATGAGCGCCAAGCAGGAAAGCTGCGGTTTGTGCACGAGTACGCTGACGAGCAGAAGGAATTGAATTGACCATAGAGTTAATAGAAGACTGTAGCCTGAGAGCGTCACTGGACATGTCAACGTCAAAATTTAAAACTCACCGTGACTTTTATAAACATGAAGGATATACATTATCGTCGTGACCAGCCTTCATATGCCGTCAACCTCAGCGAAAGAACGGTTGGGCAACTAATGATTGTCAGCATTTAGCTACGGCACCACCAGGAAATTGAAGTGATGAGAGCGTCATCGCTGCAGGTGCATGGTGTCCTGCTAAGAACGAACTCAGTGACTCTCAGGTCCGTCTCGTCTCCCCTTTGTTTCTATGGTTCTTTTTATGCCTTCCCTCACCTAACAGAAACCACCTACTCCGCTCTACACCTGCCACTAAGACCCTGTGCACAATCCTTTCTTCTGAGACATTCACTACCCATTTCGGCCCTCCTCATCCGCACCCGCACGGAGAACATCAGAATGTGTTTGGGCATGAAGATCAATTGAAGGTCACACCAATATTGCCCTCCTCAAATGCCGCTCCCTAGCTGTTTCTTGCCGGTTCACGGATGCCCAAGTCATTGCGCCTGGAGCCGAGTTTATGGATGCACTACGTGGTGTTGCTGATGTGATGATGCCATTTGTCCATTGGTGAGTCCGGTGCTTCATTTTCACTATACCTTTTGGGGTACATGTGGTGATATTAATTACTCTAGTTTGAATGATATGATGACGCTTCCTACGGATGACGGTTCAGATGGAGAGAACGAGGAAGATGATACTGGGGGTCCAGAGGAAGATGAGAGTGATGATGTAGTTGAATGAGGAACGGGAGGGCTACTAAAGCTGAGCTGGCCGTTTTTTTTATATTGCTGGTGTTAATTCTCTCGGGTATCTTACTCGTCTATTTCCTCCCCTTATACAAACTATCCTGTTATCTATTGTAATAACATGGCGCTCTCATATATTTATAGGACAGTGATATGAACTGAAGGTCACTTGATCATGCCCTCACTTCGAGTCTTCGACAACCCTACTTGCACTCTTTGAGGCTCGAGCGTTCAATGGCCGCTGTGGAAGCTTGGCGATGATGTATAGTGCTATAACCAGTGAGCTACTACCTTGTGTATATTAAATGACGAGCTGATGCTGTGAGGATTCAGGAGTAAGCTAGTTGGGTACAAGCGCAAAGTCAGAAACGATAGGGCTTTCATGTCCGTGTAAGACACAAAGTGAGCTGTGAGGGCAAATCTTTGCCAGTCTGACAGGACATGGAGGGGTATTGACAATGTGGGGGGTAATAACACTGGCCATGAAGCCTGAATCGTCTCAAGATGACATGACAACATGTCTTAATGGATCTCTCATTTCAAGTTTCACAAATGGTACGTCTTAGTATTGTTCAAGCCACCAATGTCTAACTCACGTAGGTATTCGACCCAATGCAGCTTGAGTGTTATAGATATATTATACCTACAGGATATTGTGTAGCTCATGTGTTACATACACATGCACCAATGTAGGGGACAGTTCAGAATATAGCAGAGTGAGTAGCACAGGAAGAGTGCATCAACGAGAAGCTGCCAGTGTAAATCTGATAAAGGCATACTGAGCAGTTGTACACACAGCCGCCGGAGTAGTTGAAATGTAACTTGAATTCTATAGCTAGGTACAACTGATGGCAACAATGAGGTTCGAAGAAGCGCACACACATGAGTCACATTCAAATTCATCCATGCACTTCCCACCATTCGTACAAGGTATATACGAGCAATCGATATCAGACCATCTCAATATCCAATTCCAACTCAGACATACCGGTCACGGACTGGGAGAAGTCAAGAGCGATCTCTAACCAAGAGGCATTTCGTCTTTTCCCTGGAAGTAGCCTCGAGTTCTTCGGAGCCTTGCAAATAATCTTCAAGCGGGGCTTCCTTGCTTCCGATTTGTCCTTGACACAGCCACAGTTTGTGAATGAACATTCAAAGACCATGTACTTGCACGAGAAGTCGGCCTTCACTCTGTTTCATTTGGTGGGACACCCACATTGCGGGCATTGGAGAGGAAGTGTCTTTCCCCACGGACGAGAAGTAGAATGAGCCCACGAGTAATGAGTGCAATTCTAGTGGCATCACTGGGCCATTGTCTTGAGGCGTCATGGTCATCAGGACGATATCGGTGTGCATGCCCAATCCCGATTGCTTGATTATCCCAGGGAATGCTTCACACAGTGGGAAGCATTCAATAATAACGAGCTGAGCGAATGCAATAAAAAGATGGGAAGTGAATGCCGGATGGAAGTGTTTGGCAGTGAATGCGACCGTAGACAAAATTGCATGATCAACAACAGCCAGACGCAAACCGCTGAAACCTTCGGATTTGTTGATGATGGCTCTGCAGCCCAAAAAGAATAGGGTGGTGGTCTTCGAGCAGCGAATCACTTTGCTCCACGGATCAAGTAAAGCACTCATAAACTGGAGATACTTTAGTAATGACTGGTGATATGGTCAATAACGAGCAGTGTACACACCTCGGGAACGGTATCTGTGATATAACTGTTTCGCACCAAATAACCAAGGAAAGGGTTGCCGTTCTCAGTCATTCGTAGTGATTGGTGATCACAAGACAAACTGTCTGGTAGTCGCGAATCTTCCATAATGTCATTCACAAGTTCCTCGCACTGTTGAGAGTACCTATCAATCTTGTGACTAGTGCCGAGGTCGAAAACCACATCGACGAGGTGGAGGCCGCCATTCGGAAAATAAGGCCTAAGGTAGGAATGGACCGTGTCAACTGGGCTCGCAGTGTTCTCGAAGCCAACAACCTTGAAATGAATGATGAGGGCTGGCTTTGAAGAAATCTGGGAACATTTAGAAAGGGTTAACTGTCCAACGATGGGCAGGAATGACTGGAAAATGGGCTGAGCATCCCTATAAAATCCCTAGACATATATTAATCAGTGAAAGGCGGAAATAGGAATGAATGAACTCACATAGTATGGCGTGACCTCTTTCAACTTCTTGTCCAAGGCCGTATGGCAGTGGACACAGCGAAATTTGACATCCAGCTCCTGTAGGTACTGCATGTCGCCAGCCGGAATTGAAATGCACTGGGTGCACACGGCATGCGGGCAGTCATGCTCGTTGCATTCGTAGAGACAATCTTCACCTTCACGCACGCCATCCTGGCAGAGCATGCAGAACTGTGGAGCAATTTCAGTGGATTATTGCTAGTGAGCTTGTTAAGTATCACTCACCTCGTTTTTGAGTGGTCCTGAACGGGCTTCCACGTGAGAGCATAAAGTTTCTTGCAGAAGATGTGGCGGTACTGCGACCTTCAAGCTTGCGAGGGTCTGCCGATCTCTCTTGATTTGGACACAGGGGGCAACCCCACCAGTTGCTTTTGAAGAAGTTTGCTTGGTGCGTGCCATCACACCGCGAGAGTCAGGGATGAGAGGTACTAGTTACGGTACTTCAAATAATGAACATTCAGACGAGGCAGACAAGTATGGCAATAGTTTGAAAAATGACTAGTACAGAATTAATTTAGACACCAACAAAGCCAAATAAACAAATACAAATGCCCACATTGTTCCCATTGTTGTGCTCGCTGTCTCTTAATGAGCTGCTGAAGCATCTCACGGACATCACCATTGTCGACTACACTTGTAGTTCTTTGGTGAGCAGTCTTTTTCGTTTCGGTGCCTGACTATGTTCAGATGTCTGGGCTTTCATTCTCGCTTTTACATCACCGATGTGGTCATTGACAGGTTGTGAGTAGTGTGGCAGAGCAGACATATAATTTGGTACACCCATACCTAACCCTGTTTCTCTAGATGACTCTGCCGCACATATTGCTGAGGAAACCGCAGGAGCGGCACGCGCAGCACCAATTGTGATTTTGGTCGGGGTTGCCGGAACTGAGATACTGGGCTGGCTTTATTACATCACCGCTTCTTATGCTACCACCTCGGTTCCAGATCCTGCAGACGAAATTAGTGCTCCCTCTTGGCCAAGTATTTTTGAATGTCCTGGGGAAGAAAGGTGCTTTGACCCTCTGGTGCTCCATCACAGTGTTGCAGGAAAGTGCGTTTACTAAAAATGATGAAGTTTAAATATCTGATTTCCTGACAGTACCTTTGCGGATGCTCACAAGCTGTTGATGCTTCACGCGTCATTTTCGCATTTTCTCGGGACAACGCTCTTCCCGGCTCGCGGTGGTGGAAGTGCATCAACTACACAACGCAAACTCCAGTGAATGCTGTATAGTTTGCGATGGTGCTCTCTGCCATTTGTGGGACACTAGTATTTTCCACAGCAGCGTTCAACTCCTTGGCCTCGTACGTCTAGTGAGCTTCTCAAGTCACTAATACTAACTCTGTTGCTCTGAAGGGCGTCTGTCATAGGTTTATACATCTCATATGCGACGCCCATATATTGTTGTATTACCTGGGGGAAGGACAAACTACAACCTGGTCCATTCAATCTCGGTTGGTGGTCTTTTCTGATCGGCTGGACAGGTGTTGTCTGGGTGGCATTCATGGTCGTCATGCTGCTCTTTCCATACACACAGATAGCCAGCATGCAAACCATGAGTGAGTGCTATCATATATAGTTAGCCCTTGACTCATCGCAACATGCAGATTACTCAGTAGTGATTGTCATGGCCGTCTTCATATTTGCTGCAGGATCTTGGATATTCTCCGCGAAACATTGGTTCACGGGACCCATCCCGAACATCGATGCACAGTCTGACTCCTCATCATATTCGGAGAAGCCAGATAACACAGAGCAAAATAGTCTGGATATATAGAATATGTATTTGATACGCACATGGCGGCTACTGTGAATTGGTTCTGTGGGATCAAACACCCTGTTCTTACAATAGTAGATGATTACCTCTTCAATGATTTGTTTGTTTCAAGTTCACGGTGCTCTCTCCAGACCTTCATGTACACGGCTTGATTTCTCCAGGCAGCGTGATGTCCATGACGAGTATTGATAGAATACTGAACCTACACCAGGTTGCTCCTGAAAGTAAGAATGAACATAATCTTACTTACGTTGTCACATTGTAATTGAAGCAATATCTGAACCCTACTATATAGCTTTGTAAACCCAATATAAATGAGGGAATATGAGGTTTTTAAGCGAGTGGGAGCTAATAACACTATCATATGTTGCCGGTTGTGATGGTGCAGAGTCGTGACCTTGTCGAGAACCCTCATATAAATCTAGATTAGATGACAAGCGCTAATCGCGCTTTCCACGATAAAGTCTTGAATACTCTTGCAGTTCAACACATAAATAAGGGAATATGATATTATTTGACAAGTGTGAGGTGATTACGCTATTATACACTGCCGGCCGCGATGGTGCAATGTCGCAACCTTGTCGCGAACTCCTCATGGTAATTTAGATTCTTAGACATCCATGGCTATGTGCCGATAACTCACATTTCTCGCAGTATACATAGTCATATCTAGCAGGAACAGAATTATATCCTCCTATAGTTCCCACGGCTACCATGTCAAGGACTCATCAGTTCTCTGATGACTTCCAATACGACGGTCATAGAACCGATAAACATCACTTACGCCGCCGCGTTTGCATATTTGAAATCGCAGCATATTTTGCCGCAGTCCCATGCGCTTTGGAATGTTCGGATTCACGTACCGTTTCCTATCATCCCAAGCCCATCTTCGCGTCATAACCCCAACCTACGAATCCTGTTCAAAGAAAGACCTCATCGCAGTTTTCACACAGCTAGAAACGACCAAAAAGGACGTGACCGAGTCACTTCCCTCCGGAGCTCTTCCGACCTCAAAAAAACCATTCCATTTGTCATCCCACCCAAAACACCGTAAGATCGCGATCAAATTCTGTTACTCGGATTGTTATTCAAGAGTCTGGTCGAGAGAGCTGGGAAATTTGTGCAAAAGTAAGGATATCGATCAACTCCGCAACGAGTCACAACTTCATATCGTGTGATCAACCACTGCCAACGCGAAAGCAGAAACACGACTCACTGTCGCGACATCCTCAGTCTACTCCATGCAGAACCTGTCGTTAGGGGTACCGATATTATTATGCTGTTGGTACAAGGTGGTCATGGGGTTGAATTCCGAATGCAAATCGAACGGCTCATACTCACCGCCGATTTACAAGTCAAACCTTTGCAGCATTTTTCGACGCCCTTCTCCGGGTCGCCGTGGCAAAGGTCACCTAAAGCTATGCATGCACTAACAGATATAGATGTTGTCAAAGCAGCGACAACAGCGAGGAGTGATGAGAAACGCATGACTTGTGCTAGGCAATATGAAATGCCTCAAAGGGGATCTCGAATGATAGCTCTGATACTGCCAGTAGGAAGACGGCTTGCTTTTATGTCCGAGAAAATAGTATTTTTGCGAACTACTTAGCAGTTCTATCAGAATGGTTGCGCCTGGCAGACTTCAGGCAGAGAGTATAGGCAGAACCACTAGTGTAGGGTCGGCGGATAAATAATTCGGAACATCTGGACAACCTTGTAGTAAGTAGTGATGGAGATGCATCTTGTAGGTAATGTCGAGAATACCGTCCACATGTTAATTGCGGTGGAAGTTGAATGTACAAATGTGCGGAAGGCAAAGGTGGGATCTATGACCTAGTGCTTCCGTGGCTTATGGTTCAGGAAAGTCCTGGCAACGGAGAGGTCACCGGACGTGTCGGGCAACATAGGCCCTCCGTGGAACCAGTATTATGGAACACCATCTGCCTCGAACCTACGCATAGTTAGAAGCACAAATTGTGTGAAGAGGCAACGAAATGTCTTTCTTTGGCTCCACGAATCACGATTTTCAATAGTAGATCCATCAACAAGATTTCGATGGCTGCTTCACGATATTCAGCAGGGAAGAGTGTCCTGGGATACAGTGCCATTACATTGCATGGATTGACCCACAAGATATTTGCGGTTTGCATTAGGATAGAGGGAAGTTGCCACGTCCGGGCCGAACAGGCACAACGCCGAATCACTAGTGACTCCGAGTTAATTTAGCTCTCGTAGAACTCATGCAGGACGTTTTCTAATGTCATTCAAGAGTCTGGTCGAAGCAGCAGGGAATTTGTACAGAAGGAAGCGTATTGATTAACTCTGCAACGAACTGCATATTGTGCGATGAACAACTGTACCGACCACCGCGATAGCAGAAACACGACTCACTGTCGCGACATGCTCAATCTGCCAACCTCATCGGGAGAGGGTTACAGGCAGTAGTACCCGTCTTCGGGCTTGGGATCTACAGGCTGTTGGTACAGGACGCAAAGGGCGGGTCGTGAGGTTGAACACCGGACCAAAGCGGACGACTCATACTCACATCGAGCTTACAAGTGGTACCTTTGCAGCATGGTTTGTCTCCCAGCGATCTGGGGGGCCCGCGGCAAGCCCCGTATTTATCTATGCATAACATTGCACTAACAGATATAGATGTTGTCAAAGCAGTAACAACAGCGAGGAGGAAAGAGAAACGCATGGTTTGTGTTAGGTAATATGGAATGCGTCAAGGGGGATCTCGAATAAAAGCTCTGATGCTGGCAGTAGGAAGACGGCTTGCTTAAATAGTATTATTGCTTTTGTTGCGCTTGGCAGACTTCAGGCAGAAAGTATAGGCCGAACCACTGTAAGGTCGGCAGATAGACAATCCAGAATATGTGAACTGTAAACGTGAGCTTCAACACAACCTACGTAGGGATGGAGATGCACCTTGTAGGCAATGTCGAGAACACCGTGCACATGTTGATCGCGGTTGAAGTTGAATGTACATACGTGCAGAAGGCAAAGGTAGGATCTGAGACCTGGCGCTTTCATGGCATATGGTTCTGGCGACTGAGAGTGCTCACCTGACGTGTCGGGCAACGAGGACCCTCCGTAGAACCAGTACTACCGAACCCCACCTGCCCCGGACTCACACATAGACCCCAAGAAGCGTCCTATGAAATCGAACAATATACTTTTAGATCTGGGGAGAGTGCATCAATATATTCTCGAACTACGACGGGAAGACTGATGAATCCGGCCGCCAGCAGTGGAGAAGAGCAGTACTTACTTGACTGTTGTTTTCATGAAATAATGGGGTATGCAAGGCAGTCGGGAATCGCTGAATTCAAAACTTGTTACTTCAGATGAACAACGAATGAGTTTCGTACTCCGCCCACCTCCAGATTCCTCACAGGTGCGCATGCACGGATAACCCACCTGGGTTACCCAATAAGTAAGCCTTATTATACTGGGTGATCGAGCGCCTCGCTAACTATTACATAGCTTAGTTGCGTTATATCCCAACACCAGCATTAAACCTCGCCCTAAATACTGTATTACTTACTACTAACTGTTAAGTATTGTATGTACCGAAACGGGTAAGCGAGGCTTTGTTCCCACACCGCGGACAACATTCCGCGCATTGCCGAAACCTTCGTGCTCGTTGTGGGCAACAGCGAGCTCAATAACTGCAGTATTTGACAGCATTTTATTGTAGTTTTTTTTTCTTGTACTATGTAAGTTATACATTTCAATAACATCCATTTCGCATTTCCAAGCTCTAGTTACTACAAGTTAAGTGTATATTAATGTACGGGTGCTGCAGAGGTACAATAGCACCTCCACCTCCATCTATAGGTCCCAGAGCGTCGCTTCCTGGTCAGAAACATTCCAATTAATGATAAGAACATTCTCATATAGTAAAAAATGCGAAATATAACCACCTAGGTACTGAGAAGGACATTCTGAGGGTTGAAATGGAGGTAGGAGGGGGGAAGAGGAGGATTATACAACCCCAAGCACCAGAGAATCATCTGCAGAGGTCCTATGGACATCCTCAAGTAAGGGGGGAGTCAGTAGAGGGTGACAGAGTTGCAAAAAATGCGAGAAAGGCAGGAGGTTGACTGTGGGTAACACAAAACCTAAGGTAGCTACTCCCCAAGGAAGGGGACACACAAGCGGTGTTCAGAGAACATACCTAGACTCTCTTGGAGTAATATGAGCTGGTACTATGGGCAGTAAAATGAGTATTAGAGACACAGTAAAAAAATGAACTGAAAACATGAAAAATAAAGAGGATGCATACCAAGTGGTTCAGAGCGCAGCTCTGCTGCATACAATAGGGGCGCTCAAAGTTAAAACGCCCAACACCCAACCTCGTGACCAGAATGAGTATACCTAGAATAAATAGAAGTAAATACCGAGTAAAGTCACCAAGCCTACATGATGAGATAAGCTACTTACCTAAACCTTGTTGCGTGAAGCGCCAAAACCTTCGCCAAATGTCTCCCCCTAATCCTCAGCATTTCTAAACCTTTTCATACTTTTCTCGTACCTAAACCTTGCTGTTCCTAAACCTTTTCATACTCTTCTCGTACCTAAACCTCGCTGTTCCTAAACCTTTCCATACCCCTACCTTTTTAAAGTCTTTTTTTTTGTACCTAAACCTTTGTGTGCCTTAGGAGACCTTTCACTTTTTATTCCTAATCCTTTCCTAACCTTCAGCAGACTATTTGAGTTGTTTTTGAGGCTCAGACATAATTTTTCCTTATGGAATTCCAATGAAATTGGAAAAAAAAACATGCAGCTACATGTTGCTACAATCAAATATATGACAAGGTTGTGGTGAGGGCTAGGCACGGCGAGGTTTAGGTAAGAGAAGAGTATGAAAAGGTTTAGGAACAGGCAAGGTTTAGGTACGAGAAAAGTATGAAAAGGTTTAGAAATGCTGAGGATTAGGGGGAGACATTTGGTGAAGGTTTTGGCGCTTCACGCAACAAGGTTTAGGTAAGTAGCTTATCTCATCATGTAGGCTTGGTGACTTTACTCGGTATTTACTTCTATTTATTCTAGGTATACTCATTCTGGTCACGAGGTTGGGCGTTGGGTGTTGGGCCTGGGCATTAGGGTGTTTTAACTTTGAGCGCCCCTAATAGTGTAGAGAGTGCCCTTAGTCCACTGAGAGCAATAGTACTTATCAGGATAGGGAGGATAACATGTCAGAAACAGAATTGGTCAAAAAAGCAAACCATGAGACTTACCAAGGCAAGGGAGGGATCACCATGTGTACCAAGGTAAAAATAAGGTCACAACCTGGTGGAAAACACCCTAGGATGTTATTATATCAAGGGGTAAGTGATATAGTTTGGGCGAGTAAGAAAGAAAATAAGTTCAACAGGGGTGAAACCCACTCACCTTGTCAATACAGAAGGCCTGGAGATATATATTGACCAAGAGGTGTCAGAATAGTGTAGAATAGACCTGGAAATGTTAGCACAGCAGGTTTCAAGACAAACCAGTGAGTTGTGGTCGAGTTAGAGGGTAAATGAGTGGATGAATGTCTGGTTGAACTTCGGTACACATAAGGCAACTGCACAGTATATTGCAAACTGCCCCTTAACCTCCATTTTCACTGTAACTCAACCACAACTCATTAATATGTATTGAAACTTGCTGTGCTAACATTTCTAGGTGTATTATACTTATCAATGACTTCACTAGTAGGTTATTATATACCTCCAAGGGCTTCTGTATTGGCAAGGTGAGTGATTTTCACCATGCTGAGCTTATTTCTTTGTAACTCGCCTTCACCTTGTCCATAGCACTTTGCCTCTGATATAATAGCACTCTAGGATGTCCTCCATCATAATATGACCATATTTTCCCTTGGTACATATGCTAGGAACCTCCCTTGCCCTGATGAGTCCCATGGTTTGCATTTTTGGACATTTTTTGTTTCTGACCTGTTCTCCTCTCCATCCTCACAAGTCCTGCTGCTCTCAGTGGACTAGAGGAACTCTCTGCACTATGCAATACATCAGAACTGCACTCTATACTCTTTGGTAAGTGTCTTCTTTATTTTTCATGTTTTCAGTTTTTTTTTTTCAGTATGTCTCTAATGCTCATTTTCTCGCCCATTGTACCAGCTCATATGACTAAAATAGAGTCTAGATATGCTCTATGAACACCACTTGTGTGTCCCCTTTATTGGTGAGTAGCTACCTTAGGTTTTGCTGACCTAGAGTCATCCCCCTGCCTTGGTCGCATTTTTTGCAACCCTGGCACCCTCTGCTGACTCCCCCCTTACTTGAGAATGTATATAGGACTTCTATTGATGATTATATGATGCTCAGTGCAATATATTTCCCCTCCTCCTCTCTCCTACCCCAATTTCCCCCCTCAGAACGCCCTCCATAACACCTAGGTATTTTTATTTCGCATTTTATACTATAGAGGAATGATCTTATGGTTAAATTGAGTATTTCCGACCAGGGAGTAACACTCTGGGGCCTCTAGGTGAGGAGGAGGAGTCACTGTACCCTTTGCAGCCTTCACACATTCATATACAGTGGCTCAAAAAAGTGTCCGAATGTTTATGCATTTTCAAGTAATTGGACAATAGCAAGGCAGAACCAAATAATAACCGAAGGGTATAGGGACATGTCCGAAAGCCCTATATAATAGCTAGAATCTGAGATATATAGCGTGTCAACCTGACCATATATAGGCAAGCTATGGTAATTCTAAATACATCACTCATTCGGACATTTTTTTGACATTTTATTAAAATTACAAAATCAGACCATTCATACATTATACTCTTAATTAAAGTGGTGTCATAACAATAATATGGTCTGATTGTAATATTATTTGAATATATAAACCCACATAAGATCATGAAATTCAACATAATCATCATGAAGCCCATCTCCTCTGCTCAAAAGGATAATATCCTTGTTCTCTGTACCTCTGGTTTATCTACTAGGCAAATTGCCTCAAAAACTGGTCTTGGCAAGTCTACTATTGCCACAGTCATAAAGCAGCACATGCCAGAGAAAGAAAATCATCAAATGGGATGTCCTCCCAAGCTTACTCCACAGAACAAAAGAGCTATTGTTCACCAAATTCTATCTGGCAAGGCTTCAAATGCTACCCAAGCTATCAAGTTCATCAATTCCATCATCTCCACTCCTGTCTCCACCCAAAATGTTAGAAACACCCTCAAGGCAGCCAATCTTAAGGCTGTAACCAAGAAGAAAAAACCTCTTCTCTCTGTAGCTCAAAGGAAGAGAAGACTGGCCTTTGCTTTAAAGCACCAACATTGGACTGTGGAAGACTGGAAGAAGGTGCTTTGGTCAGATGAAACAAAAATCAATAGAATGGGGTCAGATGGCCAGGAATATGTGTGGAAAAATGTAGGAGAACCATTAGGAGAAAGAGAAGTCAAGGGTACACTGAAGTTTGGAGGAGGAAGTATGATGGTATGGGGTTGTATGGGGTGGAATGGTGTGGGGATTCTTTGTGAGGTGGAAGGAAGGATGAATGCAGAGCAGTTCATCTCCATTCTAGAGGTGTGTCTACTCAAAAGCATGCAGGAGTCAGGAATTGATGAAGAAGACATTATCTTTCAACAAGATAATGACCACAAACACACCTCAAAACTGGCTACAAAATGGTTTGACGACCATGATATCATTGTTCTATCATGGCCAGCACAGTCTCCAGACCTCAATCCCATTGAACATCTCTGGGAATTACTCAAAAGACTACTTGCTGCCTATCAAGATCCTCCAAAGGGGCTATTTGAACTATGGGAGAGAGTTGCAGCAGAGTGGAAAAAGATTGCTGAAAAGGAGTGCCAGAAATTGATAGAAAGTATGCCTAGGAGGATTGAAGCAGTTATTAAAGCCAAGGGGGGGGGGGTAACACCAAGTACTAGAATCATAGAATAGTCTTGGTTAAATATAAAGTCAAAAAAGTGTCTGAATGAGTGATGTATTTAGAATTATCATAGCTTGCCCATATATGGTCAGGTTCCCACGCTATATATCTCAGATTCGAGCCGTGATATAGGGCTTTCAGAAATATCCCTATACCCTTTTGTTATAGTTTGGTGCTGGCTTGCTATTATCCAATGACTTAAAAATGCATAAACATTCAGACACTTTTTTGAGCCACTGTACACTTATTTTGTGGTCATTGGGGCTTTAAAATGCGAGATCAATGTTATTTAATGTATTACTACATAGTACAGTGAAAAAAAATACAAGGAAATGTAGTGAAATACTGCAGTAGTTGAGCTCGCTGTGGGCAACAGCGAGCACAAAGGTTTCGGAAACGTGCAGAGTGCTGTCTGCGGTGTGGGAACAAAGTGTCGCTTACCCATTTCGGTACATACAATACTTAACAGTTAGTAGTAAGTAATACAGTATTTAGGGTGAGGTTTAATGCTGGTGTTGGGATATAATGCAACTAAGCTATGTAATAGTTAGTGAGGCGCTTGATCACCCAGTATAATAAGGCTTACTTATTGGGTAACCCAGGTGGGATAACCTGTCTGTCGGACTGTCATGGTCACCAGGGTTCCAAAACATAAGTTAATCGTGCATGGGTACTAACCTCCACCAAATTATTCTCAACCACACAGTGACATAGTCTCGTCAATGTGACTCTCCATACCCCACTGTGTTGTGATGGATCATCATGAGATGGTTAGGGCCAAGTCTTCATTCTGAATCACCCTGATGTAAGTAAAGTGAATGTTGGCATTGCATCATGAACCTTAGTGAAAATGTGAAATGTGATATTGTGAAAATTCAAAAGGTGAAACAGTATAGGCTTGAGCATCGAGCAAGGCCTGAGTCATGAAATGAGCGTCATTTCATGCAATACATGTTATTATGTATGGGGGTGTTCTACACTGTTCTAGTATGACACGTGTCACACCAGTGTACAACTAGAAAACTCATATATCTCCATTTACATAAATTTCTGGTTGTTAGCACAGTGCGTCAACAGCTCCTTGAGTCCTTCTGGCTGTCTTAGCACTGGACAAGATTGCACTGCAGCCTCATGCCATCCTGCAACCAGATGAGCGCCCAGCCGTCCTTCAACTGCATTCTACCACTATCTGGCTTTCCACAGGTTACAGCTCTGGAACCATCATCCATCTAATCAATCTCAAGTAGTATTTATACCTATCACTCCAAGTGGCACAGTTCGATCATTTTGCAGCCCAGTTCATCACCATTGGACATACATCCTATGCCAAAAGTTTTACAATTTCAGTACCCACCCTCAAACAACAGTTTAGCCTTTGATCCTTTGATCAGTGCCCTCGTACTTAAGTTGCGAGGTAACCACTGCTCCTATAATTTCTAACTGTACTATTGTAACTGACTAATGATGTAGTACTTCTCAGAATTATTCCGTCCGCATCTCATTGTGTTATGATTATCATCAACCCTCAATGTCAGTATTTACTATTATCCATCCATTATCCCATCTCTTGTCCTCTGACCTCATCAACAGTTCTTGGATATGTCTGAAGGAACTTGGGAGAAATTGTCACAGATCACTGTCAAGGGTAATAAACATGACTCTCATGAACGCCAACCTCATCCGAAATGTTTGGAAGGGACTCGGGTGGTCCTTCAAGTTCTCAAGTACATCAACGCATTATTAGATGACAAGGAGAAGAGTCGACTCATTTGGCTGCATGGTACAGTGGGTGTCGGAAAGTCTGCCGTTGCGTTCACTGCAGCGGAAAGGATGAGAGGTCTGAAAATGGCAGAGGAGATGAAAGCAGAAAATCAGCTCACAAGAACATTATTTTTCTCGCACAAGCACACAAAATGCTGTACAACTTGCTATTTATTTGTGATGCATGCCTATCAGGTGGCTAGCAACTTTTCCGTCATCAGGAAGGACATTGTTAGGTACCATGCTGACTCAGGAAGCAGAGGGGTCGGGACTTGGCTTCAGCTCTTGTGCTGCGCCCTTAGCTGAGTATGTGCCCCGAATTTGGAGCAGGTCCGACGTTGTCCAACGATAGGACAAGTGGACCGCTTTGGTCCGCTTTGAGGGTCGGGGAGTAAGAGCTACTAGCGGCGGGCTGACTAGGAGCGGAGCGGAGAAGGTGGGGAGTGATGTGGAGGGTGGATAGGAGCAGGGGGAATGTTTGGCAGGGGCGGGGAAGGTGGGGGATAATGCGGAGGGACAAGGGAGAATATTTGATAGGGGCGGAGTATAAGGGAAAGACTTAGAGCACAGCTCTAAGTCGGAGCGGAGGGTCGGAGGGTCAGAGGGTCGGAGGTGACAACAAGTTGAGACTTGTGTCCAGAGGAGGCAAGGTCCTACTGAGAATTCTCACAAGATGTAACTGCAAGAAGACAAGTAATATTAAGACTGAGGAAAATATCCAAGTACATGATATGTTATATACTACTATGTATGAGGCAGTGACCAGGATAACTATGTTGTAAAGCTATGTACCAAGGATATAGTTTGTAAGTACTTTACACAGGCGAAGACATAAGTCAGAGCGGATATCAATATGTACGCATCGGATCAGCAATCAGGCGGTAATAGGAATTACTGGTCATCCGGAAGTAAGGGTCTATGTACCAAAGGGGAAAGTATATATCTAAAAGGGGAAAGAGATCCAGTTGAATGGAGAGGTTATGGAAGGGGACCGGTTGAGCGGTTGAGCGGAAGCGTAGGGCGAAATGCGGACTTGTGATTGGACGGAGCGGAGGATGGATGAAGTGGAGGGGGTTGGAAACAGAGCAGATATCAATATTGGAGCAGTTGGATCAGGTATATGACAGACATGAACAGAGCTTTGGTGAACAATCCTGCCCTTCTAGACCCCGACAGAGGCCATAGTGTCATAATTATTAATACAAACCCAGGCATTGTAGAACACTAGGTATTCATACTGGCATAGGACTCTCAGTGCCAGCAAAGTATGCATACAGGCTTCTTTGTATCAATACCAGGCTTAGGATGCCTTAATTTGGGTACTCCCACCTATTCTCATTGGCTATATTAATCCCTTGACTAAAAATAGGTTTTCGGCATCAGTTCCTCTTGATTCTCGCTGCTTCTTCACCCATAAATATCCCACCCCTCCATTCTTGCAGGCTATATTAATCCCTTGACTGAAAATAGGTTTGGTTCTTGCTTCTCCACCCATAAAGAATGTACCCATCTGTTCTTGCAGGTTCTTGTGAGCTATATTAATACATCAACTAAAAATAGCATGTGGTTCTCTCCCTCTTCCATTCTCACTGGTTCTCACTGTGTTCCTGGCCCAGCCTCAAAGCCATGTGACTGTTTCAATGAATTTACTAAGTCCAGACTCAAAGCCACGTGACCATTTTGATGAATTTTGACGAAGTCCTGACTCAAAGCCAAGTGACCGTTTTGATGAATTTTGATGAGTCCTGACTCAAAGCCATGTGACTGTTTTGATGAATTTTGACAAAGTCCTGACTCAAAGCCACATGACCATTTTGATGAATTTTGACTAAGTCCTGACGATACTATACACTGTAGCTTACAACTAGACACAAAGACATGCAATACAACAAGCAGATGGACGAATGACATAGCAACAAGGCATGACAAAGCAATAGCAAGAAGAAAGACAATAGAGCGAGACAATAGAGCAACACCCAGCAAGAACACAACATCAAATATCAGCTGCCATCAGCTCAATGAGCCAATTTGCATGACCTAGAACTAATGTTCAAAGTGGAAGTAAGCGATATTATTAAACTTACTTTCGTGACCTTCTTCCGATACCATCAGTGCCAATATTGTTAGCTTCCATCGTCCGAGTAGATGGAACATGAACACGACTGGTACGGCACACTTGATTATTAATGATATCATCTAGAGGGTGCATGCTTTCATTGACCTCCATGGACTCATTGTCAGATGCAACAGCAGCTCCAGGCACTGAAAAATGAGTTGCAGTCGCAGGTGAAGAAGCCACAGTAGCTTCACCAGTTACAGCTATACTGAGGCCCAGAGTAGTCACAGCAGGAGGTTCAGCAGCTTGAGACAGTGCAGTGGCTTCTGGAGTTGCGTCTACAGGCGGCACAATAGCTTCACGAGTTGCAGCTACAGTGGCCTGCAGAGGAACCTTGAGAGGAGGCTCAGTAGCTGCAGGCGGTAACAGATCCGGGTGAGCCACAGGTACCATAGGAGGTACAGAAGGGGCAGGAGGGGAATCATGATATAAATCATGGCGAGTGCCAGTTCCTCCTTTGAATGGACAGGGCCGAGGCGCCTTCTTAATGCCAGAGGGCACCTTTGACTCGATACGAGCTAAGGCGCTGCAGAAGCGTGGTGGTGACAATACTGTAGACTGACTGGATGTCACATGCAAATCTGGAGAATGCAACTCAAAAGGAGGTAAAGGAGGTAGCGTTGGAAATGATCAGTCACTCCATCTGCATATGACTGCATTCGAGCGAGAAAGTCATCAATGGCCTTGTTTGACAGATCGAATGAGAACTCCGAGTCGCCTGACAGGTTCAGTGAATCGTCAGGAACAGGAACTGGATGAAACAGGAATTCATCAAAGGTGGGGTGGATCCCATTGGGACACGAAGGGCTAGTGGGGAAGAGTTGTTTGGCCAAGGCATGCAAGACTTCTGGAGTTGCAGTGGGACCAGAAATGAAGTCAGAGGTGGGCACAATAGTATTGATACTGGGTGGAGATGAGTCGGAGGTGTCCAAAGCAGGGATAGTAGTATTGATACTCGAAGGAGATGGATCGGAGGTGTCCAAAGGGGGCACAATAGTATTGATACTCGATGGTGAAACAGCTATGGAGAACACTGTTAGTATTACTACCTAACCAGAAGAATACACCGACTTACCAAAAGCACCCTTCAAAAATGTTGTGAACAGTTCAACAATTCATGTGTGATGGTCTGGGAGTGTATCACGAAAGTTGAAGCCAGTAGTGCCCTTCCCATGGTGGAAACTACACTGTACTGTGAATCAAAGCAACCGAGCACATAAACAAATCTTACCTGTAAACATGAAGGTTGTCCTTGTACTCTGTCTGAATAAAATGTTCCACAGCAGAAGGGCCACGAGTGCGAGCAGTGGTAGAGCCCATGAGCTTCATTATCATTTTAGTGAATTGGGTCACCCTTGCCTGGGTGCCAGTGGTGTTGCTGCGGTACAGGTAAGAACAGAGTTGCTGTAACATGTATAAGCAAACCAAAATGAACTCGTAATACAGCTAACTTATGGAATGGTGATGTTTGAGATGTCGTCCCAATTTTACTGTCTGCTCTTCTGACAACTCATCTGCAGTAAGTGGAATACCTGTCTCACTATCTTTGAAATGGACGGCAGCTTCAGGCCACTTCTTGAACCATTCACAGGATGTATTGGAAAGGAAAGTGGTTGTTTCACCTTGCAGCTGGCTGAGGTGGAACCCATCCACCTTAGTTTTCATCCAAGCTGCCTGTTCAGGAGTCATCCATGATATGGCAGGCATCTATTAACTGTTGGCATTATGCTAAAATGAATTTCATCCCCCATTTCACACATACCTTATGTTTTTTTTAGATGTATCTCCGTGCTGGGCTTGCAGGCATGTACTGATACTCCATTTGGGCCGGACTTTTAACCTTATTTTGCAATCACCCAATGAGATGGCTTTATCATGCAGAGTTCCCTGACACAAGATATTATAAGTCGCACCGCATACAGCCATTTACTCACTATTACCCCTGCTTGATCAGTTTGTCCAAAATGAAAGTTTTTCCCAGCCCCATCAAGGAACAAACTTTCAGTTTATCCAAACTAGCAAGCGCTATAGAGCTTGTACAGAACCAGCATGGTGAGTGCGAGCTTTCTGTCTAATGTCACTGGGCTGAAAGGTTTTTTTAGCCATTATCAATGTGCACACTCAGGCCACCCAAAGTCTACCCAACTTTGGGGATGATCTTGGGAACGGCTCCTGTCCTGCATGCATTTTTCGTGCACACAGGCACTCGTGTTACATTTGCAGCACCTAGATGACAGAGTCCGGCATCGACTGTAAGTTTATTTTACCTTAAGCTTGGTTCAATTTAATCCTCAACATTACAGTTGACGAATCACTGAGTGACACGTCAACAACCAACAGCATCAATGATGTTGTCGCTCGCATGTCAACATCTGACAGCGTCAATGTTGCTCCCACCCGCGTCAATCCTGCTTCAGGTCCTGCCCTTGTTGACGCTGCAGCTGTTATGCCTCCTACTAACAATGCTGCCCTCGCTCTTGTCAATCCTGCTGTTGCAGGACCTGCTACTCAGGTTCAGGCTATGGCTACCCAACAGCCAAGCACCTCTGCATTGGCACGCTGGTATGTCATCACTGTTGGATGTGTAACAGGGGTCTTTCAAGGATGGTGCATTCTCCAACATCTCCTCATATATGATTTTGATGTTTTGCCCAGGCACAATGTGCATGTGCATGTTGTCAGTGTTCCAGGAGCTTGTTTTGCACATTACTCCTCCCTCACTAGTGCCCAGGCTGCCTATGGGCAGGCATTGAATGATGGCACAGTTACTCAGGTGCTGCTTTAGGGAGTAAACTACTGCATATTTAGGTGTCAAATACTGCTGTAAATATGTATTGCTGGTCCCATATCTTATTTCTTGCACCCAATCTTATCAATTGCTGTCAATTTGTGTGTGCCTCAATATCGGCTGAGCTGTTGCATGTCTCAGGAGTTATGTCATGTCAGTGAAAGCATTGTAAATGTATTTTCAATGAAGTATCACCTATCATACAACACCTCATATAGTTTTAGGTGTTTTAGAATTGATATTTAATAGTAACTTTTAGTAGTAAAAGATGTGTCATGTGCAACAATGTGATCTAGAGTACTTTGTATGATAACTGTCCCAAAGTGGTGGCTGTGACCATACCAAAAAGTTACTTGTGCGCCAGTAAGTGTTTGTGTGTGTTAACCTGCCTTTACATCCATCTTGCTCATCTCGTTCAATGGGACACCATCATAAGTCTTCACCAGACCACCAAGAAGCGCACAAAAAATCTAAGAAAGTTCATTATTTACGGTATGTGTTTCTTGCATTCTTAACTAGAAGTGACCTGATATGCTATTAGACATGTTGGGCATGAATGATCTAAGGCATGACAGAGATTGAGGCAGGCAAAGGGAGCCGATAAGGTATATTGCAAGACTACATCTACTGACATGCAGTACTAATTTCGTGCAGGTGACACTAGATGCCTACAGCGCAATGGAAGAAATACAGAGCAGGACTTACACTGGTGGTAGCCAGAATCACAATGGGTGCCAGCCTCGAGTTATTGCAGTTCTGCAAGGTGTAGATGTGTGAGGGTGGAGTGCCATTAGAACTGGTGTTTTGGTGGGAATAGCAGAGGCCCGGTTTTTGCTGAAGGACACAGAAGACTTGGTAGCAGTGGTCAAAAATCTTGATGGTCCTTGCATTGCATATCTCCAAGCTGAATGTTGCTGTCTTCTTTCCACAGCACATCTCTACCTTGAAGCTGAAGAGGAGATTCTTTCCCTCATGGATGAAGATCAGGGAGCTCTCAATGCTGCTCTGTTCAGTGGTGCACTAGTATGGCAGCGTCAGTAGTATCCCATGATCATATGAACAATGTTGAATTGTCGACCATTTACCATGTGCCCGCATATTATTTTTCACTGCCATGGTCAAAAGCTCTCGGGGACGACAGTTGGACACGTATCGATGGCAGTTCATGGAGGAGAATCATGGTCAGCTCGCAGCCAGGCGACAATGCAATCAGGAAACTCAATTATGTGTTCCTGAGGGAAGTGTATGCCATGCACATACCTCTGTAGATGTTACAAACAGGATCCGTCACTCGGTCAAAACCACATACTTCCGGAATACCAACACATCTCCAGCTGTACCCACCAGTTCTTCAACCACAACCATTGGGAGTTCAGGAGACTTTCGATTTCACTTCTTATATCAGTGCTGATGAACCATACCTCAATTATCTTGCTGACACCAGCCAGATACCATACCAATGAAAACCAAAAGGCAAATGCACAGCAGCAGTATGTATCATTTATATATCATGATGATCCTGGCAGTTTTTTCTCATTTCTTGAATATTCAGGATGACCCTCAAAAACAATGGGTACCAGAGTGTGACAATTTTCTCGAGGAATTCATTCGGCTTGAAGGGCGTGGAGATGATGGATGGAGTAGGCATTATCATGGGGAGCAGGGATGCATCAACCAGCCGTTTATTTGGTGCATTGATTGTGAAGGATTACAGCTTTACTGTCAGTCTTGTGTCATCTCGTTGCACTGCACAATGCCTTTGCATCGCGTTGAAGTACATATTCACATTGATTTGTGTTTCTTTGAAAATTGACTATACTATAAGATTTGGTCCGGAAATTACTTCCAGTGCAGCAACTTAAGAGACCTAGGGCTACGTATACACCTCGGGCATCCAACTGGTGTTCGTTGTTGCAATCCCTCTGCTGCATTCCAGGACGACTTCACCGTCCTTGACATCACTGGTGTCCACAGTGTCATGCTAGATTTCTGCAATTGCGAGACAGCACAAACGCATGCTACCCAACTCCTGTGCACTCGCTGGTACCCAGCAACTATAATGAATCCCTGAACTGCTGCTACCTTCCAAGTCCTGATCACTTTCAAATGTATACCTTTGAGTTGAAAGGATCCACATTTGAATATTATCAAGCATTGGCGCATCTAAGGACCGTTATGAAGCTTTCCTATGGATGAGTCGGCAATTTTGACACATACTATCCCTTAAACGAGCTGGGCATGGCCATGACACTGGTGGTGCTCTTGATACAATGGAAGGGGAACTCACTGTACTGTGCCCAGCTTGTCCTCAACCTGGCAAGAACTTGCCTTTGGATTGGGAGACCAACAAAGCGCAACACAAGTAAGCTATTTCTTTTCCATTCAGATATTTAAGCTCAAGGAATATAGATGGCTTTATGCCTTATTTCTCGCAATGGACGCTAACTTTCGTTTATACCGCCATAACAAGTCCTCTGAACAGGCGAACCCTAGCCTAAGCAGGGGCTGGGGTTATTTCATAGAACAAAATGGATTCAAAGATGTACTGGATGCTTATGTGGGCCAGGTGCAAGAGGTGAGGTTTATTCTACTCTAGTATATCATATGCTGATATCTTGTTTAGAAAAGTTCTTGCACCAGCCACAATGCTGTAAACCTTGCTGAAACCAAGAATTCACGGGGACTGGCTGCCACAGGTGTTGGCACCATCATTTGTGCTCATCATAACCTCACCCGTCCATCCTCAGTTGGAGATCTCCAAAAACGAGAAAGGTATGTGTCTCGGACATATTTGATGATGTCTATTGACATAAGACTTAAATCTGTAAATATGGATTACCTGTTCTTCTCGACATTGCAGCATCTGGCAAGGTTCCTGTTCTTAACATCTCCTATGATATTGCATGTCAATGGGGTAAACATCTGTTGGAGTGGATGTCACGCTATCCCTCCTGGATCCATTTTTTGAGTGACTCAAAATTTTAACATTTGTCATTCTGAAGTTTCATCTACCAGCTCACATTGAAGCATGTCAGACTTTGTATTCTCTTAACCTCATAAAAGGCATGGCAAGGACTGACAGTGAAGCCATTGAATGCAGATGGTCCAACATGAATCCGGTTGCTACCAGCACGCATGAAATGGGCCCAGGGTCAAGATGCCACATCTTGGATGACCACTTCGGTGATTGGAATTGGCGTCAAGTGTCCAACTTGGGTATGAACTACACTTAGATTGTGCCTTCACCTCTGACAGTTTAATAGGTCCTTCGCTCCTCAAGAAACTCAAGGAGGCAATTCCAGAATGTTATCAGCATGCTGCTGATCTTCATGACTTCGAGGAAGCCATCCCGTCTTCGAGTCTTAGTACCTGGCACAAGCTGGTAGAAGACTGAGAGGCTGATCGCTCGAAGCCAAACCCTTTTGAGATAAAAGCTTCAGGTATGTTTTTGTTTGTATGATATTTGCAATCTTTGACTTGTACATTACAGTTGTTACCCAGGCATCTGTCAGACTCGAGCTCTCTTAGCTTGAAGCCCACCAGCTAAGGCAAGGATCGGACACCTCCCTCCACCCAGAGGTCTCCCCTAGTGTGTTAATTACTGTCAGGATTGACCTAGAGGCTTTGCAGTATGTTTGACTTTCACACTGACAATAACCTGGTTCTAACAAGTTGGTTTAACCCTCAGACATCGACTTACAACAGATACTGCAAACATTGGAATCCACGCTACCGATAACCAACTATCCACAATGCAACAATGCACCAACGCTCTATGCTGTCAAATTGAACAGTGGATGCAAATCCAAACACTATATATTCCCAATGTTGCCAGACTTCGAACCAATACCTCTGATGCTGAAGATGCCACCCTTGAAGAACCTGCTCACACCATCAAATTGTGGATGCTGTCTGCAGTTGTGAAGGCAGGCATGTCTTGCGATGTGAACCTCTGTAACATCGAATGGAAGTTGCGCTGTGCCAAAACACATGATGGTCTCCAGGAACTACAGCAACACCTACGAATCAAATGCCATCTAAACGGGTTCAAGAAGAACTGGTTAATGGGCCAGCAAGCCCATACCAGATCCTGTGCTGTCATTGATACCGTGGTGGCAAAAATAGCTGCGGCTGCGACGAAGTATCGCACGGCATGGAGCACACTTCATACCTTAGCTGATGCCCTCCTACATTTTGATTGGGAGATCGAGTTCCCAAGGCTCGAGGATGGGGATATTTGTGGCATGACGGAGGAGGAAGTGGGAGGCTTGGTGTCAGAGGGTCGCAGACTCATGGCCATGTCTTGGATCTGGAAGCAGCACCATGGAGTGGGTGAAGAAGAGCTTTCTGAAGGTGAGTAATGAATTGATTGATGTAGTTTTTTCTGACAAGAAACAGCAATGCGCATTGAGTGGTGCAAGGCAGGGGCTCATGCAAAGAGGTGGGCAGAGGAGGTCGAACTTGTGCAGGAGGAGATGCGACGAGTACTAGCATTCTTTCAGCATCAGCAAACTAGGGGGCACCTGTACAATATTGTACAAGATTGTACAGTATTGTACAGACATTACACTTACACAAGGAAGTCTCCCCTTTACAATACTGTCACATACATCTACAATCTGTACATCTCATCACAGACTGTACAGACAATACAGAGTGTACAGACAACACAGACTGTACCAAGGATACATTTATTCACAGGCTTCACACTGGTAAACATGACATACAGCCTCACAAGGCTTGCATCAACTGTAATGATTATGAAATGAAAACACAATGCGATCAGAGCAATACTAAAGTACGATGTTAATGTCCTCCGTGTCGCTGCCCGCCACAATCCCAGCCGCATACTCATCAAAGTCACCCATGCCAATCCTAGCCCATCGGTCCAACATGTCTTCGAGCTCTTCACGGTGCTCTGGAATGTCGAGCAGCATATCAACTGATTTCTGTAAATTGACGAAGTGGGTCCTGCACTGTTCAGCAGTTATATCAGGAACCTTGTCAGTGCTGGTCTCCTGAAAGCCAGAGATAACACCCTTCAACTGTTGAATCATCAGCGACGAAATAATATAGAACAATAAGCATACCACCACTGCTACAAGAAGCATCACATTGATGGGGATTGTGTGGCGGAATTCATCCATGTTCTTCAATGCTTTCTTGCTGTTGCTGTAGTAGAATTCGAGACACGTGTCCTTGAGAGCCTGCGCCATGAAATTCTTGAATTGTCCCTGCTGAGAATTAAATGTAAATGACACAATTACCAGGAGTCACGACCTACACCAGATGAGTCACTGACCTACACCAGATGAGTCAGGGAGCCGGAGGTAGTCACCGCTCTTGAGGAGCCTAGTAGCAGCAGCAGTGACCTGCTTTTGAACCTCCTCCTTTCACATTGTGGAGCCCTGCAGGAAGATATCATATGCCCTTTTTGCGATAGAGATGATGACCTTTTTGAGCTCTGTGCGGAACATGAAGAGATCGTCACACAGCTCATCAACATATCAGCAAGTGCATTTGCCATCAAAAAATGAAGAACCTACCAGCCAGGCACATATCTGTGTCGTACTCTGGAAAGTAACCTTAAAAATACGTGAGAAGGGTAGACGGTGGTGTAAGGAGAACATACCTCTCTTGATTTATTCTTCTTCTCATGGTATGTCCATAGCACGGCGTCCAAGACTTCTCGAGCAAGGTTGAGGGCATCCTGGGATTCTGGAATTGGGTGGGCTAGAATGGCCTGCAGCTGCATCTCTAACTTAGCCATCTGCAGGAATACTTGCCAAGTGGGCGGATAAAACCCTAGCTTTGAAGGGTTCCCCTGGCTTGCCTTGACCTTCCATTTGCTGTTGCCAGATCAACGAGCATCTTCGGGTGTAGAGCTACAAGAGCGTTCACGGTTTGCAGCCAGAGTAGAGTCAGATGGAGAGCGTGTGTCATATACCGGATCCGAGCACCTCCAACACCACCTGTGAACATCCCCACCCCTGTTCCGACCCCCTGTTTTCCCGTCCGCTCCATCCCTCCTTCTCCGACAATGCACGAAGTGCATCTCAGCAGGACTAGCCCTGCTACCTCTGCACCCGACTCTGTTCTGCTCCTCCGACACTACACCCCTTCCATCCGACCCTATCTGGAGTTCCACTCCTCCACCCTATTGGTCTGCCCGATCCTACTCCTACTCCCTCCACTTTTCCGACCCGCTCGGTTCCTTCATTTCCGCTTGTCTTGTCCCACCCATCTGTTAGTCTGTCTGACCTGCCTCACTGGTCCACTCCTAGACTAGGAACCACTCAACTGGTCCTATCCCTGTTTACAAACACATGAAACTGAACTCACCGACCACAAAATCAGTGAAAGGTGCAAATCAGTTTCTTTCTGGAGCTGAAATCCCATAACAGGATCTCCGCAGGGGGTCAAGAGAAGGCGCCTGGTGATACCTGTTAATGAACTTCTTGTCTGGCCTGTCCTCAGGCAGGATACCATATCTATCCTGAATGTGGGCTGTGCAGTCAGGCTCCCCATCAAATAGGACATCCCAATGGTCTATGAGTTGGATCACATTAGGGATGCCCTTGACCCTCTCAAGGACGTCTACTTCATGGAATCTCTTTACCTCAGCCACCCAACAATCTTTCATTGCATATTCTTTCCCTTCTACAGGATCCCGAACGCGGTAACAAACTGTTCCGCAACAAAATAGACCCTGGCTCTTCCATAGAACAGCCATAATTGAGAATATTTTACCAGCATTGTCGGTTACCCAACTGATCACCCCCACTACTAGTTCGGTGTGAGTACCCTTGCAAGAAGGGATGCACATATGGGTTGTGGGGTCGAGACCCAAGAGGCTCGGATCCACTAATGAGAGAGTAGCTATTGCATCAGCAACATGAGTGGGTGACGATTGGATGGGAGTTGGAAGAGTTATGATGAGGCCTGAGCAGTCACAATAATGAGCGTAAAGTTGTTCGGCAGAGATAAAGAATGAGAGGATGAAGCAACACCACGGCTGTTCTCGCATGATGAGATATGCTTTAGTGGCAGACCCCCAGTACACTCCTAGGTCATGCCTCTTGCTGAAATCAGAGGATGTATGCTTGTTAAGACTGTGCTCAGGGGTAAAGCGGATTCTGAGGGGCTTGGCTTCAGCTTGTATGCTGCACCCCTTACCCGAGTACGTGCCCCTAATTTCGGAATGTAGTCTGACACAAATTCTATGGGTTCCAACAGGACATCAGAATGGGGGTCCTCTGAAGGAGGACCAACAGACTACTAGGTGAGCGCGGGAAAGTCGTGTGGGGGTTGTTCTGCCCGACAGGAGGGAGGTGGGAGACTACTGCGGTCGGAACCAACAGAAGCAGAGCAGAACGGAGGGGATGGATGCGAGAGTGCAGGGTCTAGTTCTGACGCACGGGAGGTTAGGGGAGCAGAGGAACAGGGGAATGGGGGAACGGGGGAATGGAGGGACGGAGGAACGGGGGAAAGGGGGATCGGAGGATCGGAGGATGGCCGACCTAGGGAGTCAATCCCCTTGGCTGGCTTAACAGGAGTTGACTAAGATCAGGCCCAAGTCCAAGAACAGAGGAGCAGGGCTTAGAAAAGGTAATATTCAGACTGAGTCTCTACAGACAAATGTAGATATGTTTATATACTCTAAGTGATGAGCATAGCATAGCAGAAGGCTATATGCTGAGTGTACAGGATTACAATAGGATGACTGAGACATACGAGAATAAGGCTCGGAGAACAGTATGTATGCGACAGATCAATAATCGCTAGGGTATAGGAATTACCAGCGAGGCAGTCGGACGGACTGACAGTTGGGTGGGGGAATACAAGCAGAACTGAAGGACCCCCGTGGGTCGGAAAAGCAGAGGGAGTAGGAGTAGGATCAGGCAGACCAATAGGGCGGAGGAGCGGAACCCCAGATAGGGTCGGATGGAAGGGGTATGGGGTTGGGGGACATAGGGGTAGTGTCGGAAAAGCAGAATGGGGTTGGGTGGAGGTAGCAGGGCTAATCCTGCGGAGATGCACTTCGTGCATTGTCGGGGAAGGAGGAATGGAGCAGACAGGGAAACAGGGGGTCGGACCAGGGGTGGGGATGCTTATAGGTGGTACTGGGAGTACTCACATCCAGTATATGACAATGCTCGACAAAGCTCAGGATGTCTGCCCATGCTTTCTCACAAACTTTACTCTTGTAATAAAACAGAGCAAGATCAGGCTTTTGTGCATTGTAAGGGTCTGGTATTGGTGAGTTGGCAAACTCTGCAGACCAGTATCATTTGATTTTCGATATTTGGAAGGGAAGTTTGGCCCAGATTTTCGATTCACGGCGCAGGGCGTACTGAACGGCTTTGAAGAGGCACTGTAAGTCTTTCTCAGTCGATGAAGGCTTACGTGCCCTCTTCGATCCTGGCTCTGCGGTCCCATTGTATTCATTGCGGCTCCAGGTGCCATCCGTGTCTTGAGACATTATCCCAGAATGTTGAGAATCCAAGGCCTCGGTATCCATGTCAGTGACATCTGCGCTAGTGCCATCTGAGTCATCTGACCCGGAGTCGATGTTCTTATTGTTCGCTTTGAGCTTTTTTTTTGATTGAAGTTCCACGCGCCATGGAAATATACTGGTGGCCCGTTATTTTTGCCATAGTACTTGATCTTTGTGATATCCTTGGTTGTCAATAGCAATTTGGGAATGAGGTGGTAGAAAAGGCTAGCACTGTGTTTGATGTTCAAGTCACCTTCAAAGATGACGTGGCCGTCAAGCTCTGATTTGAGCAGATCTTTAATGAGATCATTCCTGCGACCACCCTCAGGCGGGCAACCCATCAAACTGAGTGAAGGGCCACAGAGATAAAGGTCGAATGAAGTAGTAGCATGTGAAGTTGGGGAAATTTGGTGAGTGAGCAGGTCATCTGCCATGGCGTCTAATGGATTCAGAGTCAAGACTAGTCAATGCTATGGAGTATTGAATGAGTACTGCAGACCAATGCACCCTACAATGACAATTCACCTGTCTGTCTGAATGGTCGGCAAGTTTGTTGAGCAAGTGCTCCCTCAGGCTAGTGTACAATTGCAAGGCAGCGGCGTGGGCCTCGAGTTTGGTGCATCATCGATCAAACATCAAGTTCCCAGAGTTTCCACATGGAATAGATCAAACAGTCTGTCATAGTAGTATCACTAAGGAGGAAATGATCCAACAGCTGGTATCTATCCTTGTGACGCATAGTACAGGGTATCATAAATTTGCTTATTGAAGTACTTATTCAAGTAGAACAAAGAATTATAATGCGCTGAAGTAGACTTAGTCAATCGAGGATCCACTGTAGTACCCAGCCTCGGAATAATGTTGACGAATGCTTGAAGTTGCATCAGAGGAACTACATCTCCCACCAGAGTACCATTGGCATGTTTTGCACGTGTCAATGTGTGCATCTGGGTGACGGGATCAACTGCACCGATCTTAAAGCTGTGCACATAACAAAGATATTGATCATGCCATGTGATGCGTGAACCTCATCAAGGTATTGGGCACATGATGAGCTGCAATTCACAGACAGCATGACCTTCAAAAGAGGGGAAAGGTTTCAGGGATAATCAAAATGTATATGAGTACTAAAGAGCTCACCCTTTAACCCAGACTTAGACCAATCATACGCACTATCAATGTTGAGAATGGCAACATCCTTTCAGCCTTTCGGCCACACAATGCGTGCAGGAGAGGCATGTATGGTTTGCACAGGTAAAACGACACTGGGATCGTGGAGACAAACTTGCTGCATGCAAACAGTATGCCATATTTGAACGCGCTCGAAAGGGATATTCAAGGGGCAGTCGATCAGCAATCTTCTTGGGACCCCCACCCCAAAAACTCCATTTCCATTCCTTGCATCGTGTTGAAAGAAGTCTGAGAGAGCGTACCGCAGATCTGGGATGTTGAATTGATTGTTGACCTCATCAATTTTCATGCCAGTGCAGGTGGGGTTACAGTTGAGATGAATGGCGGTGCCGCCAGCAAGGAATGTATAAGGAGGGTGAGCCTGGGGAATTTCATCACGCCTTGCAGTAGCCAACATTCTTATTTTGCTGAAGTAGTTGGAACTGGTCCGTGTGTGATTCAGCTCTTCTAAAAGTGCGGTTCGTGGATCCATCAGTTCACTACTTGCCCCTTTTTCTTCCTCGTCCTCGTCCCAGTCCCCATCATTGTCATTGTCCCCTTCAACCTCATGAAGTTCTTTGAGATCAGGATCAGTGGGAAGGCTCTTGAGAGTTGTAGCAATTGCAAAATGATGCAGTTTCTCTGCTCAATCTAAGTGATGACAGATATGGGGATTGTAATTGTTGTTGTTTGTGCGCCATGCTGGTTCCTTGATTTCGGAGATGTGTGCATGTTCAGTTGCATCTGTGGACCACTGGATGAGGGCGCTGACTTGGGATATGCTAGCAGTAATGCTCTGCATGAGCTCCAGCTTGGGTATGTGCCAATTATCAATGGCTCTCTTTGTACCCATCCGAGCGCCTAATGTCATAATGGCATCTTTGTTGTCATGAAATATTGTGAGCGATCTGTTGATAGATGTCAGTACGCTGTCATCAGGTGAGGGAGACTGCGCTAAGTATTGGACATCCATTAAAGCATGAATTGCAACCACAAATCGACGGGGGCTGCACCAGCAATCAGCCCAACAATATAACACTGTATATCGCGGTGGACTCTGCCCATGACCTGTTTCAGTTTGGAGATTCCATTGGAGAAGTGGTGATAGCCTGTGATGGGTTGCAATATTAAGATCCGGAAATCAAATTCCACTGCTCCAAGAACTACAAGACACCATTGGATGTTGTGGTCATAGAATTGCTTATGCCAGTGATACAGAGCTTCCAGTGTAAGGAAGATTGCAGGATCACTGAACCGCCAGCCCTTCCAGAAAGGTGCAAAGACACCATTTAGCTGGAAATCCGCACATGCAGCAAAAAAGCTTCGAGGTTGTTGGGATCAATATTGATGCTGGCGAGCTGCTCGAGAGTGATGGCACGTGTACGTGCAGGATGATGAAAGTTGTCCCTGAACTGCAGATACGATGCCAGTGTAAATGGACAAGTTTTACCGCGCACACATGCGAGCATACATGCCTCAGGAGTATCAACAATGTATGCAGCAAGGGGGGTAAAACAGTGGCGGATGTTTCCCACTGGGTCGGACATCATAATTCCAAGTTCAGCGGCTTTCATCAGGGGCTGCAAAACAATTGAAAGACATTTGTGGATGGGAGGAGAGTCATGAGCATGAACACCTTGGACAAGAGCTTTGTACGAGTGCGCATGCGAATGTTGGCAAGGCCTAGCAGAAGCAGGTGTGCAACCCTGGCACCTGTCATCATCATGACATTGGTCTTGTCAGACGAAAGCATGGTGCCAAGGATTGTTGCGCCTTGGGGCAGTTGATCCTACAGTCTTGTGAGATGGTGCGCATTGTGAGTCCATCAACAGCACGTACCTGAACACAACGAGGGATGAAGTCAAGTTGGTCAAGAAAGAGGGGATTACTGAAAAGACTCTCCAAACACTCGACCGGGTCCCTCCAAAATAGTCGAATTGGGCTTTCACACCATGAAGCGAGGGAATGTGTTGGCATTTCCAGCTCGGTCCCTTTGGCAGCATTTCAGCTCAGCTTCGCAAATCTTTGGCGTTGTTGAATGACAGTTGTAATCGTTTTATCTGTGAGGTAATGTCATGATCGAAGCATGAAAGCAACAAGGAAGATACATACCATAGAGAGCTGCAAAAAGGTATTGATTGCTACCATGCTAAGGGCAGAATGCAGGAGGAAGTCGGTGACCTCCCATTCTTCCCTCAATGCGAATGGATAAAACAGGTTCTCCTTCCTGTATTCTGCATGCTCGTCAGTGTCAAAAAGATCCAGAAATGTGATGCCATCCTGAGAATAGCACCTGGCTGCGCCCTCATACCATTCCTCATTGGTTGGGGGTAAATTTCCTGTGAGGTCTCCATCTAAGTTGGTATCCATGGAATCCTCAGCCTGAGCATTGAATTGCAAGTCACCCCCAACACCAAATCCCTGACCCATATCAACACCGATATCCAAATTCTGAGGTGGATTGAGGGATCGCCGCTGTAGGACACAGATCGGCGCTGACATGGTACTTCCTTGCTCTGCCGATCCACGGCAATATACGCTCGACCCCCCCATGCTCTATCCGACTCCTTGCCGATCGGCGCAAGCGAATCGGCCAATGAAGAATCAACACGCATCATCGGTTGGTCGCGCATGTGTTTTGCCCCTCTAGCTCACAGATACTCAGACGAACCCCATATCCATCCATCCTTGTTCACTGGTGCGTAGTATATTCCTCTTTGGTCTATTTGACAAAATACAGCACCTTTACCTCTCAAACTCCCCTATTACGTCGCCCTAAGCGGCTTGGACTGGCTTACTCTCAAATATCCCCATACATATCATGGATGATCAACCGCATGTCCCGCGTATATCTCTAGCAAACCACAAGGTAGCCTGGGCATCCCAAGCAATGATTATCTCCATTACTTACCTAGTAGCCGATTTTGTACTTAAGGAGTGCCCCCTGTTGTTGCAATGCAGTTAATTCTCACTCAGAAGCCGTGTCTTTTGTGTTCCATTCCTTTCTGATCTCATTCCCATGTCTGTCCACACATTCTCCTTGAAACCTCTGTTCTTCATCAACTACCTCGGTCAGCCGCACTCACTTGCACACCGCATAGCAGTCGGTAGAAATTATAGTTGATCAGCTTCGCAGGTGACTGTTCACGCTGAACATATATTGGATCAGCCACTCTTTGACTTGTTGTCGTGCCCCTCATATTTTATACTGAGGCAGCAATTTGGTTTGGTTTGCTCTGCTTCCCCTGGGTCAAACTGAACATTATAGGCTCACTACTCGAACCGGCCGTTATCACGCTGAGGTCATAGTGGAATTTGCTCCTTACACCGCGGTGGAACTACGTCCATGAATTCCAAGATGTCGACGATGTCACAAACAGAACTGTGACAAGATGTCCAAGGCTGACTTAGATGGCGAGTGATGCTGGAGTCCTTGGTGAAAACCTTCCCTGCACTTTGGACAGGTAGGTGTTGGCATTGATGATGCACGCACTTAAGTTCCCACACTTCTTTCATTCAGTCTAGGCGCATGTACATCCATATGTTCTCTCATTCTGAGATATTTACTTGTTCCTCTCCTAAAACTAACTATTGTCCTCCCTCAACTCCTCAAGCCTCATCATCCCTTGAAAGTTGGCCTGATAAAGGACATCTGTGCCCTACACATTCTCCACAATTGCACCCTGTGAAGGAGGAGGAAGATGATGATGATGAGAGCTTACCTATACCAATGCATTTTGTGAGTTGCACCTGCTTATGTGTTGCTTTGTTACTCATATCCCACCATCTGCAGGAATGAGGCTCAGCCGAGTCCAGCTACTTGTTTGATCAGCCAGCAGAAGAAGAAGACTCCAACCTTGTGCTCGAGGCAGCCCAGGCCAAACGCAAAGTGTGTCAAGCTCAAAAACACCTGGCCGACTGCCTTTTGGAGCACCATCAAATACTTATCCATATCTCCCGCTGCTGGGCAGAAGCTGCGAATCAGCATCTATTATTGGCTGACCTCAACATTGGACACATGCACTCAGAGCACCGGAGGAAAAACAGTATCACAATGTTTACTATTTGAGTGTGACACTGAGTAGTAAGTACATTTTTATTTCATAGTACCACTGTTATTAATAAAAATGAAAATAAGACCTTGTAGAATAGTAAATAGTCCGTTCTCCTCGCTGTGCATATATGTATATAAACTCACTAGTGTGATATATGTCATTTACAAGTGCTACAGAGTGTAACGGCTTGTGTCGCTTGTACAGTGTGTGAGCTTGTGGGCTTGTACTTGCTTGTGCTGCTGTCCTGCTTGTACCCAGACTTGTGGTCATTTGTTTGTGATGTCTGTGGGACCTGTGATCCTTGTGTGGACTTGTGCGGACTTGTCAAGTGTGTGGGAATTGTTGTGAAATCAATAGTTTGCTGATGAGTGAAATGCAGGTTGGTGGGAGGAATGTGCAACATCGAGGATAGATGATGGAACTATGGTGCACGAAGGAGTGGTTGCTTATGCTTTGCGGCAAGTGGCAATCTGGCAGTCCATGCAGAACAACTGTCTTTTCTTGTGGGAGGTGGTGCCCAGCCTTCTTTCTGTTCAGACGACTGCAGAACAAGCACATTTACCCATCACAACTACCACATAACATGCAGAAGGCTATATGTTTTTGTTTCGCATTTTTATCATTTTCCTGCATTTATTTTCATGCATTCCATTCCTGGCGTCCTGGGTTGCTAGACTACTATGGTTACTAGACTACTATATGAAATAGATGGTCTGTCATTGTCATTACCACTGCCCACACCTGCTATGATATTTTTGCTATCTCTCCCAGAGGTTTATCCTTCTTTGGGATATGTCACACATAGAAGGAGATGAAGGATTCACAAGGCACATATTGAATTTGATGGTCTGGGGCAGGACAACAAATTAGCAGTTGTGTGGAGAAGAGATCTATAATGAGATCATGAAGATATACCCAAAATGGGCTGTATTGATACGAGGAAGCCCCAGGCAGGTGTTAAGACCAGTGCTCAGGGGGTAAAGCGGAGTCTGAGGGGCTTGGCTTCAGCTCATATGCTGCACCCCTTACCCAAGTATGTGCCCCTAATTTCAGGAATGTAGTCCTGACACAAATTCTATGGGTTCCGACAGGACATCGGAATGGGGGTCCTCTGAAGGAGGACCGACGGACTACTAGGTGAGCACGGGAAAGTCAGGTGGGGGTTGTTCCACCCAACAGGAGGGAGGTGTGAGACTACTGCTGGTCGGAACCAACAGTAGAAGTGGAGTGGAAGGAACTGCTTGGACGAAGTCTGAAGCAGAGCGGAACAGAGGGGACAGATGTGAGAGTGCGGGGTCTAGTTCTGACGCACGGGAAGTCGGGTGAGCAGAGGGACAGAGGAACAGAGGAACGGGGGAATGTCGGAGCAGGGGAACAAGGGAGCGGAGGATTGGAGGATGGCCGACCTAGGGAGTCAATCCCCTAGGCCGGCTTAACAGGAGTTGACTAGGATCTGGCCCAAGTCAAGGAACAGAAGAGCAGGGCTTAGAAAAGGTAATATTCAGACTGAGTCTCTACAGACAAATGTAGATATGTTTATATACTCTAAGTGATGAGCATAGCAGAGCAGAAGGCTATGTGCTGAGTGTACAGGAATACAATAGGATGACTGAGACATATGAGAATAAGGCTCGGGGAACAGTATGTACACGACGGATCAGAATCGCTAGGGTATAGGGATTACCGGTGATCCGAAAAGCGGAACTATGATACTAAATGGAGATAGGACCAGTTGAGTGGTTCCTAGTCTAGGAGTGGACTGGTGAGGCGGTCGGATGGACTAATAGTCGGGTGGGGGAATATGAGCGGAACTGAAGGACCCCCTCGCAGGTCGGAAAGCTGAGGGAGAGGAGTAGGGAGTCACCCCACTGAACTTTAGTATTAAGTGGACCGAGTGTTGATTGAATTCTTGCTTGCCTGTCACCATCTGAAGGCCGCAAACCCACATGCCATGTGATATCGGGGTGGCAGAGAGGTGTGAACATGCCATATGCAGGGTCACCTACATTGTGAAATCTGCTGAATGGCTGCATGAAAGATCACACGAAACCAGATATCCTATCAGCACATGAGTGCCCCACATGCTCATAAACATGTTCTCACCGCCCCAACTTGCCACCATTCCCCAGATTTATGAGCACAGTATCAAACCTTGCTGGCACTCTCCTATTATGGCCATTGTGTCGTGCCGGTCGTGCATGTATTGCATCCACAGTGAGATGGTTTACCATGCCATCATCATCAACAGTACCATAGCAGACCTTGTGGAATACTGCAATGGACTGGAATGGGAGAATGACATCGCAGGCAGCGTCTTCTGACTGCCTCACAGTCAAATTAGGCTGCATCACTTTCATGGTGAAATGTGCCACAGCTGCTTGAAAATGGACTGTGCCATAATGATCAGCCAGCAATGCGAATGTCACCCATTTAACAGATGGGTGCTTCACTAGCTTGGGTTGTCGGAGATATATGAGGTCGGAGTGGGCTAGGGGGCGAGGGATATGATCTGATGATGCAGCAGGTCCCACATGCAGTTGCCATTCAATAAACTTGGCATGCCACAACATTTTCTCGTCGCTCAAGCCACAGCATCATTTGCATGTATTCATCCTTGTGATTTGTTGCACGGTATGCATCCTTTGCTAGGTCAATGTGAAGCCGTTCAGTATATTCCGTGTTGTAATTATCCATGGTTCTGAACATGTGAATCATTGTGATGTAGTGTCGGAATGAATGAAGCTTGGGGAGGTTGAATGATGAACGGATGCCCAGGTCCACGAAGATAGCTTTGTTATCGTGAAATCGATTGAGTGCCTCACTGAGTAGCGTCAATGTTAAATCAGAGTGACATGGGTACTGTGCGAGATACAAAAAGTCAAGGATGCCCCATACTGCATGAATAAGTTTAACCAGTGATGCACCATCAGGCAGATGTATGTTGATGATGATACTGAGCAGAAATCAACATATTTGCTGGTGTTCCATTCCACTGACTCATGACAGAACCAAAATGCCTTTCATGAATAGCCGGATGTTGTGGTTCGGAGGCAAACACTTGCACCACGCATCAATTTCCGCCTCCCCACAAGCAGATTTAATCCAAGAGATCATGTGCTTCAACAGCCCTTGATATAACTGATGGAGAACATCTGGTGTAATCGCGTTATATATATTACAGTGCGGCAGTTCCTCCCAGAACGGATGGTATAGAGGTTTGATGCCTGTCAGTGATATGTTACTGGTCAGTAACATGACCAATGACGAGTCCGACATATGTTACCAGTCAGTAACACGACAAGTGCAATAGAACTGGAAGACACTTACCGGCATCATGACAAGCCTTCACAAACTGAGTCAGATCTTCATCAGATAATGCCAGTGCATCCAAGATTTCATCCAAATTCTGCAGCTCAAATGGAAGGTCTTTGCTACCGAGCTCGGTCGAAGGTATGTCACATTTCAGACACTCTCCAGTCTTCATTCCAGTCACTAAGAGTTGCTCTGGGTAATCTCCAATATAACATGCAACAAGAGGATGACCACGATGAATGGTCCCATCACCACTGGCTATTGGCATCCCATACTTCCCTGGGTCAACAAGTGGCGAGACAATATGACGCATGCATGCATGGAACAGATTTGCAAGACACCGTCGCCTTGCAGCTTTGTTGGTGATGTGTTTGAGCTTGGTTGTTGGAATATAACCGACAAGTATCTGCACATTGTGAGACGGTCGTCACCAAATTTCCTTTGGTAGGTTTCCAATAGCCATGTAAATCGGGTACGCGGCCTTGTTTTGAAACATTGTGACCTGGGTTTTGTCAGATGAGAGCAGAATGGGAATGATTGTTGTGCATGGTTTTTCTTTCTCCAGTTGTTTCTTTAAAATGCATTTCGGCCCATTAGCCTGCTGATCTTCACATTATATGACAACCGCTCACCTGAGTGTGCCACCACCACTGCCCTGTATGCATCTCATGGTAGAGGTGCTGAGTCTTGTCCTCATCTGAATAGTGTCGTTCGGGCACAAACACGAGGTAAGGAGTGAGTTCAGGGTCTCCAAACAATGCCTTCACACACTCAATGATGTCCCAAAAATAGACATCAAATGCCTCTCCTGCCATCAAGATTTCCTGTCGCTGAAAATGAGGACAATGAGCTGGAATTTTGGTGTCAATGATCTTGTTGAGTTCGCGAGAATTGCGGTAAGAAAGGTCAAGCTTTTTGCAGACCTAGTAACTCATCAGTGCTGCCGACACTTAGCCATTAATTCAGGGGATACACTCACACCCTCGATGTCAAGCAGATCTGAAAACGCGGTGGAGCCTTGGCCACGCACCTTCGCCCATTGAGCAACCTCGTAATCGATGCATGAGGTGAAGGGTGCCCAATTGTTCCCATGAAGTTTATCATGGTAAGACTGATACCCATGTTCGGTTTGCATGAACTCATCGTCAATAATTGCTCTGGCACTCTGGATTGGAAACTTGGTAATGTATGGACCCTGGTGCAAGGGGAGCTCTGCCTCATAACGACGCATACGCGTGTGTTGATCCAGGTCAGCCACCATGTCTTCTTCGTCCATGGGAATATTGTCGTCATTGATGCCAGCCGGTTCTTCGGCACCTTGAATAGGAGGTTCCCAATCAGCTTCCTTTTCAGCCACCCAACCATCATTATCAACTTCCTCCAAGTCATCCTTGTCCTCATCCACATTCCATTCCAATCGATCTTCTGGGTCCTTGTCTTCTGGCGATTGAAGTCTGGAGTTGCCAGGGAGGTGATCACTGTTGAAGTCCTCGAATATCTTATTGCTGAAATTCATGTCAGATTGATGCACATCCATGTACTGATGGCAACATTACCTCTTGTGAGTGACTAGGCATGTAGTTGTACATATCATCATAGATACTGACACAGGCTGGATTTCTAATTTGTGCGAGATGACGAGAGTAACCACTCTCCGTTAAAGTGCAACCGCAGCCATCAGAGGTTGGCATGATTCAATGGTGAGCGCAGAATAATGTTTGATGCGGTATGGGGCTGGTTTGGGGCCAACAGGTATTGGGAGATAGCAGAGCATGCTGAATTTGTAAGTAATTTTTTCCACCCACACACTGACACTGATTTCTGAGTCCTTGTTGTGCATTATGTCCCAAGCGCCACTCACACCGACTGAGAAGGCTGCAGTAATGCAAGCAGCTAAGTTGAAAAGCAAGAATCAACTCACGACTTCAGCGCGTATGTTTTTTTTCGCCTCATTTGCGTTCATTGACTGATCTGTGCAGGCCCAGTCTGACAAGCCAAGAGTGATGCGCTGAAAAATCAAGGTACGTGTGGCTTTGTCCAATGGAATTATTCAACACTACTGACAGAGTTGAATCACAGTTTGGATGTCAGAGAAGAATCCATGCAAGCGTGCAGCATCTAACATTGCTGAGCCCGACGTACCCAAGCAGGCACAAATTCGTGAGTGTCTACTTTTGATTCCATGAGATTGATATATCTATGAACACAGGAAACAAATCGCCTCCTCCAGTCAATTGGAGACTGGAACAGGAGAGCGGTGCTCCATGGAGCGCAGCACAGCTTTTTGACTCTGACTCCAAGTCAGATAACTTCAAGCCTGATGGGAGCAATGTAGTGGAAATGAGTCAGACAACAAACTTGAGGAATCGGATGAAGATATTCAGGGACTTGATTCGAAGAAGCTCAAGGCTACCCTTGACTATGAGGTATGTCATCGATACAGTCACCTATGATTGAAAATTCCTTGACTGAGTTCATAGCGGCCTCTATTTGCGCCACACGACAAAACCAACGGTGGCACTATTAGTGTTAACTCCCATTCTTGGGCGAATAGTTCTACCTCATCGATGAGGTCAATTGCAAATACACCATCAGATTCTGATAACAATGGCCTCGGCGAGGATAAGGGTCTGACCAGCAAGAACTTATCTGGGCCTCGCTACCGTCCTTTGAAGCAGAAAGTCACAGTAAGACGAATGAACAAGGGGCATTGAAAGGAGGTAAATGCCTTCAGAAAAGAGAACAAGAGGTGCAATAGTGTCCTGGCTGTTGACTGACTCGGAGATTTGCTCACAGCACTTATTTATTTAGAAACCAACTTGGTGCACACCTGAGGTTGACCATACCATCAGTGATGGACCACCTGCGGATGAACAACTTGAAGTGACCGTGAAGTCTGTTCGTTCATGTGAGGATGACTGGCCTGCTCATTGTCATATTGTGTACAGTGATTCAGGCAAGGTCAATCTAACAGATCAGCAAGCTCACATTCAAGACATGATCCGCGCATCAATTACTTGCCTTCACAAACATCTCTTGTTCAAAAATGCATACCCGGAACTACAGCAACGGAGAAAGCTGATGGCTGACATCCTTATGTCGTGTACCAAGGATGGTGAGGAGTTTGATGCAGTGAGAAAACGCCTTGCAAAGGACCCTAAGTATGTGCATGCATTATCATCAGTGGTGCATTTTTGTCGTATTCGGTTTCAGTTTATTAACTACCATCTTAACTTGCAGCCCAAAGGTCGGATTGGGAGCATCCACAGGAACGTTCGAAAGGCAGCACAAGCGCATGTGGCCAGCCACTATCAGCTAATGAAAGGTGCCGATGAGAGGGTTGCAGAGCTTCTTAAAAACAATGCTTACATCTATCCTGTCAATACAAAGGTTTGTACTATGCTGATATCAGCTGTCACTGTCGGTGTTGATGCTGCATTACAGGGGGATCTTATTTGAACCAAACCTTTTCAAGCGCCCGCGATTTTGGACACTATCGAAGACACTTTCTTCAGAGATGAGCTCACAGTGGGACTAAAGTGGCACAATGATTTAACATTGACACTGGAGGATCATCATGACGAGGTGGAGTTACCCGTTGCAATGGTGGCTCTTGCTAGCGCCGCGGTGTGTTTCAATGTTTGTGGCTTTGTGATAGATATTGATGGATCTATCATGCTATTAAAGGTGTGTTCGGTGAATCTTATGCAGTATTCCTCCGAGAAATACGACCGCAACTTCAACTCGGAGATGTATGGTGGAATTTACCAAACACTGGTCCAGGCAATAGTGTCATATTTAAGCATCAAGGTATGTGATAAGACACACGCCTTGATGCACAATGTGTGTAGTTCCTTGACATCTGTAGCTTGATGCTTCATGAAGCATCAAGCCTTGTGTCTCTGCGCTGAAGCTTCATGCTTTCCCACAACACTTTGTTTAACCTTTTTTGGGCAGGTATGCCCCTTCCCTGCTTCTTTGCATCTCTGCACTGAAGCTTCACGCTTTCCCACAACATTTCAGATCTCTGATTTCACCATTTTTGGCAGGTACACTCCTTTACACCCCCTCCCGGCTTCTCACTTCCATTTCCCCCCTTCTCGACCCATCTAGCCCATCAATTTGATGGTGAGGATCGAGATTGCTTGCAAGTGTACTTATCATGTGATTTTTCTCACTAAGTCTGTGATGCCAAATGAGGCTTCGAGCAAGATTCACCAGTGCACCTCAAAATTTCACTAAGTTCCATCTATTAGTATGTACAAGTGTGTATGCAGTTACAAGTGCTGTGCGCATGAAATTTTCACTTTTGAACATTAAAAATTTTATTGTTTGACCGGTCAATACATAGTATAGTCGTGAACGCGGATCCTTTGGAATTGAAATCTATTGTTTGATCTATCTGTATGTAGTTGTTGAAGCCCAAGTCAAAGGCCGAGCAGGAGATGTCAAAGTGAGACATTGCAAGCGCTAATCGATTGAGGAACTTACAACCAAGTGACGTCGGTCACAGAATCTCATAAGTCGTCATTTATTTCCTATGCTACAGCTTATTACTTATCACTATGCTAACTACCTTAAAACTACAAGTTGTCAGACCGAACATCTCAGTCCGTTTCCCGAGACTGAGATGTGAGTTGAAGTTCCCGCTTTACGTTACAACTAGAACTAACAGATACTTAGATATATTCTCTTATCAGGTACTACTATACTTATTACCGAGTCCGTTTCCCAAGACTGAGATATATATTCTCTTATCAGCTCACCTTTCTCGCTCCCTCTAAGCCTCTCATCACTAGAGTAGTTGGGAACGCGGACCCTTGACGTTTGCTCTATCTGTCCCGAAGTGTCCATGCGCACAGCAATTCAAAGCATGGTTAAGTGCTATTAAGTAAGTCACATGCACAATGTGATATACTTTCCAGCAATTTATCGCTACTTTCCAATGGCAATTATTGCTTACTCTCAACAGCTCAAGCCGCAGCTTACTACTGCACAACAACAATGTGGAGGAGAGAGAATATGGGCAGATGGCTTGCTAACGACGTCACGAAAAGGTGTGTGTTTTTGTTCTGCATTTATTTACACTACTGACAAGTTCTTTTATGTCCTTCCATACCTTCCCTAACCTCTCCTTCGTGCACTCATTCCCGCACATCGGCGCATGTCATCTGCATTTGCTGGCATTTGTATTTGTCTGTGATCGTCCCTGCTCATCTGTGCTTGTCTGCACTTGCCTCTGCTGTCCTGTGCACGTTGGCGGCTGGCGACCGTGCTTTTGCTCATCCTGCACTCATCTGTATTCGTTCGCACACTCTGGTTGCGTCTTTTTTCTATCTATTGGTGCTTGTGCACATTTACTTTTTGGCGCTTCCTTCATTTTTGCGTGTATGCACACATTTTCGCTTGTCTGTATCTGGCATCTTGTGCAATAGGTATGATTTTTCGATTTCTCAACATTTATAACTTTAACTGATCATGTGTCCATGCTCCTTGCCTATCTGCTGATATTTGTGCATGCTGGGCCCGAGCCCCAGCTTTCGGCTGGCTTGGGCTCACAGCTCAGGCTTGAAATATGGCGAGCCCAAGCCCCCTCTAGGCTGAGCCTAAGCTGGAGCTTTGAGCCCAAGCTGGGCCGGAACATCACTAGGTTCAAGTCTCAGGCGTGCGCTAACCGATGGGCTGAAGAGGTTGAGCTCCTGCAAGAGGAGATGCGCCATGTAGCCAACTTTCTTTCCCAGCATCCAGGGCGGTGGGAGGAGCAGGCATCCAGGAGATGTGGAGTGTCGTTCTGGCTCTTCTCCAGTCCCCGTCACCTGCTGTGTAATCCCCTGTGTCATAGTAGAGCTTTTGTATGTTTTCTATCTGTAGTACATGTTAACTAAATATGGCAATGTTCATATTGTTGGTTCCTAGTACCGTGAACGGTGGAGAGGCACCAAGCACCAACACCGAAGAAGCACCAACAACGGAATCGGGCACTGAGATCAGGAACTGAGATCTCTGATATCAGTGGTGGCCTTATGTCAGCCTTGTCTCTAGCTTGATGCTTGAAAGCTGAGGGTTTAGTAGGGCGGGCAGCACTCTCTGGTTTGATGCTTCATTGTCAAAGGTTTAGAGTCTTTTATGCTTCAAGGTCTGTGTCTAATCTGATACTTTTAAGCTTCAATACTACAGGTACAGGTGACTGGTCGGCATGTTGAACGGCATTTTTCAGGCCAGCGAGCGAAAATTTCACGTCCTCATGCATGGCTTATACAAATCTGTCTAGTGAGTTCTAGCCCTGGCGTCACCAGCAGTTGTCTGATTGTACCATGTTATAGTGGGTCAAAGCGCAAGACTGACGAGCCTGGCGCCGCTGAGAGTCTCATGTTTCTTGATATCGAGGGTATGGCGGATGAATGATAATTATTGTGCATTCTATTGCATCTTGATTCGATATCTAATAGAATTTGCTTGATATAATTGGATTGGATTGGGAAAGCGACCTGAAAATTCTGTTCTGACTTTTGCAAATTGAGATCCTATTTGCGAAAATTTGAAAGGGACTAAAATAATTGATCCAATAGTCAAATTCATCGAGTTGTCGCAAATTTGTGCAAGTTAGATCGCATTTTATCCAATTTGAGAACAAGGTTTTCCCTGATGCAGGCGTTTCACCATTGCATCTACGATGATGAAGTTCATCGATGACCGAAACCATGATCCCCATGATCGACTCCAGCTCATGCTCAAACTAATGAGCGAACTTCTACCAGGAACGGGGGTGTGCAAGCTATACGGCTGTATCATCTCCATGTGCATCAACCCCACTCTGGCATATCTGCACTTGCAGACCCTCTGCCAATGTCACAAATATCGAAACCTCTTGGCCCTAGTCAGGGAAGGGATGTCGAGAGAGTGCTGGTGCAGCTGCGATCTTCAATCTTAATGCTGCCAAGTCATGGGGAACGTCCACCAAGGAGCTGAACCATAACTCTGCATTGGTTGCCTATCAAACTACCTTGAGATTTCTGGATCAGCATGTTACTCTTTGGTCGTCATCATTACGCCACTTCGATGTTGTCAGGGAGGCCACTTCTCCCATTGCCATGGATGCTTTCTTGTGCAGTGTTCGTTGTGGTGCATTGATGACTGCTGTATAACCAGTGGAGCAAGGTTGTGCAGTATTCTGGACCCAGTTGGTGCGCTTTCGCACACCGCTCGATGAACTTTCTGTGTCCGGTGACACCGGCACAACCTCGGAGGAAGAGTTCAAGTGGCTGAGCTTCTGCATTTTTAACGCATTCAATCAGTCTACTAAAGACCAGCCCCTGGAAATCCAGTAACTGAGCATGCAATGGGATGAAATTGTCGCACACAAGACTCCTTTTTAACGCAAACACCACTCATGTCACGTCAAAACTCGCAGCAGAGCTTGCTGCAGGGGCTTGCTGGAAAATTAAAGGTACCGTCGTTACTCCAAGTCAAATCTCCAGGTTGACTTTCAAAATCGCTAAACATCACTTACGCCGCCGCATTTGCATATTTGAAATCACAGCAGATTTTGCCACAGACCCATGCGCTTTGGAATGTTCGGAATCACATACCATTTCCTATCATCCCAAGCCCATCTTCGCGTCATAACCCCAACCTACGAATCGTGGTCAAAGGAAGACCTCATCGCGCTTTCCAAACAGCTAGAAACAACTACAATGGACATGACTAAGTTGATTCCATCCCAACCTCAAACCAATTCATCTCTCATCCCACCCAAAACACCACAAGATCACAATCAAGTTCTGTTACTCAGGTTATTATTCAAGAGTCTGGGCGAGGCAGCTGGGAAATTTGCACAAAAGTAAGCATATTGATCAAATCCGTGACGAACTGCATACTGTGTGATCAACCACTGTGCCAACGCGACTCACTGTTGCGATATCCTCAGTCTCATGCCGGGCGGCACCACCTATCGTCTGCAGGACCTCCATCAGAAGGCTGTTGGTACAAGGTGGTCATGAGGTTGAGTTCCGGAAGCAAAGCAAATGGGTCATACTCACCAACCATTTACATTTCAAACCTGCACAGCATTTATTTAAATGCCCACGGTTGAAGTGGCAAAGGTCGCCTGAATTTAGGCATTGTGCACCAACAGACATAGATGTTGTCAAAGCAGCGACAACAACTAGGAGGAATGAGAAATGCATGGCTTGTGCTAGGTAATATGAGATGCGTCAAAGGGGATCTCGAATGATAGCTCTGACACCGCCAGTAGGAAGACGGCTTGCTTTTAAGTCCTAGAAATTGTTTTTTTTTGCGAACTACTTGGCAGTTCTATCAGAATTGATGCGCCTGGCAGACTTCAGGCAGAGAGTATAGGCAGAACCACTGTCAGTCTGTAGAGTCAGTGGATGAACAAGCAGGAACATCTGAACTGCCGATCATTTGTAGCCTTGTCTTAGTTCACACTAAGCGGCATCCCGAACCAGGACCACGGACACCAGTGCTGCCACGGTCCGGTCCAGAACCATGGTTCGAACCGGACTTTTGGTCCGGTTCTCTGTGGTTCGGTCCGTGGTTCTCTCACCAGCCAGAACTGGACCAAAAATCGGTTCTCGGTTCTAGGTCATCCCGAATGGTTCCAAACTGTCGACTTCGCCATCATTTGCTTCAACGTTGTCGTCATCTGGTCCATCGATCTTCGGGATTTGCACTACCTTCGACTTTGGCCAGGATTTGTTTTATCAGGCTGCCTTTAGCCTTTTTCAAGATGAGTACTAACTAATTCAACTCTGAAGTGTCTCATCAACTGACATATGTTTAACTACATCTTCCTAGGCAGCTATGATCCTCCACAGGCTTTTTGCTGTCACTGATCTCCTAGGAGACCAGTATTCTGTGGTGCACAGATGTCTTCTCCCTGCCCTGTGTACAAAAAAAGGTCATGACGACGAAACTGTGAGTTGTCTCTCTGAAAATGTCAGACTCCTGTGCTCTCAATGCTGATGGCACCCTCAAGGACACTTCCGATATCACGTTCTACAACGATCCTGACGACAATGTGCCCTTGCCACCAGTCCCATCAAACGATCCTGACAATAATGTGCCCTCAACGGAACCCAAGAAAAACACCTTCTCAGTTCTACTCAAGACTGGACATACACCAGCAACTGTCACTGCAGGCTCTCAGTGCTCTGGCCGCCCTTCAAAGCCCTCAGCTTGCATCCGTGATGCTGACAATGTTGCTTCATCCTCAGGCACAAGGAAGTGTGGACGCGCTATAGGACACAGCTCAGCACTGACATGGTACTTCCTTGCTCTGCCATTCCACGGCAATATGCGCTCGACCCCCCCGCTCTATCCGACTCCTTGCTGATCGTGATCCCGCTCATACGCATTCAAGCCGCTTGCGCAAGCGAATCAGCCGATGATGAATCAACGCGCATCATCGGTTGGTTGCGCGCGTATTTTGCCCCTCTAGCTCACAGATACTCAGACGAACCCCATATCCATCCATCCTTGTTCACTGGTGTGTAGTATATTCCTCTTTGGTCTATTTGACAAAATACAGTACCTTTACCTCTCAAACTCCCCTATTACGTCGCCCTAAGCAGCTCGGACCAGCTTACTCTCAAATATCCCCATACATGTCACGGATGATCGACCGCATGTCCTGTGTATATCTCTAGCGAACCGCGAGGTAGCCCGGGCATCCCAAGTGATGATTATCTCCATTACTTACCTAGTAGTCGATTTTGTACTTAAGGAGCGCCCACCCATTGTTGCAATGCTGTTAATTCTCACTCAGAAGCCGTGTCTTTTGTGTTCCATTCCTTTCTGATCTCATTCCCGTGTCTGTCCCCACGTTCTCCTTGAAACCTCTGTTCTTCATCAACTACCTCGGTCGGCCGCACTCACTTGCACACCGCATAGCAGTCGGTAGAAATTATAGTTGATCAGCTTCGTGGGTGACTGTTCATGCTGAATATATATTGGATTGGCTGCTCTTTGACTTGTTGTCGTGCCCCTCGTATTTTATACTGAGGCAGCAATTCGGTTTGCTTTGTTCTGCTTCCCCTGGGTCGAACTAAACATTATAGGCTCACTACTCAAATCGGCCGTTATCGTGCTGAGGTTGTAGTGGAATTCGCTCCTTACAGCGCATTATCTAGTGCTACAGAGCACCCAGCATCTAAAAAAGTCACTATGTGATTCATATCACCTGTGCACTCTGATGATGAAGATATGGCTCATGAAGATCTCCCTTCGGCTGCTCCTGATCCAGGAGAATCATCCTCTGACGAGCTGATCCCCCAGCTTGATGATGATGATGACGAGGCTGATGAAGGCAAGTCAGTGAGTCAAACTGTATGTTATATCTTAATCATTGTCTTCCTTCACTGACACTTGCATTTAGGTCTCAAAAGTGATCGTACAGCAGACATCTGGACCATATTCACTCGTATCCCCAAGGGATGGGTCTGTATGCTGTGCAAGTAAGTTTTTCATTTGGTTTTAATTTTAATTCAATTTTGATTTTGGATAAGGGACGCTGGTGAACCAGCACACAAGCATACATTTCGCAGAGGCACCTCAATGCTATGAACGCACATTGTTTGCCACAGATGGACCCATTTTCAAGTGTACAAGTGCTGACGCAATCCAGAGTGGCCTCAAGAATGTGGAGAAATACCACAAGAAGACCAGCAACTCAGACATGTATTTCATCTGTCTGGGTAAGTAGCGTTTTTTTCTTGAGTGCCATTTCTAATGTACCTACAGTTCTGGACCCTAACTTCAAGTTGGCATATGTTGAGACCTGTTGGACTGATGAAAAGGTTGCGAGCGGGAGAGCTCATTTTGAAGCTGTGGTAAGTCTTATTTTTTCAATGTATTCTACCAGCAGCTGATAATTATGTACATTGTAGTTCGATAAGTATCACAAGGCTCCCCCGCTGCCATCTACCACAAAACAAGCTGGCGTGCCACCAAAAGCACCAGTACTGCAAGCCGTTCGGAATGGCCAGTCCTGGATGCGTGATGCTGTCATGGCACATCAAGCCACAGAACTTCACATGCATGATCCCCATCACAAACTCACCTCGTATCTTAGTTTGCCATTAGAAGAGACAGATGATGTCGTGGTGTGGTGGGGGGTAAGTTGTTTTTTATTGACACATTCTCAACTGACATCATTCATTAGCTACACTCGCTACAGTATCCGACACTCGCTTGTATTGCCCACGATTATCTACCGATTCAAGGTAGTGCAGTTCCCTCTGAATGTGCTTTCTCTAGCAGGGGAATCACATCAACCTTGTGCCGCAATGCACTCACATCATCCACCTGCTCTGCTCTAAAGTTAATGAAGGCTGCTTACTGTAATGGACATCTTTCGGCAGCTACAGAGGCAGAGGAGTATGTGCAAATTTTATTAGACTAGTTACTCAATGTGTAGCTACTATTTCGTCAATTTTTTTTTGCTGTCCCTATAGAAAAATTTACAGTTCAGTTCAAGTTTGGACTGCAAAAAAAACCGAACCGGACCTTTGAGAACAGTTCTCGATGGTCCGGTTCTTGGTTCTTGTTGAAGACCCTCTGAACTGGACCAAACTGGACCATGGCAGCACTAGCGGACACCATACCGGGTCATTGCATTCAACAGCATCGACGCCGCCCAATGGCATCACCCAAGGACTCAACTTCAAATCAAAAACCCTTAAGAAATCTCAAACATATACAAGACACTAAATTTCATGGAATATGGCACCAGGAAAAGCACCTGACAAAAAGAGCCCAAAAGGCCATTCAGGCCATTCAGGCCTACCAGCCACCCACAGCTCCAACACTGCAAGAGGCCCCCTGTCTCAAGAAGATATCAAAGTCTTTCCAGGTGCCATGAAGGACACTAATTCAGCCGAGAAGTATTTAGCCGGTGCATTATTACATCAAGCTGATGAACCACTTAGTGATGTGCTGGGCCTGGCTTCAGAGGGCTCGGGCCTGGTAAAAACACAGGCCAGGCCCATCAAGAGGGCTTTGGCCTGGGCCAGGGCCTGCCGGCTATCATCAGTGAACCAGTGGACAAATTAGAAAGACATATATAACAATATATAGTACATAACGACCAGCATCAGCATAATTCTGCTATGGATCATCACATGGTCTTGTTTGACCTTATAAAGGAAAGGAGAGTTCCTGATTTTCTTACACAAGTTTGGGATCAGGAAGAGACACTCACACGACTCAAACTCAAACTTGAAGGAAAGGCGGAGCAGAAGTTAATGACGAGCCTAGAGAGGCGACAACTAGCAAGTTGGAAGGACATATTGATCACTTCGAAGCTAAGAGTAAACATCAGTAAGAGAAAGACAAGGTGTCCGTCAAGTGAGTGAGAGTGAATTTAAGTCCTGCAAAGCTAATAGTCAAGCTAGAAGAATCATAGCTGTCAGGTCAGAAGTAACCTTGGATATTTCAAAGCTAAGAGTGATCAGTCAGCATCTTCCAAAGAATGGCCGCTTGTCCAACAAATGAGCGAAAGCAATTATAACTACTGCTTTAAGTATTTATGCCATCTACTTGATGTCCGTCAGTCTTAGGACAATTTTCCGACTAACAATGAAGGACAGCATCTTCCAGAGAACAGCAATGTGTTCAATTGGTGAGCGAGAGTAAATATACCTGCTGCTTTGAATTTTGACGCTATCTACTTTATAATATCTAATGATTGTCCTGCTATATTTCAGTTGGGAATCTGTGCGAAAAAGCCATACCTTGCCAGCAATCGGGATGTGTTTGCCAAGTGAACTTACAAGAAATTTAAGTGTTCAAGCTTGATTCCTATCAATTATGGGACAGTTTTCCATGTCAGAGCAAAAGCCAGTAGCTTCCAGGCAATAGTTGTATGTCCTCCGAGTGACTGATGGCACATGTATGTATTGATCTTGATTTTTTTGCCATCTCTTTCAGATGTCTAACAACCGCCCGCTGTGCCTCACTTACCATTCAACAAGCATACAGCACATTGCCCTGAGGATCAGCGCAATTGCATGTCTTCGTGCACTGCAAGAGAACTTCTTGATGGGGGCATTTAGGACCTTGATGGTTTAGGTTCTTGATCCAGTGACAAGTGACTTCAAAGCTAATGTGTCTGTCAATAGTCTGAGATTGCCACGACCACAACACATTTCCTCACAAGTAACTGACGATGCATGTGTGTGTTGTTTCTGACTTTTCCGCCATCTCTTTCAGATGTCTAACAACTGCCTGCTGTGCCTCACTTACCATTCAACAAGCATACGGCGCATTGCCCCGTGGATCAGCGCAATCGCATGCCTTCACGCACCGCAAGAGAACTTCTTGATGGAGGCATTTGGGGCCTTGGTGGTTTAGGTTCTTAATCCAGTGACAAGGGACTTCAAAGTTAATGTGTCTGTTGATTGTGTGAGATGACCATGATTGCAATGCATTTCCTACAGGCAGACTGTTGAAACCAAGTAGGCGGATCCATGATTTGGGGCTGAAGTTGTGCTGTCAGCGATTGGACTAAGAATCACAGACGCCCTCATGAACGCATTGTATTTCCTGCATTCAGCTTTTTGAAACCAAGCAGATGGATGCATGATTTGAGCCTTAGCTCGTGTGATCAGCAAAAAGACTAGAAGCTGCAAACCTCGCCATAGTCGTGTTGCATTTCCTACATTCAACATTTTGAAACCAAGCAAGTGGATGCACAACTCAAGGTTTAACTTGTGCTATCAGCGAAAAGACTAGAAACTGCAGACATTGCCACAGTTGCTTTGTATTTCCTATGAAGTTCAGCCTTTTGAAACCAAGCGGGTGGATCCAGGATGACTGTTGCCCTTGTTAAGCCATTCGTGAGGTCTGAAGTTGCCACTCATAAGAGGGTGTATGGCACCAAACAAGGTTTCATGGAATCATTATGACATTGAAAGTAAACTACTTGGTAAAATTACTTGGTAAGAGGGCTGGTGATTGAAAACAGTGCAATAGACTATGATAGGTACTTAAGGTGAATCAAAAGCAGCGTCGTCACTGATGTGTTCTCTGCCTTGCGAGAGCATTTACTGACATGTTAGCCTTTGCTGTGTCGCTAAGCTCATTACGGTGATCATCAGTAAACCACAATGGTCTGTACAGAGCTGTACAGTTCACCAGAGCCACAGCTTGGTCCCACTGTCACAGATAGGCCCATCTCTGTACAGCTATGTACAGAGCTTCCCAGAGCTCCACAGTAGCCCTCTAGTTACACAGAACCTTCCCAAACATATTAGAAATCGCTTTTTTCATTTTTATATTAACTCAAGTCAAACATGTGAAATTAAATTTAAACAAATGGATTGCAAAAGAAGCAACTACTCTATTGGACTCATCAATACAAACAGTGAGTCAGGATGTGAGATAATCAAAGTGCAAGAGTGCGAGAGAATGGGTCGTCATCATAGTTATAGTCGTTCGTCAGTTGTCATGTTGTTGTTGTGTCGTGTTGTTGAGTCGCTGTCGTTGTTGTGATAGTGCTGTCATAAAGACAAGTTGTTAGTAATGTATATATAAATGAAAATGAAAAAATGCACCTATTGTGCGCAGCCGCGAACTGAACAAGCGCAAACACAAAACAAGCATGAAAATACTAGTAAGTAATGTACATACATACATACATACATAAAAAAACACACCTTTGAGTGGCGAGAAAGATGGGCAAGAGATGGGGCATGACGGGGCATGAGAGATGGGTGAGAGATGGGGCAAGAAGACAGGTGAGAGATGGGGCATGAGAGATGGGCGAGACAGGGCATGAGAGACGGGCTGAGAGATGGGGTGAGAGATCACATAGGGTGAGAGAGATGGCATGTCGCATGGGGCGAGAGATGGGGCACGAGAGACAGGCAAGAAACAGGGCACAGGAACACAAGAGACAGGGTATACGAGCACGAGAGACAGCACGAGAGGAGAGGGCTGCGAGGCTCATCAGTGCTGGGGAATGGATCAACTAAGGTCGAAGTAGTTCATGCCGAGTCTGCAGACTGTGACGAGAGAGTGGGAGAGGGTGGTTAAGGTAAATATAAGCAAGCAGTAATAAGAAAATAAAGAAAATAAAAGACTTACTTGAAGGATGGCAGTGGTGCAGGTAGAAGTTAAGAGTCGAAGTGTAGAACAAAGACTTCTGAAATTTTTGACAAGTTGAACAATGACTCACATCAGCATTGCCAAGTTCTGTGAGGTTCTGTGGTGTTGTGAGAGCTGTGAAAATTAGCAAACACTGTGCAAGGTTTAGTAGTTTACTGATGATGCCTTCCAAAAACTTTCCTAAAAAAGAAAACAAGAGTTCAGCTGAGGCTGGTCAGCAATGTAAATGACGCTCCTAGTCCACCACTCAAGGAGCCTGTCAACCCTGCAGCAGGCTTCACAGGCTGGGAGGCCATTCAAAGAAGTCCACAATGGTTTGCCAGAATTGAACATAATTGAAGTCCCCATCAACGGACCTCCAAGACATAACAGAAGAAATTGCGAATCACACCTGCCGTGAAGTGGTCATCATTTATCACCACTCCAACTAAAGGTATGACTTACTTGACATGCGACGTATGTGATTTGACGAGGTGTGACTTTTCTCATCTTGATGATTTGCGCTACGTGTTTCTTGACTTTGATTCCGGAGGAAGACTTCTTAGCACGTCTATTGTTTCAGATGATGTCTGCACCATCACCATCGCCTTCAACGTCCTTTGCTGATGAGGGCGACATGAATACAGCTTTGTAAGCCTAACAAGAACAAGTGAGCTTGCTGTCAGGCCATGAGTCCAGTGCAACAAACCTGAAGAAGGATTTTGCCCTTAAATAAGCCCTCCTCTAGATCATCCAGATTGGCGGCATACTTGTCATACAAGTAGGCTGGAAAAGAGAGGTCTGTAACAACATAGCCCTCTGAACGATCTCGAATGCCTGCCCTTACACAGGTGAACAATGAGCGTTTCTCTGCTGAATCAGGCTGCGCGACTTATGCCAGGTTGTTCCAATCAATCTCAGCTGGGCAGAGCAACCTGCTGCATGCATTGTTGGTGAATCCATGAGAATGTTTATCCTCAGGGTCGACCGGGGGATCAGGCTTGAATTCACGATTGATCCATTCAGAAATGAGAGTCTTGAGCTTGGAGGTATCGTCTCCTCGAGCACCGTCAGCGCCCTGCTGAAGCTAATAAAGACTCAGACAGAAACAAGTGTCATTGATGTTGGTAAAGTGTACCATTTTTATCATGTGCGAATACTCGTCATAATCCAACTCGCAGCCCTTCTTATGAAACCAAGGTAAGGTTTGCGTAAGGGCGACGTACCCTATTTGCATTCGATCTTGTCTACATAAGCTGGTTGGTATCATGTGTGATCCAAAAGCGAAAAACTTACTCCAGAGTAGCATCCTCATCCTATTGCTCTTCAGTCACACCTTCTGTCATTTTCGGCAATGAGGTCCTCAACATTGTCAAACAGAGCGACAATGCAGTCTGAGTGCTCATTCTTGAGACATATAGTAGTTTGTTTTCCTGATAGGTGGTGAGAAAAGCTCAATGCAAGCAAAGGGGTTTATACTTTTCTTTTACTGCCCGCCCTGCCACAAGAGTCTTGAGCTGCTCCTCAAGTTGAGCAATTCTCCTTTTCTGCTGAGCCTGCACAGAAGTTGTGGCTTTGGACTGCCATTGAAGACTGCCCTCATCCTGTCAGTCCTTGGGGTGCGATGGGCTGCCTGCATCCTGCTGGTCCTCGACGTGCGACATGCTGCCCTCGACGAGTGACATAGAGCCAGGGAGATGAGATGATGCAGAGAAGACAGAGTGAAGCAGCCAATGGAGGAAGAGAAGGGGTGAGATGAGGAACATAATCAGCCAGGTCATATCTTATATGCTCGTCGGCACTAGCACTATTTTCCTAAAAAAAGCATGTCTCTGCCGGGATTACCATAAGAGATTGAGTAACTTGAACAAATGCCTATCTGGGAAAATGTCAAGGTTAGGGATAGCCGGTACTTCTGAAAATAGAAAATAGGCCTGGTATAGTCTGCAAGACTGGATTGGATATGCAGTGGTTGCACAGGAGTTGCAGTTAGTGGGTGCACAGAAGGGCATTCTCCACGACGGGGGATAGAACTAGCTCCTGGTGCGTTATGTTAGCTGCAGGTCTACTAAATGGTGTACCACAGAAAGAATTCAGTATCTGTTGTCTCCATGCAAGGCACCTTCCCTGAAGCCGTCCTTGGGAGTATATCGCCCACCATACGACATACTTCTTTAGCTGCACCCAAATGGGAAAATCAGTCAGATAAACTGGAAAGCCAGGTCTAGCAAAAATGGGCGAACTCCGAGCTGAATCTAGTCCTGTGAGATTAGACGTGCAGTGGTTGCAGTAGTACAGGTGTCACTGGAACACAAGCTTTCTCTGCAGGGAGAATCATAAGGCTAGGGCTAGCAGGTGACGGGCCGGGCCTGCTTTAGTATGATCATATGCATATGCCGCTGTGACCAGTCAACTGTGTTCCTAGTGGTTGGCATTCTGTTGAGATTAGTTTGGCTGCAAGGGTGAGACCTACCGTTTCTGCTTCAGTACACTGTGTGTTCTTTGTCAGTTCCCAAATGGTATCTCAGAGTTCTCAGCTGAGCTCCTGCTCAAAAGAGGATAGCGGCAGCCCCAAATTTTCCATCTGAACCTGAGCCATCACTGTAAACCTGGATCTGGTCCAACTGTTAGGTGGACATGTTCATTCTTTGCTTCATCGCGGTTGTCAGCGATGTGGGTCTTGTAAGGACATTTGGATGATGGTGAGCAGCGCGCTGGTATGAGCGTTTCGATCTGGTGTAGGATGATGGCAAAAGAAAGAGTGAGGTGGTGCAGTGATGAGCAGTGGGAGGAGACATAGCGTCTAGCTGTGCGTCTGTGTTATGACCAACGTCCCTTAACCTAACTAGTAGGTGTCTGGAGATCGGATCACACCACAGGACTCGTCTGAGAAGGGATAAAGCAAGGATAGATTGAGAGGGAACGTCTAGGCCTACGATGACGTAAGAACGAAGAGGTTAAGTCTAAGGAGTACTACTGACTACTACCTAGACTATATACTATACTTGGGTCGGAGATATCTGAGTATGAAAGGTTGTGATATATCTATATATGGTCATAACATTGCACCTAGGGTATAGGGCTTACTATCAACCAATCAACTACAAGAAAGGGAAAAGGGTTCATAGGGGTATCGGTGATTAAGCAGGGTTCTCAGGGTACTGCTTCTCTTCAGGGTGGACGGAGATTAAGAAGGGTGAGAGAGTTCTGTGACAAGAAGTCTCGAGCGGTGATTAAGGATCTCGATAAGAGATAGGATCTGGAGATGTATCGGGTACAATCGGATCTAGGGGTTCTCCAGGGTCTTCAGTAATGAGCATGCTTCTCTATGAGTGGTGCTTCTGTGATAGGGGTTCAGGGTTTAGTTGTGACTGTGCAACAGGTTCCAATGTAAGGGGTTCGGTGAATGACAGAGGTAACTCTTAACATGTCATGTGTGGGAAGTGAAGGTCTGTGATGTGAAAGGATGATGACTCTTCGAGAGATGACTCATAAAGGACTCTTGGTTATGGTTCGATCATAGAGGCGTGTAGATGCTTATGATGTAACCCATTGCCTAATCGTAGGACTTCTAAGGATGTGATGAGTGTCGGATGTCTAGGGTTACAGATATAGATGGATGACATCGATGTAGTATAGATGTGAAGTGAAGATAGTGATCGTTAATCGGTTATCCATCTTATCTTATCAGGGATCTATTTAATCTAATCTTATCGGATAAGGTGACTTAGGGTTTGATAATCGAAATTTAGATGCAGTTGGTAACATTCATTACAGTCTGACTGGTTGAGTTGGTACCACCTATTAGTCACAACACTGCGATGACATTGGCCAAGTATGCGTGGTCAAATAGCCTAAACATGGTGCAATTGGTTTAATTTGGAGACCAGGAAACCAAAGCAGAGCTTCTTCAGTCTTTGAAAGAGGAGATATATGTGATGACTCACAATCAGTCAGCAATATTGCAGATTTGGAGACTTCCGAGTTGCCATCAAAGTGTTTGCACGAATCGGTAGGACTGGTAAAGCAAGAAATATTTTAACTGATGCTGGTCCCACTGATCAACAAAAGAGCCTGAACCGTATATGTAAATATATGCTGCCTGAAGCATATATTCATATATATGTCGCAATGTAAGACCTTGTGTACAAGTTGCGCATGTCTTAAAGCTAAATCACAGCACGCACGCTCATGTAAGCTTCACAAGGCCTTACATGCTTCAGGCTCTTTTGTTGATTGGCAGATGCAGTGCTCATCAGTAATGCAGGAATCTGTCTGAGTCCATTCGCTGAGTTCTTGACGATGCCCCATGTTATATCATGATGGGAACGTACCCGACAAGTAAACTTGGATGGCTCCTTTTACATGCATATGGTCTGACTAGGGGAGATTATTGAGAAATAAGATTGCTGATCTGACCATAGTAACTATCCAAGTAATGCTAATGTACATTGTAAATGTGGAAAGTAGTTTACAATAACATCATGACTAGGCTGATCACTTACATATGTCTCTCAATGTAGCCAAGATGCGTAGAGTGTACTCCTTCCACCGAGCCAACAGCTCTTGGTACAGGACAATCTGCGTATCTATGTAATCACTGAACGAGTCATACACAGGTTTGAAATCTGTGACACCAAACTTGAATTCCTGCCCTGTCAAACACTCCTGCAGGGCGCACTTCACAGCTGCAGACGCTGTACAAAACAAGCTCTTGAGAGTTGGATCTGTTACATATGGGAGGTAGTCCAGTTCCACCTGGGCTTCCCAATAAGTAAGCCTTAATATAGTTGTTGATTACGTGCTGTACTTACTAATGTTTGGCTTGTTTGCTGTAAAACTCAACACCAGCATTAAGTCCTGTCTCAGATCACCTGGAACCTTCAGCTATTTGTGTATGCTACCTATGTAAGTAGCTCAGCACTGTCCGCCGCCTATACTGCCCGGATTCGTCATCCCGACACACCTGCCAATACGCCTAACTTTCCAAACTGGGGGAGGTAACACTCCCATGCCCCTTGCTCTTGCCCACCACCACCAACAACCACCAACAACCACCAACAACATCCACCCTCACCATACAGACACCGTCCTCGTCTTTCTAGGACTATTTGCAATGTCAGCACCAGCTTTTCTCTCCTTGGATCGTCTTCTCAGCCCCATATCACCTTCTGGATGCCACCCACTGTGCTGGTGGCGCCAACTACTGCCCATGATGCGCCCGTTTGCAAAGAGGATCACAGGCCTGTCGAAAGCAGCCGTCAAGCATTCCTTTTGACACTCTGTCCAGAGTATCTACTGCCCATTGGGCCATTATGTGCCCATTTGTGAGGAGGATCACAGACCTGTAGAAAGTGGCCGTCAAGCATTCCTCTTCGACGTGCATGCAAGGTATGGTGACTTTGATCTATATGACTCGGATATCCTTCTTATTATTAGGTCAAAGACAGCCATCACGCTCGGATGCCTACCCCAGTCCAGTCTGATGAAAATTTTCATTATAGTAGATAGACACAAATTTCCAGTTGGCAGACTTGTTTTTGGGCGAGACGAAGCTAACCTTTCATTCCCTGGACAGCAATCCCTGGACAGCAAATCCCTCCATAAATTCCTCTACACCTTCAGTAGCGAAGGCAATACCACAGAGAGGAAGGTCAGTAGACCCAGGTGTTGCGTAGAGCATTGCCTCAGTGCCAGTATGACTCTTCAAGTTGTTCAACTATATACTATGTCAGCAAGAAAAAATAAGACACATCAAGGACTCACCTTGCTCTCGATAGCCTTCAGTGTCTGGGTGACATCAATAATCTTCGACTTGGTCAAAATTCAGACGCCTGAGGTTTTTGTCTCCTTGTATTCACCATACTTGAGCAGAAGCTGAGACTTCTCCGCTTTGGTGAGGTCCTGATACTCTTCATGGTGATCCTTGACAATTTCACGCAAGATGTCCTTGCCCATCACACCTTAACACCATCACACAGTCAGTAAACTTCTTTTGGTGTGATTCAAAATGTACGTACTGTTTGCTTTGTTCTCTTGATATTTCTTCCAGCAGAAGGCATTCCAAGCACTCAACTTGGAATGCTTGAACCTCATCATCCCACGTCCTATGCACAAGTCATTCTGGACGTGATGGAAGCTTTTGTGATGGGAGGATGCAATTGTCTTCACCGTCTCATCAAGACCATTCCATGAATCCTGAAGGGCCAACTTGAAGTGACGGGAATTGTCATGACGTCGGAATTGTAAGGGCAGCACGAGCCTCCTTACTGAGAGTGACTCTGGGGCGATGGGTAGGTTGTGCCTAGACACGCTTGCGCATCTGTATTGTGAGGGAGACAGGGAGCTGTTGACTTGAATATTGTACCTGTTAGCAAAGAGTTTATATGTGGCCAGCATGATATTTCACATAGCACACAAGAGATATATTGATAGAACACTAGTAACTTGGAAAAGTCGGACAATTCAGTCCAAAGACCAGAAAAAGATATAAAACAAGTATAGTGCACACATGCAAACTTAAATGCCAAGAAAAATAAAAATTTGCATGAGGGGCTGAAGACAGTGGCTAAACAATGATCAAATAATTAGCTTTTGAAAAATTTTAAACAACACACCATACCTTAGCACCTACAAACATTAATTGGCTACTGTCAAGATCTGAATGGAGCGCTTTACTCAGGTTCGCGGCCTGCTCATAAGTCAGATCCCATTTTGGAGATCGAAGAGCAACTTCCCAGTGGCTGCTACAAATGGAGCTGATGAGCTCATGTAGCTTTAGAAGCACCTTGTCATCCAGACCAAACCGATCAAGCATGGCATCAGTATGAGGACCTATGCTAAGCAAAGGGGGCCCAGTATTCAGGAGGAACACATCAGCAGGGCAGCACTGACGAATGTTGTCCTTGCGAGGTGAAGCACTAACAGACATTGTGTTGGAGACACCCTTTTTTGCCAGGGCTTGTCCCATCTGGACAGCAGCTGAGACCGACTTGTCACTGACTTCAAAATCCTGTGCAAACTGCTTTGTAGGACGAGGGGAACACTGGATCCATGCACCAGTAGCTACAGTTGGCCCAGGTAAAAATATCAGTCCAGAGAAATTCACCTGGCTTACAGCATCTAAAAAACAAGCATCTAAATGACATGGCTGCATCTAGATAAGAAAGACTTACAGTGCTGAGGAGGGATAATGCCTTCAATACGGCAACATTGTGAAAAACGCTGCAGATGGGGAATTACAAACTCCTTGCCAACAGCCTGCACCAAAGCTGATACATCTCCCCCAATGTGTTCTAGCACTTCACGATATTCACGTGGCGTGATGTAAAGATCAATGGTATACTGTTCTGGAGAGTGTGATTCTAGGGCTTCAGAACCAGCGCAGCGCATGAGGATGGAAATCCCGCCATCAAGTTGGTCTTGCATTGCAAGCTATCAACAATTTATATTAGTCTACCAAGAGAGATTATAATGAAAAGAAGAACTGACTGCATCAAACACATCTTGCAGTGCTGCATCAGCAAATGCTTCCTGCGTGATGGTTGGTTCATCTGATGAAGTGTACGAGTTGAAAGCAATGTGCGACGGATGAAGGCCGCCAGGTTTTCAAGTATGGAAGTGAGTACCATCAATGTGAGCATTGTGTCTGAGTATTGCACGGGCTGCTGCTTGTCGCTCTGCATTACTGAACCCTCACGAAAACGAGCTTGAGTGTATTGCCGCCAAGCTAGACAGTGAGAATCGAGGTTGAAGCAGCACTTGCCCGGGAGAAATGGCCTCTTCAATGGATGCTGTTTGCAATTGATTGTTTTGTTTTGCAGGGATGGGAGATGGGGAACGGACAGAACGAACCATGGTTAAGGAGTTGAGTTGAGATGGAAGGATGGTTAAGGTAACGAAAATGAGGCATCACAGGCAACCGATTATGAACATGATAAGAGAACCACTGGCACTGGCAGTTATCAAGCGCAAATCAGAACATCTACGTGAATAGTAGTAGTATATGATGTGCAGAAGGGTGATTGAACACTGAAAGAACGAGTATATACAATTATCAAGGACAAGTCAGATAGATCCAGGTGACCAGTAGTAGAGAGCCCAATATAATTGAATGTCGAAACGAGTTTGTTATGTCTAAGCTCCTAGACCACGAACATCCAAACCATCACGTCCTATGTCTTCCATTCAACTACAGACTGTATTCCTGTTGCGCAAACCAACCTGCATATCTCTATCTCCCCTATTCAACTACAAACTGTATTCTTGCCATGCAAATCAACCGTTTCTCTCGATTCATACCGTTTATCATAGAATAAGAGTCAGGCTACTATTATTATAGAAAACACTATAGACAAACTACTGGTACAAAGCGCAAATCAGAACGTGTTCAAAGTAGTGGTAGCATTCAGTCTGTGACAGAGGCCAAAAAATGAGCAAAATCTTCTACAGTCTGTGCTTCTTCCTCATGCTCGAAAATATGTCCATCACCCTGTTCAGACGCTAAGATATCTAAGGCAGCTGTCTCTGACTCTGCCAGGTCAATGCTTGCACGGATAACAGCCGGTATGTCTGCACATTTGGGGGTATAAATACTAGTTGAAATGATTAAGAGTGGTGGAGACGTACCATGGCTAGTGGACTCATAAGTTGGAATACTGTTGAGCTGCACATCAATTCCTCTTGTCCTGGAAAAGTTCGGTTGCGATGCAATTTGATCCAGTCTAAAAAGATGCACTGCGTTGATGGCAGCGCGTGTTTGCCATTGGCGTTGCAGCTCAAGTCCAACAGGTTGATTCAATGCGAGAAGAACATTGATGGTAGCGTTTACCATAAGTTCTTCATCGTGGATAGCGGTGCGCAACCAACAAATCTCGACATTCAATTGCTCAATCTCTTCACGAGCACGTTGAATCTTGAAGTACTTCACCATAGCTTTGTGGTGAGCAGGTTTAGTCCAATCCAAAGTGCAGATGTCAGAACGTGATTGACGCAAAAGATCGAACTCACCAAGGAAGCTGTATTCCACAATGTCTTTCCAAGTTAGCTGTGGTCATGGAGGGATCAGAGCAACAGCCTGAGTGTTGTATTGGCTGAGCGCATTATGAATCACCTCCGAATGACATTGTAGAGCTTTGCTGATCTGTTGGCATAGTTTGTAGCCTAGTTCAGAAAACATTAAGTGCTAATGCGCCCATTACTAAATGACAAACTTACCTGTCCCTGAAAGTGAGAGCTTTGAGAGCTCAAACAAACGCATAACGACAAGCCATTCTAGATTATCAAGTGCCATGTGATAGTTCAAAAGTGAGGTTTCTTGGCAGAAATGATTATATTGATCACTTCCGATCTCCCACCGTTTGTCAATGCCCAGTTGAACTTCCCAATGCGAAGCCATTGCTTCCGCATTTTGGAGCCTGGAATATGATCTGTAAACACGCACCCGAGCTTGATTCAGGGCGACATGCATGTCCGCAAAGCTACCGACATGAATATTGACCAGCGACCAATTAGCTGCCTTGCGCGCTAAGTTCCATTCTACTCTGTTAATTATTGAGGCATCAAATCAGTACAAATTTGGTTAATGACTTACTGTCGCTCAGCAACCTCATCGAGAGCTTGAATATACCAAATGCTGACTTGATCCTTGAGTGGCAGCTCTTTCAGCCCATCCAGGTATGAGGGCTCCTGCTCATGAAAATGAAGGAAATCTGTATCTGAAAGGTTAAGCACGCCTTTGAGGGCGGTAAGTTCAGCAGTAAGAGTTTGAACAGCCGTTAGAGCCTCTCAGTAATGATTGCATAAAAATGTACCTATACATTAATCTAGATTCAGCTCTGAATGACGGTATCAAAAATAAACTTACTAAGGGCTGAATACTTGTCCTCGTCCCAAAAGGAGAAGTGCTGCTCGATGGCCTGATGTTGGTGAAATGGACTAGCATGGCAAGTGCTACGAGCAAGCTCATTTGATGAAGAAAAGACATGTTCACAGCCTTCACCCTCTGTGTGGCCGGTACCATCTATGTAGAATGGGTGCCAGTCAATCTGACATCTTCAGGTTACGAGCATGGCCGTGAAACACCGCAACCATCATCCATAAATTGAGTGCGCAAGCGCCTGGACCCAGGCTACTGTTGTTGAGTGTTTTAGAGAATGCGCAACCGATATCATATGTGACACCCCCATTCTTGCCATAAACGTCAAGCAGACAATTTATAATAACTAATGGGTATTTCGCGCTTAAGATTCAGTCAGCAAGGATGACAATATTGAAACAAGATACATACAGTTCACCACTTTGCACCACATCACAAGCTAAAAGAATAATGCGGTGGCGACAGGCTGCAAAAAGATTCCAGATTTGTCAAAGATTGAGAACATCCATTTACATTGCTCGGGACCAGCATTTCCCCAGCAGTCAACACAATGAAATGATGCCGATGCTGATGCCGACGGCACAACATCTTCCCAATCATCATTCTAGTCAAAATGGTCAGGTTTGTATTGTAACATAAGCCAACCTTACCACTTGTGTCTGAGCGCCGTTCTTGAATTTATCTACCTCTGCTCGACTAAGCCAGTAGTCAGAACGATAGGTGCGTGAATCATCATGTGGAGATGTGCCGTATATAGATGATGACTGTCATATACCTGATCCGACCGCTCCAATATTGATATCCGCTCCACTTTCTGACCCCCCCCCACTCCATCCATCCTCCACTCCATCCAATCACAAATCCACATTCCACCCCTACACTTCCACTCAACCGCTCAACCAGTCCCCTTCCATAACCTCTCCATTCAACTGGACCTCTTTCCCCTTTTAGATATATACTTTCCCCTTTGGTACATAGACCCTTACTTCCGGATCACTGGTAATTCCTATTACCGCTCGATCGCTGATCCGACACATACATATTGATATCTGCTCCGACTTATGTCTTCACCTGTGTAAGTACTTACAAATTATATCCTGGTCACTGCCTCATACATAGAAGTATATAACATATCATGTACTTAGATATTTTCCTCAGTCTTAATATTACTTGTCTTCTCGCAGTTACCTCTTGTGAGAATTCTCAGTAGGACCTTGCCTCCCCTGGACACAAGTCTCAACTTGTTGTCACCTCCGACCCTCCGATCCTCCGATCCTCCGACCCTCCGCTCCGACTTAGAGCCATGCTCTAAGTGCTTCCCTTATTCCTCCACCACTATCAATATTCCCCTTGTCCCTTTTCCCATCCTCTGCCTTCCCCGCTCCTACCAAACCTTCCCCCTGCTCCTATCCACCCTCCACATCACTCCCCACCTTCTCTGCTCCGCTCCTAGTCAGCTCGCCACTAGTAGCTCTTACTTCCCGACCCTCAAAGCGGACCGAAGCGGTCCACTCGTCCTATCGTCGGACAATGTTGGACCCGCTCCAAATTCGGGGCACATACTCAGCTAAGGGCGCAGCACAAGAGCTGAAGCCAAGCCCCGACCCCTCTGCCTCCTGAGCTGGCATGGTACCTAACAACAACCATCTTTTCAACCTGTTGTTTCCATCAATAGTTGCGAGCCATTCAAAAGCTAGGGGATGTTCACCCTCTGGCTTGTAAAAGCAGCAGGGACAGGAGTTAAGGAGTCGCCAATTAGGTGTGTTGTACTTAAGCGCTGCTTTGATGATGCAGTCTACGTGATGCAGGATCTTGAGGTAAACATCATATGCGTCGGAAAACTGCGTGTTGAAATAAGGACGGTATGGAATCTAAGAAACAGCATGTAATTAATGTAATATTGATGTAGCAAAAATCATACATTGTGAAGGTGACACAAATTCTTGCACTGCCCTTGTATGCTAAATCGGGGGCAGGTCCTATGAGATTGTCGATAAACAGCAAGTGTGCGCAGGGAAACAGCGACAGTTGGGTGAAGTGGGGAGCAGCCTAGGTAGCCGTGGTAGATAAGACTTTCATTCGGAAAGTTGTGGAAGGGTTGAGGCTGCACAGAGGCGCGCTTTCAACCTGAATATTGTTGGTTAATACAAATCCAACAAGAAAAAAAAAGAAATCACTGAATATATCCACAAGTTCAATATTCTGAAGAGTTAGTGTGTCCAAATGATTGTGTATGGGTTCATCCTCATTTGGAGCGCTGGGCATGCCATCACCATGATCCCAAGTACAATAGTCCAAGTAAGCTTTGACGAGACATTCCATTTGAATGGTCCAATTTGCATTCTGGATGTCAATGCGGTCCTTGTGGGTGCGCGGATCCACATAGCGGCTAGTATATGTTAGAAAAACTACAAGTGCATGAAAAAAAAACTTACCAGCCAGAAATGTCAGCCACTTGCTGAGCTATTCCCTCAAAGGCCTCATACTCACCACCTTCATAGCTAAGGTCTGCTCCTTCCTCACCAGGAGGTGCTATGTATGGTACCAAATTGATATTGACATCATGATCGATGAGCATCGTCTTGACAGCCTCGCGCTCCTCAGACAACATCTCTGCAACAACAGGAAGGACATTTAAGTAATGCTGAGAAAATGATTAGTGTACCTTGTATACACGCTTGATGTTTCACACTGACTTCCTCCTTTCGTTGATTTTGTTGCCCAGCCTTGAGTACACCAATACTCTGGACAGAGTGTCAAAAGGAATGCTCGGCAGCCGCTTTCGACAGCCCTGTGATCCTCTTCACAGATGGGTGCATCATGGGCAGTAGTTGGTGCCACCAGCACAGTGGGTGGCATCCAGAAGGTGATATGGGGCTGAGAAGACGATCCAAGGAGAGAAAAGCTGGTGCTGACATTGCAAATAGTCCTAGAAAGACGAGGACGGTGTCTGTATGGTGAGGGTGGATGTTGTTGGTGGTTGTTGGTGGTTGTTGGTTGGTGGTGGTGGGCAAGAGCAAGGGGCGTGGGAGTGTTACCTCCCCCAGTTTGGAAAGTTAGGTGTATTGGCAGGTGTGTCGGGATGACGAATCCGGGCAGTATAGGCGGCGGACAGTGCTGAGCTACTTACATAGGTAGCATACACAAATAGCTGAAGGTTCCAGGTGATCTGGGACAGGACTTAATGCCGGTGTTGAGTTTTACAGCAAACAAGCCAAACATTAGTAAGTACAGCACGTAATCAACAACTATATTAAGGCTTACTTATTGGGAAGCCCAGGTGTCCAGTTCTGTGATGATGTAACAAATGACGTCTAAGACAACATAGCTTTTGAACACCCACAACCTGCCATGTTTGTCCTCCCCGAAAATAAATTTTGGGGGGAATGAAGCAATGAGGTTTCATGCCGTCTGGATCCGGTGCTTGCGTTTGGAGATATGTGACCAAATGGAGGGACGTAGACCGCACCCCCGCTGGACCAGTACACGTGCAACCTTCTTAGAGGTCGCCATGATGTGAGTAGACAGCAGTTGGTTCAATGATTTATAGAATGTCTGGGTTTTTTTTCTGCCCATTTCATCCCAGAATCTTTTGCAAATGTCAGCTATTGTCTTTGAAGGGAGTACTACCTACCACAGTGGGATGCAGCATTGATTAGCATCTGCTGAACACCTTGTTTTTTTTCCCACTCGGACAAGAAGGGAGTGATATTCACCATGTCCTTAATGAGGGTTTCTTGCGCATCCTTGAATATTCTTCGGTGAGTTTCATTATCGTTGTCATATACCGAGGGTCCAATGGGCTGTAGTGTAGACTGTGAAGGCTCAGCCCGAGTATCCAGAGTATCCTAGGAGTTAGTTAGTAATTGACTATTTGACCAACAAGCAACGATCAGCCCCACCTTGGTGATTGCAGCAAAACACCTCAGCTTTGACTGAAACACACCAGCATATGGATGGAATTGCAGTTCTGATGATTTTGAGGGGCGAGCTTGTGACCTACCGGACTTCGGATGGGTCGGAAGAGGGGAAGGTTTGCCGACGGGTAACAGAGGTTTGAGAGGCTCTAGCTCTCTGAGATGTAGTATCTCATCGAGACGAAATGGCTCATCAAAAGGTACTGGTTCTCCTAGAGATGGGATGTCATCTGCTCTGGGAGGTAAAGTAGACATGCTGTCAATGCACACCATGATATCATGTGGCTGATGGTCGTCCAAGTTGTTGAAGCAGGAAGCAAAGGATGGATCATACGAGGCTGTAGAGTCGATATAAGGTGTATTGATGTTTTCAGATGGGCCGCTGTGAGCGTTGTACAGATGGAATGAGTTGGAAAAAAGAGATAGGTGGGAGGAAAATGGCACTGGCAATCCGTCGCCAGACCTGACAGTGATGGAAGGGTGATGGCCTTCTGCCACAGGTTGCATACTAGTAGTGACGAAGTTGTTATTTGCAAACAGGGGGTAATTATAAAAAGATGACGACGGCTGGTTGTCAGCACGAGAACTGGCAGTATAACTTTGATCATGGTAATTGGAAAAGGATGGGAGTAGATGCTGTGGCCAATCGTCAGAACCGCCGCTGGGATTCGAACTCTCAGCCTGGGCCATTGGTGCATCAAAACGATTGCCAGACTCACCCAAATTCATAGTCACAGCAGCAGCATGGTGTTGGGTGTTAGATCAGTCCTTAGATACTAATAAGTTTTATAATTGCGCCAATCTGGAGAACCCTCAGATCTAGTAAATAAGTTTAATAAAATTGTCTACCAAAAACCGCATTGCCGGAGCCATGAGGCATGGGCGCTATATTACAGATCCCTAATTTGGCTTTCAGCACTGGTATGATTTAATAACCTCTTTTAACTGACCTTCAAATAAGATCATTCTTGCTGCCTCACAGATAGGGGGCAGCTCACCATTTTGCATAGTATTGCAATGAGGCCACAAATCACATTGGATTGAGGCGGAACAACCTGGTAGTAATCGATTAATCCCATGTGTAATAAGACACATTCAATGAAATATATCGCTAATCTGTCCACCAGTTCTCTGATGGCTGAACTGCTGGCCCGGGACTGGAAGTGCTTGAACCTGCCCATCTTCAACAACAAGCACCCGATCGCATATCTTCATCACAGGTGCCTTATGCATCACCATGATAGTAGTCTTCCCAACCTTGGCAGCACATATCATCTCCAATATAGCTATCTGGTTTGCACCATCCGGCGCTGAGGTACATTCATCTAGAATGAGAACCTTGGCTGGGCATGTGAGTGCATGAACAATTTGGAGGCGCTGGGCTTGACCACCTGAGACTAGAGATGCGTTCTCCCCGATGAGGGTGTTGAGCTGATGGAGACGGTGAACACAACTGAGGTTGAGGACTTGGCACATTTGGAGGTATGTGTATGTGCCCTGGGTGATGAGGACAGCGCTGATGTAGAAGAGAAGTGCTTCGGCTAAGTAGATGAGAGCACTGGCTACACCATAAGAACACCCCTCGATGAATGCACCACATACACCAGTGGAAAGACACTGCGAAGTGGCCTTCTTGAATTGAGTCCTGAAGAACAGGTTCAAGAGGCATAGCATGAATACCACGGACCTTGAGAATCGACTGGAGAACAAATCAGAATGTCACTCATAACAATAGCAAAGATAAAACTCACTTTGTAGTACACCCTTGCAACCTCCTCACGAGCCCTCTTATTGCGCACCTCACACTTGGCCATCAAACCCGTCTGCAGACCCATAACTCCAACAAAAACAGGCCCAACAAGCAGTCAACTGCCACCCCCAAGCCATAGCCCAGACAAGTCTAACAGTCATCATCGCGCCAACAGCAACGATCTGGCCCAACACCACAGCGATCAGCATACACGCATCATCCCCATCTTTCATGATGACTTGGGTAAGCTTGGCTGCACCGTTCTCAGGATGGTCAAACCAGCTCTTGTCCTGGCTGAGAACACGGCTGAAAGCGATGTTGCAGAAACGAGTGACCCAGTGCATGGCGCTGATTTCCATAACGAAGAATTTGGAACCGAGGAGAAGCCCAGTCAAGGGCTGTGATGCGGAGTATGAGTCTGCCATAGCTGTTGACCATGCTTGCATCTGAGCCGCCTGTGGAGACTAGGATGATGAGTGGCGAAAGGAGGAATGAGAATATGGGTGTCATCGCTCCACTTAGGAGGCAGATGATGAGCCTGATCAGTAGGAATAGGCAGTGGAGGTACACTCATCTTTGTAAGTTCCGCGACGACATTGAGCATCCAGTTTCCAAGTGTCGCAGTAACAGGGCACATACCACCCAGCGTGGGCGCCATGCTCATGTGTCATTCATGAACTGGGAGCTCATCCTCCTCATCATTCTCCACTGCGAGGATCTCTGCAACTGCATTGTATCCAGGAAGCTCATCTTCAATGTCAAGCCCCCCAGTATGAAGCATCCAAGCAAACTCACCATCTGCTTGCAGGAGGTCCAATTGGAACCCTTGCTTGATGACAGAGCCTTCCCACATGATGTAGACAAAGTCTTGTTCTTCAATTGAGGCAATGTTGTGCGTGATGATGATGGTGGTGCAGTTTTGGCGCCATCGGCAAATAGTGGCCATGATAAGTGCGCGAGTTGGGGGGTCTAAGGCTGATGTTGCTCCATCTGAAACGAGATTACAAGATTAGGATAAGAGATCACAAGATTAGGGTAAGAATATGAGAGGGAGACGGGAACTTACCAAGAATCAAGACATCAGGGTCACATATCTGCGCCCGCACGATTGCAAATATCTGGCATTGTCCACCGCTCAACTGGATGCCTTCTGCATCAGTGCCACTCAATAGTGTCTCGTAGCTTTGATCTAAACCTAGCACCCAAGACTCGAGCATCACAACTCTGCATGCTTCTTCTACTTCGCCTCTACTAATGTCCTCTATATGTTTGCCTTTGCCTATGGTGCCGAGGGCTATGTTCTCGCAAAGGCTTCCAGGGAAGACTGGTGCAGACTGAGGTGGGTTTGGAGTCAATGGGCAAGTGATGCAAGGGGCTGATGGGTCAAAAGCAGTCAAACCACAACTAGTAAATACCATACAAGGACAGTACAAGTACACCACGCACCCACCAGGACTGTGTGATGCGTGACCTGACTCGCACAACACCACGTAGCTCATCATCAATGCATCATCGACAACAATGAGGGCATGAGGAGTCAGAACAATAGAGTAGGACTCTACTGAAGGTACCACGTGGATGACTTTTGGTGATCATTCCGAGATTTTTGAACATACCATGACTTTTGGGTTATCATGTAGATTTTTTATACAAAATGATTCAATTTATTATTGTCTCCTCTGGGCCATCATACTAATGTGTATTGCTTGGAAAATTAGATGTCTGACAACAATTCAATAATCAATTGGCGTGTGTGTCATATCCCGTACCTCCAGATCCGGAATTCCGGATCTACTTCATTAAATTCTGGTCCTCTGTCCTGCTATTCCACCCGGTGCTCCGCCTTCATCTCCGCACTCACCCCTAACTCCTTTTAGATTAGCTATTGCTCTGGTTACTGGTTATGTCCTATTCCGCTATGCTTACTGATTCATCCATTCTTACTTCATTTCCGACTTCACTGCTTTGATCCATTACACTTAGTAATAGACTTTCCACATGCTTCATACATAGCACTTACCTTTGCTCACTGATTTACTTACATGATACCTACAGTATATAAACCCCTGTAATACTCCAGAACTCCTTAGTTCAAATATCATCTTAGTTCTGCTCATTCCTGCAATCTCCAGACTTGAGTCTCATCTTTTGTCCACCTCTGAGTCTTAGGGGTTAAACCTTAGGACTAATCCTCTGGCTCTACCTTAGGGTAGTCTAACCTCTGTTCTGTTTCTACTCTGGACTTCTGTAGTAGCCTTACTCTGTCCCCACATAGTCTTCTGGAGTTCCCCTGAACTCCACCGATGTATTGTCCTCCAGAACTCCCTGGACTTCCCCTCTGCCCACCGGGAATTAAGGGCACATACTCAGGTAAGGTGCGCAGTGCATGAGCTGAAGCTGAAGCCCTTTGAGCAACCTCCTCCTTGAGCATGACCTTAACAGTGTGTGAACATTGAAGTTGGCGTAAAGCAGTAGATTTTATGGCTCGAAAATTAGATTCTTAGTTTGCAACACAAATTTGTGTGTCTCATTTTGTCCAGCTGAACCCCTCATACTAGTTGTACCGTTAAAGTTGTGAATCAGAGGTTTCATGTACTATTTTCGTTTGTCTATAGTGACTCATATAGTGACTAGTAGGTGAATTCGAGTCTTGTAGTAATTTACACTACCATGACTTTTCCTCCATTACTGGCACGACTGTGCCTTTCCTTTGTTGTTCTTCGCCATACTCAATAATATCAAGGACAGACTGCCACTCAGTGCCTGATTTCTCCTGGCAGATGCACTTGATGGTTGGAGTATGACTCAGAGATATTGCAATGTTCTCATTGTCAGTGTTGACATCATCGCGACTGTTGATCGTCCTCTTGCAAGTCTGATGAGTAGCAGTAGCAGTACAAGAAGCTTGAGCTCATATGATGTGATAGCCTCTGGGGCCAACTTCAGGTTTCTAACTTCAAGATCAGTACAATGAAATCAAGAATGCAGATGCAGACACCCACTGTTTTTAATGCTCAGACAGGCCTTTGATTTTTCAATATCTTGTCCGAACACAACTAAAACATAAGTGAGCATGTTCCAAGCAAAGTGTTTCAGTGATAGCTTACTTCTTGATACTTTCGAAGCTGCACGAGCACAGCTAGTACCTCCACAATATTAGAGTCCAAGTCAGGTGTGAGACTGGGAGAGATCTCCCCCAGGTTAGTAGGAATCATGACAGTTGCTGATGCAGATGGTGGTTTATGCCACAACACATCAGTACTACTAGTGGGGTCAAGTACCATGGAGGGTTGACTTGGAGCATCAGCCTGAGTATTCAAGTCAGGACTTCCAGTGGGAGATGACAGGGTAGCTGCCGGTGACTCGTGGGTTGTGAAAGGGTCTGTTATGGGTATGTCATCACCACTGCCAGTGGTTTCAGATGAAGAAAATCAGACACTTGATCATGAGCATATTCAAACATAGCTGCTATGTTGAAGCTGGTTGTGATCCAACAGTTTAGTTTAAGCCTGGTCCTGACTGATGAGTTCTTATAGTTGTTTGTAACTGCTGGTAACCAACTACATACGGTATGGCAGAGCATGCATGTCATACCAAATAGCTGATGCATGCATGCATATGTTAATGACATGGTCACAGAAGATACAGTACTGTACCAATTATGGTATGTGCTAGATTTCAAATGATTATAAGTTTACTTTCTCCGAGGGATGTAGTTACCAGTTTTGGTATGTGCTGGGTTCCTAAGTTTACTTTCTCCGAGCATGATACAGTTACCAGTTTAGGTATGTGCCAGGGTGCTAAGTTACGAAGCATATGTTACTAGTGATGATATGGGCTGGGTTTCAACAGGGTTCTCCAAAGTCATGCCTTCTTCTGGATGCCTCGTCACACAGGAATATTCATTCCTGGCTTGCAGGCTCCATGAGTTAACAGCTTTTACAATGTGAGAGTACTATTGGTTCAGGGAGAATCTTCGGCGATGGTTCCTTTCAAACTCCGATGGCCTATTTACCAATCATGAAGTTACCCACCGTGAAAATAGTACCTCCTTCATGCCTTCAGGACAGTAATGTTAAACCCAGTGTCCTGCATTGATGAACTTCAAACTGAAGTTTCATACCTTACTAAGGCACCATCTACACCTCCTTGACACCCTCACCATTCCTCCTTTGTTGGGAGTCCTAGTACATCCAGCTGCCATTCAAGCTCTCTGCCAAGCTCTCCGAGTCTCTTGTCTGTATCTGTGACAGGATCAGGTAGTGATGATTCATGATACATTATTGGTCATCAGATAGACTCAAATATAAAAATGACAGCGACCAGCACTACCCCAGATGCAGAATTTCCGTGCACACCTAATTCCAACCATTCCAGCGGCATATGCCATATCGCTTACACCTCTGTTGAGGCTGGATCGCTGACTCCAAATCCTTCTCCTGAGAACCAACACAGCGATGCTTCCCATCCCCATTACTCCAGCTCGTCTGAAGAGGAACATATTTTTGATGGATTGTTAGACAACCTCAACTGTGACCAGGGTACATCAAAAAGTGTTGAGCAGAAGGTAAGTCCTAATTTTCATACATATATTATAGCTCTCATGATATGTGCTACATTTCTAGGTGATGGAGGCATACTCGAGGCATATAGGAAAACTTAGTGCGAGCTCTTTCCACTGCATTATTCGCTACCTGGAAGCAGTTCGTGAACGCCAATGCATGTGCTACTACATGTCATGCTGGGATGTCGTAGTAGTCACTTTGGTCACCCCATTTCAGGTACCTCTTAGGTTGTATTATACCTATAGAGGTTTTCACCTAGGGGGTACTTTTCAGGTGGTCTGCCCATGTTTGTGTGGTCTTTCCCCAAGTGTATAGGGTCCAAAATGAAATGTATTTAGACCACACATACATTGGGGATTTCCCATGGTGTAGGGGTGTCAGGGGTCCTATTATGACCCAAAATTTTGGACCAAAAAATTGAAAATTGTGGTTTTTTTTTGTCCTCTCACCCACCTCAGGCAGCACTTCTTGGTGGTAATAAAGGGTTCACAGACCTGGTTTCTATATTATGGCAACAGTGTCTAGTCCTCAACACTAGCCAACACAATTTTCTTCACCACATACATGATTCTTGATGTTTTCTGGTTATTATACATGCTCTAAAGAACTACGATACTTGACAATAATGATTTTTAAGGTGGATTTCACAGAACTCACAGAGCTTAGTAAAGCTTGACAAACTTTGGCTAAATCAGTCTTGATATCAGGTTGTAGTCTGCAGCTCGCACTGGCATGACAGTTGAACTTTGAAATGAGACTTGAAAAACACAAGGACATAAAATATACATTGAAACCATTAAGAGAGTCACCAGGGAAAGCCAACATGCTTGTGAGGTATTGAGTGTCAAACACAAGCACATAAAATATATGTTGAAATCATTAAGAGAGTCACCGGGGAAAGCCAACATGCTTGTGATGTATCGAGCGTCAAACACAAGCACATAGAATATACATTGAAACCATTAAGAGAGTCACCAGAGGAAGGACCACAGAGACATGTGGGAGGGACCATGGTGAATGGTAAATGACTATAGGGAGATATGGGAAGGACCACAGTGGATGGGAAAGACCATATAGAGATATGGGAAGACCCAAGGTAAATAAGAAAGGATTGTAGGGAGGGACCACAGTGAGTGGGAAAGGACCATATAAACATGTGGGAAGGACCACGGTGGATGGGAAATGGCCATAGGGGCATATGGGAAGGACCACAGCAAATAAGAAAGGATCATAGGGAAGACCACAGTAAATGGGAAATGACCATAGTGAATAAGAAAGGACCATATAAACATGTGGGACAGACCACAGTGGATGGGAAATGGCCATAGGGACATATGGGAAGGACCACAGGGGATGGGAAATGGCCATAGGGACATATGGGAAGGACCATGGGGGATGGGAAATGGCCATAGGGACATATGGGAAGGACCGACATGAGTGGGAAAGGACCACAGTGAATAGGAAAGGACAATATCACATGTCAGTACAAACACATCATCATTATCATCAAGTTCATCATTGTTGAGACAGCATAGCCCTACAGTAGCACTCAAGCAAAACAAAACTTTGAAACCTTTGATTGAAATTGCTAGGAATGTGTCCACTTTCTATCCCTCAGAATTTGTACTTGTTACAGTCCCCTAAACTAAAACCTAAGTTCTGTGTGCAATTAGGCTTATGTATTTAATTGTCTATCAAATGGTCAGGCAAGCTGTATGGTGGGGATTAGAGGACTAGCAATGTCAGAAAAGTTGGAAGAGATTCAGGAAATTATGTGACACAGTTCAGGCAAAATTTAGCGGCTCAGCTCGCACCGAATTTTGGAGTCTGACGCTTGAAAACCATAATAATAGATTAAATAATTAAATATATTAAAATCCTCGAACACCAATTTGAGTTGAGCAAACACAAAATTCTCACTTCAAGTTCCAAGCAAATGAAATGAATAGATCATAAGGGTAGGCATGTATCATAAGTAACTCTGAATCATGAGTGACAAGAAAAGCATATGAAAAGCATACGAAAAGCATATAAGAAACATAAGAAAAACATAAGAAAAGGACAGCATGATATAACACAATTAGTAGATATTATCAAAAGTGGGCGTGAGCAAGGGCTGCACAGTTAGTAATACTCATATTCATCTTCTTCGATGATTGCACGGCAATCAGGAGATGCAGGGCGGATACTCGAAGGTCTGACAGTTGAATGATTGCGGCGCTGTGAGGAACCAGTGCAAGAAGTTGGCACAACGGAGGAATGTGATGGTAGCTGAGAACGGGAGGTGCTGGCAATTGGTGCAGAACTTACATGTGCCTGTGATTGGGCGTGGCCTAAAGGTATACGAGAACTAATACAATAGGGTGACAATTAGCAAACACATTTAAAAGTCAGGGTATAGCAATGCACTTCTCATGGACCCTGACACGGTGCCTCTCCTCCACTGTTTCATGCTCCAGATCTTCAGTCTCCCAAGCAGATTCATAATGGGGCCACGTCCATTTGCGAGTATCTGGGTTGTATGTTGGCATAGCATTGTCAAAAGCATGTTGATATCGACGTGGTCCATTGTGTGAACGCTCATATTGAGAGCGGGAGGGATATGTCACATCCCTGACGTGCGAATAACCTGAGGTTGACATAGGAGTTGATACACGTGAAATAGGAGGGGGAGACAAAAACTGGGAAGATGGTGTTGGTGGCAACGAAGGCGGGAGTTCCTCAAAAACTCGGTTAGTAGGGTGACGCGAGTGCGGAGCTTCCTGGGGTGGTGATGAAGGCGGGAAATTATCATAGATGGCTCGGTTAGTATGGTGACGAGAGCACAAAGCTTCATGATTGGAGCACAAAGCTTCCTGATTGGAGCGTGAAACTTCCTGATTGGAGCATGAAGCTTCCTGATTGGAGCGCAAAGCTCCCATAGTTGAGCATGAAGCTTCCTGATTGGAGTGCAAAGCTCCCATAGTTGAGTGTGAAGCTTCCTGATTGGGGCGCGAAGCTCCCATAGTTGAGCATGAAGCTTCCTGATTGGAGCACAAAGCTTCCTGATTGGAGTGCGAAGCTCCCATAGTCGAGCGCAAAGCTGTTAGATCAGACACTGCAGGTTTCTTGATTACCTGTTTGGTGTGGCATCTAGGAGTGTCGTCTTGGGTGTCGTCTTGTGGAAGATCCTTGATGAATTTCTCTGAGTCTTGGAGGGAGCGAACAACCTTGCCGTTAGTGTTGATGATGAGTGGGATGAGGCACATGCTTGTGGCCTGTGTCTCAACAGTAAGGATATCACCTGTAGTCGTTATATCAGCTCATGTATGTTTAGAGCAGCCAAAAACGTACTTTCAGGCCATCTGCTGATATGCAAGACAACACTTGGCTCCTCCACCATCGCCCCCTTCTTCCTTCCTTTGTCACCCAACTTCTTGGACTTGCCTTTGCGCTTCTTTGCCTTTGCTGCCTCCGCCTCACTATCGTCGTCAAGACCTAACTCAGCCTTGTACATCGCTCCAAGATGGAGCCTGAGATACGGAGCTACCAATGCATGTAGATGACTTGCAGATAGAGCCTTTAGATCAAAATCTGGGCCGGGCGGGGGAACACCAGTGGGCCAGTCGTGAATGCAAAGCTTCTCGGTATACAGGATGTCCAACATGGTCAGCCACCTGCTATTGGAAGTTTTGAGCGGATGGCCAGCCTCAGCTACCCAGTATTTAGTCAGTAGATTAGAAGGATAATCCAATAAGAAACCTACCAAACTTCTCACTAATCATCATGGGTGCGACCTTTCTATTCCTATCCCTGGCAGGCTTGCCGTTGCACAAAAGGCTACCATTTGGAGCAGTGGAAGAGGCGGGGAGGAAGCTGAAAGTCTTGCCTTCAGCATGTGCAGCTTCTAAGTCTTTGTACCTGAAAGTAAATTTAGCACCGACCTCTATAATCAACAAAAGGCGTACTTAAGGATTGTAGTGAGCTCATCTAACCAACACTTAATATCAAGTTGGTGTGAATTGATGAGGGCTTTGACCATGTCAGAGCCGGCAAACAGCCCTGACGCCTGATGGCCTGCCTCTTCATCACCTGGAAATATGGCAACACCGGCAATGTGAATGCCATGGGTGCGATGCCAGTATGCAGCCTTGATAGTAGTTAGTCTTTGGATTGAGGTTGGATGAATGCCACACTTACTGATTTTGTGAAAGCATCACAAACACCCATCATAAGACCTGCAGCAGAACATGATGTAAAGTCCTCAGTTGTACCTGCTGACAGCACAATCCCAGTTTTCCTGTATCTCCTTCCACAACGATGCGTGCTGAGGATCATCCTGTGGGTGGGCTTTGTAATGAGCTCACTGCTTCACCTTCCAAGCCTTGATGTCCTCTGCAAAAGTGATTAGGACTAAGTAGAATAATTGTGAGGATAACGACACACCTGGCGACACAACTCCCGATACTCCTTTAGGCAGGGGATGGGTAGCTGCGAACCACGTCTGGTGTTGGTTCCACAGAGACTCTTTGCGGGTAGCCTTCATAGTCAACCCAGCCTCGATGAGGATCGTCTGCACACTCTTCCCATATTCTTGACCCAGTGTTCTGGCAGCTTCCAACGTCTTCTTCCCAAGCTCTTGCGCCTTTAAGATGCCTACTTGGGGCATTCTTCCTTTGGTCTTCACAAAGTCTTCATCGTCCTCATCTTCGCTTCCGTGATGTTCATCGACCTCAACCGTTACCTTGAGCTTTTGCTTTTGCTTGGCCATCAATCGCGGTGGAGATGGGGGATTGTCTTCAGAGGAATCCTCATTGTCTTCACTGTGATTCACAGCAATATCATGATCAGTAGTTTGTTGCGCTTTCTTCTGCTGCTCTTCGTCAACAGCCTAGTCACTGTTGGATGGAGAGCTCTCTTCACCGGCACTGCGATCAGGTGCATATGACTTGATGCCACCTGACCTACGCGGGCGGCCATTAGTAGAAGTAGCTGTATTCAATATTAGTTGAGCTATGAAATACGAAAAATGTTCAAGACTTACCTGAAGTTTTGTGACCATCATCATTCCCACCATCCTCTGGGTAGTGTGACTCGGTAGAGGTACCTGCATTTACTATTAGTTAAGCTATTAAATACAAAAGAATTGACTGACCTGAAGTATCATTGCCATGATCCTTGTTGCTATACCCTGCATCGTGGGACTCAGTACAAGTAGCTACATTACTATTGGTTGAGCTATGAAATACGAAAGAGTGAATATGTCTCACCTGAAGTCTCTTGGTCGTTGTCATTGCTACCATTGAGATCGTTTGTCTGACTTTGAGAGATAGCATTCGGATTCTTGCTCGCAGCAGTGGCAGTGTTCTCCAGTGATGGGTGTAGGAGCTGGCAAATGACAAGTTAAGACAGGACGTTCACACCATAATAAAATGCTTGCCTGATTGTACATCACCTTCTTGGATGTCAGCAGATATTCTTCATCTGCAAGAAGGCAAAATTTGGCACAGTGTTAACGAAGTGCCATCTTTTTTGAATTATTGATGAGCGCCTTGAGAAACTAGTCTCAAAAATCTCCTCTTCAGCAGATGAGGTCATGGGGCCAGAACACTTGGACCGTGCAAGCGGATGAGGCTTGGGTGGAGGATGAATAGACAGCTAAGAGGTCAGTGTGGATATCAACATATGGCAATCACAACTTACCTCTGGATGGTTGTCGCCGTGGCCGATAACATTCTTGGGGCCAGCGCGACGGTGGGGGCCAGGGCAAGACCATTTTGGAGGTTTGAAGGACTAAAATAATGGGAAATCAACCATGATGGACAAAGCTTGAAACAAGAAGACTTGCCTCGACATTATCCACATTGGACTCCTTACAAATATCTGCTGCCTTCCTGTGAGTCTTGACATGATAGAGGAGTCAGCTGCTCAAGACATCAAGGAAAGAAAAAAAATACCTTGCGTTGATCAGGCAGAGGTGGGCGCCTGATATGACAACCTGAGCGGGTAGTAACAGCAGGCATTTTCAAGAGAAATGATAGTGTTCCTACGATCGCAGAGATACGTAGAACACAAGTTGAGAACTCAAAGTCTGCTCAACAATGTTTGACTGACACGAAGTCAGACAATGTAAGAATAAGTGGGAGAGCAAACTGAAAACAATATTGGATTGAGAAGGTAGAATTTGACGTGCTCGAACTTGAGACTCATTACCTTTATACTTTGAAAATGATGGGTGTTGTTGTGATTATTGCTATTAGTAGTGGGGCACAGCCCTGAAGCTAAACATGGTTAGCGGTAAATAATGAAACCATAATTGCAATAGCGACCTTGGCCATACTGTAGGTCGGGGGTAGTGGCTACGTACAATGCCAGACCCCTTACAAGTGACTAAGATTGATTAAGTCAGAGACCTAGCTACATCTGAGAGAGGCCTCACTTTACATTCACAATTTGAAGCTTTCTCTAGCGTTCCTCAACCTTAAGCGAGCGCTCTCATTGGTGGAGAGGACTCCCGGACAAACCTAATTGATGCTACACGCTCGGCTGTGTACAGGCTCCACTCAATGAGCAATTTGAACATTTAGATGTAGGAGATCTAACTGTTTTGAGAACTTACATTTTCAAGAAGTGATAAGAATATCGGCTGGTAGGTCACCATATCATATGGTTAGAGACACATCCAGGCCTGCCAATTGCTTAAGAACAAGTCAGACACCTAAAAGTATACTTACCTGAGCACCAGGCATTAGCAAATGAATGTTGAGAGATGAGAAGGCTGCTCATTTCCTAAAAAAAAATAAGTCAGGACGTTACAGTATATCATCAAGAGCGTAAGGTACATGTAGATTTCGTCCAGTAGATGAGGGATTAAGCGTGAGCTGGCTGCTCCAGATACTAGCATGGCCAAGGTGTGAGGTACGTGTTTGACCATCTGGGCGGAAGGTTAGTGTTCGTGGAGGTGAAAAGATAAGGTGAGAATACTCACTTCACGGGCCCACAGCAGTGTTTTCATCTCTTGTTGCATACCGTGCTTACTACGGAATTCATGTGCAATTCATTCCTCTAGCAGGTGTTCTTTGATCTGGCCATTGGGGAATCAGTCTGCGAGGTCACCGATGAGGCCAAAGGATAGTTTCGCAATAGAGTCGGATCTCCCTCGTCTGCTAGACATTGATGGACGAGCTCAAGGATGACACGTAAGGGAGTAGTGCGGGTGCTAGGGACGATTGTGAGTGGCAAGATGAGTTTACAAGAAAAATGCAAACCTTTCTCGGTATTCTTGAATGCAGTGATGACTACAGTGTATGTCTCTAGAATTCCTTCCCATAGTTGAGCGACATATTCTATGAGATCAAATTTGAGCTAATGAGTACCAGTTAGCCCTGACACATTCAGGAATACACAATCCAGCTCACAGGGTTAGGTTGCACAGAGAGTGTTTGTCTGAGATGATTTGAAGACCTACCTACTATGATGCAGGTACTCAGAATACTGATTGGATGAGGTCGAAAACAGAGGTATCCTGTGTTGTCATCTATGCATTTATTGCAGGTGAATAAATAAAGTAAATGCACTCACCAATGACTGGAGTCTTCAACGAATTGCCAAATAGCCGCTGGGTAATTTTGATAGAAGCCATATCCTGTGTTGAAGTGTGAATGAGCATGTTGCTAAGCGAATGAAGTGTAGATGCGGCTCACTGATGCTGTAGATAAACGTATATGATTCAATGTGAGATTGGAAAGCGTTGACATGAAGTGACGAGTGCCAGAGTCAAGTGTGATGGGCATCAGGAGACGTTATGATGGAAATATATTGAAAACTCACGGATTACACTGATGAGTGAAATGTGAATCGACAGACAAGCGAAGTACAAGACAAAGCACACCCAAGAGGGTCTTCAACCCCACTGGCACAGCAACGTGTGAGCGACCAAGGCGACCCTCCAGACACGAAGTCTAGGAGTGGAAGATCAGTGACGCGAAGTCAACTAATCAATGAGCGAACAGCACGAAGCCAGTTCAAAAGTGCCGGGAACCATTGGAGGATCAATCAAGGACGGGAAAAGCATAATTGAGGACGGGGAAAGCATAATCGAGGGTGGGAATAGTATAGAGGACGGAGTGACATTGATAATGTTATTGATGTGGTCCGTGTCCAGGATGAAACTGTGACATGTTGCATTGTGGGACTTTCCCACAGGTTCACAAACTTTGAAAAATGAAACTGCTGATTTGGGAAATTCCCACAACTCTGTTTCTTGTCTGATTCCTTCTCTGTATTCCCTTCCCCTACTTCCTTTCAAGTTCCTTCCTTACTGTCAGTTCCCAACTTTGAGCCAGTCCTTCTTCACTCAGCACCTTCAACTCATCAAGCTCGTCGAACTCGTCAACCTCATCACCGCGATCCCTCAAAGGTTCCCGGTGCTTTTGAACTGGCTTTGTGACGTTCGCTGATTGATCAGTTGACTTCACAGTCGCTGATCTTCCACTCCTAGACTTCGTGTCTGGAGGGTCGCCCCAGGTCGCTCACATGTTGCTGCGCCAGTGGGGTTGATGACCCTCTTGGGTGTGCTTAGTCTCGTATCTCGTTATTTCTGGTGTGCCACACGCTCCTGCAGACCTTCTCTAATTTTTCAGGTATGCCAATCATTTCACATTTCACTTGTCGGTCTAATGGGTGAGTTTCTGATATATTTCATCTATCATAACGTCTCATGATACTCATTGTACTTCACGCACTATAGTACTTGTTACTTTAGATACATCTTCTTTTTTTGGTAAGTGCCCTTTCCTTTATCTCACTAATCGTATACTGAACTGTGCTTAGACTCTCATAATACAAAATCAAACTCTTGAGGTATGTTTTTCTTGTGCCTGTTATTGCACCTCCTAAAGTTTGCAGTTTTTCATCATGCCCAACGCTTTGACAATGTTCAAGGCTGATCCAAACCTTCGTGAATGTATGTGATGCTCCTCACTTAATGTTTCAACTTACTTATGCGCATGCATACTACAGCATGGTTGCAATCTTTCGATGCCTATGCAATCGCCATCCAGGGCAATTTGGTCATCACCACGCCCAACATGGACTTCGTTCCTCAGTTCCACCATTTCGAGGAAGAAAACGTACAAGCATGTGCCGATGGGCATTTCGGTGTCGTCGACTGCTTTCAATGGCCTCAAGCCTATGACAACATCTTTTGCAATTCTGTCTGTATTCCCCATAAGGAGGTCTACCCATTCCCGCACCCGCTTCACTGGGCATGGTTCACCCCCGAGCAAAAGGACTTCAAGGCCATTCCAGGCAACTCATTTCCTGTAGGCACACTAGCTTCTGACAAGGCCGAAGGATTGGAGTTGCTCCTGAAAATGGCAGACAAGCGTGTCCAGGACTGGAGGGCCAATCGACAAGGCAAGAACAACATCATCGTCAATCGCGTTGCATCTCTTCAACACTGTATCTCACAGCTCAAAAAACATCCCCTAACCTTTTGTGATCTCCTCATCTTTGTCACCGATGCCCAACACCTATTCCTTGAAATCCACTCCTTTATGGATTGGGTTCTCATTGCCCAACCTCGCATCTCCTCCGGCATTGGAGCTAACCCTGTCAATTCAGCCTGGATGGGTGCTTTTACACACGACAGTGACATGTGCAACAAGCTCCACATGGCTGGCATCCCCGTCTGGTATGTCCTACAATGGTGTACATACCCACTAGCATGAGGGTGATGAAACCTGTATTAATCACACATCTAGATGACATCGTCATCTTGATGTACGCAGAGGGCAACAAAATCCGCGCTTACAACATCATCTATCATGGTCAAGGTGGCCACCAGCGTCAACTTCACGTTTGCCGCCTATACGGTGGCACAACTTTCAAAAATCCTGATGAGCTGGTTGCTTTATCTGCTTCAACAAGCAGTTTCTCTGTGCCCAGTTCTTCTACTGCTGCGCCATGCTCTCAGCCATCCGCTGCTGGAAAGGCCCCTCAAAAAAGTCAGAAAAAGCATAGGCGACAACCTTGTAGGTGAACCTATTCTAATTGGTTACATTACTTACTACTGTATCAGATGCAAGAGAGGCTTGGCCCACCCAACCGTCCCGTTCAGGTGAATCCAGGGACAAGTGGAAAGACCTGGAAAGCCCATATCTTCCGCCATCTATCTTACATTGGGATGATGCCCTCAAAACTTGCACAAAGGATCCGTCTTGTGTGCATATGCCCTATGCGATTGATCAGGGATACAGATTCCCCAAACCCGCTCTTCTCCTCGGTCCCAAGCTGCCGGAGCACCTGCAAGGTTATATTGCCACCTGGCTTGCTTGTCGTCCGTTATGGATTGGCCAAGTCGATCACGACCCACCACACAATTACCCTTCACCACAGCTCTGGCGCGACTTCCTCGGCAGCGGATTGACAACCCAATCACAAGGTGCTGCACCCAAAGGCAAAGATCCCGAAAAGAAGGGTCTTATGGCAGCGGAGAAGCGAAAGGCGGTGATGAGGGACTTATTTGGTGACGATGTGTTGGAGACTCACGGAGATTTGTTTGCACCAGAAGGATTGGTGGAATTTCGCAGTGAACAAGTGTCGGTTGCCAGTCTCGCTAACCCTCCATGCCATCTCACCCAAAGGATCACATGGGAGTTATATGAGCTCGGTTTCTGTTATGAACTGAGGGATCTCAATTGCCACTTAGTCGATAAACGTTGGGCAGAAGATCCGACCAGTCGTGAGCAACTCCTTCATTCCATATTTCCGGGCGAGGCTGGTTTGGTCATGTGGTCAGAGCCATTTCCGGGGGATAACTATGGCATGTGGAATAACACCTTAATTGGTGTTCTGCCTTACCTGGAAAAATTCCGGGAACTCCTCTGTGCTTGGAATGACGTCCCGCCACTTCTGGTTGTGCCTCTGACCCCAGAAAACTTCACTAATACCAAGTGTTGGGAAGTCATGCATGCTGCAACCGCCTTTTATGTGCAGACATTCTTTCGTCATTTTGGCAGGCCTCCCATCATTCCTCATTCCCTCCCTGTGTAATCGATATCATATTTGTACTACGCACTTTTTCCTTTACATTTTACGTTTCTTCTATAAATGACAAATATACTATTTTCCATCACTTACTGCTCGCTGTAACACGTCAGATAAGGTTATATTTTGTGTTTGTAGGCAGCATACCTTGCAATGTTCGCTAGTCCCAATTGAGTGGCAAGGTGAGTGATCCTTCAGCTACGTCAGATCTGATATATTTTTGTAGGCACATTATTCCCAAGTCATAGCCAGCGACTGATGTCGTTCTGCTTTTGTATTTTTGATATTAATTTTTTCTTGTACTAGATACTAACATCATCCTATCTTCCTTATCTCCACAGCCATCTATCCATCTATTCATTTATGTGAATCAGGTTTGTATTTTCAGAAAATTGTGTCAATGCCATCTCTGAACATTGTGGCAGGCTATACTATTCTTGTACTGATATGAACATCATCCTATCTTCCTTATCAACCATCGCATTCACCGTATGCGAATCGGCATATGTTTCTTTGCTCACGTTTCTACTGATACCTACCTTACGATACTTATGGCAGAACACTAGAAAGTGTCCCCTATGCGGATTAGATGTCAGGTTCCTTTAAGAACTTTATCTATGTAGTAAGTTTTTTCTTTCTTTAATGTTAATGTTACATTATCCCTGATTAAGTCCTACTGTCTGACCATCACTCAAATCCTTAGTACTAATTCCCCTCAGATTGATTCCCCTTTGTACTCTCCCGGACTGCACGCCCGTGGACAGCTCCTCCAACTGACTCTGCATCGTTGGTGGTCCTCTGTGTGACTTCGAGTCCACAGCATTCATTATGGCCGTTCGTCATCCAAAGCCTCGCCGTCGTGAGGCATCAACCTCCCTCACGCAAGAAAAATCCCCTTCAATTCCGCAGCCGGTCACAATCATCTGTGAGCCTTGGATGAACACGGGTGGCAATATCCTCATCAAACTAGACAGCTCAACCTATATCTTCCTGCCCCGCCTCCCGTGTTGGTGCTGCCCGGACACCAATGCCTCATGCAGCAAGATTTCCGCCGTCCACTGTCTGTGTCCAGAACATCAGCACTGCAAGAAAATACCATGGACGAAGTTCTCTTCAGTGACTCCCTACATTTCTCCAACGATCCTATCACTCGTCATCTCACCAGCTCGCAAAAAAGGGTCAACCAGTGGCACAGATGGTCACAAGATGTCATTCCATCTCTGCTTGTACCATATTTAGCCTATATCCAACAATCTTCAGTGCTACGTTATACCAACCCGCCAGGACAACCTCAGCAAGATCTTGGAGGCTGCCGAGCTGGATGTAGGACTTGAAGTATTACAGTTGCATGCGTGCACTTTGATGGTATGTTATTTTTCACTCTTCTGCACAATCTATCTTAGGTATACTCCAGTATTGAATAAAATCAACATCATCACATGCCCTTGTTTCCCTGCCCCCCTCCAGCTCCTCTATCACGGTCTGTTCCCATGCGCTCCTGTCACTCCCTCACTCGCAGTGGACTTGCGTGTTTTAGAGTTCGTCCGTCTGCTCTTTGTACGTCAGTCTCCCAACCAAACCGCGTGGTGCAATGCAGTAGAAACATTTCTAGATGGAATGGGATACAAGTTGTCGTGCAAGGTTAGCTTTTCAAATTCTCATGCGTGCAGTGATGCTTAGTCTTTGATCAGAACAACTTGCGTCGTTGTTTTGGCAATGCTTTTCACTGGTACCGAGTACTGACCATCATGGCTCGTGATCACATTTCTACTCTCATCACCGACGTTCGAAAGGGCCAGGCACGTCTCCCACCAATCGATCAGCCCAGTGAATACCTTCGTTCTCATTGCCTGCTTTGTTTCGGAGGAAATACTTACCACAGATCAGATGATCATTCTATGTAAGTCTGTGTCTCAGCTTGTACTGTACTGTGATTAATTGGTGACACCAGCCCAGATGTTATCATTTGCATAGATGCTTGTTTTACCCAAAAATGTTCAACTAATCCTCGTGGTGCTGACAGTATCAACCCTCCTAATCCAACTCCAACGTTCTTTCTATCAAACGACGATGTCAAAGCGATGGAGGATTTTGTACAGAGTTGTCGTGGAGAGAGACGTCAAGCACAGGCCTCTAGAGCGGAAGGTGACGAGGATCACTATGAAGAAGGGATGCGTGTGCCAGTGTCTGTGTTGAACGGATGTGGAGAATCCTTTGTAGCTGCAGATGAAAAGCGTGAAAAGGCAAGTACTCGTTTTTTTACCGACACAGGCCTGATGGCCCTGCTATGTAGACATGACCATGTCCTCTGGCTTGTCAACCTCACATAAGCGGGAGAAAAGCAACACTACACCCTCACTCTCTTGGACCGCTTGTTCAAGCATTTGCCCCCTCAGATGACTATAGGACTTCTGTACGACATCGGGTGTCAACTCAAACGAAGTTGCCAAAAGTGGAAACTTCTGGACAACAACACTCTATCGCGAATATCCTTCACCGTTGTGGTATTCCATGCATATGGTCACCAATGGCCCTGTCAAATCGTGTATCACCCAAGGAAGCGCGAGGGTTTTGGGCTGTCTGATGGTGAGGGTTGCGAACGGCTGTGGAGTTCACTTAAGCAACTCATCCCATTGTTATGGGTTTCTGGAGTAAGTTTACATTCACATATTATATATCACATTTCTAACTCTACTGTAGTTCCATCAACGTCTTTTTGTCCTCGATGTTCAGATTCGCCACCTGGACACAAAATCCATCCAAGGCTATGGGCATTAGCTTCATCAGTGATGGATCCATTGTCAGACGAAGAAGAACACGGCTCTGGATAGTTTACTTGACTTAGACATCGATGAGGATATGCTTCGTGCTGAGTGGAAGGCGCACTAGCTGGTAGCCTGTTCTCAATCAATCGTGAATTCCTTGCCAAAGAGCTGGGGCTCACTCGCCAAAAACTGCCGAGGTGCTTCTTTTCTACATTGGCCCTGTGGTCATCGCCAAGGGCACATATGCATACCTTGAGATGTGCCAAGTCCTCACCCTCATCGTTTTCACCACCTCCATTGGCTCCCAACTCATCTTCACTTAGTGAATCGCCAAGTCCGTCCTCGCCACACATAATCTGCACCAGTTCATCAAGCTGGACACCATCTCTGCCTGAGAGTTGACGGCAATCACGTTGTTGTGGTCAGCCAAAGCCCAACCTCTTTGACGCCAGCAAAACATCGCCTAGTATGACAAGGACAATGTAATGAGCGATGCCAATTGTTCAAGCAGTGAGCGGTGAGAGTGGGTCTGGTGTCTTCTCAACACTGGGTTTTACTTCTCCTACGCCCAACGCCTTTGGTATGATTCCTGGCTTTTTGAACAGTGGTCAAGCTGGCACATGATGCAGAACAGACGGCCTTTGTTGGATGCGGAAAGGAACAAGAGGCTACCTTTTCCCAGTCATAGAAGAGAATGATCTACAGTCTATTCTCTGGTCAGAGACCAACTGCTGGTTAGTGACTATTTTCTGAGCTGGACCTTCTGATATGAAGCTAATAACTAGTCCAGGAATTGATTCCCACCAATCTGCTCATAAGAACAACGGGTATGTTGCAAGTCCCTGCACCGGTTGTTTTACTTACCACGTGGATGTCACCTAGTTTTCCTTCGCCAGTGATAATGGCACAAATTCCTGCTAATGGGTTATTAAAGTGGCCAGAACTTGTGGCAGCAATGGCCTCCAGTCCCCTGTCCCCTGAGTGGTCAACAACCTTGACAACACTGTGTGACTATCTTGTATCACATTAACAAGTTGAGGCTGGGCATGCATGGTAATTGGCAATCCTTGCACTTCTCTTCCTGTGCTAAGATGATCTGTCAGTTACTTGCTCTCTCCTCAGACTTCTCTAATAGGAGGCGTTGGGAGTCCATTAGGTCGGATTGTGCTCATTGGTTCACAGAATCTGCATGTGTGGCCTGCTTTCTATAAGGATACTGACCTGATCATTCACTCTGAAATTGCCGAGTTCGCCTTTTCACTGAAGAATGTCCTGAAAGGACAAGAACCATACAATCATTGTTGCAGCAACTGCCTATACACTGTACCAGCGAGTGTATACCATTCCCGGACCATCCTAGCTGGTTCAGGACATTGACTTTTTTTCTTCACACAGGGGCAACTTCCTGAAAATAGCACCTCCTTGAAGCTACTGTATGCAATAATCTTCGGTGTTGTCGCAGCTGTAAAAGTCATGGCCACGCAATGCAACCACCCCATACGAAGTGGATTCCTTCAGGCATTGCATTCGCTATCGGCTTTCTCAACTCCCCATCGTTCTCTTTGGGACATTTGATCGGTGGCGTCATCAAATTCATCTATCACAAGCTCATTGCAAAGTCTGGAGGCTGTCTTGGAGCGTTATGTATCACACAAAGTATGATTCTATCCCTGGTATAGCCAGTGGCAAGAGCAAGGACACCTTGCAGACAATGATGGAGGGATCACTATTGTCGAGTCTCATGCTTGCCAACAGTGTTTTCAAATGTGAGTTCTCTCCTTGCTATCCCAGTGACCTAGTCACATCTACTAATCTATCCTCTTGGGGCCACGGAAGTCTTTGGTATGATACCATGACTGATCATGTTCACACTGCAAGCTCTGCGGATCGTGAATATCATCCTCACTACCGTCTGGAAGCTGAATCCATTTTTGAGTGTCTAGTTTGCTGTCTTTTGCATGTTTTCACACCCTATTGGCTGTCAGGTCATCTACACTCACCCTTGGCTTGTGCCCATATCTCATGACAGTTCTTGTCCCTGCTTCGGAACGGCAGAAGCTGCTTTCCTGTGTTCTCAGGCTAACACTATATGCGACATCAGTCCTCACGTTGAGAAAAACACATAACTGCACGGAATACAAAGGCTCTAATACTTGGAGCCGTGCTTGTGTGTGGTGAAGGCATGACTCAGTGATGCTCAGGGATATAAAGATGAGGAAGAGCTTGTCAAAGGTGAAACACAGAGGCATTACGTGCGAGGCATCCACTATGACGAGAGCTGGGCACCGCTGAGAATGGCCACCAGGACCAGCACATGCCAGACATCATCAGTAAGGAAACTGAGCTAATCGATTATATAAGCAATACCTCATGTTTGAATCAGTTTAACTTTACTACATGTCAGTCCCCTGGAAGATCTAGTAGACTCGCTGCAGTGACTCAAAGTGCAGCGCAATGTGCTGTTCTGAAATTCTTTGGACCGCTTTTCTCTTGTTTCTTCTAATGGTGGACTGCAATGCTCCAGGGTGCTCTTTGGAAAGGCCAACAGACAATCGTGGACTCACCAGGCATCGCGCATCCTGTCACTTCTACAAGAGAGCTAGCTCTCTCGCAAGCTGGAGGAGACAAGACCACACAAAAGAGGCAGTCCTTTTGAATTTGGGTCCAAGGCCTCAGCACGAAGCAGTGAGTAGCTTTAAGTTTGCTTTGAAATAGAATATTCAATTAGTGTAAATGTCAGGGAATCTCCACCATCTGATATGTGAGAGACCATCCAAGTCTCAAACCAATTGCCTCTTGCAGACTTCTCATGCCAACGTCTATGGCTCGCGAATTAGGTAGTACCTCTAGTCTTACAGAATCGCAACAACCCCTCAATGCAAAGAAGCAACAAAACAATGAAATTGATGTTGAGATGGGCAGCAATTCTGGAACCATGTGGGACTATACTAATTCAGGTTTGTGCCTCATTCCAAGTTCTGACGTATTCACAAACTGCTCGAATTTTTCAGAGGAAACTGCACTTCCAAGGGACAAATTCCCACAGCTCTCAATGATATCGAGCCTTCACATGATGATCTTAATCATTCCAATAATATCAGCATTGCATCAGCTCAAGTGGCTTCATTACCTCCCCAGTCCAGAATTCAATGTGTTCTGTTAACCCTAAGAGACACCCTCCAGACTGCCTACAACTCATTTGGGCTGTGCCGACTATACCCACATCGGCCTTCCACATACTACAGTGACCAAACTCTGTCTTAGACGGGCCAGCCGAGGGACATAATACACCGTCTTAGACGGGTTAGCGGACCATGGGCCGATGTAATAATATCCTCATTGAAGATGGGTGGGCCCATCTATGTAATATCTAGAGTAGAATACAGTAGACGAGTTGGCTGAGGGAGATGGATCATAAAGATGAGTGTGCTGAGGTATTAGTATATGATATAGATGGATGGGCCAAGGTGGATGTGAATCATATGGATGGATGTGGCAAGATAAATGTATCATATAGACGGATGGGCCAGGATAGTGGTATATCATATGGACGGATGGGCCGAGGTAGATGTATATCTTGTAGATGGGTGGGCCGAGAGAGATGCATATCATATGGATGGATGGGCCGAGGGAGATGAACATCATATGTACCAATGGGCCGAGATCAATGTATATTGTATATGGGTGGGCCAAGGTAAGACATATATCATATAGACGGATGGGCCGAGATAGATGGATCTCATATGTATATGAGATGAACGAGTGGGTTGAGGTGAATGAATATCATATACACCGGTAGGCCGAGGTGGATGTGTAAAGTATGTATGGGCGGACTGAGATGAATGAATGCTGTGAGGATGGATGGGTTGAAGTGGTGGTAAATCAGACCGATCGGTTAGATGGTGTAGGTGCATCAATGATTATTGTGGATGGAGGATCGAGTAGCAAGAACCGTCATATAAATGAGTATCAAGTATGGCAAACAGAGCACCGAGTACCAAGTACTGAGTACTGAGGATCGGGGATGGCGACCCGGGCATTGAGGATCAAGTACCAAAGGATGGAGTACCGAGACCTCAGAACTGAGTACCGAGTATGGCCAATGGAGTACCATGAACCGAATACTAAGTACCGAGGATCGGGGATGGCGAATCAGGGAGCGAGGATCAAGTACCAAGGGTCGAGGACAGAGACCTCCGAACCGAGTACCAAGGATCGAGAATGGCAAACTGCGACCTGGGTGGTGAGTACTGAGAATTGAGTACTGAGTACCAAGGGTTGGGGATGGCAGCCCAGGCACCGAGTATCAAGTACCAAGGACCAAGGACCGAGAGTTGAGGACTGAGTACCGAGGATCTGGGAGGATGGCAAACCAGGCACCGAGTATCGCATATCAAGTACTGAGTACATGTACCGAGAGCCAAACCAAGTACTGAGTACTGAGGACTAAGCACCGACGAACATCAGGTATCAAGGTCGGAGGGCCGAGGATCGAAAGCCAAAAGGCAAAGACCGAGTGCTGAGCACCGATATGCTCAGGACTCGGTCCTTGGGACTCTTTGCTACATGCGCGGGGCTCAGAGGTTTGCACAATGGTGGGTATGCTGTACTGATTGCTGAGTACTCTACAATTCCATGGTACAAATAATTCACAATATTCACAATATTCACAGTATAGTACAATGGATCGTGGTATATCTACATTTCCATCACAGCATCCTGCTCATCACCGGAATCATATTCCGGAAGAAGGTTGAGGGGCAACCCACACTCAACAATCTCACTGGTGCTCGGGCCATCCTCAGGAGTCTCCAATGGGGTGGGGTTCATTGCCGGGGGGGCTGGAAGTGTGAAAGCCGATGTGAAGGTGGAGGCGCCATCGTCGGCCGGGCTGTGAACTGCATCGACGGGAACTGTCGACTCAATGGCAGTAGCAGGGTCCAATGCTGCTTCAGTCTGAGAGGGCGGGTGTGTTGGCTCAGTTACCGGGGCAACAGTGGTGGAGCCTTCCTCGCCTGTCAAGTCAATGAGTGGCAGCAGTGCCAAGTGGATGTGGGACTGTGACCTGGGAATGGCTTGATCCATGAGTAGAGAGGAGGGTTCGGTGGGAGGAGACTCTGGGAGGGGGAATGACAGATGTTGCCTGCATGATCTGACGTCAGAGGCTCTCATGCAGCCTTCGGAGCGTATTGATTGTGCTCTCCTGTTCAGAGGCATGAGCCTCCAGAGCTGCGATGTGATTCACGCTCTCACGATCGACATCCAGTGGAGGTCCGGGATCGGGAAGTCCTGGGCTGCATGGGGGGCAGCCAAACTCGATGATGCAATGACTGGAATCAAATCAATAACAGCAAATGTTGCATTGATTGAAGTTACTTACCGGCTGCAGGGGGGATGAGCATTGTCACCGAGCCTGTGGGCTTGCTTCGGCCCTGGGACCGTGGTGGCGGCAAGGGTACCGAGACGTGCTGAGATGCACTTCACTTTCTTCGTCATGCACAGGACACACGACATAAGGGCCGTGCCCTTTCGCTTATCGAACCTGGTGGTGCATGGCAGCTCATACTGCGTGCAACACCTGCATGGGTTGTTCTGCGGGGGATGGTCAGTCAGTCGGGACAGCGAGAAATATCTTGGTGGTACTCACTGGTCTGGGCATGAGAATGGCCCTGGCATCCACAACTGGGGGCACATCCCTCGGGCTCTCGGAAGTCACTTGAGATGACTCGGGGACATCAGGGCGCATGAGCCGAGGTGTCTGCTAAATGTTAGTATTAGGCACCTGAGGCAATGAATCTAGCTTACCATTCCAGGGCCAAAGGGGCCCTTCTTCGGAGAGCCTGGGGATCGGGGAGGCCCGGACGGCCTTGATGGTTGGGCGGTGGAAACCCGCCGAGTCACAATCACAGAGGATGTGTCAGAACGGGGCTACACCACTGCATGAGTAAAGGTCATCACGGAAAAAACAAACTGTACCTTTGACAACCCATCCTCTTCCTCCTCCTCATCCGATGAATCCACCAATTCTCTCGATTTCCACTCCTGCCCCGACATCCCCCTCTTTGGCGTCTTCATCGCTGACTTCGGGAGTGGCTTCGACATCTGGGAGAAAGGCCGCTTCCTGCATGGCTTCTCCTGCTCTTCCTTTGGCTTCTCCATCTCCTTCTCCTTCTCCGGCTCCAGCTCCACTTCCCTCGCCTTCCCTTTCCCCTTCTCCAAAGCATCACCATCCACACTCGTCGAGGGACCGGGAGCATTGTCGGTGGCACTACCATCGACCTTGTGTGCAAGATCGAACAAGTGGTCGCCCAAGGCTTGCCAGGTGAGGGCCTTGCTGTGCCAGCTGTGCCACATGAGTCGAGGGTCGTCATGGCCAATGCTGCGCCAGTTCGGGGCTTCTTGTGGAGAACAGTTGCGGGTCTGGATCAACTCTCTTGAGCAAGACAAGACAAGCCTGGGGAGGCATGCGGACTTGCCATGATCCTGGACTGCCCTTGCCTGATAGGAGATGAGCGATCATATAAAGTATGTCTTTGATGTAATATATGTACCACTAATTCACTTGCATGTGTCACCAGAGCGAAGTGACTGGGACCAGGGGGAATTTGCCGGGCAGTGCGGACGATCGCGAGAAGTTGACCAGTGATCTCCTTGAGATCGGCCATGGACTTGTCGGCTTGGTTAGACATCGAGGATATAGAGATCAATAATAAAAGTTATGAAATGCTGTAACAGCTGGCAAGGAAGCAGTTTTACAAAGACTATTTGCACAATGTTCACATTTCGGGAGTTTGCGAATAATCCACTCATTTCAAGGATCAAATTGTGAGATCTGTGGATCAGTTAGACCATCAAGCCCAATGCACTCTCACCCCACAGTGCGATTCACATAACCACTGGTGACTGATATCATTGACATCGACATCGACGACGCTAGTCAAGCACAATCGTCGACAAGCTCAACAAATCCATGGATGAGGGAGGAACGGCTGATGTTCGGTAAGATGTCTTCCTACATGCTTCTATTCGTTAACACATGCCATCAGATGACTTGTATCTTGGGCCGGATGATGAGGTGGAGTATGAATCCATGCCCCTGCACATCAGTCGGGAGCTATATCTCGGCCCAGAAGACGACTTCAATGGTGGGATTGGTGCGCCCGAGCCATCCCACCGCGTGAGCAGTGATCCCCCAGGCCAAGCCATCAGTCCGGCACTGCACCTTGGGCCGGAAGAGATGTCTGATGAACACATGGAATATTGTAAGTGCTTTGCGACACCAGGCCTTCCATACCTGATTGACTCCATCAGTGAATCCACCCAATGCCGAATGCCTTCCGGCACCTCCGGCCCTTGACAACAAAGAGCTCCAAGCTATAGTTCGGGAGTTCTGGCCTTTTGGGTCATATCATGATGTGGGATGTGAGTATTAATTGCAGGTCTATGTCAGCGCATCGTTCTCATTGCTATCATAGTGTAGAATCTTCAAACCCGCCTGGCCGACTTCACAACTACTCACGAAAACCTTCCAGAGCCGTCCATACCGCAGCTCCTGGAGGCAGAGCGACCATTTTGAACTGCTTGGGTGGAGACATCTGACAAGCTGGCACCGGCTGATTGGGAGCTTCAAAGGATGCAGAGGGCTGAGCGGGCAAGCATCAAAATGCTCAAAGTCGTAGATTCACTGATTCAATGGTTCGAGACCCAAATTCACCAGGGTCAAAGTAGGATACCCGAAGATGTAGATAGCACACGACCATAATCCTTATATTAGTGTACGATCATCATATGTGACTTCCACCAGACACATGGAACAGGAGATTCACTTTGACTTCACAACCGGGCACAATTGAATAACAATACTTCGACCGACAACTGAGATCTCAATTCTCTGTGCATTGAAGTGTAATCGTTGAGCATCAGTTGACTTTGTTCTTCCATGCTTTGAACAGGAAGATCGGATCATTACCATTCTCCTGGTGAGCATACCAGAAGTTCAGCAAGGCGGTTGCATCGGAGTGTTGCAACTTCGAAGGGTCCTTCAAATGCACCCCACTCGGAAGATACATTGGTGATACAAAGTTATCCTCACATTCTACAATGGTGCTCCAAGGGACAACAGCCTTGTCGATGCCAGAACAGAGTCCTGGGCACATCCGGTCAACTGATTCTCACAGGATGTTGCCAATGCAGACTCACAGTAGTGTGTTGTAAGGAACACCCTCACTATTGCCTTCTTCTCTTCGAGCTTTGTTTGCACAGTGTCCGGAAGCGATGGGATGCCTTCCCCGTTCATGTCGAGTTCGAAGGCCGGTTTCCTAGGTCTTTTTCAATGTCCCTTCTCCTGTCGTTTGCCATCCCTTGCCTCGGCACCTATCACAGGGACCATCAATGTCACCCTCCGCATCCCAATAGCTGTAACACTCACTGAACTGTGCTTGTGCATACTCCTGCCACATTGGTTCGATATCCTCCCAGTCCTTTGTTTTCATGAAGCTGTCCCCATCTCCCAATGCCTCATTATCATCGTGCCTACAGGAAATCTGTTGAGATATCAGGTCTAGCATGACATTTGCAATGCACTTACGTTCTGAATAGCACCTGTCCCTGCTCATTCTTCCAGGCAGACAATACAAACACTCTCATCCTGCATTGTCTCCACATCTTGTTGGAGAAGTGCTCCATGTATGCGGGTCCCTTCTTACCAGCGACTTGCACTTGGATCTTGGGAGGAGGAATGTTGTTGGACCATTCGTCGGCTGTTTCTTTCACCTTCTCCAACTCTTCATCCGACAATTCTTCCATCACCTTCTGGACGGTCACCTGGTAATACTTGAACATATCCGGAGCTCCTGGCTTCGCCCCGTATTCTGCCTCGATCCTCTTGAGCACGTCATCTCTGTTCTGCTGATAGACCACCATCCTAGGGGTCCATTTCCTCCCATACTTTATCGTGTCCTTTGTTTCCTTCTTTTTCTTGTTGTTGAACAACCAGGTTTTATAGATCTGAGCGAACAACAAACAATCAGTGTTGAAAACATTGAGGTTTCAACCTGCATGGATGCATCACCTGCTTCCTCTTTTTCCATTGTCCATGGTCGAGCTTCAGAGAAAACAACCTTGCCACTCGAGCTATGGCTGTGAATATTCCCGGTTTCTCGTGCCATTTTGCGGCAGTCCACTCAGGAAGGTAGTTTTTGAGTTCTAAGATCTCTTGTTCCGTGAGCTTTTGTCTCGGTTGTAAATGTCATCTGTGTCTTCTGTCTGAGATGTGAATGGAATCCCCCGATCTAGCCATGGTAAAATGGAGTGCAGGATGCACGTATGGGAGGCAACGTTGAAGAAATAATTGTCCTGAGTTCAAATCTGAGCAAACCTTACATCTTGGTTCATCAATGAATTTCGGACGCACTGCCTTGCATCCAAATCAATTCGTAATAAGCCTACAACAAGACTGGATGACCCCATAATGGAATCACAAATTGTTTGACCTCCCTCGGTGAAACTTCAGCCAACGACATCAGAAGTAAGATGAAGATCACTCAATCAACCCCTGTGCAGAAATCATACAGGGTGGAAGCAAGGGGCAGGAAAGGTAGGAAGACATGGGTCAAGGTCCCACTGGCTAGCACGATGAAACGTGCCAGCAGGTGCATGCCTCCATCCCCCCCGGAATCACCGACACTTGATCCTGCTCAGGCTCCGCCTTTGTGGGAAGACATCGCTAATGATGTGTATGAGCTCAACGAAGGATCATTTGAGCCTTTGCACCTGCCAAAAACCATGGCAAGTTCATTGAAGATGTTGCACGGTCGATCGAAACATGGCTGAATGAATTCAATGCAGAGTCAGAACAATTACCTTAGGCAATGGCTGCCGAAGCAGGAATCATATCTCCATCACCTCCTCAATTGAGAAGCTCCCCTGGCAAATAGGAGGTGCTCCATCTGTGATCAGGATGGGGTATACAAATGTCAAGATTGTCTTGGGGAGCCGCTGTATTGCACGGGCTGCTGCAAGAGTCAACATCGATGCAATCCCTTCCACTGGATCAGTCAGTGGAATGGTCAGTTCTTCGAGCAAAGTTGTCTTGCTCATGTCAGACTCGTGATACACCTCGGTCATGAGGGAAAGCAATGTCCAGTTCTCATGGATAAGTGGGATTTGTTTCAAGAAGATGAATCCAACGATCACATCAAACCGGAAGATTTACCATCTGTCTCAGGCCTCGAGTTCCAGCCAAAGGACAATACCATGATCATCGTCGACAGGTCCGGAGTCCACCGGCTTGAGGTGCGATGCTGCAGCTGTCCCGATGCAATGAGTCCAGACATTCAAATGTTTCAACACAGCTTGTTCACTGCATCTTTCAACAGGCCGAAGACCTTGTTCACATTCAGCGTTCTCAATGATTTTCTGCTGGACAACCTTGAATGTGGCACCTCGGCAATGAATTATTACAACAAGCTTCGGCGAATGACCTCGAGCACATTTCCACACCTTGTGCCAGTAGGGGACAGTCTATACCTTCTAAGGATGTTTAAACTCACAGCGGATGTGGGCAGGATCGATACCGAGAGCTCATGAGGGTCTCCCGGCAGGGGCAACACTTGAAGAACATGAAGTGGCATGGCTTCAGCCATCATTCCAACCACCACGAGCCAGGGGACCTAGCATTGTTCTGCCCGGCATGTCCTCAGCCCGGCATTAATCTATCTCTGACGACAGAAGAATCACTTGATGAGTGAGTCGTCATGAATATGCAATCAAGGATGAGGATATTAACAACTTCAAGCTGGAAATACACCAGGTCGTTCGTGATGGATGAGAACTTCAAAGCAGAACACCTGCATCCAATCAACCCAGACGATGAAGTATGGTTGTCCGATGGATTTGGATTTATGGTTGGAAAGGACAGGTACCAGAGGCATCTTGCAGTAGCTACCGATACTTTGGAAAGGTCGAGCTGCAACAACCATTGAGCTGTCAATCAAGCAAATGTGGCTCAGCACAAGCTGGAGTCCACTGGGATTGGGGGGGTGGCCTGTGCCTGACACGGCTGTTTTGTTCCCCACTCGATCGTAGATTTTCAGAAAGGCGAGAGGTCAGTGAAAATCATCATTCCATGGCCTGGAAGTAACCACGAAGTGATTTCAGACAGATGAACATGGATTATGCCCTATGTGAAGCTGCGGCATACAACATGAAAAGTATCACCAGGGCCGTCACCTTCTATGACATCAACTGTCAATACAACAAGCATCTTCACACTCGGGTCAATCGAGGTCCATTCTTGACAATGGTTCCGGAGCTGACCATAGTTCCCGGAATTGGGCTTTGGCATATCCATGGACATCAGGACAGCTGCTATGTGAGATATGTGTCGAACTTCATTGAAGGCATAGGTTGCATCGATGGAGAGATCATGGAGACCCTGTGGGCCCCCCTCAACCTCATATCTCCTTCCGCTCGGGGAATGTCATCGCCACATAGAAAAGAATGTCTAGATTTTCAGATGAACAATTCTAATTTTTGCAAGATGATTCACATGAAAAGGATGCTCTGCCGGAAATTCAAAGGGGCGAAGTGTGGCATCGCCGAAAGTGGGAAGGCATTTGATAGACTCGATGAGGGGGCACCAGAAAGTTCAAAGACTGTGTGGTTGGCGAGTGAAAGGGTCGCGCAGTTGAACAGAATACATGATCCCGCTGTGATGGACATATATGAGATCAATATCCGGAAGGGTGAGATCATTCCATGGACATCAAAGTATTTGAACTTATAGCACCTGCAGCAACGAGCAAGAAGGAGATCAAGCTGAGATTACTGGAGGAGAATGATGCTTGTCATGCATCACCTTCCCGCTGATCGGTCCAGCACTGCAGTTGGTGATCCAAATGCCCGAGGTCAGCGGAACGAGTCCCTTGCCTGGTTCTGGTCTCTCGACATTGATTTATCGGGGCCGAGTGAGTCGTGGAATGACAAATGTGAGTTTGGGCATACTTTCCAAATGTGAGGATGATCTGACCCAACTGGTGTGAAGTTTACCGAGTTCATTGGCTTTGGGCGAAGGCTCTGAGGGATCGATGGATTGAAGAACTTACGGTAGTGGAACTGGAGATGGACTGGACATGCAACTTCTTCTCGTGCAAGCAGCCCAATGGGATGGACATATGAGGGAGTCATCGGACAGCCGGCTTCGGGGTCATGCCTGCTACATGGCAAGACAATCCCGAATGTACTCATTGCTTGCACAGGATGCGCAGGCTGCTTTTCAGGATCTTACGATGATGCCAATATATCCTGAAGATGAGTGAATATTAACCACCACGGATTTCCAGCATACATCCTAGTAATGTGAATCATTGTGTGGCCCGGTGTTCGGTTGTGTCACAGGAATGATGGTGGAGTTTGAAAATGTCATCCATCCATCAGCTGCCTGTATATCTACACCCTGAACCACTGTCATTGTTATTGCCACTCATACTTTGATGCCCTGAACTACTGTTATTCTTATTTCCATTGTGTCTACTCTTCCATCAGACATGTCTGACTCGCATCCAAGTGGTACATCGACTTCTGCCAGCCAAGATAGAGATCTTCCCCATCAGCTGATCACTCTCAGCGCCACAGATATTGCAGCTACATTGGCGATGGCTGCATCACGTATCTGAGCATGTGTTGCTCAATATCAGAAAGAGGCAGCTGAGATGGATTTGCCGTGTGCACGAATCACCCACTTCAAAACTGGGCTTCAATGGGAGATCTCGGTGAGCAGTGAATGATGTCTACATTGTAGTCAATTCTGACATCGCCGACAGACCTTTGTGACACCAGTCCTGCAGTACTCAGCTGCACACAACATCATTTCAGTCATGCCAATCCCCGTTGCTCATCTGCTGCTCTTGATCCCGCAGCAAAGCTGGACTGAGGTTCCGGACCATGTCTTTGCAGCTCATCTGGGTTAGCTTCAAGATCGTGCAGCTCCCAGCGATCCCTCGCACATCATTCCAGACTATGATACTCCGTGGTGGATGGGGCACACCACCATTCCGAATGAACCTTGGCAATGGAATCGGGTCATGGAGTGTTGTGGATTCCACTATGAGCACTGGCTGGTAAGCACCGAGTACAATTTTAATTACAGTTGATTAATCGAAACATCCAGGGTGGTGTTGAGGATGATGGTCTGATTCTTCTGGAGATGGTGGATCAAACCTCCATCCCATCTCTTATGGGACTTCAGTGGATTCGAGAATGATTGGTGACATTGATCGAAGAACAGCGGGAGGGCATCAGAGATAAGATGGGTGAGATACAAATGTACACTGGTATCCTCACCCGATTGCAGCAAGCCAGGGAGGTGTGCGGCAATGGATTGCAGGAATGATCGGGATCCATAGGAAGGCTGTTATGCTTCAGCACTCCAGCATGTATATACCATAGACATATTCAAATGTACAGAATCACCGAATCCCACATACAGAGTGAGCACCGAGGACCGACCCATCAGCACTTTTTACCGAGAGCTGAGAGCCGAAGACTCCTGGGTCCCGGGTCCAGCTCCTTGGTACTGATGACTGGCATTGAATGCCTTCCAGAATGAATTTCCGAGTGCTCGACGCTCGGTGCTTGGCAGTTGGTACTTGGCGCTCGGCACTCATTAGTGCAGCCTCGGGTCTGATCACTCGGTCCTCGGTGCTCCGTCTTTACCGAGTACCGAGTACCAAGGACTTCCGGGTCCTGCTCCTCAGTAGTGAAGACTGGCACTGAATGCCTCCTGAATGAACTTCCGAGTACTCGACACTCAGTGCTTGGCAGTTGGTGCTCGGCGCTCGGCACTCGTCAGTGCACCGTCGGGTCTGATTGCTCGGTCCTCAGTGCTCTGTCTTTACCAAGTACTGAGTAACGAGGACATCCGGGTCCTGGGTCCTGGGGCTCAATCCTCCATACTGCACCCGGTGCTCGTTACTGCAGACTCGGGTCTGAGGACTCGGTCCTCAGGGCTCCATCATCAGTACTCGGTACTGAAGACTCGGTGAACTCTCTCCGGTAATCGGTCCTTCCACGGCATTCGGTCCACAATCCTGGAGATCCCGTCCTCGGTATGGATCATTGACTCTGTGATACTACCTGGGATACTTGATATTCGGTATTCGGCCCTCGGTTCAATCACTGGTACTCGGTGCATCTTTGATACTCAATGTTCGGTACTCGGTCATCGGTGCTCTATACCAAGATCATGCATCATGTGGCCCTATCTGATCCTCGCAATCTCCGCCACCCCAGATCTGATATCCACCTTAAAGCCGAATTGTAGGCATCATCTTATACTCACCATCGCATTTCCCACCATCAAATACATCCCTTCATCATGAATGTGTCCCCAGACTCCAAGATTGAGATATCCTTCTGGATCTCTTGGGCCCCAACCATCGCCCATGAGGCGAGTGAATATACTGAACAGAAATTCAATGCGGACAAGATGGGAGGGGATCCGGTCATACCTTCTCCTCACCTAGACACCAATCTGGTGATGGCTTGTGATTGATTGGTCGATCGCCTCATCAAAGCATATCACAATCCCAGTGAGTCGGATTGCAGATCCGGATCTTCCATTTGATCATTCAGATTCCTCGATCACAGTTCAGATGCAGATCAATATTGCAAGATACAGCAAATTGATATCCCTGAAGGACACTTATCATCTCCTGAGTGGTTTGACATTCTCACAACTGTGGGGAATTATTCTAATGCTCACATGAGCATGCCCAGCCTTCAGCTGGAGTTCATGTATGATCCTGGGGTCATGATAGCATTTTCAGGAAGGATAGTCAGGCATGGGGTCCATGAAATAGCAGGGGATCGGGTTGCTTGGGCATGGTATATGAGGGATTCAGTCCATATTTATGCAGGTGTTCCTTCATGTGGATGGGCCATGATGGATTCGGTAAAGATTCCATTTGGTGAAACATCGGCCAAGGAAGGTCATTAGTATATTCATAAATTCCATACCTCTGAGAAAGCAATTGAGCCCTGACCGAATGTTGAGCATTGAATACTTTTGATCAGGTTGTAATCATTGAGTGTCAAGCACCGAGCATCACACGCCAAGTCAGTCCCGGGTCCCGACCACCCATAGCCAACCACTCAGGCCTGAGTACTGAGCACCGAGTAACACATTCCAACGTCCAGTATCACCGAGTTAATATCTGTCTTCCTAGGTCATCGGTCTATAAAATCGATAGTTCTATCGGCCCATCTGTCTATACAATCTACAGGTTGATCAGCCCATCTGTCTATTTAATGTACAATCTTATTGGCCCATCCAGTCTATTTAATTTACAGTCCTATCGGCCATCCGTCTATGTAATGTACAGTCCCATCAGCCCATCCATCTATACAATCTACAGGTTGATCGGCCCATCCATCTATTCAATTTACAGTCCCATTGGCCCATCCGTCTATACAATCTACAGGTCGATCGGCCCATCCATTTATATAATCGACAGTTTCATCGGCCCATCCGTCTATTTAATGTACAATCCCATCAGCCCATCCGTCTATACAATCTACAGGTCGATCGGCCCATCCGTCTATGTAATGTACAGTCCCATTGGCCCATCCGTCTATACAATCTACAGGTCGATCGGCCCATCCGTTTATAAAATTGACAGTTCCATTGGCCCATCCATCTATACAATCCACATGTCGATCGGCCCATCTGTCTATATGATGTACAGTCCCATTGGCCCATCCACCTATGCAATCGATAGTTCCATCTGCCCACTAGTCTACATCATTCAAATATCTTGGCCCTCCCATCTCTATCAAATCCCTTACACATAGTGGCAACATTGGCCCACCCATCAACATCGAGGATATTATGACATCGGCCCATGGTCCGCTGGCCCATTTAATATGGGATATTATGTCCCTTGGCTGGCCTGTCTAACACGGAGTTGTACACTGAATGAGCTCTGAAGGCAGTTCGACATGCGGAGACGCATGCATTGCCCCCCAATTGTGAGCCAGGCCACACATGTGCCTCATCCTGCAGTCTGAAGAATACCATAATTGGCAGTGTTGACACTGATTGGGTCTTCAGTAGAGTAGGTGTGGAAGAGATTACAATCTTTGATGAGAGTTACGGTGGTCCCTGAGTCAAGAATGATGGAGAAGGGGAGTGGGAGAGCACAAGCGACTTCATGATCAGGAAGTTCGGCAATGGACACAAATGAGACATCTTCGTACAAGCTGGCGATAGAAGCAGCCACAGCAGCAATGTGAGGTGAAGGAGCAGGAGGTATGACAGCAGGTACTGTGGGCACAGATGACGTAATAGCTGCTGCTGCTTAGCAATGAGTGTGGTCATGATCACCTTTGTTGCAACCTGACATGGTGCAGAAGACACCTTGTGGGTTATGCTTGTGCTTGCGCAGTCCAGTGATGGCATTGATACTGGCAACTGCAGTGGAAGATGGTGCAGCAACAGCATTAGCATACTCAGACCCAGGGCATGCAGATTGAATTGATTGTATATTGACATGATGTGCAGCTTTGGTGGTGATTCGTGACATGCAGGTCTTGAAGGTAAAAGTAGGCAGGGTAGAAGTGGATGATACTGTGATCTGATCATCATACATGCATTGCTCAAGTTGAGCTTTGTGTTGTTGCCAGATTGGTGTGAGCGGTAAACCCATGAGTAGGTTAAAGATTGCATCCACATCACCATATGGTGCCCCTGAGTCAATGAGGTGTTCTCATAAAGCAGCATGCTGCCCGATGAAATTTGACACATCTGCTGAGTCCTTCATGCATAGCACCTGCAACTGCTGGCGGATTTGATATTGTGAACTGATATCATTGTGATTGTAGTGCTCTTTGAGCGTTTCCCATGCTTTCCACACAGTAACAGTATGTGAGCAAGATACAAGTGCACTGACAGAAGGACTGAGACATCATGTGATTAGATCCTTAGCTTTCATGACATCCAGCAACCACAAGCGCATTAATGCTTTGTCAGAGGTGGTGACATTGAGTGGATCAGCAGCGGCAGGCATATGAGAAGGTTGACCAAGAAGGTCAGAAGGATTGGACTTGTTGTTGACATGACACCACAGGTCTTTGCACACGAGTGCGTACTGCATCTTAGTGGACAAACCAACATAGTTTTCTGACCCCAGTAGCTCGGGGATGTGATTGTATTTTCCCATGACAATGTTAGCAAAGGACTGACAAATTAATATGAGTGGCGGGATGATGCAACGAGAGGGGATAACTGTCATATCCTGTACCTCCAGATCCAGAATTCCGGATCCACTCCATTGAAGTCCGGTTCTCGTCCTGCTATTCCGCTCGGTGCTCCGCCTTCATCTCCGCACCCACCCCTAACTCCTTTTAGAATAACTATTGCTCCGGTTACCGGTTATGTCCTTTTCTGCTATGCTTACTGATCCGTCCATTCTTACTTCATTTCTGACTTCACTGCTTTGATCTGTCACACTTACTAATAGACTTTCCACATGCTTCATACATAGCCCTTACCTTTGCTGACTGATTTACTTACATGATACCTACAGTATATAAACCCCTGTAATACTCTGGAACTCCTTAGTTTGAATATCATCTTAGTTCTGCTCATTCCTGCAATCTCCAGACTTGAGTCTCATCTCTTGTCCACCTCCAAGTCTTAGGGGTTAAACCTTAGGACTACTTCTCCAGCTCTACCTTAGGGTAGTCTAACCTCTGTTCTGTTTCTACTCCGGACTTCTGTAGTAGCCTTACTCCATTCCCACATAGACTTCTGGAGTTCCGCCGAACTCCACCGACGTTTGTCCTCCAGAACTCCCTGGACTTCCATTGGACTTCCCCTCTGCCCACTGGAAATTAAGGGCACGTACTTGGGTAAGGGGCGCAGCACACAAGCTGAAGCCAAAGCCCTTTGAGTAGTCTTTCCCTTGAGCACGACCTTAACAATAACAACTTTTAAAGCTTTGGTTCCTGACTCAGTTCGAGTCGGGGCTCATAACCTGTTGGAAAAATAAGCTAATAGATGAGTCTCGGCATTGGTAAAAGAACCACTGTACATTGACAGTACCTAATAGACGAGTCTGGAAACAATTAATTGTAAGAGAGAGTGGGTGTGCAAATGGTTGAGATACATACCTCAGTGTTGGCGAAAGAACTGCTGAGGTATAAATAAACATAGACAGTGATATAATATAGTAAACAGAAAGAGTCCAAGATAATAACAAATGATAACAGACATTGGCGAGTTTTGTTACGCCGAAGTATAACACAGGCAAACAATAATCAAAAAGACCAAAGGTCTGTCGATACGTTCTAGACAGATGTCTAAAGAATGTCCAAGTTCAAGTAAAGACTAAGTACCGAAGAGGTAACTTAGAATCAAGTCAGATGTTCAGAGGAAAACCAGCGTAGGTTAAGCTGAAGAATCAGCGTCACCTAGCCAGGGTTTATATAGTATACTGGGTACAGGGTATGACGTAATAATAGGTATGTATCAGTAAGCACATGCATAAGCAATGAGGCGTCTGAGTAATACCAAACTAAATATAGCATGATAAGAGACATGCGTAGTAAGCATGGATCAAGGGAAAAAGAAGCACGATAAGCACAGCCGTAACAAGTTTACTTTCAACAACACTGAGTATTGCTGAGCATTTAACTGCAAGTTTAACTTAGTAGGGTAAGATACAAGGATGTCAAATGGACTCACCCCCCACCACTGTATAACAGACATGCTCTCTAGCATCAAGATAGTGGTATTGAGATAAAGGTGAAACTCCCTTGCCCATGGTGACTGAGGATCAATAGGTGACTCATCGAGATCACCTTCACTCTCATCACTGGACAACTCACAGAGGAGTACATTTACCTTACCCACCCTCGTTTTCTTTAGTGAAGAAGGGGCTCCATTTTCACCTAGGGAATAGTATGGGTATGCATAACCCATGGGGGTTCATGCTTGGGGTACCCACACCCCTACCCACACCCTTGGTCTGGGTTTGAAAGCAAATACCCAATTCAAAACTCCGAGTAGGCTATGCAGATGGCATGCAAACTTAAAGTCTAAAAACTACTGTTGCAATCATCACACCATGCACCCCACTTTTATCTCAAGCACTGCCAAGTGTATTACAAAACTAACAGATAAAGCAAAGGCTGCACTAGATGAGAGGCAGGGAAGGCCCATCAAAAAAATGCAAGAATGATGATGCTGGTACTAGTGTGACCAGCACCCAGCCCAAGAAGGTCAAGTCAACCCAAGAACATGGTAAAGAAATTGAAGAAGCACCTCCCAGAGTCAGGGGGGACCCACAAAGGCAGCCAGTGGTTCACACCAAGGAAGAAGAAGAAGATGCATTACATTGAAATGCAATCATCATCAGTTATGATGCAAGTGAAGATGCTAACACCAATGACAACAAGCAAGCAAGCACAGATGAAGAAGCAAGTGCAGACAAGGAAGAGAGCACAGAAGACAAACTCAGTAAGCCACATTGCAAGTCTAAAGCACAAGCTAACATTAGTGATCAATAGAAAGATTGATGAAGGAATGGATCTCACTGATCTATGCATTTTTTGATCCTACCCCTATGATTGAGACAATTGATGGCTGTCAAGCACATTCCTTCAAGTGCTTGGCCAAGGGGTACAAGGCTAAGGTCTGGCAGCTTCCTTGATAAAAAGATGCACGCTCCATGGGGAACATGTGTGTAAAGTCTTGCTGGGGCAATGAAGTCATGGCAGCCACAGATGACACCAAGCATGCTGATGAAGTTCATATGAAGATTGTTAGCAGTGTTCTGAAGGATGGATCAATTACAACTGCATTCAAATGAAAAGGGAAGGGTAAGGTAATGTACTCGCATCATCAGCATACCAAGACTGAGATGAAGTAGGATGACAGCTTGACAGATATGTTGTGATGTTGATGTAGTTACTTTCAGAGCAGAAATCACGTGCTGCTAGACTGGTGTTTGCCAAGACTAGACAACAAATCACTAAAATGGCAAAGGCACATTGTTGATCAGTTGGATGCATGCACAAAGCTAACCAACTCACCAGGAATACAATGGGAAACTCAATTTTACCACTGACAGATGGACATCACCAAACCACTGCACCCTTGTAGCACTGTTAGTGCATCTTGAGCACAATGGAATCCCACTAAGCATACCATTAGACATTGTTGAGGTTCCCAAAGTGAGCACTCGACTCACCAAGTTAGACTAAATGCGGTGTCTAACTGATTATCAGTCCCATACTGGGAAAGAGCTTGCAGCGGCATTTGAACAAGTCCTAAAATATTATGGAATAACAGATAAAGTGAGTACACAATGATACCATCATAAGACGCACAATAGGACTCACCAAGTGATAGATCCTCAGTATCACATGTGATAATGCATCCAACAATACAGTGATGCTCAAAAGGCTGGTGATCATGCTCCCTGATTTTGGCGGTAAGGCAGCTCACACACAGTGCTTTTTGCACACTGTCAATCTTGTTGCAAAAGTGCTCATATGAGAGTTTGATGTCAAACTGAAGGGTAAGATGGATGAAGTGAACATCTACAATGGTGGCTTGAGTGATGATGAGTCTGTGGAACTTGACGTCGACATGGATGTTGAAGAGAACAGTGAAAGTGATGATCCAGTGGATGATACTAATGGCCTTGTCGATGAAATGGAACTGTTGATGAATGACAAGTGCAAGAAACTGCAAGTGAACATTCGGCCAGTTAAGTTAGTACTGGTTAAGGTCAGTACATCACAAAAGAAAGTACCTTAGCTGATGTATTGTGCAGCTTCAGACACTTGCATTCAAGGTCATCAATTCCACTAACAAGCTCCTCCCTGCTTAGCACAGCATCCTGTAAGACCATAAAATGCCAGTTATGAACATCCCATGAGATGTTGCAACTCGTTGGAATTTAACCTTTGATATGTTGCACTACACATGAAAACATTGCAAAGCAGTTGATGTGATTACACAGTGGAGAGACATGGGATTGAGGGATCTTGAGTTGTTGGATTATGAGTGGTTGATTGTTGGCCAGCTGTGAGACATTCTGAAGGTGTGTGGAGTAGGTGCAAGTTTGGCTGTGTGTACTGACCTAAATCAGACTCCTAACCAGATCCTCAAAGACACTACTTCATTCTTTTCTCAGTCAACTCCCAACCTTGCTATGGTCATTCTGGCCATGGCCTTGATTGATGATAAGCTTACTGCTGACTCCAAGAACTACAAATATCAACCCTCAATTTGCAGTGCTGTTGGACTTGCAAAAAAAACCTTGACCCAGTACTGTTAGGTACCTGTGCTGGGCTCAAGAAGCAGAGGGGTTGGGGCTTGGCTTCAGCTCTTGCGCTGCGCCCTTAGCCGAGTACGTGCCCCGAATTTGGAGCAGGTCCGACGTTGTCCGACGATAGGACAAGTGGTCTGCTTTGGTCCGCTTTGAGGGCCAGGGAGGTAAGTGCTAATAGTGGCGGGCCAACTAGGAGTGGAGCGGAGAAGGTGGAGGATAAGGCGGAGGGTGGATAGGAGCAAGGGAGATGATTGGTAGGGGTGGAGAAGTAAAGGGGGAGACTTAGAGCACGGCTCTAAGTTGGAGCAGAAAGTCAGAGGTGACAACAAGATGAAACTTGTGTCCAGAGGAGGCAAGGTCCTACTGAGAATTCTCACAAGTAGTAACTACAAGAAGACAAGTAATTGTTAGGTACCGTGCCGACTCAGGAAGCAGAGGGGTCGGGGCTTGGCTTCAGCTCTTGCGCTGTGCCCTTAGCCGAGTACGTGCCCCGAATTTGGAGTGGGTCTGATGTTGTCCGACGATAGGACGAGTGGACCACTTGGGTCCACTTTGAGGGTCGGGGAGTAAGAGCTACTAGTGGCGGGCTGACTAGGAGTGGAGCAGAGAAGGCGGGGAGTGATGCAGAGGGTGGATAGGAACAAGGGGAATGTTCAGTAGGGTTGGGGAAGGCAGAGGATAATGTGGAGGGACAAAGGAGAATATTTGATAGGGGAGGAGTAATAAGGGAAAGACTTAGAGCATGGCTCTAAGTCGGAGTGGAGGGTCGGAGGGTCGGAGGTGACAACAAGTTGAGACTTGTGTCCAGAGGAGGCAAGGTCCTACTGAGAATTCTCACAAGAGGTAACTGCAAGAAGACGAGTAATATTAAGACTGCCAAAAATATCTAAGTACATGATATGTTATATACTTCTATGTATGAGGCAGTGACCAGGATAACTATGTTGTAAAGCTATGTACCAAGGATATAATTTGTAAGTGCTTACACAGGTGAAGACACATGTCGGAGTGGATATCGATATGTATGTGTCGGATCAGCGATCGAGCTGGTAATAGGAATTACCGGTGATCCGGAAGTAAGGGTCTATGTACCGAAAGGGAAAGCATATATCTAAAAGGGGAAAGAGGTCCAGTTGAATGGAGATGTTATGGAAGGGGACCGGTTGAGCGGTTGAGCAGAAGCGTAGGGTGCAATGCGGACTTGTGATTGGATGGAGCAGAGGATGGATGGAGTGGAGGGGGTCGGAAAGTGGAGCGGATATTGATATTAGAGCGGTCAGATCAAGTATATGACAGTAATATTAAGACTGGAGACAATATCTAAGTACAGGATATGCTATATACTTCTAAGTATGAGGCAGTGGTCAGGATAACTATGTTGTAAAGCTATGTACCAAGGATATAATTTGTAAGTACTTACACAGGTGAAGACATAAGTTGGAGCAGATATCAATATGTACGCATCGGATCAGTGATAGGGCGGTAAGAGGAATTACCAGTGATCCGGAAGTAAGGGTCTATGTATCGAAGAGGAAAGTATATATCTAAAAGGGGAAAGCGGTTCCAGTTGAATGGAGACGTTATGGAAGGTGACTGGTTGGGTGGTCGAGCAGAAGCATAGGAGCGGAATGCAGACTGTGATTGGATGGAGCAGAGGATGGATGGAGTGGAGGTGGTCAGAAAGCGGAGTGGATATTAATATTGGAGTGGTCGGATCAGGTATATGACAGTGGAGAAGACTTGTGTGGATTGTGGATATGTGTCATATTCCATACCTCTGGACCCGGAACTCTGGATTCTCCCTCATGAAAGTCCAGGTTTCCATCCTTTTCTCTGTCCTATTGTCCACCCGGCACTCCGCCTTCATCTCTGTACTCACATCTATCTCCTTTTAGAATATTGCTCTCCAGTTACTGGTTGTACACCTTTCTGTTTTGCTTACTGATACTGTCCTGTCTTCACTTCATTTCCGACTTCATTTCTTTGATCTGTTATACACATATTAATAGACTTCCCATATGCTTCAGGCATAGTTTTTACTTTGCTGACTGATTACTTACATGATACCTACAGTATATAAACTCCTGTAAAACTCTGGTACCTCCTCAGTTCAAATATCATCTTAGTTCTGCTCATTCCTGCTTCTCCAGACTTGAGTCTGATCTCCTGTCCACCTCTGAGTCTTAGGGTTAATCCTTAAGACTATATCTCTGGCTCTACCCTAGGGTAGTCTAACTTTGTTCCATTTCTACTCCGGACTTGTCCGAAGTAGTCTTACTCTATTCACTCCTAGCCTTCCAGGAGTTCTACTGAACTCCCCCTGTGTCTGACCTCCGGAACTTACCCGGACTTCCAGTCAGACTTCCCCTCTGCCTCTCAGAAATTAAGGGCATGTACTTGGGTAAGGGGCACAGTGCACAAGCTGAAGTCAAGCCCTTTGAGTTACTCTTCCCTTGAGCACGACCTTAACAGAAGCAGAGAATGCCCGTGTCCAGCAAGTGAACCAAGAGAAGGAAGAGAAGACCCAGAAGGGCATTGAATGAGTTGCCACTGCACAGGAAAAGCTCTCTCTTCAGCAGACCAACACCTTGGCTCCAAAGAAACCACATCCTTGTCCCATTCTTCATGGTGGAAAGGCAACTCCAGCAAGCACTCCCTCTGAAGCTGGACCTCTAGCTGTCAATCAATCAAGTAAAGAACCAGCTGGTGTGGATGGTGGAGCCAGTTTGCAAGGTCAGGGAGATGCAGTGGAAAAGCTTCAAGTTGATGAAGCTGATGAAGATCCTGGAGCAATGCAAGGAAAGAGGAAATGTATGCAGAAAACAGTGCATCATGATGCTGTCAACGTCTATCCTCATTTCCAAGTCAACATCAGATGCTGATGTGAAGTCAAGTCCGCATGCATCACATGACTTAATTGGCAAAGGCAGAACTCTGGCACAAGTACTTTGATCATAAACCACCATGTTGTTACTGACCACACCCACACTCTTCTATTGGAACCTACTCAATGATTTTACCAGTGATTTGAAGCAAGCATACATAGGTGCTATCACAACATGGGCCCAGAGGGTTCACAAGGTAAATATCAAGAAGAATTCCCACTCAGTGAAAATGCCAAAAAGCCTGGCAACATCATCTCTCAATCAGTCCACCAACACAGCACTCTCACAACTCACCAGGGCAACAATGGCTGCAAGCACTGCAACTCCTTCACCAGGAACTCCAACTAACTTAGTCTTTAGCAACAATTCAATTCAAAGGGTGCAGGATGCTTTCCAGATGAGGATGATCATCCCAAGTATATGGCAGCACATGCACTTGTAGGAATTAAAAAGCCTAGTGGTTTGCAGAATGTTGTGGTGCCAGTTGTGTATTTAAAATTTAACCTCTGATTTAATTCTAAGTACTTTGTAGGACATCATTGAGGTTAGGAGCAGTTTACTCACACTGCCTCTGCCTCTGCCTTCACAACATGATCATAATGCCCTTCTCAAAATGGAGCATGTTAACATCACTATGGGCTTCAGCAACAATTCTGCTCAAGATCTTATGTTCTTGGAGGATATGGAGGGTGATGGTGATGGTGATGATGGTAATGAGGATTCAGTCATTGAAGAACACTCCAACCCTGCTCAAGCAAGTAAGTGGACAACGATAATGGTATGTTAATAAAATGATGCACTATGTGGTACTCAATAACTCTTTAGATGAACATGGAAGTCATCAATAATGATTCTGATGAGGCTCCACCCACCAAGCACATCAAAACAGAAACCAGACTGAAGCCTGAAAAGGGCACCAGAGAAGTCATGAAGGTGAAATAGAAGAATAGTGACCTCCCAGCTGACTGCCTCGACAACAACACATGGTGTGGCATTTTCATTCCCACTGTCGCCCATGCTGCTGGTGGAGACAACATTGATCCATGGCTCATCAAAGATGATGCCCTCATTCCAATCCTAAAGGAAGCTTGGACAGTCATTTATGATGGAAAGCCATCATTGATGAGCCAGACCATTGTCCCAGGAAGTGTGGTCTATCAAGTTGTAAGTCTCACAAACTATCTCCCTGATCAATAATTGATATTCTTTCATGTAGACAAAGCAGCGCTAAAGTGAATGGCATGGTGGATTTGGCTCTGCAGCTGTCATGATGTTCATGACATTCATGGCAGCTGACCCACTTTATGATGACATGGACAGTCATTGTGGGGTTCAGTTGCTATTGTGATATCAGTGCTACTGCAGCCAATTCAAGTGTGTTTGACCCTATAGGGGAAGCAGTGCAATGCAAACCATGAACAACAAGTTGTATTGTCCAACCTAATAGTTGATGTCAATGCCGATGCTGATGCTGACTCAGCTGAGCAAAGTGGAGCAAAGTGGAGCAAAGTGGAGCGGTTCTGAGCATTCCTGAGTGATGAATGAGTGGAATAGAAGAGGTGTGTGTGTAGTATGATGAGCGAACATTTAAGAGAGTTGGCCGACGACTCAATGAGAAATCACACAAGAAATTGTTCCAAGTGAGAATTTGCTAGAGAAACTACTAAGAACATGGGTGGAATATATAGTAAATGAGACTAAGCGATGAAGGGGAACTTTGGGTCGCTTAAGATGCCTCATGGATTGCTAAATACTCGATTCTCTGTGTCCATGTAATAAGGTGTGAGGTGGGGCGATAAAAGGCTGATAAGCGGTCCGATTATGCAAATGGGGATGGAAAGCGATCAAAGTAAAAGATATATGTACCAGTAGATGACAGGCCAATGACATGAGACAATGGACAGTGACCAATTGCGTGTGCAGACAATGTCCGACTTGGATCGATTGTGACCGACTGGGCTGATCATCGGCTGATGTCGATGTGGAGTGGCAGTGTGGGAAAGTGGGTCAGAGAGGATCGGAAAGATAGGGGATACTAGCTCAGTAGCAATCGGCTTCCTACACCATGCTGATTTCACTGATTTTTGGCTTGACAACAACAGGTGGCTATTTGCAAACATCAAATCAGATGACAAAAAGGTTTGTCACATCCAATTGTGTTTGTGTCTGTCATATTCTGACCAATTTTCCATCCTGGAGCTGTGGACAGGAATGTGGCAGTTCATTTTCATCCTGCAAACATTTGCAGCACACCTCAACTATACACAAGGCCACAGCTTCATCCCATCACTTATGAGCAAGGAGCAATCTTGTCAAACAGCCCTTGTGCTCTCCTGAGCAGCAGTGATTATTTTCATGACTAATTTTAATCATCATGCTTATTTTTACCTAGGTCAAGCATGCTCTTCATCTTCTGTCAACCAAACAGATGAGCTTTGAGGTCAAGTCCACCATTGCCAAGGGCAAGAAGAAGGCAACACAAAAGGGCAAGGCTTCAGCTGCCAACAGGGAACAGTGGACTGCTGTGATCAGCAAGAACAAGACTTTTTCAGAGCCACTGTGGGGATACAACATCTCAATGTTTTTGCAGGCAATCAATCACATTCCCTCCAGCAATATGAAAACCATCATCAAACAGGTGCAACAATACATGAAACCCACCACCACCCATGATGGATGGTCAAAGAGGGCAGAACGTCAGAACGGGGGTCCTCCGAAGGAGGACCAACGGACTACTAGGTGAGCACGGGGAAGTCAGGCGGGGGTTGTTCCTCCCAACAGAAGAGAGGTTGAAGGCTACTGTGGTCGGAAACACAGTAGAAGTGGAGCAGAAAGGACTGCTCGGACAAGTCTGAAGCAGAGCAGAATGAAGGGGACAGATGTAGCAGGGTGCTGGGATCAGTTCCGACGTGTGGGAAAGGCAGCTGATGTGCAGGGAGTCAGATGAGCAGAGGAATGGAGGAATGGAGGGATGGGGGAACAGCAGAACAGCAGAACAGTGGAACAGTGGAACAGTGGAACAGTGGAACAGTGGAACAGTGGAACAGTGGAACAGTGGAACAGTGGAACAGTGGAACAGTGGAACAGTGGAACAGTGGAACAGTGGAACAGTGGAACAGTGGAACAGTGGAACAGTGGAACAGTGAACAGTGGAACAGTGGAACAGTGGAACAGCAGAACAGCAGAACAGCAGAACAGCAGAACAGCGGGGAAGAGACCAACCTAGGGAGTCAATCCCCTAGGTTGGCAAATAGGAGTTGACTCAGGTTAAGCCTAAGTCAAAGGACAGAAGAGCAGGACTTAGAAAAGGTGATATTCAGACTAAGGATCTACAGACAGATGTACATATGTTCATATACTCTAAGTAAGTAGCATAGCATAGCAGAAGGCTATGTGCTGAGTGTACAGGATTACAAGAGAGATGACTGAGACATACAAAAAGAGGCTTGGAGAATAGTATGTACACGATGGATCAGAAATCACTTGGGTATAGGGATTACTGGTGATCCAAAAAGCGGAACTATGATACTAAATGGAGATAGGACCAGTTGAGTGGTTCCTAGTCTAGGAGTGGACCAGGTGAGGCGGTCGAGCAGACTAATCATCGGGTGGGGCAACACAAGCAGAACTGAAGGAACCAAGCAGGTTGGAAAAGCGGAGGGAGTAGGAATAGGATTGGGCAGACCGATAGGGCGGAGAAGCGGAACCCCAGATAGGGTCGGATGGTAGGGATATGGTGTCGGAGGAAATAGGGGTAGTGTCAGAGGAGTGGAGCGGAGTTGGGCAGGAGGTAGCAGGGCTAGTCCTGCTGAGGTGCACTTCATGCATTGTCAGAGAAGGAGGGATGGAGCGGACGGCAAAACAGGGGGTCAGACCAGGGGTGGGGATGTTCACAGGTGGTATTGGAGGTGCCCGGATCCGGTATATGACAGATGCCCAAGATGAGGATATTGATGAAGAGTATGCTGACATCTTTGCCTTTCATTGAAGGTGTTTTTTTGTACTGATTCTATGTGCACCACTGACAACTCTCTACAAAGGTGATGCAGTCTTCAATGTTTCTCTCCTGGCGCTTCATCTCAGGTACTTCCTCCTATTCCTTCAGAAGTACCGCCATTCAGCTCATTTATAGTGTTGTATAGCCTTTGTCCTCCTCCCTTCAAACAAGTCCGACCAATGCTGGTGTTCACTTGTGCTTCATCAACATCATGGTAAATTTTGCTACATTTTTTGTGTTATCTGAGTCATTCAAACTGTCTGCAAGTCGCTGCTGTCACTCTTGCTACAGTTCCTTGCTTGCTTTCTGTCCTATTGCTGCCCATTCTTGCCGCCTCTCACTTTTTTCACCATCATACTGCTGCAATTCTAATGTTTTCATTGCTTATATCACCCTTGCACTACCCTTTAGTTTGTCTGTCTGAATGAGTGTCTTAATCCCCTCTTTACCATTGCTTGCAATCCACGAGTTTTGTTTTGGAATTAGCGCATTAAGATATGGTCAAGTCAAAAATCAAGAATTTGGATCAAATTATTTTAAGAGTGTCTGTCTTAGCGCATTTAGACTTGATTTGTTCTTGAATTGCTCTAAGCCTCATTCAAGTGTCTTTAAGAAAAGCTTAAGTAACATACACTTTTCCTGATGAAGATCCTACCATGAATCAAATTCACCAGTGCCTCAACCCATAACCAACTAATATATCCTCTCTATTGCTCATCAACATGAGATCAATGGTTTAACCCTAGGACCTCAGTCAACCAGAAAATTATGACCTGCCAGAAGATCCCATGCACACCAACTCTAACACAGGAAACCCAAGACATGTTCCTGTCTCACCAGCCCTTCTGGACACTCATATCTTAACCTATTGCACATCCTACTTGATTTCTGTTAGGTCTGTGCAAGCAGCTGAGCACATGTTATTTGCCTCATAGTCAGTTACATACACACAAGTCTACTTATAGTCACCCCCTCTTTGACAAATCACCCATCTAAAACAGCTGGTGGGAACAGTGGATTGATGGGGGCATGCCCTACATCAATGCATTTGGGGATTTGAGTCAGGATTTGAGTCAGGGTTGGGACATGGGGTCCCAAGACTAGACAGTACTGTCCTACATAGAGTTTCACTCTCAATGGACAAAAAATTGGAATAAAAAAAAAACCTATTAATTCCAGGTTAATAATGGTTACAAATTAGTCGCGCTGCAACTGCCTTGTTCTTCAATTCACTTCAACACTCTAGATAAATGCAATAGGATACACTAGGTAAGTTGTAGTCAAAAACACATGAAAGGGGCATGCATCTGGGCCGGACAGGCACAACGCCAAAATGATTCCAACTTAGTTTTAAAATCCAAATACCACATCACTGAAAACCAAGATCTATGATAAACCCTTATATACACATTATAATCCCAACAATACCTATAATCAGATAAAATATGGCACTGCAGAAGCCATAGTCTTGTATAGGGATATACTGTTATCCCTTATGACCAATCTTTATCACAATAACCTGTGTCTGGCATTAGTTGAATGAATTTGACTGTGTAAAAACTAAAACAGATTGAAAAACATGCTTGATATGTTTATAGTATGTAGTTTCCATGCTTCAGACCATTGTTGCCGGTTGTGCAGCTTATTTACGGATGCTTGATTAGTGATTAATTTATATCATATTTAGACAGACCTGCCAGTCACATCAGGTTATATATACACCTACATTGTTATCCTCCTCAAGTAACAACAATCATGATGACCTATATTTAGCATTAATTGGATGAATCTAGGTATGATAATACTGAAACTTAGTTTTTAGCAGTAGCAATCACGTCCAATGTCATATACCGGATCCAAGCACCTCCAATACCACCTGTGAACATTCCCACCCCTGGTCCGATCCCCTGTTTCCCCGTCCACTCCATTCCTCCTTCTCTAACAATGCACGAAGTGCATCTCAGCAGGATTAGCCCTGCTACCTCCGCCCAACCCCATTCCGCTCTTCCAACACTACCCCTATGTCCTCTGACATTATACCCCTTCCATTCGACCTTATCTGGGGTTCCACTCCTCTGCCCTATCAGTCCACCCAATCCTACTCCTACTCCCTCCACTTTTCCGACCCACTCGGTTCTGCTCATCTTGTCCCACCCAACTATTAGTCCATCTGACCGCCTCACCGGTCCACTCCTAGACTAGGAACCACTCAACTGGTCCTATCCCCATTTAGTATCATAGTTCCGCTTTTCAGATCACCGGTAATCCCTATACCCTAGTGATTCTGATCCGTCGTGTACATACTGTTCCCCAAGCCTTATTCTCGTATGTCTCAGTCATCCTATTGTAATCCTGTACACTCAGCACATAGCCTTCTGCTATCCTATGCTCATCACTTAGAGTATATAAACATGTGTACATTTGTCTGTAGATACTCAGTCGGAATATTACCTTTTCTAAGCCCTGCTCTTCTGTCCTTTGACTTAGGCTTAACCCAAGTCAAACACCTGTTTGCTGACCTAGGGGATTGACTCCCTAGGTCAGCCACTTCCCTCCTCCTCCACTTCTCCATTCCTCTGCTTCTCTGTTCCTCTGCTTCTCTGTTCCTCTGCTTCTCCGTTCCTCCGCTTCTCCATTCCTCCGTCCCCCCATCCCTCTGCTCCTCCACCCCTCCGTTCCTCCGCTCGTCCGACTTCCCGTGCATCAGAACTAAACCCCACACTCTCGCATCCGTCCCCTCTGTTCTGCTCTGCTTTGGTTAGCATTAGCAATCACGTCCAACCTGATAGTGTATGAGACTAGTGCATCCAAATACTGTCAATGGTTCTCATGTGTCTGGCAGACGGAGTAAGTAAAGTTGTTCCATGTCTAAACCAATGAAAAATACCAGACATAAATTATCTTATAGAAAGTTTCTGACACCATGAGTCTTCGTTTACTAAAGTGAAAGATATGTTATGTTTTGCTATATGTAACATAGATGGGTAATTGCTTCATAAGAGCAATACAGTTTTGATGTCCCAGTGCAAACAATTTGTTGAGAACCAGCTAATGAATGACAAACAGGTATTGTATCCTCAACTATACAATGCCAAATTACCATTGCAATGTGATGCACATATATCATGATAAACCAGGAACAACTCACAATGCTATTGTTTGTAATTTTGGGTAGCTTTACCCGTGGGACACATACAAATCACATAGTATGTACTACTTATACAAGTAGGAAGTATTATATGTAGGAACCATAGCAACAGTGTCATTGATGGGGAGACGGTGGAAGGGGAAAGATGGAAGAGGGACAGAGACAGAAATGGTAGCTGAGGGAGGGAGACAGCAGAGGGAAGGAGATGGAAAAGGGAAGAAGATGGAGACGGAGATGGCAGAGGGAAGGAAACGGCAGAAGGAGGCAGAAGGCAGAAGGGGGGACATGGTGTAAGGAGGGAGATGGCAGAGGAAGGGAGACAGAGACGACAGAGAAAGGGAGATGGAGATGACAGAGAGAGGGAGGTGGAGATGACAGAGAGAGAGACAATAGAAGGAGGGAGATGGAAATGGAAATGGAGACGGAGATGGAGACAGTAGAAGGAGGGAGGCAGTAGAAGGAGGGAGGCAGAGATGGCAGAAGGAGAGAGATAGCAGAGGTGAGGGAGACAGTAGAGGAAGGGAGATAGCGAAGGAAGGGAGAAGCATTGCAAGTTTGGAGCCAATTAGGCTTGTCCAGCCCATGTCCGAGCAACTGACAACTGTTCAACCCTTTGGGGGTGATAAACAGACACATATTTGCGACCGAAAACTTTGCTAATATGCAATATAATGAGATGGAGGACAAAGAGCAGCGGCAGACTACTCACTAGTTCCACCATAGTAAAATATCATCTACTTCATTTGCTGCATCTTGTGTTGGGGGAAGCTCAAAGAAATCAACAATATGGTTATAGAAAACTTTGCTGTTGAAGTCATCATCCATGATCCGCCACAAGCTAGCATGGGACAAAGCAAAGCAAAGCTAAGCCATCACATTAACAATGCAAGGTGCCAATCAGAAGTCATACTTTATACCTGGACAGTGGCATATGCAATTGCCCGCGGTTGAGTGGATTTCATGTTGAGTAGCCCTGCGACATCACAATGTGTGTGCCACTCGCCACTTGTCCAAATCCTTCGGCACTTTGAATGTCCATGTGCAGAAACCTCATTAGAACTGGTCTGCTCTGGGTCATCAAGCTCTGTAGAGGTGGGAGATGTAAATATGGCTTTAAATGTCTGTAGCTCATTTCAGGAAAGTGCTGATCATCTGCACAGCAAATCATACCTTTAATAGCAACTTCCCTTTAAATAGGCCATCTCTAGGATTCCTAGCGTTGTAATGTCCATCATACAAGAGTGTCGGCCAAGAGTAAGCTGTCACCCTATAATCAGGGTGGTAGTCCCAAATATATTGTTGAACACTGCTAAATTGGTCAACAAAGGTGTTGCCCAACAAACAAAACTTACTCAGAGTTGTTCCAGTCGTGATTGACAGGACATAGAAGCCTTCCTGTTGCATTGTTGTAGAAACCATGGCCAGTCTTGTCATAAGTGTAAAGAATGGGGTCTGGTGGTGGGGTACACTCTGATAACCAAGAAATGACAAGTGTCTTGAGTTTCATTGTATCATCTGCCCTAGCTGAATCAGCTTCTTTATTCAGCTAGAAGAAAGTGTTATTTAAGCAAGGCCTACTCATTGCAATGTCTCACCTGGCTGTACACAAATGCCAGGTCATGGTCCTTGTCATATCCCATACCTCCGGATCCGGAATTCTGGATCTACTTCATTAAAGTCCAGTCCTCCATCTTTCTGCTATTCCACTGATCCCTCCATTCTTACTTCATTTCCGACTTCACTGCTTTGATCCATTACACTTACTAATAGACTTTCCACATGCTTCATATATAGCCCTTACCTTTGCTGACTGATTTACTTACATGATACCTACAGTATATAAACCCCTGTAATACTCTGGAACTCCTTAGTTTGAATATCATCTTAGTTCTGCTCATTCCTGCAATCTCCAGACTTGAGTCTCATCTCTTGTCCACCTCCAAGTCTTAGGGGTTAAACCTTGGGACTACTTCTCCAGCTCTACCTTAGGGTAGTCTAACCTCTGTTCTGTTTCTACTCCGGACTTCTGTAGTAGCCTTACTCCGTCCCCAAATAGTCTTCTGGAGTTCCACCGAACTCCACCGACTTCTGTCCTCTGGAATTCCCCGGACTTCCGTCGGACTTCCCCTCTGTCCCCCGGAAATTAAGGGCACGTACTCGGGTAAGGGGCGCAGCGCACGAGCTGAAGCCAAAGCCCTTTGAGTAACCTCTCCCTTGAGCATGACCTTAACAGTCCTCAACCAATGACTTTGTTAGTTTATGTATAGATGGGCATGATACAAGAAGTTTCTTGAATGATCTGTACCGTCTATTATCACTAATAGAAGTTAACTGTTAGCTTTAGTCACTGGCAATGGAAAATGACTTACTCGGGATCCTCAGACTCGAACTTGTCTGCATTGTATTCGCTGACAGCACCAAGTACCATATGTCGATCATGTTCCACAACTAATTGTCCAATATAACTGGTCAGACAAACTAGTCGTCGAATTGCTCTACCCTCAATATGGCAGTGGTTACTGCAGTTAAATCAATAGCATGGACACGTGTTTGAAGGTCGGACACACCTTTTCTCTTTGCAAGGTTCCTTGCGGAGCACTTCATTTTGCGCCTGAAGAACATCAATTTGTCTCTTCAAGGGAGCTACAATATCAACAGGTAAGTTATTGTCTGAGAGGGGAGTCTGCGACATCTGAAATAGACCTCACGTTTGAAAAGCATGGAGTGGAGGAACAAGAAAATTTCATTATAGCCTGAGTAATATAAAGGAATCAGCGCACATTCAAGTTTGATCCAATGTTAATTCACACCGCGTATAAGATCTTGCCGATTTACGTGTCGGTAGACTGTTCAGAACTAAATGGTAGATGAACATCAAAAAACGGGGATAAATACTTCGGAAACAACTTGAAGTTTTCCATATCCTGGAACTAGGGCAAGCCATACACACCCTTAATACATTTGTGACTAAGTTATGTCAGCAATGGAGAGCTAGATGGGACACACACCAGCATTGTTCTCCCCTGGCACTGCTCCATGCACTGTAGTGGCCTAGCCCCAAGTCATAAATTCCAGATTGAATGTGGCCGTTCTAACAGTTCTGATTCCAGGGGGGGAAACCATGAGCAAAAGAATTCATGAGCCACTGTCACATTCAAAGTGAAAGACGCTTGACTCCGATCAAGACTCTGTGAGTGCCAGTTCAATATTGGCAATACCACTGCTTCAAAATACTTACCTGCAGTTGCATGCAGGATCAGAGGAGTTTTGGACTTGATATTACAAATGCGCAGTGCACAGCACCAATGCCTGCCACTGAAGTGCTGCCACAGAAACGTAGGAAGCTAGGAAGGGCAGTTGAGGGTATGGGGAGTTCAGTACAGTCCCTTGAAGTTCTCCTGAAGGTTGCAGAAGCCATTGAAAAACAAACAACAGTTCTTTGGCAGATCTGCAATGCAGTGAAAAGCGTAGAATTTGAAGCTCAATGATGGATGCGATTGCTAGAGAAGATAGGATAATATTTGTATCCAGTACAAGAATAGTATAGCCTGCCATGATGTTCAATGATGGTGAAACTGCAGACAGTCATCAACGAGCAGCTAGAGGTTGAAGGAATCGTGGAACAAGAGTCGCTGTGAAGGACCAGTGAATATAGTTGGGTATAGCCAGTTCAAGAGACCCCATAACTCGACCAGATTATTTTGTACAGGTGTGCCAGTAAGGACTAGCAGAGCAAGCTGGTGAGATGACGAGATACATTGCAACCGAAACACCTTACTGAGTCTGTACAGTGAACCTATACCACAGACTTTTTTGAAAAGGTTCATATCAGAATTCTTGATCCTGTGCCCTTTGTCGAGAACATAATACATACAATACAATGTACTTACTCAAGTACTCACTTCAATATTCAATCTGATCTACATATGCTCGCAATGGGATCCTGGGTGGAAAATGCCGATTGTGACACTTGTTGTCTTCTTGACAGCCCCTGCGATCATGGATAAGGCCAAGCAAAGAGCAACAACTGTCAGGCAAGAAAACCTGCAACACAATACAAAGGGACCTCTCTAGGAGCAAGTTCCCCTCAGCTCATCAAACGGACTTCCCATTTGGCTGCAATTCCACCTTCAAATCCTGCAGCATTGGATCAAATTTTCCATGGTTTTCATCTTGCAACCTCTTCCTTGGTAAAAGAGCCAAAACCCGAAATTCCCAAAAGAGATAGTCAGTTCTTCCCTTTGGACATTCACACCTAGGTTGAGCTTTTGTGATAGTTTTGCAGCAGGCAGATTATCGCTTTTCTCAGAGAAGGACAGCCTGAGGGCACCAACACTGATTGCAAGGTATGAGGCCTTAAGGCACAGTTTCCCACGGTAATCTCGCACGCTGACTCATCCCAAAGACCTTTTCTGATGTCTCCATCGATGATTGGGATTTCATTATGGAGGCCATCACCGAAGATGATAATCACCAATTCAATCAATACAAGTAAGTTGTGTGCGATAATCCAATAATCACTAACAACTCTTTCTTTCAGACTATCATATTCCCCATTGTCCAACCAATTGGTTGCAACCCTGCCTACTCCAATCCATGAGAATATTCTCAAGCCATTGTGAGACCCTATCGATGAGGCACTCGGTAGCTTCATAGTCCAGATGAACTCGACCCTCAGGGGGGAGGGAGAGGTGGGGTCTACAGAGAAAGCCCTTGGTATCCCTGATGCATTGGTTGAGTTCCACAATGGAGACAGAGGGCATCTGCAGCTTTGGGGGACCGAGGTTGTGCGCTTGCAGACTTGGGATGCTACCATCGCCAAACTCCAATGTTCCGTCACCTGTAACCGACACATGCAGGCCGTCACACTATTCGATATCCTAGAAAATCACCGCTACTCCCCACCAGCAGAATCATCGCGTGCATTCCAAAAACTGTCGAAGAAGGATAAGGTCACCTTATACCACAAATGGCTTCAAAAGGATGATTCACCGGTCTTCAGTCTGGTCACAGGCTTTACCCACACTTGGGTATCGCCCCTCACCATTGTCGTTACTACTTGGCTCCATCCTGATGATGGGCCATTTGATCTCTATGATCATGATTCGCGATACTTCACAACTGGCATGAGTTTCCTTCCATCTCTAGGTGTAGCTGTATCTGATCACGATGACATGCAATTGTGTCCCAACATGGACGTCACAAGCCTTGACAACCTGCAGCAGCTTTTCCATTGCACATTTGAGAGTGTCAGGGACACCACCATCACCTACATTGAAGAACTCATGGTGGAAGAGGAGGAGGAGTCCAGTGCCTTGTCCGACAACTCTGACATCATAGATGAGTCCAACATTGACAATGAATCCAACATTGCAGAGGCATCTACCATCTTGGAGGAGATCAATGACAGGTAAGTATAAATTTAATAATCATGATATATACCCCTAATCGCATCTCCCAGCCCTGACCCCCTCCAGCTCATTCGTACATGGGTGCCTCTAGTGTCGCCTATAGATTGGAAGAAATTCATGCCCACCTGCGGAATGCTGCACAGCAGATGGGCTATACACATTACTCCACCTGGCACGAGAATTTGATCAAATGCAAAGCTGAAGCAGCGGAGATCTCTTCCAGAGCCTCCAAGAGGACTAGACGGTCATGACGTCACTGGTAAGTACTACTAGATGATTTCTAATTGGACATTCACTAAAGTGCGCTCTCAAGTTTTAGCAACATGTATTCTAGTACACTCAAACAAGTGTACATCGTGTTTCTCATTAAAGCTTGCCAATGTACATGACTCGTGCATTACTGTTGTTGTTTTGTGCCTTGTGTCTTTATGTACCAGCAGCTGTTTTTTTCTGTACTATTACTACATGTACTACATAGAACAGTTGGAAAGATCTTGGGACTAGTTTGCTTGTTCGGTAATGTCTCAGTTCATCACTTACTCGCTGTACTTCTGCTTCTAAGTAACATTAAGGTATCTGCATATCAAATTGTTCGATGCATCAGGGCGGAGGCTACAGGCCCAAGCCTGACCCACCCATGTAGGTGGTGACAGCGGTGCTTTGTCTTGTGATGTGTCTATATCTTTTCTTATACATTTTCTAATTTCTAATGTCTGGTATTACACTACCTCTCACCATTGACTACAGTGAGAAGTTCAATGTCTGTGGCAATTGTATTGTCATGAATGTCGAGAACATCCTCATAGACTGGCCAACATACATGGTCAAGTTCACCCCAAAAAAGCCTGGGACCTGTAGTAAGTGCACACATCACAATATCTGTATCGTTGATTCACACATGTTGATCCTACAGAAACTAATGATACATTTAAAGATGCTTCAAAGGGAGTCTGGGTTGAGGATGCACTATGATTTTACACCTATGTACACACGCCTGGGTCTCAAGTCAATGTGTGCTCTCCTCCATATTAGATTCTTTGGGATATGAATACGGCTTGGCAGGAGCTACTAATATTGATAACTTAGGCTTGTTTGCCATCAGGTTTTAATTAGTTAGACTCTCACCTGCTTGGCAATTTGAAACCCGCTATGCATGTGTCATAGTCATACAAATTGAACAGGCCTTCCGCTTTAGCAAATCGCATGCATGGATTTCATCGAGGCTATTAATAACATGGACAAAGAAATCCATCACCATGAGTGGGCAGAGCCTGTGGAAAGTGGTGAGGCTCTCTGGTGACACGATTTCCATATCATCCAGTGTCCTGACCCCCATCAAAGTCACTGGGCAAAGGAATTTCTTGACCCACTGCCTTCTTGGTTCCGCCCTCTCAAGCTTAGTGAGAAACTCTTCGATTGAAGGATAGGAGCTACATGGATGGGTTTCGATTTCCACATTGCTTATAATGGACGACATTGGGTATCGGGCTGCAGGTGAAGGTAATAATCCCTCTTTCTTCATTTTATCTAGGAGCTGACTGTCCAGCATTGTTTTATTCGATTTATTTCAACTGCATGACAATGATTACCACCCAGCCAAGTCAGAGCAGGAGTTGGTCAGATGCTGTGTGTTCCAATACATGCTGACTCAACAGAGCACGCCATTCTCATGTTTAAGTTGCAGCAGATCTTGTATATGCGGCAATGCAGTGTTGAAATTCTGTTATCTCTGAAAATTGGTAAGAACTACAGACATTGTACCGTAAAATAAGGTTCAGCCAATAGAGTGCAATAAGCAAAGCGGAACAACCAATGGAGAAAAGGCGAGTGCAATAAGTGAAGCAGAACAAGCAATGGAGAAAGAGCGAGTACAGTGCAAGCAGGAACAAGTGATGGCGAAAATGAGCAGTGAGTGCGGGCAATGATGATTTGAAAGTGAGCGTGAGTGAGAACATCTGAAAACAAGTCACCAAGACGATAATAGCGAGTCAGAGCGACAACAACAAGCGACAATGACAATATGAGTGGTGCGGACAAGGAATGCAGCAAAGACAATGAATAAATGTGTCAAAATGTGCATGGTGGATGAGTGATCAGCGGGAAAAGGTGCCAGCAAGTCGGGCTGTCAGCCTCGTGTCAGTAGTAAAGCAAGGTTGTGAGACTCGGACTTACCTTGTTTAATAGCACGCCTCTGCTCGATTATTTGCTCAGCATTCTGCCATAGCGATGTAATATCACCACTTCTGAAATCATTCAGGTCAACAAGAGCATAGTTTACCAGCACAATGCAAGGGTCAATAAGATCAGTGCACTCTAAGAAGCTTTGCACCATCTTAAGGTCCTCTGACACGCGGAAAACAAGAACTTGCAAGGACAGGTTCCTAAACAATGACATCACCAGTGCTGGCTTAGTTCTCTTTGTGTGAACACGCAAACAAAGGTGAGTCAATTGCTGAAGATGCTCCAAACCAACCATGGAACTCCACATTACCCAGTCATTGAAAATTTCTAGATGAGTGAGCTTACTGAAGACTGGGACAGTGGAAAGGGATATGAGTGGTGTGTGATCGAATATATGGGAAATACTAAGCGATAGTTATTTTAGCGGAAGCACATTCAGGGGATGCAGCAGAGGGTTAGGTTCTCTGGCCAAATCTGATGGAGTGATCCATAGTGCAAGGTTTTGTGTATTTCTGCATAGTGAAAGGATGTCGGCAGCAGTACTTGGCAGTACATCACCCTTGACACATAAAGATTGAACCACTCCTTCAGAATGGTTCAGCGATCAAATGTGCATGGACGACAGGAAGTGGCTGGCTGTTATTTCATCAGATAAAACTACTTTTCAATAAAGAAGCCTTTCCATCCTGTAACAAGGGTGGGTCTTAATATCTCTCTGACCTGGAGGTGACCACTTACCAGGAATGTACCCTCTGTGCAACCACTAAGAAGGAGAATGCTCTTTGCACGGAGTCAGTGGCTAGAATGAATATCTGTCTCTCGAGTTCTGTTGGGAGCATCACAGTGCACTTGATGTGTGTGACTTGAACTGGTGAGTTCTGAGATATAGCACTACATGTCATTTTGGTGTATCAGAGTCTACGACTGTGGCTGACCTTATTTACAAATATTATGTTCCAGCTGCAGCCTGGTGGAGAGGCTACCCTTACCTCTCCAGCAGGGTGGGGAATAGCCTGCATGAGGGCCAGATCTGGAGTCCTCACTTACTTTATTTCGCTCCTAGCTACATTCTTTCTTCTCGTCATCCTAATGAGCCACTACTTCAAGTGCCATTCAACCTGCGGCTGGTCGTTTTCAGCGCCAAGTGGCTTAACGCGCCACCAGACAAGTTGCCCCCATTGGCAACAGCAGCTGACACTACAGTCGCTACATTTCAAACGAGCCGCGGAAGTCACGCAAGAGGAATCTATGGCAAAGAAAATAAAGCTCAGCACTACTCAAGTGAGTCTTCTGCTTTACCCTGGCCCAAATTTCATTTGACAAGACTAGCTTGCTGCAGCCAGGTCTTCGTGCAGTGTTATGACCACATCTCCTAGCAGCAGTGGTCCCTTTGCATCATGTGATACAACCCCTCAGCATCACCCTCTCTCACCTCAAGTATCAATGGAGCCTAGACTACCTAGCATCTCACAAGAGGTGCAGTCTGAGCCACCTATATCAACTCCTACTCCTGAAGGCACTCACCCCACTCAGACTCACCAGTTACCTGTGCAATTTAGAGATGAGCCTCCTGTGCCACCTCCCCCTGTCCAACAATCACCTCCACCAACCATTCGCCAAGTAATTCTCCATGTTTTTGACTCTTTACAGATGTCCATAAATCTTTTTGGTATCGGAAGGGAGTACCATCATCAACCAACACATGACTCAAATGCATTTGTCTCTGCAGACCAGCTATCCAACTTTCATCCAGATTCAAACCCTGAACCATCCAATACCAGGGTAACGTCTTCCCCGAAGGCACCTCCTTGGCCTTGGCAAAACATGAGCATCTGGCGCCTCATGACTTGGATGATGACAGGAGGCAACCAATTATGCGAAGCTAAGGTAACTCGACTAGTCAAGGAAGTCCTATCAGCAGAAGATTTCAGCGTACAGGATCTGAATGGCTTCGACGCCCATACAGAAATGGGGCATTTTGATTCATCTGAAGCCAGTCTTGATGACAACGATATCTTCCAAAGGGACAGTTGGAAAGAGACAGCCACAGAGATCCTGGTACCGACTAGAGAGAGAAATCCAAGCAGGAATGGACAGCCATTTACTGTCCCAGGGTTCCAGTACCGTCTGCTCACAGCCGTCATTTGTGCTGCTTTCTCTGAAGCAGCATCAAAATGGTTTCATTTCACTCCCTTCAAGTGCTTTTGGATGTCCCCTGCAACCAGTCAAGAGCAGTGTCTCTATGATGAGCTCTATACGTCAGATGCATGGATTAAAGCACACGACAATTTGCAGAAGGAGCAGAGAAGTGACAGTTGTACATTGGAGAGAGTTATTGCTGGGCTTATGTTTTGGTCAGATTCAACGCACTTAGCACAGTTTGGGATTGCTTCGGCATGGCCAGTTTATCTATTTTTCAGAAACCAGTCCAAGTACACACGCCTGCCCTACTTCTGGTGCATGTCATCCTGTAGCATTCATTCCTACTGTAAGTGCACCCAAACACTGCCTGCTACTAGACGGTTGTGCTAACAGTGTTTCGTAGCTACCAGAAACGATCAAACAGTTTATTGTGCAAATTATTGTAGTTAAAAGGAAGAATTATGACAATGTTCTAGCTCATTGCAAGCGAGAGCTGTTTCATGCTATCTGGTGTATTCTGATAGACAATGATTTTATCGAAGCGTACAAAAATGGTATTGTCGTCAAGTGCTATGATGGGGTGTACCACAGAGTATTTCCTAGGATATTTACCTATTCTGCAGACTACCCAGAAAAGTAAATAAACTATATCCTTCTGACTTCCCTTTTACTAACCAAGATGCTGTCAACAGAGTTCTTGTTGCAACCATTCATGATAAGGGTGTTTGCCCATGCCCACAATGTCTCCTTCCAAAATCATATTTTTGGCGCATTGGGCTCGTCGCTGATATGTCAGCAAGAGTTTCAAGAGTACGACAATATCTTGGAGACAAAATCACTGTCGTGCGTGATGCCATCTACAAATTAGGCCTCCCTATCAAAGGTGCTGCTGTAGAGTGTCTTCTAAAAGAGCTCTCCCTTGTGCCTACCTTTGTGAGGCTATTTCGTCTTTATAGTTAGCTATTTATTTACATCACGTCTTTAGAATGCCTTTGCTGATCGGCTAGGCTCCCTTGGTTTTAATTTTTCCCAATGCTCGTTGTCGACCTTTTACACGAGTTCAAACTGGGCATATTCAAATCCGTTTTTAAGCATCTCATCAGGCTCCTTTATGCCATAAATCCTGAAACAATAACTGTCCTGAATGAACGGTAAAGACATTTGATTCGTGTAAAGACTACTGATTTTATTTCTGACATGGAACCATAGCTTCCACTCAATCCCTTCCTTTGGCAGGGGTGCAATTCAGCGCTTTCCACCCAGTGTGTCAGATGTGCGGTATAGTGTTGCACGGCACTTCAAGGACATTTTACAGGTTAATTAGTCTGGTGGACTTTGCCATTTTCCAAACTCTGACTTCCCACTTCTGAGCAGTGTGCAATCCCTGCATTTGAAGAGTTATTCCCTGTACAGCATGACAATGTTGTCTGTCTTCTTCTTTTTCAACTGGCTGAATGGCATGCCTTGGCCAAGCTTCAGCTTCACACAGATGATTCACTAGCTCGACTCGATCAGGCGCTGGATGGTTTAGGAAAGCAACTTCGAAAATTTCAGCAGTTTACATGCTCGGCTTTTCAAACTGTAGAACTTCCATGCGAAGTTGCTGCACACCAGAGGAGGTGTGAGACTAATCTACAGTCCACTAATGGGGGAACAAGATCATCGGGTGCTCATCCCAGGATTTTCAATCTCTCAACCTACAAATTGCATGTGCTTGGCGATTATGTGGGCTCCATCAGGCTATTTGGAACAACGGATTCATATACCACTCAGATTGTACATAGTCGATGTTCAAGTATCTGGCCATCTTGACATTCTGCATTTTACAGGGTAAGCTCGCCCACCATCTCATAAAAATGCTGTATCAAAATACAAATAAGCAAGATCCCTCGAAGCAACTTGCTAAACAGGAAAGAAGACGTACTCGTGTCTGCTGGCAGCAGCAATCTACAGCCGTCCTTCAGGATATACATACCAGTGACCTACCAATTAAGGTTCACCACTTTATGTCCAATACATCCAACTTCCTGAATCTGGCCCGTTACCTGAGTGAACACGAGGGCGATCCAGCTATCAAGGTAAGACATGTTAGTCTACTAAAGCTTCACTGCTAATGGAAACCAAAAGGGCTTTGTTCCTAAACTGAAAGACCATCTTCTTTCACAACTGCTCAGCTTGGATTATGATGGTGATGAGAGGGTTTTCACTGATGCGGAACGAAACAGTGTATGCTTCATCAACAACCTTAATGTGGTCTCCCAAGCCAAGCACCTTCAAATCAACTACACGACCTACGATGTCCGCCGTGATCAAGATACTCTGAAACCAGGGTGCGGTGGTGTTGTAATGACTTTTTCGAGAGAACATGGCGGCGACACTCATCCATTTTGGTATGCTCAAGTTTTAGGCACTTTTTGCGTACAAGTACTCCATGTTGGCCCTGACGTTTGTAATCGCTCACCCCAGTCAATGGAGTTCCTGTGGGTTCGATGGTTCAGTGTAGTCCTGCATTACTGCTGGAGCATGAGGGAGGGTCGTCTCCTAAAAGTTGGCTTCATACCAGACTCACCCTCTGCATTTGGTTTCCTTGATCCCTCCGTTGTTCTTAGAGCCTGCCATCTTATACCCTCCTTTGCTGATGGCCACACAGATACTCTTCTTCAGTATGGCCCAACTGTTGCGCGACGGTTCGGAGAAGTAAATGACTGGACCGCATTCTACGTTAACATGTGAGTAAGTTGACCTTGTTGATGTCCTCATTGATAATGGCTTGGCATACATAGTTTTGCCTGATCGTGATATGTTCGCTCATTTTGCAGGCATAGGTGTTGGCCATGTAGTTCAGTATGACTTGACAAAGGCCACTGAGTGCAAACACAGACCAGGAAGTTGTGATGACAAATTGGACATTGTCATGAGCGACACAAGTGGTCTGATCTTTGACTCTGATGCTGGAGACCGACGGAATCAAACTCGAGGCGAAGAAAATGATGATGACGAGAATAATGAAGATGATGAAGAAGAAGAAGATGATGATGATGATGATGACAGCATGCGATGACGAAGACGAGGATGACCACATAACCATTGATGAAGACAGTGACTCAGAGGAATACGAAGACTCTGAAGATGAAGGGCCAGAATATAAATTTTAAGATCAATTCTCTTCAGCTGCATTCTTCCTCCTCCTCCTCCTCCTCCTCCTCCAGCAAGGGTTCTGCTTGCCAGCTCATTCTAGGTCAAGCTCATTCCATTCTCTCTCCAGTCTACTTTCCAGTCTGCACTTACTCGGTCCATCCTGCCGCTCACTCATTGACCCATCAAAGGTCACCAGTCACCAGCCACAATGTCACATTCATGCACTCGGGTCCACTGGCAGTCCTATTATACCACCCTCTCATCTATTTCTTCCCATCTGTCTCCATCATATTTTATTACCCCGGTTTCGATCGCGCAAGCGGAAAGTCGCACGGTTTTGGCTATGTACACTTCACATCTGCAGATGCGGTCGAGAAGGCTCACCAAATGAACGGCAAGGAAATTGATGCACGACCTGTCAATATTGACAAAAGCACTCGGACATTTCTGTATCTTTGCTACTCGCTCGTTTATCGTAGTGTTTCCTCAGTCGAGACTATTCCTACATAAACAGAATACCTTTTTGTAGGTAGTAGAGAATATAGCTTTTCGCCATCGTCGTCCTACTGGGTATACCTGTGGTGAATGGTTGGGTGTATGCCTACAGCAACATATAATTTTGACGCATGGATGCAAAAACTTGACCACTAGCTTAGAATTCGACATGGGATGATAATGATTTATCGAAATGGAAAATATAAGACGAAATGGCGAAAGCTCCGTAGTATGATTTGTGTTTGAGATACACAATGTAGAACTTTGAACACTGGCTCAGAACTTGATATACTCTTAGATTAATTCGTCGAACGCAAAAGCAGACGACAAACAAGCTTGCAGATCAGGAATATGATGCTTGATAAGTAGGCTGATACATGGGCATATAAGGGCAACACAGATTTTGCCAACCTTATAAGGTAAATATTGTGATGCACTCCCGCGTCGAAACTCGCTGCTCGGCTGGCTGGAAAATTAAAGGTACCGTCGTGAACTCCACAAATATTCAGGTCAACTTTCAAGTCAGTCATAGAATCCATAAACATCACTTACGCCGCGTCGAAACTTGCAGCAGAGTTTGCTGCAGACCCATGCGCTTTGGAAGGTTTGGATTCACGTACCGTTTCCTACCGTCCAAAATCCATCTTCGCGTCATGACACCAAACTACGAATCCTGGTCAAAGGAAGAACTTATCGCGCGTCTCAAACAGCTAGAGACGACAAAAAAGGACGCAACCAAGTCAATTCACATTCACCTCTCAATGTCCAAAAAACCATTCCATTTCTCATCCCACCCGAAACGCAAGATCGCGATTAAGTTCTGTTATTCGGGGTGGGAGTACAATGGGCTAGCATATCAAAATGGTCCGACACCTCTTCCTACGGTTGAAGATGTGTTGTTCAAAGCCTTTGTAAAGGCTAGACTGGTTGATGAAAACGGTGGTTTAGACGGTTGTGGATGGGAGAAATGTGGAAGAACAGATCGAGGAGTCAGTGCGGCTGGCCAGGTTATTTCGCTATGGGTTCGAAGTGCTCTCCCTACCGAAGCTTCATCCAGTCCTCCTTCCAGCGCACAACCAGAAGTGGCATCAAGCGACTCACAATCCAAAGTATCCTCCACCCCAGATGATGATGGAACGGGCGCACTGAGCAACCTAGCCACAGACGCAGTAGAAGACACCCCCCAAAACACGTCAGTTCCCTCCCATCCTTCCACCAAACAGGAACTCCGCTACGTATCCATCTTAAACCGCCTCCTCCCCCCAACGATCCGCGTCCTCGCCTGGTCCCCAATCTCCCCCAATTTCTCCGCCCGCTTCAACTGCAAGCACAGACACTACAAATACTTCTTCACCTCCCACGGAGTCGACGTATCCCTCATGCAATCAGCAGCAAACCTTCTCATTGGCGAACACGACTTCCGTAACTTATGTAAACTCGATCCTGGAAAACAAATCACGAATTTTCACCGCTGCGTCATGCACGCACAGATCAATCCTATTTCAGCAGAGTCTGATAAGGATAATAGATTATACGTGTTCGATCTCGTAGGATCGGCTTTTTTATACCATCAAGTCCGACATATCATGGCTGTCCTTTTCCTTGTCGGGACAGGGCTAGAACCACCATCCATCATCAGCGCTCTCATGAACGTTTCTCCTCAATCATCAGACGCACCCCCTGACTCCGACTCACAATTACCACTCGTAGATCGCAAACCAGAATATCAAATGGCCGATGCACTCCCTCTTATGCTCTGGGACTGTGCATACGCAGATTCAGACGTCACATGGCAAACAGACGACGACGGTACAGGTACGGAAAGCGGTACAGGCTCAGACCTCTATCACCAGCTCCATTCTATCCACCAACGTTCCCTCATCCACACAGTATTAGACGAGCACTTCCTTACCGCTGCCATGCAGTATCACCCCCCTCCCCCAAGGTACTTCCCATTCAGCCAGACAAGGTTGACACCTCACACCCTCCCTCGTTCGGGCTTGGGGCGAGAACCGGTTCTTGGCGTCCCACTTGGTGCGGGGACGTACAAACGTGGGGCAAAGTATATGCCTTTGTTGGAGAGGAAGAGACTTGATCACGTTGATGTGGCTAATGAGCGATGGCGAATAGGCAGGGGTAGCAAGTATAACTTGCAGAAGCAAGACGAGACAGCTGATGACGGGATTGAATGAGGGAACATGATCGCCGTTCGATGCAGAGCGATCACATAGACACATCGTATATGCGCCGGCCACTCATACAATCGCTCACACAACCAACGTCAGGTAAAAGTATGAATTAGCCAAGTCCCAAGTCTGATACGACAATGAAGAGGTGGGAGAACATATCGACGGGATTGAATGAAGGACAAGATATGGCGTCTCTGCATGCCGTTGTAGATGTGATGGCTGTTGGATGAGCCAGAGCGATCTCCTACACGTTATCGCTGTATATGCAGCATGCTATCGCTCATACAACCAACCCCAGGTAAAAGTATGAATTAGAAAAGTCCGATACTACAATGAAGAGGTAAGAGAATATATCCGGCTATACGACCATATCGGCGCCCAATCCAGCAATCCAAGGTGCAATGTACATCTAGAGGTGTGGTTGCTTTGGCATCTAAGAGTGCGGACCGTTGTTTAGGTAGACGTAGGCGTCTTCTGTCGGTGGGTGAACTTTGAAGAGCTTGCCGAGACGTTCGTCTTGTGAAATGTTAGCGGTTGCACTGGGGAAGAGTAGTGGACGAGAGCAGGATACTCACAGACAGGATCATTATCAACGTGCTTGAAGTGCTTCAGCTCCCACGTCGTGCCACCAGCAGATTCGTCCTTTCTTCTTTGTCGTTGCTCGTTCTATTTCGACCATCAGCAAAAAAATACCTCCATACAACCTCCATGAATCAACATACCTCAATCTTGCCCTTGAACGTAGCAGCAGTCTCAAAATCACCCTCCCTGATACCCTTAGCAACCCCAAACCAAAGTTTCCTACTCTCCCACTCGCTCTGCTCTTCGATCGGAGCAACCGTGATCTCCTCCTTGGGCGACGTAACGTCATGAAACGCTCCCCCAGTATTCAAATCTTTAGACGTAGTATGCCACGTCCCCTCAATCACGTGAGGAGAAGTGGAAACGTGCGCATGCGCAGGAGGGGTGAGGGTTGCTTTGAACGTGTGCGATTTGCCTGAGAAATAACCTTTGCCTTTGTATTCGATCTTTTATTTGAACTCGTCAATATTGATGGGATAGGATGGTGGGGTGTAAGTAGCTTACTGTGGATAGCCACCCGGTGTTACTTTGGATGCAGTTCGTTTCTGCTAGTTCGATATAGGGAGAACCGTACCACAGCCCGTCGATGCGAAGGCGAGGGAGGGTTATCAGATACTCTTCGATCTCGCCAGAGGGAAGGGATACAGTCAGAACTGCATGCCCAACCTGCTTCACGATGATACTTCCCCCTAAACGTGCGTCGTGCATCAGAGACCCGCGTGAAAAGTAAAGGGACATACCACTGAAACTCGTCTTCTGTGCGTTGTGTCCAGTGAGGATGATGCCTTTTTGAGCGTTCTCTATGTGGTAAGCGGTGATGGGCGGATGGTGGGAGACTTGTTCTACAACTAAGGTGGTTTTGCCTTCGCGAGTTGTGGTGGGTGGCCAATAGCCGTAAAAGAGCCTAGGTAGTTGAGATCAGCTTAGGATTGAGTGGTAAAGAAGGTCACTTACTCTCCGAGTACGGGATTCAAGGGTCTGCGCATCAGATTCATTAGATCAGCCTTGTGTCAAAGGGATGTATGCAGCACACATACTTCTTCTCAGAACCCATAGATTCGTTTCGGGAGGTGTACTGCCCTTTAAGCGTACTCTGCCAATGAAGATGAATTAAACAGAATGGAACAAAACCATAGTTCATCTCCGCTCACGATGAACCATTTCAACACAGCTAACGCTCGAGCCTGCTCTGTCTTCCCATCGGCAATCGCAGCAAACAACTCGGGGCGTTCACACCAGTAAGCTGAACACCACAGTCAGATCGATCGATAGAAGCCGCAGTCTCTTATCGCACCTGGGAATTCGGTAAGGGAAGTAGGCGATAATATAAACGGAGGAGCAGTCATTGCCGACAGATCGCCCGTAAAGCCAGCCAGCCTGAGGGGTATCATACCGATCACAACTCGAAGAACGATTCAAGGACGGTAGAGACTCACGACTTCAAAAAGGACGTCCAGCTGCCTTTCTGTGCTGCAGGTACAGCCTGGGTAGATTACCGACCACAAGATACGAACAGGACATGTAACATACGACATTTGGAATGTTTCAGGTTAGATTTACGGTGACTCTTTGATGCACTTGCCTCGCCAGCTTGTTCCGACATCCTTGGTTTTGTTTGGTGGTTGTAGCTGGCGTTTGGATGGGGTGATGGAAGTGAGATGTAGGAGGGGTTGCTCCCATGTTTCAAATTCTCAGTAGTGCAGTCACGTGATCGGACCACATGTCATTGGAGTTTGATTGGAGTCGTTCTAATTAGAATGGAATTGAAAGATTCTGGTAGACTCATTCGTACTTGACGAGAAAAAAGATGCAGCAACTAGTAAAACAGAGACCATAGTACGCATAACCGTAAGATGAAGGATGCAGGTGGATGAATTAATCAAAGGCCTCCTCCGCACTCTTGCGTGCCAGGCGTCGTACCTTCTTCTTGTATGCTACAAGTCACATTATTAGCATCAAGTGATTCAGCCAATTGGGGGTTACGCACCAGCATGGTCCGTGCGAATTTCTTTGGCGGCATCGACATTGGCTGGGCTGTCCGTGTTTGGGGTCTCGGACGACAATAGCGATATGACGCTCACAAGCTGCGGGGAAGAGTTAAATCGGATCAAAGGAAATGAGCAGGTGAAAGTCATACGATCGTTTCCACTGTATGGACAGGCATCCATCGTTCACCGGCATCCTCATACCCGTATTGATCGTCGCCCGGAGCATGCTGTGATCCCCGGTGAGCACGGATTAATGGAGATGATATGGTATACACACCAAGATGGAGATACAAACCACACCATCGGCGTAAACTGTAGAATAGGCTTAGATCACGCGATATGTAAAGTGCACCGTGACTTACTGTTGGGGTGCCACATGGGGGTGATGAAGCGCATCTTTGGGGGTTGTAGAGGGTACTCGGAAGGGAAAGTCAAACGAGCTTTGAAAAAGCCTCCTTCACTAGATCCGGTATCAAGATAAGAGTGATGGCATGAAGAGGGGTATGGACGTACTATAGGGTGTCCGGAGGCCTGTGAAGTCTCAGGTGAGCTGTGATGTAGGTGGCATTGAGGGAGTCGTACTGACCCGATTATTATGACCTCCCATTCATAAAGATTATTGTCATCGACAAGTCCTTTGCCCGGAAGTCTGTCAGGAATCGGTTGAAGATCAAAGTCAGGGAGAAAGGCTGCCCGCACCTGCAGAAAACCCCTCAACTGGGTGTTTGGTTAGCTCTGTGAGCTGCCTACGGAGAAGAAGAGTGTTCGATGGTTGAGGAGTGGATGGTTTCGACATTGACATGATTGAAGATCGAAAGTGATTGATGATGAGTGCGATTCAAGAAACAGATAGTCACAAAGGGATCAAGCAGCAAGCTGGGATCAATCGTGGGAAGACACTCATTTGACTTGCATTTGACACACCGACGATCGACACGTTACTTACTTGCAAACGTATCATACAGAACAAAGGTACCCCATGATATTTTACACGCAACCGTTCGTGCCCGTTAAACGACGTTTGTGTCACTCCTAACAATCATGTGCTTTCATTAGTAGAGTATCACATCTCGTACTCTTCAGTATATCAAACATTTCCAGTAGGGCCCTTCCACACACTGGTAGCACTATGTTTGGTTCGACCAGGTCACAAGATAAGGAAAACAGGGAGGCCAAATTTCATGGTATAAGTACACAAAAAGAGAAAAAAAAAGTCACCCTGAGTTTGTGTTTCGGAAGCTCATGCGGGTCACTTTCGCGAAGGCACGGGACGGACTGGTGAATTTGGCGAGGGCCTTGAGATCAGCTTCAGCTCCGAAAATGATGGGCTGCAAGAGACGCGATGCCACTGAGGCTCGGAGAACACAATGAGCAAATATGTCATCGCGTGTCTAGATTGGTATACTGTGGGCGGTGCGATCGCCTCGAAACCCATGACCGAGCATGGTTTGGATGATGTGCACGAGTGTTGTGCGGTCCTTGAATGAACGGTAGAAGTGCGAAAGAAAGTACCTTGATAGCTCAAGTGAAACAAATGACAACTAGAGTATTGATCGCAAACCGTCAGGCAATGAGTAAGAGTTACACGTGAGGGAAGCGTACATTGTTGAGGAAGCACCGAACGGTGCTGTGCGTCCGAACACGTTATCTGCACCCCACAAATATACCCGCAAGATCTATGCTTCGCACATGCCATACCTGCGTAATGCATGACATAAAAGGTGTTGACAGTTTAGGGTCCAACGGCGTGCTACATAGGGGATAAGACATTTTCCCGAACATCGGAATACTAATGGCGTGGGAGTGGGTAAGAAGTACGTACTTATTTGTTGTGTGCAATTCGGTGAGGCTTGGTTTGTGGTGAGGCAGGACGATGATCGCGGTCCGTGGAGGACGGCTTGGAGGGATTCACCTCAGAGGAAAAGCGAAAGAAAACGGGTCGTGGAATCCCTGCGGCTACTTAGTTTGGGATTCATAGAACGGTCACTATATTATGAATCCCAAACTAAGTAGCCGGAAGATGAGGCTTGAGCGAAAAGGCAGTGCGAGCCGAAGATAATAGATACCGTGGCGGTGGTGGGTAGTCTCGTTCCCAGCCGTTGGGAACGTGGCAATTAGATAAGGCGTGTAGAGATTGCACTGCAACCTTCTGGTATACCGCACGTCTGGATCCGAAACTGCGGTGGGGGATGTGAGGAGAAACCGCCAGTTGCTGCCCGAGATGCTGGATAATGGGAGCGAAGCAGCACACGTGGTCATAGTCATAGTGGGCGCAACCCTGACGAAGGCCTTCCTAACAAAGCCTCTGCGAAAATGAGCGGTCTCTTTTGAAATGCAGCGCAGTCGGAGTGGATCACCTTGAAAAAGAAGGAGCGATTGTCTTTCTTTTTTTGAGGTGGCAGTGCCGCCCTTGTGTGGTTGCATTGGGCAAGCTGTGAAGAGCAAGTATGTACATATGTAATTGGGGCTTGAAGCTTGAGATCTTGAGAGTTCGACTCTGGAGCAGTCAAGTAGCTAGGCCTCATTAGGCATGACTAGGACTTGTCTAGGACTCTTCAGTGCCCGATGGTATTAAACGCTCTGCCAGGGAGACACTCAGGAAGTACTTACCTCTAAGCAACATTCAAGTACCTCCTAACGCGCTACTCAACTTGAAGCTTGAACTTCGGCGCGTCATCCGTTTCCGGCGTCATCGTCTGACCTCGGATCTGCCTGTACTTTGAGCTGTAGCCCGACCCCAGGTTCTTGGCAAAATAGCGGCAAAAGTTGGCAAAAGCCGTCGTAAAAATCGCTTTACTGGATAAGTACTAGTGGTCACCGAGGCACCGGAAGCTGTTGGCAGCGTCAATCCCGCGCGCGGATCAAACCAAAGAACCGACCCACCGGTGACCAATATTAGAAGGAAGACACCGGCGAGTTTCAGTCGAATCCACGATACGAAGCAGCTCAGGGGAGCTCGCGATGATTGATTGCAATATGATAAGCTCAGAGTCGCCGCCATCATCACAGATTCCAACGGGCCGGCTACTTGAAGATCTGCGAATTTTGCGGTGGATGTAGTATCATGTTGATGACTCTTGAACCTGGTGAGATCAGCCTGCGTTGATTATACCCAAATGTTACTAACGAGCCCTGTCAGGTCCTCTTCCAATTAGAGCCAGTGACTAGTGCAGACTAACTTCAGGATTCAAGCTCGCGAACGTAAAAGATACATGATATTGTGTGCTGTTAATCGGTTCACCTGCCAACGGTGCCGCGGTCTGTCGGACTTTAACAAGTACAAGGCATGAACCTATCAGCAGTTATCAGCCTCACCCAGTTACAGTTACTTATCAGCTTGCTAACAGCGCTGAAGTCGACGCCGGCCTCTATTGGCTAGGGACGGCCTTCGATTACCGGAGGAGGCGTGCGTCAATCATACCATCAAATTCAACCAAATTGCAGGGGCTCTCGAAAAGAAAGGTCAAAATAACGCTTTGCAGCCCTTTTCGACCGACTCGTGAGTCGCGAATCTGTCACAGGGAACTTTCCGGTCTCCAGTTCTCAAGTTCCAATCGGTCTGTCGCTTTTGCGAATCTGCAGGCAAAGCGCAATGGACGGAAGCTCTGTAATGAACTATCAATTCCTCGCCCGTGAAGTCAATTATCATCTTGGTGAGTACGACTCCACTATCGTCTCACATTACAATTGAACTTTTTGCGTACAGTATCTTCATTGACCCTCATGCTGTGGGATATGGTGCTTACTTCAAAGAGCGAGATAGAGCATATCTGGCCGTGCGTCTTTACAATCCAGTTCTGTGTACACCTGTAAATTATGCTGACCCCCTGTTTCAGGAAACCCTGGACCTCCTTTTTTAAGTGGTTGTACTTGTTCCTCCGATATTTCGGTCTTGCAACACAAATGTAAGCATTTTCTCTGATTTTCTATGCCCACTGAAATACTCCATCGATGTGCAGATTCCACCAATTTGCCGTCCCTCACCTTAACAGCGGAAAGGCCCTAAGATCAACTTGTTTTGCATGGTACATTTATAGTGCCATCCTTGCGCAGTTCCACACAACCGCTATCGAGATCATCTTGGCTGTGCGAGGTAAGCATTATTCTGCTTTCGAATAAGTGCAGTAAGCAACCGGGTCAATACCAGTGTATGCGCTGTTCAACAAAAGTCGCCGCATCGCTATCATACTAGGGTTGCAGATGACACTCGAGTATATAATTCTCGTGATTCTGGTCGGTGGCTACTTCAACGGGATCCCCTACATCCCGTATTGCATTCTGTCAACACCACCAGCTCAGATAACAATTCATGCGCAAGTCTCACTTTTCTCATCCGATTCACCACTTTTGTGAACAGTGCCTCCAGTATTGCAGCGGTAACAACGCAAAGCACCCTTCTAGGCCTTTCTCTTATGAAACATATCCTGGCCAGACGCGCTGGGTGGGGCCGGACACCACTTGTCTCCCTTTTAATTAGGGACGGAACAGCTACATATCTTTTAATATGTGGTACGAGCATTGCTTCTGACATTGTCATACTAATGACGATTTCATACGCTGTAGTGATCTTCGTCTGTGTCGGTTCGTTTTGCCAGCTCCGCGATGAGCGCACCTGTAATCACGTTCTTGTGAGCCTTTTCTACCTTACCAGAGACCAAATTTAACATTGTGGTTAGTTGGCTCATCTCGGTATTATCATCATGCGTGAGTGTAGTCGCTCTCGAACAGGACATGGCCTGAACATGGTTTTGAAGGGCTGTCGACTCATAATCAATATGCAACGTCTGGCAGTTGATGAGAAATCTTCACCTTGCTCGCTTATTACCTCACACATCGATGTTGAGTTTTCGTCTCAAGCATCATTTAAATCAATGTGATATCTTCTGTCACAGTGCAGTCATCTTGGCCATGATTATTGCAGAAATGCCCCGTTTTCGCAAGTGATGGGTAAAATGTTCTTCTCCGCTGATCGGAGGGCATAAGGAGATCATTTGATTCGGGCCTCAGGGAGCCTCCAGGAGTCCTAAACTGTAGCAATGCGATTTTGTGGCATTCAACCACGCACACCCTAAGCCCCTCTTTGTTCCTGGCCACCCCGCGTTCGATGTCTCAAGATGCCATATCTTATGCGTTTTCAGACAGACCACTAGTCATTCAAGTTGCCATATGTGCTTACGTTCCCTTGGGGCACGCGACCGCAACAGACCTTTGGTCCATACTCCTCTCTGGCCTTTTGGTCTACAACGGGCTGTTAAGTTTAGGGAGCCAGGTCGCGAGGTCCAACATATCGATATGAATATATGCACCTTCGCACTCGAGCTTTTAGGAGTTTACAATCAGGGTGACTTAGGCAGCCCCGAAACTGACTTTTCAGATGGCTTTGTAGCTACCTTCGGTGCTTCAGTTCGCTGATCAATGTGTGCCCCGTATCGGAACTATCTACTTGGACTGAATTGTCGGGTGCCGAATAATCCACAGGTGATGCGGAATATCTAGGAGGAGGTCACGATTCGCCATCTTACTGCCTAGCATGGAACATCTATATGTTTGTGGTAGTTTAGATTCATATTACAGCAGTCGAGACTCGAGATGGTGCTTTGCTGTCCGAGTTGGACTCCTCGTGAACGTAATTGAAGCCTTATTGTTATTGCTGACGCAGTCTTCAAGTTCCAACTGTGAATTCATGATCCGCTTTCAGATTTTACTTGAAGTTGTTTTCTTCAGTAGTGAATATCGGACGATGACTGGTGCCGCGCAGAGCCAACAGGAGGCTTTTACGTAAAATATACATTTATAGTAAACTCGTTATGTTAGTCATTTGCAGCAACTTGACTTATCTCATTGTCAAGCCCTACTACTCGACACGTTACGACGTCACCCAAGGGAAAGATTCGCGAAGAGGGGGACAGTAATCGGTCACGATGACCACTGCTGGGGAGGAGGAAAATGATTGGGAGCATCTAAATCGCACGAACTGGCGTGGCTTAGGACTCGCAGATCCAATCAAGAGGATCGAGGTATTCTTCATTTTTGCGCCTACTTATTGTTGCGCTCATCATTCACACCTCAGGACAAGTGGTTGTTATTGCCTGCATTCCTGAAAATCAAAGGTTTAGTCAAGCAGCATATCGACTCCTTCAATTATTTCGTCGATGTGGACATCAAAAACATCGTGAAAGCCAACAATAAGGTCACTTCAGATGTCGATCCTCGCTTTTGGCTCAAGTACACGGACATCCATGTCGGCTTCCCCGACCGCACCGATTTGGACGCAATAGACAAGAGTATCACCCCGCATGAATGTCGGTTACGCGATATCACTTATAGTGCTCCGATTCTTGTCACTATTCAATACACTCGCGGGAAGAACGTTGTGCGCAGACCTAATGTTAACATTGGACGGCTACCGATTATGCTGAGGAGCAATAAATGTGTGCTCACCTGGCAGGAATGAAGCGCAGCTGGCTCGAATGACGGAGTGTCCCCTTGATCCCGGTGGTTATTTTGTTGTCAAAGGCACGGAGAAGGTTATTCTTGTTCAAGAGCAGCTGAGCAAGAATCGAATAATTGTCGAAACTGACACTGTCAAGGAATCGTGCAAGCCTCGTGCACCTCGTGAGTGTCGTTCTCCAGATCTCGACCTCTTTCGCTAAAAACTGTCCCGCTAATCTACGTAAAAGCTCAACTCATGGTGGGCTCAAGTCCAAAACCTATGTTGCCACGAAAAAAGGGAAAATTTACCTTCGACATAATTGCATTCATGAAGATGTCCCGATCGTTATTGCGTTGAAAGCGCTCGGTATCCAGTCCGATAAAGAGATCCTTCTTTTAACTGCTGGAAACACCGAGGCTTATAAGATTGCTTTTTCGGCCAACCTCGAGGAGGCTGCCAAGTCAGGCGTATTCACAAGACATCAGGCACTTGAATGGATAGGATCCCGGGTAAAAGTCAACCGAAAAGTTGTTGGTCCACGAAGACCAGCCTGGGAAGAAGCCTTGGAAGCGCTTGCGACAATTGTCCTAGCTCACGTTCCTGTCATGGGCTTGGACTTCCGGTCCAAGGCAATTTTCGTGGCTACCATGACTCGCCGAGTTTTGATGGCGATGGATGATGAGAAAATGGTTGACGATCGGGATTATGTTGGAAATAAGCGATTAGAACTGTACGTCTCTTCTCCTTTAATCATTGTTAAAGGATTAATGCTTCCCAGTGCGGGTCAGTTACTTGCCTTACTGTTCGAAGACTTGTTCAAAACCTTCAATGCCAATCTCAAATCGGCGATCGATAAGGTACTTAAGAAGCCATCCAGGACCAACGAATTCGACGCTTTCAATACGATGCAATTTCAGGGAGATCACATAACCGCCGGATTCGTCCGTGCAATTTCCACCGGGAATTGGTCTTTGAAGAGGTTCAAAATGGAACGTGCAGGAGTCACGCACGTTCTCAGCAGACTGAGCTTCATATCTGCCCTCGGAATGATGACACGCATATCTTCCCAATTTGAAAAGACTAGAAAGGTTAGCGGACCCCGTGCTTTACAGCCTAGCCAGTGGGGCATGTTATGCCCAAGTGATACTCCGGAAGGAGAAGCCTGTGGGCTAGTCAAGAATCTCGCGTTAATGACACACATCACGACGGATGTAGAAGAAGGACCGATCATCCGTCTTGCACTGATGCTTGGCGTTGAAGGTGCGCTCGGATTGCGTTATACCTATCTCTAATGCGAATTACACTGCTAGATATCAGCTTAGCCACGGGTACAGAGATATACGGTCCACATACCTTTGTGGTTAACGTGAATGGCACAATCATTGGTCTGACTCGGTACCCAATGCGGTTTGTAACAAACTTCCGCAGACTGCGCAGAGCGGGCCGCTTCAGCGAGTTTGTTGGTATTTATGTTAATCACCATCATCACGCTGTTCACATAGCGAGTGATGGTGGACGAATCTGTCGACCAATGATCATCGTGGAGAACGGCCGCCCGAGAGTCACGTCAGTACATATCGCGGTAAGATCCCTATTCATTTTGGCGATCAAAGCAGAATGGTGAATTCGTTCTTTATTCAGCAACTCAAGCAAGGCACTGCTTCATTCGACGACTTCCTCCGAAATGGTCTCGTGGAGTACCTCGATGTGAACGAAGAGAACGATTCTTACATCGCACTTTATGAATCCGATATCGTCGCAACGACTACTCATTTAGAAATCGAGCCGTTTACTATCCTGGGTGCTGTCGCCGGTCTTATACCTTATCCCCATCACAATCAATCTCCTCGAAATACCTATCAATGTGCTATGGGTAAACAGGCGATAGGCGCTATCGGCTACAACCAACTCAATAGGATCGACACGCTTCTTTATTTATCCGTGTATCCGCAACAGCCAATGGTCAAGACGAAAACCATTGAACTTATCGGGTACGACCGCCTGCCGGCCGGTCAAAATGCTACCGTTGCGGTGATGAGCTATTCTGGGTATGACATTGAAGATGCTCTCATCCAAAATAAAGTTCGTCGCCATTTCCTGTTCTACTGGTCAGCAGGTAATCTCACTTGATGCACAGGCAAGTCTTGATCGTGGCTATGGAAGATGCCAAGTCCTGCGCAAGAACGCTACTCTTATTCGGAAATATCCAAACGGCACGTGAGTACAGATCTTGCCGAACGTATCTCTCTATCTTACTATCGATCTTCAGCTTTGATCGATTGGCAGATGCTCCCTTGGATGAGAACGGGCAAACTCAGAAAAAGTATGATATTGTTCAACTCGACGGTCTTGCTGGTGTCGGCGAGCGGGTTGACCCTGGCGATGTTTATATTAACAAGCAAACGCCAACGAACGCCAACGATAACACTTTCAGTGGCCAAGCCGCTGCAGTTCCCTACAAGAACGCGCCGATGACCTATAAATCCCCAGTTGCTGGTTACATCGATAAAGTCATGATCAGCGATACCGAGAACGACCAAACGTTGATCAAAGTCTTGATCCGACAGACCCGGAGGCCGGAGCTGGGTGACAAATTCTCGTCCCGACACGGCCAGAAGGGTGTATGCGGTCTGATCGTAAACCAAGAGGACATGCCCTTCAACGATCAGGGAATTAACCCTGGTAAGGTATTCATGTCCCTAGCTGGCGTTCGCTTAGTTAACTTTGGGGTCAGATACCATTATGAACCCGCATGGATTCCCATCTCGAATGACGGTCGGCAAGATGATTGAGCTTTTAGCAGGGAAGGTAATCCCCGCCGACCTTTACGCATATGTTTTATGTGCTAAATCTTGGTAGGCCGGAGTCTTAAGTGGTAAACTGCAGTACGGTACAGCATTTGGAGGCTCCAAGGTACAGATCCCAACGCTGCCGTTGATCGAACTCTGATGACGAATTATCTTACCGCCAGGTTGAAGACATGTCCCGGATCTTAATCGAGCATGGTTTTAATTATGCTGGTAAGGATATGCTCACAAGCGGTATCACTGGCGAGGCCCTGGAAGCCTACGTCTATTTCGGTCCCATATACTATCAAGCAAGTCAATTCTCTGTGTCATACAAGGTTTCAACTAATCAATTTTCTCACAGAAACTGAGTGAGAGAAGTCCCACAATACCACTGTCAATGATTGACTTCCATGCGCCACAGAACACATGGTAATGGACAAAATGCATGCCCGCGCTAGGTGCGATCGAGCAATCCTGAGAAATACTAGCAATCTATTACTGACTTGCTGATGTTTCTCTGAAGAGGGCCACGTGCGACTTTAACGCGTCAGCCTACTGAAGGTCGGTCCCGTGAGGGTGGTCTACGGCTCGGGGAAATGGAGCGGGACTGTCTCATAGGTTATGGTGCGACTCAGCTGTTGCTCGAACGCCTGATGATTTCTTCCGACAAGTTCGAGGTGAATGCTTGCCAGGAATGCGGTCTCATGGGGTACAACGGGTGGTGTACATACTGCAAGAGTTCGAAGAAGATGGCTAAGCTCACCATTCCGTACGCTGCAAAATTATTATTCCAGGAGGTTCGTCAGGACTCTTACACTTCGTGTCAAGTACTGATTCCCTGTACAGTTAATGGCAATGAATGTTGTTCCCCGGTTGATCCTTGATGACGCATAACCCTTGTATAACATGCCACGTAACTTCGGAATACCCGGCTAATGCGTACTGGAGTATAATGATGCTATGTACAACTTGAGTTGAAACAAGCAAACGGTTCCGTGCGCTCAAAATCTACTGAAATTGACTTGGGAGTGCACTGACAGCCAATTTTGAGGTACTGACGGTCAAATCTGAACACACTGAAACTGTGATTTGGCGCTCAGGTTTCCTACAGCCTCCTCGAACCTGTTGAAAGGAACTGAGTATGACTTTTATGAGAGCTGAAGCTAAGTTTGAAGCTTGAAGTCTCGTTATAACTTACTAAGTGCGCACCAGAAAACAAATGTGGCGTATGGGTACTTACATGGACTTTTGTCAAAATCGTGCACATCTAGTCGACCAATAGTGTTAAGGGCGCCTTTGCGTTTTAGGACAAAGAGCCAGTCAGCGACGTACCTGACACGATGACGTGCATGTAGTATGCTTGTTGTTGTCGTGACCTTCACGATGCTGTGCAGAGGTTCGTTACCCAACACGTAGCATAGGCGTTAACGCATATGACAATATTAATATCTAGCAGGAGCTAGCCTGAGCTAGCTGGCAGAGTCCTGAATGATTACGACATCTGCGGGGTGTGGGGTGAGAAGGATTCTTGGTTGCGAGGCAGGGAATTGCCCAAATTCAGGTGATACTTTGTCTTATTGTGTGTGGCCATATGACTCTAGACCCCGGATGAATCTAGGGTCCAAACCCGTCTGGACCCGGATCTAGGTTCAGGAATCATCACGACCCGTTTTCTCCGAGACTCGCTGCCCGAGTATTACCAGAGATTGCCAGGTTGGCATAACCTGGTAGATCCAGCCCAGCGTGATCCCTGACCCAAACGATTAGTGTGGGATACTGAGGCCGAAACTCGCAGATAAGCTGACGCCGGTCAGACAGACTCTCAGACTCGCCTGCTTTGCCGGCCCGTTGTTCCCCTGCAATTCAGCAACTGTTCTAGCTCGCTCTGATGTTTTTTGGAGGGAGGATGGCTAAGGCTGAATATGGGCGTCGAATGTATGTCTTTCAAATCTCCTTGGGTAGCTAGTCAGATTCAGGAACGAGATGGAATGAATTTTATGAGTGCTACAAAGAGCTTACAAAGAACCCTTTCCGCCCATCTGATCTCCGAGGACCAGTGCAAAGGGTCCGGAGTGAGGATGTGAAGTCGCCCGGTCCTGTATCTGGGCACGGAACTTGGCCATGTGGATCGAACTTTGTCTGGAGGTATCTTTGATAGATTCCATATAGTATGATCTGATCATGGTGATATTGAACCGTTTGCCTACCGGAAAGGGATGTACCCTGATGCCATGATGTACCTTTGAATGGGCAATTTCAATCTCTCACAGTAAATGGACGGCGTTCCCTAGCAGCAACCTGTGCTCGAAGTTGACCCACTTACGGAACAGCTTTGAACACCGAGGTCCGACAGTGCCTGTCGCTATAGGATATACAGCTCGGCACTACAGCAAGCCACCCTTGGCCATCCTCCACATAATTTGAACATTCACAGCTTTGAAAGACCGGTCCGTAAAGTGGATGGCAATATTACCAACTGTTGTCGCCCAATGAATGAGCTCGACAAGGTCGCCTTATTTATTTATTTTTCAAAAGAAAGTTGAGCCTGCAGAGTGACTTACCTCCCGACTCACGTCCGTACGTATATCTGACATTGCACGATCTTCGAATAGCCGCATCCTCATAAAGCCTCTGAAGCGCATCGTTCGACCTTTAATACTAAATGCATGAGACGTGATAAGTTCTGATAAGTTCCGCCAATCCTAGACTTAACCCAGAGGCAAACCTTGTCCATGAATAACTGTGACTGTGGCCCATCACAACTTGTCACACACTGTCACAAGCTTCGCCCTCTCAGGCCGCCACTCTTGAGTGAGTACGTAGTGTGCTAGGACCTCGAGTGAGTTCAGGAACATCGAGTGCAATGCCAGTTGGACACGTCGTCGAGGTTCGAAAACCAATTGTCGATTGAGCATTATGTTGAAATGGTACCATACTACCATTTGGGTATAATATAGGCGCTCATAACCCGGTTGTGTAGTCGATCCCAACGTCTTCCATCTCTTATCTGACATTCACTTTGATTTCTCACCATGAATGCAAAGGGCAACAGTGCAACTGCGCTACGACGGCTAATGACCGAATACAAGCAATTAACCTCAGGAGGTTGATATTTTGGCGTCTTGTGAATGATATAGTCGTTACTCACTGGGCTTTCAGGCTCGCCCGATGGGATGTTCACTGCAGGTATTTACTTTAAATACAATCGCCAGAATTGTTGATAGAAAGCTGTTCTAGGTCCAATCTCAGAGTCTGACTTCTTCACTTGGGAGGCTCTCATTTGTGGACCAAAAGATACACCATTTGTAGGTGATCTCTTGCAAGATGTGCTCGTGATATCGATCGTGTAACAATTTGACATTTCAGGAGGGTGGCGTCTTTGTCGCCAGGCTGACTTTTGTAGGATAACATGTCATGATGCTCATCTCACAAATGTAACTGAAGGGTCGAGCCTAGCCACAGGACTATCCGTTATCACCTTTCAAGATGAAATTCGACCCTCCCTTATTCCATCCGAATAGTGAAAACATCTTCTTGATGATGTATGATCACCCTACTGATGGTACACAGTTTATCCCGATGGAAACGTGTGTATATCAATCCTCCACACGCCTGGAGATGACCCTACCATGTATGAACAAGCCTCTGAAAGATGGAGTCCCGTGCAGAGCGTTGAGAAGGTGGTCTTAAGTGTAATTTCCATGCTTGCCGGTATGTTCACCGAATCTGATCTCTGATCTGCCCTATTCTTGATCGTTGACGCTTCACTTGACAGAACCAAATTTGGAGAGTGGTGCTAACATCGACTGTTGCAAGTTGTATCGGGAGAACAAGCCGGTGAGCGCTGGATCACTGTCATGTCACGCCCTTGAATCTCATAAACACGACCCATGCACTTAGGAGTATGAGAGGCTGGTCAGGGAGTCGATTAGGCAACAACTAGGTGTATGAGTACTGTGATATGTAACACTAGAATATGATATTGCCAGCACGTTCCTTGGATGCAATAATTCGCTGAACTAATCTATTTGGAATAGGTTAAATGAGATGACGAGCCTTACTGTAAGTATGGCGGAACTGAAAACTCTAGATCATGCAATATATTACCGTGAAGGGGCATAACGCTTGAAAACTCTGTTGTCGTATTCTGGACCCGTCTTGCCAAATATGTGGCGTTCCACATACTCATTCCGAAACATCCCACGAGGGTCGACCGCCTGAAGTACACGGGTGAAGTCGTCGAATTGGGGATACATTCTGCGAAGCGCCTCCGGACGGAGGGGATGTGCCTTAGCCCAATGAGGCCGGCCACTGTGACGGTACAAGATGGCTTCAAAACGCTCGAACAGCGTCTTGTAAGGAACCTCGCACCCGTAGGGTCTTCGCAAGTCTCAGCTAGAGTAGAAAAGACAGAACGTGATACGTACTTAAATTGAACTATCCCGATCCAGCAAGTCTTCTGTCCGTTGCTGGGACTTAGCCAGATGTCGTCTCCGTCGGAGAATCGCACTTCAATAGGGAAATGAGGGCGGAGACCTTTGGGGTCGGAGAGCTCGCGCGTGATCCAATCATGCAAATCATAAAGACAGGCTTTCGTGTTTTCGTAAGGGATAGCCCATTCAGTAGTGTGCTGCGGGTACTGCAATGGGGTCGGTAACATGATAAACAACAGATGCCTCCACTCACTCTGCACTCCAAGTTAAAGATACGGAAGCTTTCATCGATCGCGGTAACTTTGGTGCTGACTAGCCATGCTGCAAAGCGACCGATGAAGATGTTCAGTGACAAGATGTATCTTGCCACAAAAAGTAGAAACTGCACTACGTGAAAGCCGAAAAACGAATGCCAGAGCCAGCTTCCTGCCGGTTTGGCTGGCTAGAAGGGGATTCAGTTGGAGAGGGCACAATCTGAGCACATGAACTAACCTCTACGGTACGGTCGGCTGAACTAACCCGCATGGTGTCCGCAGCTGGGAACCACCAAAACCGAACATGTTCTGAGGCAGTGACGAGGCTGTCCAAGATTTGCACACATTCATGAAACTGGATGGATTGCTGAACTTCTTTGAGGCGAAACGCGGGTTCCACCTCAAGGGTAACCGTCAAGATAAGGCCCGTGCTGCCCAATCCGCATATTGACGCCATGAAAAGATCGGGCCTCTCTTGGCGAGAACAGAATACGCGAGATCCATCCGCCAGCAACAACGACAGTGCCATGACATGCGTAGGAATCACGCCATAGTTGATACCAGTTCCGTGGGTTGCGGTTGTTACAATACCGCCCAAGGTTTGGTCGGAGATCGAGCCGACATTGATCATGGCAAGGCCATGGTTTGCAAGTTCGGCATGCAGTGCATCAAGTGTAATTCCGGCCTGAGCGATGACATATCTTTTATCTGCATGGATCTGGACAAGCGAGGATCAGCATCAATTTTGCGCGCTTACAGGTGCTAATGATAAATCAATGACAATTGACCAGAATACCTCCGACGGCGGGGTCGGTCGGGGATGCAAACGAAGTTTAACCCGAATGAGTCTAAAATTATGCTCACCTCCAAAAGCCGGTCGAGCTTGGTGGTTCGCAGCATGTAGCCGGTGGTGCAGGCGAGGTCACTGGGGCTATGGCCCACTCCGACTGCTCGGACCACTCTGCCTTCACGTCGAGCGAGTTCTAAAATGAGCTCGCAATGGTATTCTGTCTCTGGCTCAAATATTGCGAGTGGGGAACAAGCGAATGTCCGACTCCAATTGGTAAAATTGGCTTTGGGAGAAGTATGAGGGACGGTTATTGGCTGGAGCAGGCCATAAAGGTGCGCAAGAGAAATGGCGGAAAGCTGGTACATTGATGTCGGCGTCGACATTGCAGGAACGAATAGCGAGGAGATGGGCCGTACATTGCAAAGCCTTTATAAGTTTTTTTGGGTGACGACTCATATGTCAACGATCCTCTGTAAGACAGCTCGGCGAACTCCGAGCAAACGGATATGACCGGATATCGCACTGCAATCAAAGTGTGGACGAGAGTGGAGGTAACGCTCGAAGGCACTGTGCACTACCAATAGGCACCAGGTCACATAATCCAAGATCGGGGTCTGAGATCTCTTCACCCACTTACACTTGCGGTCAAATCGGAGGATTCAACCCAGGATAGCCAGGTAGATCTGATGCCATACATTTGCAGGTATCCCCCCGTGGCAGAAAAACGTGTGAGACGAGTCCCCGGATCTGAATGATAAACCTGCATCATGGCGTGCTAGGGGCGTCATGCACTTACTCAAAACCTTCAGGACGTTCACATCATCGATCATCGACGACATACCTGCGAATTCATCACGGTCTCAGGATCGGCCGACCCATCGTCTCCCATCGTCCATCAAACTGGATTTAATGCCATTTTTTCGTATCCCACATGGCTGTCAATATAACTGTCAATATTTGGGTGCGCTGGAAGGGTATATTGCCTCATGACGGAAAAACCTTTGATAAATTTACAACAATTTAGCCACTGGTGTCAGATCTAGAAGAACGTGAAGCAGCCTACTACATTTCCGTTTCATGCAAAGCTGTGGTTGCGTTGGCAAACTTTTGCCGCTCTCCCACGGGGACTGGACACTTCCGTCTCGGTATTTTAGGTCATTCCACCATCGTATATATATTTAGCAAGCAGCGCCAGGAACATACTTATGAACATTAATAATAACGCAACCATACTCCAGGCAAGCAGAGCAAGTACATGCTAGTCCTTACAATTAACATGCCAATCAATTGAGAAAATCAAAGACAACTCTGCTCCACTCCTGCCCCTCGTAGTACAAAACACCTCGGACCTCCGCACTATCAATCTCCAAACCCAGTTCGAATTCTGTGGACGAAGATCAGGTTAAGTTATTCAGAAACGGACAATCACAAGCCTGTGAAGAAGCCGTTGGGCTGCGGTATGCTGGCATTCTGCTGGAACGTGGGCAGAGAACTCAGATTGACAGTCCATTTACAGAGCTCCGTTGTTTCGCCCTTCAAGACGTATAGGTCAGTGATATGCTGAAAATATCCGTGACGTGGCACATACTTCGTCAGTATATCGCATCATCCTGTCCGAGTCGGAAGTATACAACACAGCTACGAATATACAATCTGCATATCGATGAGTATAATGAAGCGGTGATAATCAGCGTAGGGTTGTATCGCACCCTGTCCATTCTGTGAGAATTTGCTGCAGTGCAAGTTAAACTAGGCAGTTCAGTTGTACCAATGTAATTGGGCACTTACCAAAATTTCGTCTTCAATATTTGGCTTAAACAAGACAAGGGTCAACAAGAGAACGTTCGAGAGTAGACCGCTAGTTACCCTTTTCGCAGGATGGCACCCTTCATGACCAAGTATTGCAAACTAGGACCGGTAATCAATAAACACGCTGCAAGGTCACGAACCGTCATTACCGGTTGTCACAAATGGGAACGTTCGCATTGTTTTCCTTGATGTATGCAGGACGTTTGGCCCAGTCCTCTGGTTCAGCAGGGAGTTTCACCTTGTCACGCACACGATCAAAACAGGGAAGCAAGGAATCTAAAGCGAGAGCGCCTACTTTCATAATGTATGATCGTGGAGCGATCACGGTGGATACGATTGATTTACGAGCAAGTCCGTACTGTGCGGCACCTCGCACTGTAGCCGTGTCGGCGTCAGAAGGGCGAGCGATGACCTTGATTCTCCCCGAAAATTGCGCCTGTCCCACGAGGGTGTGTATGAACTGATAAACTCGTCCATAACACGCTATTCGTGTAAACGCACCTCAACTCTTCTAACTAAATATTCGCTGCCAGCGAACCCTCCCACGAGAAGCAGGGCATCGATGCGCTGCTCAACCTTCTTTGACTGTTCTTCGATCATCTCGAGGACCTGTCAAAGGACCTTAACCAATGAAAATAGCGGGATTTCACGACGGAGGTCACCTGATTCACTACGGGATCAAAGACCTCTCGGCGGATGAGATTCCCTGGAATAGCAAGTTCTCCATTGATCAATCCAACGGAAGAATCGTGGGGATCCTGAACATTGAAACATGTGAAGTTGAAGTATGTGTCTGCGGATAGTGCGCCTAAGCGTGAGATTCCGAGGGCAACAATTTCCTTACCATCGTCGCTCTCGCCCCTAAATGCGAGCTTATCGGTCTGGCTGAAAGAATGCATGAAATAGGCGAGACTAGCGGCATCCAAATGTGCAGGATGATCAGCCAAAAGAGTTTTTACGAGCTCTCGGAATCGCAAATCAAGGAAAAGGGAACCGCAATTGGCTCCAGATCGAGCACACATCTCGGCGATCTCAAGGTTGGACATTTGCCCAATGATTTTGTAGACGGCGAGGTCCTATTGCCGCAGGATGCGTCAGGCGGGCGAAACAAATCGTTACAAGGAAACGTACGACTGTACCGCCACCAGCGTCACATATCATAAAGTTCTGGTTTGGCTTGAGCTTGTGCAGGTCCGTCAGTCTGGCACAGTGGACAGCCGCAGCCTCTGGTTCGCTGAAAATGCGTGAGCTGAATGAACGGCGATCATGTAAGAGCTATCGTACGTGATGATACGCAACCTGTCGCGCCAGCGACCATCGCCTGCATGAGCAGACTGCACAAGGCCTGCGGCGATGGCAGCTTCGCGCATCATATCGCATCCTTTAGCATCCCATGCTGCCGGGCACGTCACGAGCACATCAGCCGAGTCTGAAAGAACAGTAGATAAATTAAGGCATCCATATCTTTGATGTGGTCACTGACTGAGATCTGCTACAGCTCCAATGTCACGAGTAATTTGCTCTTTAGCGTATTCCCACAGACACGATAAGAAGTCGATGATGAGATCCATTGCTGTTTTACCGGGCTAGAATCCCATAAATTTTGATGCCATAGGATGAAGAATGACACAGACAGGTAATTGAGGTAGTCGAGGGTCAATTGTACTTTCATCACGAAGAGCACGCGGTTCGAGGAAAAGCTTGAACCTTGAACCGAAACATTTCAGTCAGGTACGTTGGGTTCATAACTTGGAAAAAACCCCACCATTCGCAACGCGTAGTACCAGGCATGGTGCTGGCGTTCTTCGCTTCCAGTCCCCATGCAAGAACTCGACCATGTTCGTCGTAGAGCAAGCACGTAGGCACCTTGCGGAAAGTTTCGAAAGATCCAGGCCAATGAAGGATTTGTTGTATCTTCCCAGACGCAATTCGAGACGAGGCATATGCCTATTTGCGATTTAAAGAATAAGCTGCAGAGCCTTCATAGAATCATGTCAACTCACAACACCAGAAAATGTTGTTCCTGAATTCAAATCAATATAAGACTGCGCTAGTGACAACATGAATACTCACCGAAGTCGATAGAGATGGACATTTTCCCCTCGTCTGAAGGTACCTGATCAACCCTTGCTGGAGATGTGTGTGGTACTGCAGTGGATATTGAAGGGGGGATACTGCCGTTCCTTGGCGGAACATGGACGGGGTCAGGGTGGAAGAGAGGCGGAAAGAACATGGTAGAATTGGACGGTCCTGAGGGATTATACGCAGCCGGGGGTGACATCAACGGTGGGCCTCCAAGGTTGGGACTCAAAGGAGTTGCGTAAACCGAGCCTTGCGGAGGTGGTGACGGTGTGTGATTCCAAGACGAGCCGTTTATCGACCTGTTGTTCTGATGAAAGCTTGGTGGAGGCGGAGAAGGTCCATGAGGGATGAGCAATGGTGGTTTTTCTGCCAACGACTGTCCGTGATGTTGAGCGCCCGGATGAGGACCAGGCTGCTGGTTGATGATACCAGTGTTCACAGGCTGTACCCTGTTCGCATACTGGGTGTCAGGAGCACTCGCTGATTCCCCACAACAGCCCATATTGAAAGCAGCGGAGAAGAGAGCGAAACTGAGGCAGTATGCCTCGCCTTCAACGTGACAGCTGACCCTGGCCGCCCTGGCGTGGCAGTGCACATGTCGTGAAGCGTCGAACTAATAGCGCCCACCAGTATTAGCCGCCCAGGCATAAGCATCACCCCCTACACCGACACCGATAAGCACGTTGACCGTAATGCTAGTGCTGAAGATGTACTGCCGAGTCTCAACCCGGCAGAACTTTACTAGACTATGACACATGTACTGGATTGACGTTACGCATACTACAAATTGTAGCATGGTCATGAGTAGAAATCCTTGAGAAATCTCCATCCTGGTGGGTCACGCTTGAGCCCATCACTTCCTGCTGAAATATTATTTGAGCTACGTCATGGACGAACATTAATCAAAGTAGGCTATGAAAATTACGAGCTCTTGCACATATATTATTTGTGACTCCACAGACGCAGGAAGCTTCCTAGCGGGCAGGCCGCTGCAGGAGTATGTCCTCACGCAGCCATCCCTGATGGGCAAGAATCACGACGATGGCAACGGTTCTTGCAGACGGAAGCCCGTTATCAGATGAGATCCGGAAACAGGGAAAATGTTGTGGGCTCCTCTTCACGCCGGTGGGATTTTCTGGTATTATGCTCACCGGTTCTCTGATGGTAGCCGCAACTAACCCAAGTCAGACCCCAGGGCTGGTGTCTATATTATTACATATCAGCGTTGTCGTCCACTGTGAGTATTCATACTGATGCAACCTGGCTGTTAATCATGATCTTTCGATAATAATGTAATCAGCTGCAATCCTGTGTGACCATCAGCGAATGGGAATTGCTCCCTCGCGGCAGAAGGTAAGGAACTATAGGGTGTATTATATTTGCGCCACTTACGCATGAACACATGGCATGATGTGTCCATGAAACAAACCCTTCTTGTGCCTTCTTGCGTACGCAGCAAGTGCAGACAGCCGGAAGCCAAGATGTTTCGGACAGACGTTCCGGTCTAAGATATCTTGGTCTTGATTTCGTATAGATGTGGGATATCTATGATATGGTGGCCGAGGGGATCAATTTGGAGGTCGCACGTCTCGCACAAGGTAGCACCGATTGCTTCCAGATGGCATGCATCTTTCCAAATTTTGTTGATTGCCCTGGCTTGCGTTTCGTCACATTTAATGCTGCACATCCGAAATACGACCGCGGATAGGCCCAGCGGGAAGAGTATCGCTCCCGAACGTCAAGCGATGGCAGGCTTGGGGAAGAAGTAATTGTTGGACGTGTTTAAAAATACCATAACGAGGAACCCCCTTCGAAAGTTGAACTGGAGCTTCCCGCGAAGGTTTGCAAAAATTTGCATAAGGTTGAAGGTCCGATTCGAACAAGTGCCATGTGAAAAAATTGACGTTGGTTCTGTCAGTAGGGAGGTTATTACAGTACAATTGCAGGAGGTACGAAAAATTTGTTCATGCAGGGACTGTCTAATTGATTAGCCCTTGATCTCAGCAGAACTGCCATGGCTGCCTCCAAGGTAGCACAAAAGCTATCCAGTATCGCCTCATCATGGCCTGTTGACCCATTTCGTCCAAATATTCAACTCAAGAATTTCCTGAAATCCCTCTCTGCGCACCCTAAGCTAACCTCTGAGGCTGTCCAGGCGGCACAGTTGCTGCGGGTCAATGCCATACAGAATAAGGTGAGTGCGAACATATTTGTTCTCATGCATAATTAACGAACTGCACATGTACGCCTTCCGCGTTTAGTACGCACTGTCAATCAAAACACTTCAGCCGGCTTCTATGCCAAAACACTACGAGCGGCTTGTAGAAGGGTATGAAAGGAGCGCGAGAGGCGCCGGGAGACCACGGTGGAAAATATTCTTTGGAATATGGAAATAATCATGAGAGCAACCGCTTTGCGACCTTTCGCTTCTGCTCGCCTGCAGATGTTCCCGCGTGAGTTTGATATACTGTGCGGTGGGACGGAAGGCATTACTTACTAGAAGCTCGAAAGCGTGTATAGAATGACCCTTGAATAGTACCTAGGCTAACCTGAGAATGCAAGTTCTGCACTAAACCAAATCAAAATCCCAGGTTGACCATCCAACACTTCTGCCCTAGGCAGGCCTTTGGCAGGGAAAAGCAGTTGTTCCATCTATTAAGGTTCAACACTGAAATCCTCGGATCCATCCTGGACCATCCAGGCTTAGTCTTAGACTTATCAACATTGTTTGAACTATTTCACCATCAGTCCGCTGATCGATCTTGCTGTCATTATATTTAACATGGCGCTTTGCGGATCTGCAGGTTATGTTAGAAATTTCAATTTCACCTCATTAAACCCCAGAGTTTATAGCAATCCCTGACCATAGAACCCTCGCCTCATCGCGGACAACTGTGAGGTACATAAGCTAACCTAAGGTTGTGCAACCACATGTCATGTTGTGTAGAACAGCGCCAAGCTTGTCGTTCTCCAGGTCAAAACACGGAACAAATTTAACGCTGTAACATCGAATTCGGTCCTCTCCGGATCTCACAAAAACATGAGGCACATCCCGATTATTGTTTCCACAGACAGAAATGCGGCCGATACCGCCCCTCTTGCATTCCAAGAATTTATCCTTTTTGGCAGGATAAAAAAAAATTATGTACTGTGGATGTGGAGTTTGAGCAACTTGTCGTTCCCGGAAATTAAAAAGCGGAACGAAACGCTGTGACGGTGACTTCGGTGCTCGCCGAATCTCACAAACTTTTTGAAGAAGTGAAAAACGTCATTGTCCGCGGACAAACCGAGGGTCAACACTATTCCTCTCGCATTCCGAGAGGGTTGGCAGGATCAAAACAGGAAAGTGACCCTTTTGGTTATCATTCCCTTCTGTGTTCTGTGTCAATTATCAAGGGCAGGCTGCAAGATGACTATACTGCGGGTTGATTCAGTCTTCTAAGATCTCATCCTCCCCCTTGTTGGCCTGTGACGACATCAGGAGTACCCGCGCCAGGGTAAAGAGATACGCGTACCTTATCGATCATCCTCTTGCGCTTTTCCCTGGTCTTCCGTTGCACTTTCAGGTACTTTCCCAGGGGTGACTCCTCTATCTGCACGTTGGCCTCCCAATGTTCAACCTCGCCCATTTTTCCTGGACCGAAATTTATGCCTGCAGCGCGACTGGTCTATCCATTTTGCACAATCTTCCACCCGCTCCAAAAGGCCTTTTACCATTCCCGCTTCCTTCCCTAGATCCTTGCAATTTTTGAGCGTCCGGCGGAGTGTGACAACGATGGGCACGATCAGTTCAGGGAAAGCGACGCTTCCATGCACTGGGCCACTGCCGAGCCATTCCGCAAGAATGAATACCGTCTCTTCCACAAGTCCCGCCGCATAAATCCGTGTTTTAACGTACTGCGCGGGCGCACGTATATGCGTTTCCATGTCGAGAGGGCGCAGCGTGGATGACTTGGGCTTGCCGGATGCCGTGAGGGTAGAGGAGATGATAGGAAGGAGATAAGGTGTCAATGGTACGTAAGTGCGCGTGTGTCGCGTCAAATGCAGCATCGAGCGTGCGATGTGTAAGTGGAATGGATATGAACGTGAATTCGAAATGAGCCTGCAAAGGAGATAAGCAGGAGAGAAAACCACACATGGAGAACTTACTTGATGGCACCCAGACTGACCTGTACAAGTGGGTAGATGAGTGGCCATAACTCGCTCTCCTGTCCCCCTCGTTCGGCCTGCGCCCGTGCATCGCACGCGCGACCTAGAACAAGCGCCCAGAAGTCGACGCAATGCGCGTATTGCCAATTGTAAACCTGTTTGTACGCTTCCTGAAGGTGATCCAAGAGGTCAGAATTGTCCGCCCAAGCTATTCATGAGTATCTACTTGCCTTTGTTTTTGTCTTCATGCCCCCACGCAGAAGTATTGCAAGTTGACGTATGTACCCGAATGCGTGGGGGTAAGTTGCACTATGATCTACACAGAACAATTCGCATGCGGAATTCTTCATAAGTGTGAGGGATGGTAGCCGATAGGTACTCGTAGACTTGCACGCGCGCACAAGCGCCAAGTATGTGCTCTGTAAAATCGATCCCCGTCAAGAGGAGTGATGGGCATAAAAGTTCAGCGGTACCTTGAGCGCAAGATCCACGATAGAGTCTTCAGTGGAAGACGCAAGGCGACGAATAGCAAGGAACGCAGCTATTCGTATGTCGTCCTCACCTGTGGACCACAATTCTAAGCATTGCTGTATTGGGGGTCAGCCTCATTCGAAGATAAAAAGAAGGGGAAAAAGCAGAACAGAACGTAAGGTACCGTCATAATAAAGGATTTCAAACAGGAGCACAGTAGACTGGACTCGCCTTCAGGTACGTCTTGACGGCCTTGCGGCTCGAGACGACGTAAGGGAGGATCTTCGCACTCTCTGTGAGTGCGAGACGCAAAGTCTCAGAGTCGGTGAGCTGCGGGATCAGATGAACCACATTGTTGAAGTAAGACAGAGTCAGTTTTTGCAGCGCTTTCTGCTTTGCAGACTGTGTAGGTTGTTTACTGATAGTAGAGAGAATATATCAGAGCAAGACCACACATATAAAGGGGAGGGCGTACAATTTACCGTTTGGAAGCGTTTTATATGGGACATGATAGGCGAGCACAATTGGCGTATACCGCAGGGATGTCGTTACAAGCTTTGTGTACACTGTCGGGGAAAGCAACTCAACTACAAACCGCAATACGCGAGAATGCGGTGCTTACCTGCAGCATTATCAATACGCCATAAAAGAACCTGGTTGTCTGCATTCATATGCACTGCAGAGCGAAATGCAATGAGCAGTTTGCGCAGGGCTCGTAGCGAACGATGCTATGGTCGTCATGTCAGCGGTGCACGTGTGATTAAGGAATGCAGGTGATTCACCTCAAGGAGCGCTCTTTGCCAAGTTTTGAGAATGTCAGTAGTAAGAATAGGTATTTCCTCTCCTTCATCTTCATCATCTTCATCTTCATCCATGACATCATCCTCGTCATCCGTTTCGTCTGGGCTCCCCTGGGTAGCGCTGAATTCAAGGAGCTCGCGGTCATTCTCCTGCAGGTACTTGTAGAATTCGGGGTCCTTCTCCGCGAGTTGTGCGAGTTCGAGCATGTGAATTGTGCCTTGATCTACTGCAGCATGAGCAGAGCGGGCATAAATCAATCTGCGGCACTAACCCTCAAGGTCATCCACTGATGCAAAGGACTGGTCGTCTGCTACGTCTTCTTCTTCTTCCTCGGCTGCATTCAACTCGTCACCTGCAGCATCATCCTGCGAGTGTCAGAATTTCACTGAGTGATCAAACAAAAAAAGGTCCCACCTCATCTTCCTCAGCATCATCGTCATCATCCATGAATTGAGCACCAAGTAAGTCCTCGACAGTCATTTTCTTCACGCTGAAGCAGAATTCTCAGTTTTCAGACCAAAGATGAGGTAGCATATGATCAACTGACTCTTTTCCTGCTTTCTTGGGCGCGCCCTTCACGTCCTTTTCGTCATCGTTGTCACTACCGGTCTCTTCAGTAGCAGCTTGTTGCTTTCCCTTCCCGTGTGCCCCGCGTCTGCCCTGGATTTTCTTCTGCATCTGCTGGTGCTTCTTCCGCGATTGAATCGCCTGCTTTAGCTTGCCACTGGCCGCAAATTTACGGCTAGACTTGGCTGCCTTGCCCATGGTTTCAAACAAAGTGTTTATTCGACTTTGGAAACGGTGTGCAAGGAAAAGAAATGAATGAGCAGATCAAGTAAAATATTGTTATCCGAATGAATATACCAAAAGAGGCAAGTCACCAAGGGCGGTTCAGTGTGAACGACCTTTCCAAGGACTAACCGCCATATCCCAAGTACTTACTCTCGAAGGTTATTACAGATCTTGGCCTCATGCCGACAGCAGTAACCAGCACGACAGATGTACTAAATTATGCACACAGTCTGCTCACGTCCCATCGGGAGCTACTTACAAACGTGCGCAACTCACAGCGAGCACATCGACGGCAGCTTCGTGCCATTGCCACCGCACCTAACGATCTGGTAAATTTCCCAATCATTGACTCACCTGCACCGTCACCATTACCGTCCCCACCGTCATCACCGCAACTCGCACACCGTACTCGCCCGCAGCGCCCAGATCTCCCACCTGCTAAGCGTGCGAGGGTCGCCCGATACGCAAACTATGTCCCTGAAGAGGAAACAATCCGCAATGACTACTCGCAGCGGTATGTCGACAGCGGTGAGTGGCCACAGAACCGGGTTCTCGGTGCAGAGCCTTCCCGCCGTTTTGAGGAGTGCGTCCCCCACCTGCAACTCCGCATCTGACCTCATGTTAATTGCAGATACCCGAAGCAGCAGCGCCTGCTCGGCCTGAAAAAGGAGTCTGTCGATGCGCATGCTACACCTCCGTTTTTCCTTCCCTTTTCTCACCTTTCTTCATTACACCCTCAAAAGTTCGACGTAATCCTCCTGGATCCCCCGTTCTCCTCATCGTTTAGCTGGGACGATCTCCAAGCACTTCCTGTCCCTTCCCTTGCAGCTGACCCTTCATTTGTATTCATGTGGGTAGGAAGTGGCGCAGGAGAGGGTCTCGAACGTGGTCGCGAGGTCCTTGCCAAGTGGGGCTACCGTAGGTGTGAAGATGTTGTATGGGTAAAAACCAACAACACCACCAATCGCGGACCGGGTGTGCGCGTCATAACTTCTCCGTACTCATTTATCTGTAAACTGACGCTATTTACATAGACAGACCCACCTACCACTTCTCTTCTGACCCGCACAAAACAGCATTGCCTCATGGGTATCCGTGGCACGGTACGTCGCTCGACTGACAGTTGGTTCGTTCACTGCAACGTCGGTGAGTCCAGTTTCCTACTTGCAATTCGGTCCACGTTCATATTCCTTTGAGACTGTGTGTCATGTCTACACCCCATTCCTTTCTGGAGCAACGAACACTTGACTAATTTAATATGCAGACACCGACGTCATCATCTGGGAAGGCGACCCCGCTGACCCAATGCGCAAACCACCCGAAATGTATACCCTCATAGAAAATTTCTGTCTCGGCACGCGCCGTCTTGAGCTTTTTGGGCGGGCGCGCTCGTCCCTCCGCCGCGGGTGGGTCACAGTGCTCACTGAAAGTGATGGGCTCCAAGATGGGGGAGCATGCGCGGACTGCGGAGGGTGATGGCCGTGCACTCATGGAACAAAGATGCATGGGAAGAAGCAACTCGCCACTTGGCTTCACTCGCAGGAGGAAAGGCCGTCGTGCCGAATTCGCAGGAGATTGACGCTCTTCGCCCGAAATCACCTATGCGTCCTGGGAACTCGGGTGTGAGTGGTGGAGTTGGCGTTGGCGTTGGCATCAGTGGTGGTGTAGGCGTAGGAAGTGCAGGGGTGGGAATGAATGCGGGAAATATGAACGCCGACCCCAACATGAACATGCAGCTCTCCCGGCGTCCGCCTTCCCAGAATCAAATGATGGTGTCGCCAATGATGGGGATGGGGATGCCAATGGACATGGGCATGGGCATGGGGAATATGATGGGCATGGGCATGGGAAACATGGGCATGATGGGCATGGGGAACATGGGAGTGATGGGAATTGGGGATATGCCTGGGCGCTACATTCCAATGGGTAGGGGATGGTGATCGAATGTGGGATGAGGGAATGATGGCTGGTATCGGCATGGGCGGTGCCATGGGGATGGGGAATACGGGAATGGGGGTAGGGGGTCCGGGCATGGGCATGGGAATGGGTATGGGAAATTCGAGGATGGGTATGGGCGGTATGGGGATGGGGCAGTGGGGTCAGGGGTACGACGGGTTCCAGTGATGATGATCAATCTTGTGAGTGTGGTGTAGAATTAGTACGCAGATCACTGGACATGCACATACTCAATGTAACCTATCCACATTCGCCGTCATTACTATTTACCTACAAACTGTAGTGCTATCTATTCATCTTCTGAGGTTACCTATGTGATAATTCATTGTCCTTGAAAGTTTTGTCGAAGCCCCACAGATCATTTTAGAAATTCTACGCACGGAGAAAGCCATTCACAAACTCTGTATATTACATAGTTTTCGTCTTTGCAGGACCACATGAATCCAACTCGAAGCACAGGACATCCAGGAATTGGTCGGTCAGTTCTGTCTGAGGTTTGACTTGACACCGAGTTCAGTCACCCGGGAGTTACCGGGAGGGAAGCCTATCATCCACTCTCAGCTCTGTTCAATTAATGCCTAGCATGGTCCATCCCGCCGCCTTTCTCGTTGCCCTTTACCTTCTCATGATAGTTTATCACAAAGCAGTGAGGGGGTACGGAGAGTGGCACGCCAGACCATATCCGAACTGTGCGGTGGAGATTCCTTCAGTGGAAGGTGTAGCCATGCACGAATAATTTGTGTCGGAACCCTGGTGTACAGTCCGACAGATGGGTTATTCGTGCACGTGCACCTATAAGGAATCTGGAGGTGAAAATGGGTGGAAGAAGAAATTCATTCGTTGTCCATTTGAAGTTTCGAATTCAGCACTGCCTTGCGTACCACCTTATTTCACGCAGACAACTATCAGGTAAGTACTGCTCTCCTTCATTTCCGGCGGCCGAATTCATTAGTATCCACAGTCGTAGTTCGGGCAAATGTTGATGCACTCTCCCCAGCTCCGAGGGGTAATGTGATTCAAGGAGTCTAGCGTCCCCTTCTTGACATCTATATGTAGGTCCGAGATAGATGGAGTTCCATAATTCCACGGAGTGCCTACGTTGCCCGACACATCCGGTGACCTCTCTCCGTTTCCAGAACCATATGCTGCGAAAGCGCTAGGTCTCAGATCCTACCTTTGCCTTTTGTACGTATGTACATTCAACTTCAACCGCGATTAACATGTGGACGGTATTCTCGATATTGCCTATAAGGTGCATCTCCATCACTATCCACTATGTACTAGGTTGTGTTAGATTTCATACACTTACAGTGATTTAGATTGTTTATCCGCCGACCCTACAGTGGTTCTGCATATACTCTCTGCCTTCGGAAGCCCGCCAGGCGCAACCATTCTGATAGATCTGCCGAGTACTCCGCAAAAACTATCTTCTAGGACATAAGAGCAAGTCGTCTTCCTACTGCCAGTATCAGAGTTATTATTCGAGATCTGCCGTGACACATCCCATATTGCCGAGCACAAACCATGCGTTTCTCATTCCTCGCTGTTGTTGCTACTTTGACAACATCCATATCTGCTGGTGTAAATATATGCATAACTTCAAACGGAGTTTGCAGCGGCCCCACAACGCCAACCGACGAAGCATGCTGCAAAGGTCTCATTTGTAAGATCGATGTGAGTATGAGTCGTTCGCTTTGCATCCGGGATTCAACCCCATGACTCACCCTTTGCGCCTTGTACCAACAGCCTGCCGATCCCTACGACGTCAAGTACTGCCTGTAACCCTCTCCCGACGAGCTTGGCAGACTGAGCACGTCGTGACAGTGAGCCGTGTTTCTGCTTTCGTGTTGTTACAGTGCCAGTTGATCACCGAGATGCAGTTGTTAGGGAGTTGATCAATATGCTTACTTCTGTACAATTTTCCCTGCTGCCTCGACCAGACTCTTGAATAACATTAGAAAACCTCCCGCATGAATTGTGTGGCATTGATAAAAGACACTCGTGTTACTCGACTTGCGTACTTATGAATGCACAAGAAAACCGATGTATTCAGCCCGACATCGAACTACGTGTACGTACATGTCCCTGAAGATTCAGAATGGTGAGCTTCGCCCTTAATATATAATATTCTGCCGGCCACTACTCCTCCTGAGACCTGAGCCATTTTATGAGCGCGAATAAATAGATCTGGAACGTCTCAAACATGTCATTTGTAACCTCGTTTTCCTCCTACCCTCAATATGAAAATTCGATGTTACGTAGGGTCGTACTACGGTAAAGGTCGTGCAAACTTCAAAGAAATGTAGGCTAACTCTGCATGTACCGCGCGGATTAAGACGCAGCATCAGATGCGGTTGCAGTGATGCGTTACCACAACGCAACCTCCAAGGAAGTGCTTGCACACACGATGCTTGCGTCTGCATGGCTTTGCGTTCATTCCGATCATTACGGCTCATGTACGATATTTTTCTCATCTTCTCGCATGTTTTCATTAGTGATGGTGGTGGTGGTGGTGGTGACAGGCAAGGCGTAGGTGATAGCGCGCTGACTGACGTTGGCGGAGGTGAGCTAGACGGCGGGCAAGTAGTAGTCGCTGGCGGTAGTGGACACTGACCGGAGGATGGCGGACCGTTCGGCTGGGTCCGGCCGGATCGGTCTCGGCGTTGGCACCTCCAGTGAGTTCTTATCATTTTTGTTTCTCTGGAAGTCTAAGCTTAAGTATTGTACATTTGTGTAGCGCACATATTTGGCATCGAGCTGGATACCGTGTTAGATACCCTAGTATCGAGCATCATAACGTGGTGAACCGGACAGACCTGGCCGGTGTTCAGTCCAACAGATCCGTGCATGCATGCCCGTAAAGGATCTAGAGGTGGGAGTGGGTGGGTGGCAGAAGAAACTCATTCGTTATCTATCTGACGTTTCGAATCCTGCTGATTCCCGACTGCCTTGCATAGAACCTTATTTCATAAAGACAACTGTTAAGTAAGTACTGCTCTCCTCCATAGCCGATGACCGGATTCATCAGTATTCACAGTTGTAGTTCGGGCAAATATTGATCCCTCTCCCTAGCTCTAAGGGTATATCGTGTGATTCAAACTTGCACGAGTTCAGTGCTTCTTGGTGTCTATGTGTAAGTCCGAGGCAGATAGAGTTCTATAGTACTGCTGACGACCTCTCTATCCGCCGCTAGGATTCCCCCCCCCCCCCCTCCCCCCCGGACAATATGCCACGAAAGCGTTAGTACGTCTCAGATTCCACCCTCGCCTTATGCACATTCAACGGTGATGGTATTCTGGGCATTGCCTACAAGGTGCATCTCCATCACATACTACTAGGTTGCGTTAAAGTCAATATATTTACAGTTCACATGTTCTGGATTGTTTACACGTCGACCCTGTGGTTCTGCCTCAGGATACTCTCTCCCTGAAATCCGCCTGGCACAACCATTCTGCATTCTGATAGAACTGCCGAGTACTTTGAATATATATATATATATATTCTAGGACATAAAAGCAAGTCGTCTTCCTACTGCCAGTATCAGAGCTATTATCTGAGATCCCCCTTGACGCATCCCATATTACCTAGCACAAGCCATGCGTTTCTCATTCCTCCTCGCTGTTATTGCCGCTTTGACAACATCTATGTCTGTCAGTGCGTGTGTGACTTCATATGGAGTTTGCAGCGGCTCCACGTCGACTGGCGAAGCATGCTGCTCAGGTCTTACTTGTAAGACGGGTGTGAGTATTAGTCGCTCGCTTTGCATCCGGGATTCAACCCCATGGCTGACCCTTTGTGCGTTGTACCAATAGATTTACGGTGATGTCGAGTACTGCCATTAACCCTCTCCCGATGAGCCTGGCAGACCGAGCTTCTCGCGGTGGTGAGTCGTGTTTCCGCTTTCGCGTTGGTACAGTGGTTGATCGAACGATACGCAGTTGGTTCTGAAGTTGATCAATATGCTTACTACTATACAAAATGCCATGCTGCGGCCTCGACCAGACTCTTGAATAACATTATAAAATATCCCACATGAACTCTGGCATTGATAAAAGACACTCGTGTTACTCGACTTGCGCCCGTTTTTGCATGATGCACAAGAAATCCGGTATATTCAGCCGACGTCGAAGTACATGCACGTAAAAATACATGTCCTTGAAAATCGTTCAGAAGGAAAGGGGTGCTATTTTCGAGGACACTCGAACTTTGCCGTTGAAGATTCTGCCGGACACTGCTCCTCCCCAGCCACTTGATGAGCGAGAATAAATAGAGGAAGATCTCGAGTACGATATTGATGTAGATATGTGACACATGCCATATGTAACCTCTCCTACCCTCGGCACCGATTTATTATCATTTTGCTCTCGCTGGCATCATTTATCCATTTTAGTTTTGTAGTCCTGTTTGTTTCGTGATGGTAAGTACAGAGGCTGAGCGCTGATGACAAGGCAGCTTGAAACCGCCAGTGACACAAAATCTGGATGAATACACGATGACATAGATGCAGCAACAACATAGCATGCAAAGAGGACGGCGTACGATGACAGCAGTTGTGAAAGATACAGAGAATGATAGAGGTAAAAGGCAACTCCACTATTCAGCCCAGGGAAAGACGGCCAAACCGATCGTCATAGGGAGGATAAAGTGATTGGTAACGAGCGGGACGGGACGATCTGATAGGAAACAAAGTATATCTCAGTCTCTGAAGGAGCTGAGATGTTCGTACGAAAGTAATCGAATTCTTATAGTAGGTTAGCATAGAGATGAAAAATATACGTATCGTCGCAAACGACACATTGCAATATGGACGAGCTGTAGCCGACGTCAAAGCGTCGCTCGCTCGGACCACTTTTGGTTTCGCTCGTATCTTACGCTTCGGCCGTCGTTGCTGTCTCGGACTCTTCGGACTCCAACAGGGGAGAGAGGTGAAAAGCAACTCCACTATTCAGCCCGGGGCAAGACAGCCAAACTAAACATCATAGGACGACTCCAAAAGACGATAGAAAAGTCCACCACCAAGCAAGGTCAACGCCGTCCTCTGCGCCTAGTCCTTTAATCACGTGGCATGGTATATCTCGAACTCGTAAGCAGGTTTCCCACCCTCCCAGCGGCTCCACCTGCTTGCGTCCCACCCGAGCTAACGCTCGGTCCACATTAGATCGTATCAGCGACTCCTACGCCAGACGAAGCTGGAAGCACCTGAAGGGACACCAACGCACCTTCTAAGAAACAAAGTCAAATAAAAAAACCCAGGCCGTCACGACTAAAGTTGCCGGGGTGCGGTTCAGGACTGGTTCGGGGTAAGACAGCCCGAACTCAAGCCCGCACCTGTTCACAACATCTCGATATCATCGAACCAAAACCGTAGGTAGTGGTTCGGTAGAGAACTGACTCACGACCGGTATCACGGAGATTATTTGTCCCAGACCTGTACCCTTTTCAAGCCTTGGTCTAGACTCTGGGGCCTAGTAAGTACTAGTCCTTGAAAAAGAAGGAACGACTTATTAATATTTCAAGGTATGGCTTGGGGAAAAGTACTAGTACTAGTCTGCGCAGTGCGCAGACTCATCACGCGGCATCCGTGTCCAATTCCCTGATTTTATGTTCATCATGCATCAAGTTTCAAGTTCGGTAACTTGTAAGTAAGATCATGTTGTTTATCGCACCCACTCATCTCATGGTATTTACACAACATGCGTGCCGCCTGTTGGTGCCCATGGACTTGCTCGCCGGCTGATCCTCGTAAGTCCGGTTTACTGTTTGATCTGAACTTCATCATGCCAGCGATGCCCACTTTATTCTGTTTTGACATCATTACTGAATTCCGCTCGTCATCAATCACCCGGTGCCACAGTGGCGTGCGTCTCAGATTCCACTTATGCCTTTCTGCACATAAGTACTATCGTGTTGCCTGCAATCGGCACCCCCCAGAAGTCGGCAGGCAACACAATTTGGCGGGAAAACGTGATACTTTCGTTACAATGTGTCGCCTTCTGTCACAAAAATACTGTGACTGCCGACTTGGGGGATGCCAATTGCAAGGGACATGATAGTATGTACATTCAACCGTAATTATCAGGTGGACGCCATTGCCTACAAGGTGCATCTCCACCACTCCTTACTAGGTTGTGTCCATATGGGTTGTTTTTCCGCCGACCTTGTGGTTCTGCCTATACTCTCTCCCTGAAGCCCGCCTGCAACCATTCTGACAGAACTGCAGAGTACTTCGCAGAAAAAATAATAATTTCTAGGACATAAAAGCAAGCCATTGTCCTACTGCCAGTATCAGCCTTCACTCGAGATCCCCCTTGACGCATCCAATATTACCTATCACAAGCCATGCGTTTCTCATTCTTCATCGCTGTCGCTGCTGCTTTGACAACATCTATGTCTATCAGTGCATGCATGACTGAATACGGAATTTGCAATGGCCCCACGGCGACCGGTGAAGCATGCTGCAAAGGTTTCACTTGTAAGACGGGTGTGAGTATGAGTCATTCACTTTGCATCCAGGATTCAACCCCATGGCTCACCCTTTGCGCCTTGTACCAATAGGAATACGGCGATATCGAGTACTGCCATTAACCCTCTCCCGATGAACTTGGCAGACTGAGCATGTTGCGACAGTGAGTCGTATTTCTGCTTTCGCGTTGGTACAGTGGTTGATCGTACAATATGCAGTTCGTTGCAGAGTTGATCAATATGCCACTTGCTTCTGTACACATTTCCCTGCTGTCTTACCAGACTCTTGAATAACCTTAGAAAACTTCCCTTATGAATTCTGTAGCGCTGATACAATACACTCACCTCAACTTGGGGCGTGTATTGCATCTTGCCCTGAAGTACTCAACAATGAACACATTTGCCCTACAGCCGTATCATTAAAAGCGAGGAAGGACTCCGAGGAGCCGAACACCATTGCTCAGTCGAAAGTGGTATGCGCCACCCAGTGCCTTGTATTAAGTAAACCAGTATCCAAATCAGCTAGAAAGACGCAAGCTTATGCCAATCCGTTATGCACTGCTGGTGATAAGAACCTGTGCAAAGATCTGCACTCCCAAGGACACAGGCTGTGACTCACAGCCTTTGGAGTTTGTGAGATGCAAGAGACAGTGGTTATCTCGTCCTTCAATGCGTTGACCACTGTCACTGGTTGGAGTGCAATAGTTACACTTCCAGAATTTTCGGCGGGACTTGTTATCGACTCGCTCGAGTTCCGTGAAGTTATCGGAGAGGATTCTGGCTGGTGGGTGGCTGCCGGGATGCTTGTCGTTGGACATTTCAAGACGAGTCCCAAGTGCAGGAATGGTGCAAATGATATAGTTCAACAAATGGTAAAAACATAGTGATACTATTACTGAACTGAGTGGATTGATGGCGAATCTGTGAAGGAAATCTGTCACAGATTGTCCAAGGTCGCCCTCTGAGGCTCTGGTACTACTACTAAGTAGTTGTGCCAAGTTTTGCCACGGACCCCTCTAAGTTCGCCGGCAATTGCCAACAACACTGCCACGGCCTAGTTTACGTTCATTTCTTCAGCCATAAGCGCGCGCTCTCATTGGTGGAGAGGTACTTAGGCGACAGTGTCCCTGAACTATCCCAAAAGTATCGCCCCCAAGTGTCTCTCAGGGACGAGTTCAAACACAGATAGGCTGGCTGTGAGGCAAGGCGGACTTTTTAAGAGATCATGATTGATCCCCCGGCGTTCATCCCTCGCCCGAGATGCTTCCTCTTTCTTTTCCAACCCACTTACTATTGCCGCTTGGAACTATATCTGTCTCACCTCAAGGGGGCGCCAATTCGAGTGAGGTGCAAGTCCGTCTTGAGGCTCCGGGAATGTTGGTCATTCGATTGTTTATGAGGCTAGAAAACTGACGAGTTTGAATGAAGCCCGCAGGTGGATGGCAGTATTCCCATTGTAGCCCCATTCCCTGTCAATAGTACTATCGGCGCCAGGACTGAGACGTAAGTCTGTCACATGTTAAGTTCAAGTGAACAGCAGCACTGATAAACTCACTCCGAAATCCAGGAACACATCAGGAGGTGCTTATCGTACCTCTGGCGTTCAGTTCGTATTTTTATATCATCGGGATGCAAAATTAAACATCACGCACCATATAGGAACAATGGTACCCCAATACAAGAGACTCAGGCTGGTCCAGAGATCAATGTCCAAACGCCACCTTGTGCTCAGCCGGACATTCTCGCTAGGTTTGTATGCAAGTGATTCGGAACACTATCATTCACTAATTCAAGATTTTTCAAAGCATATTAAGCAGGCTGGATGAAATGTCGGACGTCCTGAAGGATTCTACCATTGCTGTGAAAGGAGGCAAGGACGTCCGTTCGAGATTCTGGGCTACTCACATGAGAGTAGCTGAAGAAAGTGAGGGAGAGTTTCTGGAACGACACAATAGCGATATGGACATCGTCTTGTTCTTTGTATGGTTTCATGTTGTGAAAACCTTTCTTGTCCTAAAAGCGAACATTTTTAGTCTGGTCTCTTTTCGGCGGTGAACACCTCGTTCATCATATCAATGGGGACAGATCTCGTAGCCGATCCGAGCGACACGACCAACGCCCTCTTGACCCAGCTGGTTCAGATCGGATTGGGCAATCTTTCTGCACCTGGGACAACGCCAGCAGTACCGGCGTCGACTTGGTCACCATCCTCGATAGACATCTGGACCCAGGCTATTGCATACGCGAGTCTTTCAGTGAGTCTGCTCGCCGCATTCGGTGCTGTCATGGGCAAGCAGTGGCTTGGCTACTACAAAGCGAGCCGTTATGGCCATGGCTCACCTGAAGATCGTGGGAGACGCAGGCAGATGAAGATGGACGGGCTGAACGTATGGCATTTCGAGGCTGTAGTTCATCTCTTTCCCGTGTTACTGCAATTTTCACTACTGCTGTTCGGGATTTCTATCAGTGCCGACCTGTGGTACCAGCAGCGTTCCACTGCTTGGGTAGTTGTCGCAACGGTGGTATTCGGGGTTCTATTCCATTCATTTACTATTCTTGCTTCGTTAAGCTCGACTGCTTGTCCGTACCAGACTCCATCTTCCGCCGTATTACGACTGTGCGGTGTCGATAGTATGTCGTCCCTTTACGCATCAATGGCAACCTTGTCGAGCCTGACCTTCAACATTTAGAGCTTCTCCGACCGGCTTTTCGATGGACCCTCAGTTTTGCGCAATATACACGAAAATCCGTGCGGGGATTTACAAAAATATGTGAAAATGCCATACGGGAAGCGTTATATTCAGAAGGTACTTGTTGGTCCACTCGTCACTACAACCCCGTGTTAACCGATTGTCACAAAGCATTGCTCATAGCATTGACACTGGCCTCTATCACTATCTGGGGGCCTCCGCTATTACTCTGGCATCTAATGAAAGCAGTCATATTTTCTTACATCCCAGCCATCATAACTTGGTTGTTATCGCTCGCCAGACAACCTGTTCCAAAAGCGCAGGATGAAGAAGCGAACACACCGAAGCTTGCAGTCTCGGACATAACATCCGAGCATATTCTGCCGCTCGATATCCCGAATGCTCCAGCTCTGTCTCTTGATGCACCCGCCGTAAAATGGCTATTGGATACCTCTACTGATCCTGAAGTTTTCCTCGCCGCTGCGAGTCTTGTGCCAGAGATCGAATGGCCCTTAAATCTCGACATCTCCGACATATTATACCAGCTTCGAAATACTTTCATGACATGTTTCGACATTCAAGACCAGCTCGTTCCCCGGTCAGAAGAGAGGGCGATAATATGCGCAACGGCCTTGAATCATATCTATTGCGAAATTCTCCCTCGCTCTGGTCCTCGGGAGCTTTTCGATGTCGGGCCAGAAAGGGAGAGGTTTAAACGTTTATGGAAAGGCATCGAACCTTTGGATCCAAACCTCTCGATGGTCTCCATGCTGGGATTGGGAAGACAGGTATTCGGGAACGATAGCGTTGTCCGGCTGCTGGGAAAATTGCACAGATGCGAATCCGACGCCCCCCTGGTGTGGTTGTCACATATTCTACCGTACTGCATATTACTCGAGGAGGGTGTCACGCCTGAGCTCGCCGACTTGGGCATCCACGTCATCGACAAATTACTGTCATCCGCGCCGTCGGGGCAGATCATTGCCAATTGTGCTCTTCTTGCCTGCCAAATGCTGGGTTATAAGTTCGAATGGAAGGCGTTGGCAAGGGTTGATAAAAGGTACGAACATCACCATTCATCATTGCGAGGATTTATATTTTTTTCTGCAGTGATGCTGCTAGACAGATATCAACAATTCTGGCTGCACAGTTCCAACGCCTTCTTTGTCCCAATGACTCGGTGAAGCGATGTTGCCCGCACAGATTCCTTGAAAACACTTCGCTAGGACACAAGTTTCGCAGGATCATCTTCGACTTGTTTCATCTTGCGCCTTATGATGCTCGCGTGCTCAAGCGAGAATTCATTGCGAGGAATCTCGATTATTGCAGGGAGGTCTATGACCAGGCTCGCTTGGAAGAATTTCAAGCATCAAACTGGGATTCAGACATACGGAGCATCTTAAAATTTGTCGTCGCAGCAGGATGTCAAGGTCAGATTCAATTGGACCAGCCGGATAGTGTCTGGTCAGGGCAGTTTTCGTGGGACGGAGACACTCGGTCGTTCGACGATTTCTCTTGGCTAGTGGACTATCTTGATAATCTTCACAATCCTGACGATGACGAGGTGGTTGCCCATATCCTCCTTGTTTTGAGTGGGATGCGAAGGCTCGGAAGTCCAACGGAACAACACTTAGCATACGTCCAGAGTCTTGCCTTCTTCATGGGGGCAGGACATCCCCGTCATGTGCGTCATGCCGCCCTGCGGGCGGCTCATGATACCCGATCAGCTCTAGCTTCAATCAGAATATCACAAGATGGGGTGCTTCTCCGCATCGCCACGAATCCCTCGCCTGATGAAGAGTTCTTCAATGCGAAACGCGACCTTTGTTTTCTCCGTCTCGTGTTCGCCCTCGCGAGGAACCCAAACTGGCAGCAAAATCTTGTCAGAAACGACTGTGTTCAGCGATGTGTGGATATCATCGAGCCAAGCCTTCGATGCCATCTACATCCCTATTATCTTGTCGGATTCTTCTTTCGAATTGCTCCTTCCGAGCCGGTAATTACAGAAGGGCAATGGTGGCAACTCACGAAAGATGCATGGCATGCAGCTGCTGCCACAAATGTTCTACTTGTAGATGATGATGGCGTGGAAGTTCTGCCGGCTCTGGTGGAGAGCTCAAGGAAATACTTGACTGATGGTCGTGCTTCAAAGAATTATCTAAAGCAGCTCGATCATCATGTGGGTAGTGCTCTAAAGATGCTGAAGCGGCGAATACAGAGTCAGCGAGATCCAAGTCCGGAGAAGACGTATACACAGGATGTTATATCACTAGTACAAGGTTTGAAGAATGTGGTGCATGAGGCTCTGGAGCAGCGGTAGAATATGTACCCCTGTACTTTAATTATCCTGACTAGAAAGTCTCGTATTCGGTCTTCGCTACAGCAAAATACTCCCACGGGTTGATAACTCGTAACATTACCATGGCGCACCGGGGACGGCAAAAGACAGATATCAACCCAGATCTGTCTGTTGCGACAAACTCAACGGCGGTGTCGACCCTTCTGTTCGCGCCAGTTGACGACGACGATAATGATACCATGAGCTCACTTTCCCTTCACGACGATGCCCGGCGTTCGCCAGCGCTCCAGACTAGCAGTACTAATACTACTGGTAGTACTCATTCACCGTACATGACCCACCAAGCGACGGCCTCAACGTCCACGTTTAATGTCGGTGGGCAGCTTTCTGTGAACACTACAACGGCGGGCTCTGGTACACCAACCCAAATAATGCCCGGTACACCCCGTACCTCCGCTTCCCGGAAACCTTCCTCTTTGCGCCACTCCTCCACCGCAGCTCCGGCCGAATCCATCACCTCCTCCATCAAACGGCGTCCCTCCTCTCCCTCTGCTAAGGAAGGTAAATACCCGTCCAAGAACAACCAGCGCATCCGCACCACCCCACGTCTACCGCACTCTGACGATCCTCCGGCACCTGCAACCGCCATGTACTGGTCACGTGCTCCAGTCCATGGCGCCCTGCCCATGCGTGCGTTCAGGGCTCATACGGTCACGCTTGTAGACCATATTGCATGGTTATTCGGAGGATGTGACGATAAAGGGTGTTGGAGGGATGTGTTCTGTTTTGACACCGGTCAGTCACCCTTCTTTTTGATGTATGTTGTATTTGTGAGATGCTGATGGGGTCGTGGGTGGGCTGTAGACACAATGCACTGGTCACATCCTGACACTCTTGGTGACATCCCACCACCATGTCGTGCCCATACTGCCACCCTTGTCGACCGTAAAATCGTCGTCTTCGGTGGGGGCCAAGGCCCAGTGTACTATGACAGCACATACATATTTGACACCACCACGCGTTCCTGGTTCTGTCCCTCCTTTCCTCACTCCCAATCCTCATCACCACCGCAGAATCCCCCTCTCCATCCAGCACCGCGTCGTGCCCACACCGCCGTCCTGTATAACGGGAAAATCTACATCTTTGGAGGAGGGAATGGCCTCACAGCCCTCAATGATCTATGGGCGCTTGATGTTTCTCGGCTAGATCCTACCTCGCAATCCGTGTGTACTTTTTTTTTTGGCAGCACTATTACGGTACTAAGTGTCTTTTAATAGACGTACTCATACGGGGGTGGCTCTTTTGGTGGCTCTACAAGCAACGGGCTTCGCTGGTCCCGCATCGAAACGACCGGTGAGCTGCCCGCACCGAGGGGATACCATACTGCCAATTTAGTAGGAAACGTAATGATCGTGATTGGAGGGAGCGATGGGAGGGAGTGCTTTTCAGATGTGTGGTGTTTACACCTTGGTGGGTCATCTCATTTGATGTCTTGTGCCCTCCACTCTGGTCTTTCCTTCAGTCTTGATTACTAAGTGGTTTCCCCTACAGATACTCTCGCCTGGACTCGACTCAAACTCCCTCTCTCTCACCGACGGCTTTCTCATACCTCTACTCAAGTTGGAAGCTACCTCTTTATCGTGGGTGGACATGATGGTGGGGCGTACAGGGACGAGGTTGTTTTATTTAACCTTGGTGGGTGCACGTCTACTGGACGGCTTTCTGATTTTGATGCAGACGAACTGACCCTTTGAGAACAGTGCACCTCCTATACGAACCACGAACTGTTAAAGGCAAACCCCCTTCCGCGCGCGGATACCACGTGACGATCATTGCCGACAGCAGGTTGTTTGTCTTTGGAGGGGTGAGTCTTTGTACCTTCGAACTGTGATGTCCTTTACGAATGCTGACATCCATCCACACAGTTCAATGGCCATGATGTTTTCGACGACGTTCACATCCTTGATCTTGCAGGTGCTGCATATTTGCCACAGGTGATGAGCTTCCGGATTGATGTGTGAACGTCACGCCTCATCAATTGGATGGCGTTTTTCTTCGGGAGTGTTTTTCCGAGTCCTCACTGAAGGTCGACGAATACCTTTTGCTTGTACTTGATTTATTCTTGTTGTTTTCCGGTGTGGATCTCCGTCGGTACGGCCAAATCACGGAGAGTCGGTTGGTTTTTTTGCATCAACAATCGTTTGGTACCTCCACTGTTACGGAGTCCTTCATGCCTCGCGCCCTTTCCGTTCACGGCATCACTCACATCTCCGAGGACCATCGTCTCATCCGTCGCCGCACTTTTTTCCAACTCTACTACTTACCTCTATCGACTGACACCACCCTCGCACGTACTACCAACCCCGAGTCAATATTGATCAATTTACCCATTCATAGAGTACATAATACCATCATTGTGCAATACGATTTTGATTCTTATTTTCTTGCTACGTAGCACGAATTTGAAGGCGGCTGCCAGCACCGCACCGCGCGACACTTGATGCCAACTCTTCTCTCTCTAGATTGCAGGCCCTTGACTGGCATGTTGTCTACTTATGGTAGTCTTCCCAGCACTATTGGACTGATATCACTCTGGTTGCGTGCACAACACATACTCGCCGGACCTTCCGTGTGGGCAAGAAACACTGGAAGCAAGGTAATTTATGATTGCACTAGTAGGCATACTAAACGAAACTCAAGACGTCACTTTTCGAGTCTTTCGATAACTGGCATATTCTACCTCTAATCCCATCAAATCCAAAAATGCGCGATGTAGGTCCCCCTCGATCTCTGACACTGTTGATGGCCAAACCTTAGGATCAGCATCATCTACGGAGACCGCTAAATTTTTATTGTGCAGCGGCCAAGCTTGTAATAGACCTCTACCGCAACCTTGGATGCAATGGAGGTGGATCCTGTACCAATAACCAGCAGGCAACCTCTGATATTTCGGTACGAAAAGAATATCGTCATCAGTAGTAAGCTCAAGGCGAACGACATGAATTGCTCCACTTCGTGTGTCGTACGGTTTCGCTTGTGTGTAGACGAGCAGTGTTAAAGACCTTTCAGTCATCTAGTGTGCAACTGATTCGCGGAGACAGACGACGTCCACAAGCCCGACGCGTGGAAAAACTCCTGAATGTGTGTTTTGAAGAGTGAGGGCTCCTTGATCTATATCTTCATCTGAAGGCAGCTGAAAAGCATTGACGAAGGACGACCAGTAACCATAAACTCGTACCGCCCTCATCACGAGGACATGGCTAGAGCAAACGAGCAGTATGTGGCGAAGGATGCAAGGATTTGATGGCTAAGGATGAACGTGAATGTTGGTTGATATGCATTAAAACTTTTCTTGACTGACCTGATTGACTTTATGTTTGCTCGCGGAAACGTTTGGCATACACAAACGCCGGCGACATTTGATGTCGACGACATAAACGGGTGGGTGATCGTCCGGACAATACCTCGGTGCGACTACGAAACAGCAGTTTGTCCAGGAGACGGACCAAGTAAACAAGGTGGCCTGCAATATTTATATGTGGTGCTCCAGACATACCGATCCTGGCTAGCTTGCTGGAAGGACCTGTAGACCTACTATATACACAATTACTGATTAGCGTACAAAGGCGTGCTCACTACTAGTGGATCATACCCTCCGAACATGAATAATGTCCTGCACTGAGAGGAAGGTGAAGATGTACTGTAGGATTTCTGCAGGTAATAGATGCACTACGCGACCTTCAAGTTGACCTGTTGCGATCAGTCTCGTCACCAGGTACATAACCTGAGACCAAACTTCCTGGAATAGCGCCAACATCAACGAGTAGTACGTCGTAGTCCTGTCCTATAAGTTAGGAGCACTTGAAGCCATTGAATGAGCGAGTCCAAGCTATGATTGTTTAGGAGTCGTTACTGAGTGGCGCAGAGAAAACAATGACGGAAGCGTGATTTCAGCTGAGTCATCTTATCTCGAGACACACCAGATCATGACGTTCTGGCCGTAGGTAGTGCTAGAACGGGCGGTACTCACCTCCTATGCCCTCGGAAAATCGGCTTGCTCAAACCCGTCAGAGAATCATGGCAACGCCGTGGAAAATAACGGACAGAACACTTTAGTCTCTTCATCTCGCCCACCTTCCGCGATTGGCATACCCAACTTTGGACCTAAATACTTTCAACGGCTTCAATATTAAGCATGTTACGCTTAGAATTGGAGAGTCAGCTGTTGCTGTACGTACGCGGTTACGGTGGCATCGGCTGTCAAACAAACTTTTATTGTATGCAGCTCTCTGGATTGTAGGTTTCCCTGTGCATTTTGACTGGCGTGTTGGCTGGGTCTTCCAAACACCGATTGCAGATCTGCGCATTGGACACTTCCAATAAATCGCAAGTTGCTTGACGGCGTTAACAGCAAATTCAATGCTGTTCAATGAGATGTTTTTAACTTCTCAAAAGTCTTCATGGGATCGAACAAGGACCGAATTATCAGAACTTCAGCAGATGCATTCAATGCCATATTGCAACATTTGCAAAACTGTTATGCAATACGGCTGCACAACTAATGTCAGCGGAGATCTGAATGAATCAATGTGAACGTACATCTTAAAAGCGTATGTTTACCTGTGTTTACTAATACATACCACGTACAGCCACAGGCGCGTCCCTTTCAAGCGACTGCGTTTCTCCGTGTCGAGCTCGCTATGGCTGACCATATATCAATGCGCGTCAATGCTGCCCGTCTTTCCGGCATAACTGGCAGGACAGTTCGTCTCCCCTGCAAAGTCCTCCGAGTCAGCTCATTGTTATTCACGTCTGCCAGGTTCGCGTCTGACCCCCCTTGCCTTGATCCAGCTTTCAGATGACATCGCCATCGTCCAAGCGAGCGATGGTGGCCAGGTAGAGATCCAAAGGAAGGTCAGAGCTCATCACAATCTCGCTTATTAACGTTCACAATTGTCGACGTAGAACGTGGACGTGACTGCGACCTACGTCGAGATTATTGGGAGCGTGGTGAATGAGTCCACGATAAAAGCCGCGGCGGCAATCCCATTGGATTCAGAAGGCGAGCTAGGTATGGATGTCTTAACAGATGGTACTACCTTGCTCGTTCTCATTCTAGTTATGCAGATATGCAACTGGTCAACGAAGTGATCGAGCTCACGTTTGAACCGAGGTTCGACAAGCTCTTCCCTCGGTACTAGGTGACAGAGCCCAGCTTGCACACGCGTTAATCTATCAGCATAGTTCCATTTGTTGTTCTTGTATTCTACTGTGCATCGCACTACATATCATGCCTTGCGCTCTTTTCCTAGTTCACGGCATTATTCGCATCTACGAGGATCATCGTCGCTGCGTTTTCTCCCAATACCACTACTTACCGTTATCGACTGACACCACCCTCGTACGCGCAATCACCAGCCCCCGAAGCAATATCATTTTGATTCTTGTTTTCTTCTGGTTCTAACTATGTGTCACAAACAAACCTGCTATTCGCGGTCATCACAAAAAGAATCGCGACACCCAATGCCATCTCTACTGTCTGTGTTGTAAGTTTCTCTATGCCCTTGACTGGTGTGTTGTCCATTCAACAACAAAATTGTAGGGTCTTCCAAGCATAATTGGACTAATTTCAGGTATGCGCATTGAACTCCGCTTGCGTGCACAACAAGTGCGCCCGCGCCCTTTCCCATGGCAAATTCGAAGTTTATTTTTGCCCTCTCTGCTCAGACTGGCCGATCCTGATAATGTCGAACTTACACAAGGGGAACATATTGTCATATGACAAGCCTGTAGCCCAGACTCGCCGAACCTTCAGTATGGGCAAGAAACTTTGGAAGCGAGGTAAATCATCTTACAATGCCTGCATTAGGCATACTAACCGAAGCTCAAGACCTTGACACTGTTTCAGTCTCCCCGATGACTGGCAGATTCTACCTCTAAACCCACCAAAACCAAAAATGCCCGACGCTAGGTTTCCCTAGATCTCTGAAAATTGTGAATGGTCAAACCTCGGGATCAGCATCATCTACGGAAATCGCTAAATGTTTATTGGGAGCCTGTCATGTTTGTAATAGACCTCTACCGCAACCTTGGATGCAATGGAGGTGGATCTTGTACAAACAATCAACCTACTGCTCCCAACGTTCCGGTGTGAGTATATGGCCATCACTGGTAAGCTCAAGGTGAATGACATCGATTGCCCCACTTCTCGCCTCGTGCAATCTTGTGACACTCCCATAAACAAGTGCGCCCCGCATCCTTCCCCATTCGAGCCGTTTTCACCTGTCGCATTCCGCTCACGAGCCTTCCACATCCAAACGCAGAATTGGTTGAATTTTTCTACCCTCTTTGCTCAGACCTGTCTCGTCTGCTGTACAGTGACCAACGCCAACCTCAAGGAAAACTGTTTGATATTGACTCGCCATGGTAACTGAACACTAGTGCTCAAGAAAACTTACTCTAGCTCTCACTGGAGATCCCCGGAGGGTTACTAGCTACGAACCTCCGAGTCATCTACGTCGAAATGTCCCAACCCCGGAGCCTCGCTGTCATACGAAGTCAATAGATATGCAGTTAGTCGGCAGGCTCTCCAAGTTCACTTGTATGGCACTCACCTGGGTACGTCTGAGATTCTAAGCAATATCTCTCATTGGAAATATGCATCTTATGTCTGTACCCTTGACGATCGCACTCCAGCGTCGAATACATTTTGCATAATACAACACGTATAGCAAGTACTGCTCCTAGCTTAACACTTCACTGACAGGGAAAAACTTGAATTCCAACTGAATCGACTTTAGCAGACACCCGATCGAATTCGTAGCCTATCGGAAATTTGTACACAGCGTAAATGGGATTGTAGCTTGGGATCTATTGTGCGGATTTATTACGTCCTCCCTTCAATACCCTCGGGCGCGCAGACCACCACCAGGCACATGCGGAGAGGCAGACCTCGGAACAGGAGAGGGGTGTCTGTCAAAGCCAGGCAACGCCAATGTTGCGGGCCTCCTCTCCGGTGTGGGCAGTTCAGCAATCCCATTGTCGAGATCTTTGTGCAGACTTCCAATGAAGATCTTGATCATGTAATCCGTGTTGAATGCGCCATTAGCAGGGTCGAAGGGAGTGGCATCGACGATGTCCTGAAGAGTCATGAGTGACACCGTACAAGAGAAATCATGAACGAGACGCACCCGAATTCTGTAGCGCTCAGAAAGCTCGTCATCTAACACTGAGAGTGCCCTTGCGGCATCTTGGTCTGTGCCGATCTGCACGAATTGAATCCCGAATTTATCGAGAGGAATATGCTGCCTGTCGAGGCGGCTGGCGGCCTCGATGATGCATCGCACTAGTTCGTCGCCATCCGCTATAGTGATATCCGCGTATGTCAGATATGCGAGCACGTTATGAAAATATCACCTTACTGGCGGCTCCATCCGTGATAACAATGATAGAAATCGGTTCGTGAATTGAGTTCGGGTGCTCAATAAGTGGCAAGTACATCTCAATGAGCTGTTCGAGTCTCGCTCCCGTCGGCGTGTCCTCGCCTAAATAATGGACGTGATTTAGTTATATAAAGTTCGACAAATGGGACACATACCAGTGGGACCGAACTGGTCAAACAGTTTCTGGACTTCATGTCGAGACTAATTCAAACAATAAGCTAAACGAATGGGACCTGAGAATGATATCCCGTACCCTCATATTTTCGGCAAACGTATTCTGGTGCATGAAATGAAGATCAATCCCTTTGGATCCATATTGTATGGCGAGGTCGACGATGCCAGCTAGAGCCTCCCGCACTTGGTTCCAAGAATTACCTTCGGTCATCTAGGTATAAAGAGCATAAATGTCATGGATCAAACTATCGAGAATAGCATCCTCACTGAGATGGAATCATCGATAAGGATGACGGTCTTGTACTCACTATCAAGAACATAGTCAGAATTTTAATAACAAAGAGAGGTGAACACATACGCCACGCGCCGCAGCTCTTCCTCTTGCAGTAGAAGAGAGGGAATAAAGCGAGGTATGTCATTCACGTGGAGAGTGGTCTGAAGGAATGATGTGGACTCCCGAGTCTCGTGCGACCACGAACTGTTTGTTGTAGTAGCGCGCCTAAGCTCCTGTCTTCCTTGTTGCTGACGAGCAAGGACGACGGTGCCCGGAACTAAACTTCCCGTCGCATCCTGAGATGCTAGACCCCAGCGCAGCTGAGACGCGCAGACCAAAACCTCGTATTTTTCAATCTGGGATCACGACGCAGGTTCGTCAAGAACGAAAGTAGAACAGTGCGAAAACCAGTGGAACACATACCAAGTGCTCCTTGCCGACGAAGCTGATCAGGGCACCTGAGGTATGGTGACCAACCTTTCCAAGATCTGTATAATTGTCTATTGGAGTGGCCGCACTTGATGCTAACGGCACTTACGGAGACCTCCCTGTGAACCGAATGTGAGTATCACTGATCGGGATTCCACAGTGGTAAACATTACCTCTAAATAAGCACGTGCAATGAAGAACGTGTGTCCATTGCGGTCTTCACCAAAAGGTACAGCGTTCGGCGGAATGGTTTTATCCTCTACCAATACCTTTGGGACCATTAAGTGATCACTATAACCTCGATCGACATCACTCTTACCCATACAAGCGGCACTGGAGAGCCATTCCTCTTGAAATTAGCGGTGCTTTCTCTAGCTTCTTCAAGCCAGCTACTCTTGTGTCTGGTGGGGGTGATGGGCGGATCATTGTTGAATTCTGGCAAGGGAACCGGGTATGCCACGGGAGATCGTCCAAATTCATGTGCTGGCTTAGCGTACGGAGAAGTGTCGTACTGTGGTCGTGGGGGCTGGTATGGACGTTGCTGATAAGGTGCTGGACGAGCTTCTGGCATTAAAGTGCTGAAACCAGCAGAGTTGGAGTGCATGGTGCTACTCGAAATCGCTGTCCTCGAAGTGTGATATTGATTCGGGGGGGAGCTACGCATCGTGAAATATTGGTTTGTTAAACTGGAGTTGGATTCCTGACGGATCGTCTTTATACCATGACTTCCAGGCATCAGGCATTGGCGCCCAATCCATCGATATGAGCTGCGCCACAGATTTCAACAGAAAGTTCCATGATTCTTGGAGTAGCGCAAGCACAATCATAGTTGATCAACACAGGGCGCAATTTGCCACTGTATAGAGGACCAGAGGTTTGCCTAGGCTTTCACCTATCCCGGAAAGCTAGCTAGTCAGTAAGACATGATTTGGAAACGTTGATCCAATCGCCACAGAAATCTGTACCGCACGGCCCAACACGTTGCCTCATTTCGGAAGCAGATGGATAACCCTACTCACTGTGGTCCAACGAAGTTGATCAGGGACCAACAAAGTGGAAAGCCCACTTAGCATCAGGATGCTTTCCCACTCATCAAGGTCTTCGTGGATGAATCGATAACGGGTTCGTGGTATTTGGAAGGCTGTCTTCCTGTTTCGCATACGTACACAGGAACGTTTAGATCACTCGACTCGTTATTTCACCAGTCGGAAGGAAGAAGGAAGTGACAGTCGCGATGGGTGGGGTGCGTAAGTAATACCTGTCTTTCAATTTACCACGACCTGAATCAAACTCTACTGAGCGGAGGCAACAACTTGTTAGGTCCGGCAGTGACCGGCTGTCCCGGGTCATGACACATTATATTAATTGTTGTATTAGGCAAGTCAAAGACAGTATCAAGCGCTCGTTCAATGGGTCCGCCAGAGATGGTGTCAGTTTCGACACTCCCAGAGGGCCAGAACGAGGTCACTGGTCATACAATTACACATTGCGAAACATTTTTGTACACGACCTATCGATGGAAAGCAGGCTTTCGCCAATATACGACACGAATATTTTGGCAATTGAATAGCGAGACGGACTCGAATGATCACCTCAACCCTGCAAGTAGTAATTCATTCGGCACAGGACCTCCATTGTCAAGAACCTTGTTAACACCACCGAGAAGAATCTTCAGCATGTACTCGGTATTGAATGCGCCTTGTTGAGGATCGTAAGGTGTGGTATCCACGATATCCTGTCGACAAGTAATACAAGTAATATAAGTACGTGTCAGCCAGCTAGGAAGCAACACAAAACAGACCCTGATCTTGTACTGCTTCGCTAGGTGGTCATCTAGACCGCGCAATGCGGAAGCAGCCTCCTCGTCCGTGCCAATCTGTACAAACTGGATGCCAAACATCTCCTCTGGAACTTGACTTCTTTCCAGGCGGTGGGCTGCGCTGACGATGACCTCAGGGAGAGCATACTGATCGGCTGATTCACAGAACGTCATCGGCACAACAGGCAAAGGCACATCTGGTGTTACTTACTTGCGACACCATCGGTAATGACAATAATGTCGATGGGGTTGTGTTGAGGGAACTTGCGCTCCACGAGAGGGAGGTAGAAATTAATAAGCTCCTCCAGTTTCGCAGCAGTTGGCGTCTCTGGACCTGTATCTCGGTGTCAATTCTGTCCTCGTCGTATCGTCAAGGCTGGAGCTAACCGTTAGGCTGCATTTGATTGAAAATCTGTTGAACCTCGTGGCTCGTCTAGAGAGATAGTCAATTATGGTGCACCGCTACAAGTTGTGCGTTGCCAGACAGACCTTTATGTTTTGATGGAAACGTTTGTGATGCAAGAAGTGTAGATCGATTCCTTGAGAGCCATACTGATACGCAAGGTCAGCGATTCCCGCCAGAGCCTCACGAACAAGGGTCCAAGATTGTTCTTCGGCCATCTGAATGAAGTGAATCAGAACCTCCAAGTGCTATAGCAATGAAATGAACACCAACAGAAATGGAATCATCGATCAGAATCACGGTTTTGTAGTCGCTACCAAGGATCGTGAGTTGCGCAACAAGTAGTTGAAAAGAATCCATACGCAAGTTTCTTCAGACCATCATTTACCTTTGCAAGATTGGGAATAAACCTTGGAATATCGTTGACACACAGCGTGGTTTCAATGAGACTCGAAGTCTCGCGAGAGTTGTGGACACTTTTAGTCTCTCGGAAACTGGTCGCCTCCCGGACATTACCATGTCCAGTTTGGGCGAAGCCACCAGCTTGAGCAGTCCATGCTGCCGACCCGCGTTGGGACTGGTGCTGGTGCTGTTGATGTTGTTGTGCAAGTACGACCGTGCCCTGACTCAAAGATCCTACTGATTCGTAGGTGGACAAGCCCCAACGAAGTTGAGAAGCGCACACAAGTACTTCATACTTGTGGATCTGAAAACATGTAATATTAATACGAACAAGAGCAATCCTCAATGTGGTGGACGTACTTGGTGCTCTCGTCCGCCGTAACTAATAAGGGCATGCTGAAGGTGAGTGCCTACTTTTCCGAGATCTAAAACCAACTTAGCACAGTGTGTTAATTACGGACAGAATATACTTACAGAGCCCACCCTGAAAAATATGGCACGGTCAGTGATGTGATACTCGGGGGAGAGATAATCCTACCTCGAGCAGGGCACGAGCAATGTACAGCGATAACCCGTTCTTGTCTTCACCAAAGGGAACAGCATTCGGCGGGATGATGTTGTCCTCAACCAAAACCTTGTGTACTCATAAGCGAAGTTCAGCGAAGAGGAACCATCATGCTTCTCACCCAAACGAGAGGAATGGGGAGAACCATGCAGTTTGAAGTTGTCGGTGCTTTCACGAGCAGCCTCGAGCCAGGAAGTCTTTGTAATCACCGTATGATGAGTCTCAGTAGTGCTGACACTGGCTGTGATAGAGGACCCCCCAACGAGTGGAGACGAAGAACGGAATTCAGCCGCGAGTTTACGTTGGCTAAGAGAGGGCGAGCGAGTTGGTGGACTCGATAAGTGGTTTCCCCCCATCGGCCCTGGGCTGTTATGCGATCCAGTGACGTTGAAACTGTTGTTTCGATGCATGATATGTAGCTCGTTCGGTCTACCACTGCGAACAGAGACTCGCTTTATGAATACGCATAAGTAGCGCCCGGGCCTAATATCGATGTCGATTATCCCCTGATGCTGCAGAGTTAGGTTTCTTCGATGTTATCGATTGGTTGCTGGAGAGCCACGGCGCTAGCTTGGATCTATGCTGATCAGCGCTAGCACAAAATCAGAACTCGTCCAAACATGAAAGGCTGTCGCAGGTCCCTGGAACTCCTTGCTGCTCGGCGGCTGTACCCAAACGAAGGGAAAGATGAAACTAAGTCATGCGTTTTCCCCTTGCTTAGCGCGAAGCCACAACAGAAGATGATCACCGCGTTCCATGCGTGCAGCATCAAGGCAACAAACACGAGGTAAGTAGAAGGTATGTTACTGATGGCATGAGGAGTACATCGAGATAGGGAAAAAAAGATAACTCACCAACTGGGACATGTCATGGAATCCCGTAGAATGCTGAGCGATCATCACATCTCACCAAGTACGCCACTCTGGGAGGATGGCAAAAGATGTCGTTGAGCTTCATGGACTACTAGTACAGGTAGCAATGCAGAGCCGAAAGAATAGAAGCTCGACTACTCAGCCGCCACCCGCACTGAAGTTGGGGCCGAAGGAACTGGGTTTATCGATTTTATCACAGAAGCCTAACTTTCCGGGTGGGGTACGGCACCGATGAGATTATGCCTCAAGTTGGAAACTGACTGCGGCCACGGACAACGAGGCGTCAATGAGGTTGAGAAGATGTGCTAAATAAACGCTCACGGAAACCGTGGCTGACGTGATCAACATTCAAATAGGCAAACACCGTGATGTTGCAGTTCAACTGTTGATGACCTGGAATCTTTTCGGTGAGATATTCTACCTTAGATTCTCGACAAACTAGCGCTGAGTCATTCTGCCCACCAGTTGAGATAGGTGTGATTGTTCGATGGCATGGATGATAGCTTATCGCAGTCTTCCAGGTGATGCGTGAACATCATGATCAGTACCACCTACAATATTAATGTGTGTAATATGAATCACACTTGCGGCGTGAAACGACACTAGTGCTAAAACTGATACATTGTCATTATGCATAGTCGATGCAAGGGTTAGGGCTGAGATGTGAGACTTGATAAGGTGTCAGTTATTATAGTACTTTCGGGAATTAACAAACAACGGTCACCTTTCACTAGCTTCTGAATCTGACTTGGAATCGGCCTTGCAATCCACATTAGTATCCTCAACGTGGTACAGTAGAACTCAGTCTACGGGCTCGTCGCAGTCTTATGCTGTTTAATGAAACAGGTGTTTCAGCTTGGCCTGGGTAAAATCAAGCAGCGACGATGAAATAACTTAAACCTGATGATGGTGGTGACTTTGGAATCGGAGAAATAGTTGATCACGTTCCCGTACAATCCCCGCGGAAGCCGGAAAGAGCCGCGCAATCTACTATGCTTACTGCCTTGTGCTCAGCAATCCATTGAATTCGCCGCCATGACTCAAGTGTTTACTGGTGACGGAGTTTCCGAAAGCTGGCGCTATAACTTTTACCATCTTCCGATTGGTCTTAGTAGACTGCTCAAAGAAGATGGACTAACTAGTAAGTACTATGTACATAAGCTTTTCATCACTCATGATCACAGACTCGTCATACATTCATGGTCCGACACCAACATGAACAACATCAACGAATTAGATTATCAGACATTATTGGTATCGTAATTGTTTATGCCTGATCGGCCGATCTTGGCCGTGCTTGTCGCAACAGTTCGCGCTCCACGCAGGGCTACAAATTACTTCATATCCAGAGTGGATGAATGGCACGTAGCCCACCAAAGTTATCACCCATAATACACGGATCCATTTCGTCTGTTATGCCTGGGCCCTGACAAGCTCCGGGCTGACTGCATGGCATCGGACGTCAGTTCATGGTGGGCTGTTCACGTGTTCGTGTTCAATAGTAATGCTCAACCTCTGCCACGCTCTCACTTTTTCATGCTCAACCATGTTCATTGGTGACCCTAGTGAATTACGGAACTCGCACAGTGCTGATGTCATTTGCAGCTCGCTAGACCACCCCCTTTGTTACGGTGTCACCACGCCCGACCTTGTATAATCGTTCCTGCTAATGCCGCTTTCTGACGGGCCTTTGGTCGACCGGCGGCCACTTGCCACAAGAACCCTTCAGGACGTCCCTGTAGTTTAGGCTTCTCTGTGTTGGTGGCTCAAGGCATCCATCAGGTGATCGTGCATATCGGAGTGCGAACGTTCGATCAGTCCATGCCTACGTTAAACGTCATACCACACTCTCCACGCACCATTATTTTTCCTTGGGACGAAGGCGGGTCTTCCCCAAACCATATAATAGAAGTTCGTCGAGTAAGTGGTGATGCTCAGTAGCGGATAAGTATTCCCGCGGCTAGTCGGTCACCCAGGCGGAGATGTTGCGGAGCATTGATCTTGATCTATACTTGGACTGAATTGGCCTCATTTCCGGGCGTCAATGGGCGCTGCAAGCCTTCGACACGCTTACGGGCATCGTGAACATGTACAGATGCCCGTAACTACTCAAACTTTCGCAAAGTTTCAGAATCAGATTTTTACATACTTCTTATGTACTTAGTCACTAGTTTCGAGTAAGGCTTGCGTCCCGAAGCCGAACTTCACGAGTGCTTACCCGTCACGCACCATGATCTGCCTCCTCGGAAATTCAAATCTCCAGGCTGTTGTTGTATGTGTGCGTATGTAACAGGGAATCGATCTCAGAGACCCTGTGCGCCGCCGTTGTCAAACGTGTAACGTTTAAAGACATCGATCTAGTAAAGATAGTTGAATATGCCAAACTGAATCCGATATCGATGTTCCTTGCAACGAGATAAGATTTACGTGATCCGAAGGGAACCGGCTCGGCGTGAAATGACGCATCTGGGGCAAATTGATCGCGGGATGGTCGTATAGTAGATTTCCGACCTCAACACCTTTATTTCGTATGCTATTATATTACATGCGGGATACAATGATGGATCCACTGCTGCCACAGTTTCGCTTAGCAGTCAATATATAATAACCTCACACAGCCAACTGGTCCCAGCATCCCCATCTCTTCGAAGAGAACCAACCTAGTACTTGTTCGTCGGTACGGCTCGGAATCCTAGATCTCCTTTTGGGACATCGCTACACCACTGGGTGCCCTTTACAAGACTTGGTGCCAATGTGCCTCCACGAAATGTGAGTGTTGATTCCAAGGTCGTCACCGCTCGCATTTCTAATGCGTCTCGTTATGCTTAGCGTTGGTGACTATTGGACAGGGTGTGGCGTAGGTTTCATCCTTGAGTTGAAGCCAACTAGGCACTAACACTAATGGCAACGTTGTGGAAATGTCCACAGCACTTCCATGGACGATATTTTACAGGAGTCACCTCCGACTGCGGCTCCCCACGGTGTAAGACGAGCACATCTCACATGCACAAGACAGCGCGAAATTGTGGGTGTCCCTCGGTACGCCTCTTCCTCGCATTCCCCTATCCATAGAAATTTACGTATTCGTAGGTGGTTACGGAAGACCGACGGGTGCAGAATTTGTACCGAACACCTCATCCTGACTGTGTACGACCGTCACGGTGAATCCTGACCGAATACTGTATTTCATGTTGGATATGGCCCATGATGTACCCAGCTAACTTCCGAATGTCCGGAACACCTATAGCCCTATTTCCTTCCCTGTATCTGTATCTTACTTGTCTTGTAGCTTCCCACCAATTGGATATCGTCGCAGTCATTCATAACAACTATGCATCCACAGATATAGTTCACAGCGAAAGTCAACAGCACAAAGGCGCGGCACCAAACACAGGCGGTTGTTCGTCAGGAAGGCCGCGAATTAAGATTGACCGGCTATGCGGCAGGATCTCAGTCAGGTGGCAGAAAAAACATGACATCATATCGTTACACACCGGAGGTCCAGCTGAGACCGAAGGACTTCCTTTCATTCCCACAAATGAGCGTCTGGAAGGCAGAGCGATATTGAAATATCGGGAGAAAAATTCGTCCAGCCAACTGAAAAATTCATCCTTGTCTTCCTGCGACAAATTTGCCCAATCTATGTGATCCACTTGATCTGTTGATCCTGTCTGCGATGGGTAAGTGCTCTTAGGGCGTGTGGGTGGAGGAGGCATATGGCTGTGCGATGGTAACAAATGAGCATCGGACCGTGAGCCGCGAAGCCACGGGAGGAGGGGGTGAAGTAACTGGACGTGTTCGCAGCAGAGGAGGCGTTGGAGGAACCATTACCCGTCGACCCTACTGGGGCAGATGGAGGTGCGCGCTTCCAGTTAGGATCCCAGTTCGTTTTTGAGGAGGGAACACTAGAATATTTATCCCTTGTGTTCACCATCTTTGTGACGCTCGCATCTTTGGCTTTCTCTGCCTTCTGCTTGAGCTCCGCAACTATCACGCCAATGAGCTCTAACAAGCTGGTCAACGTCAGGCCTCTCACAGTTTACCATGGTGCCTCTGAGAGAGATTAAGCTGCGCGTTGGTAAAATGAAATATGATTAATGCGCACTGGAGTTGTCAAGCACTATATGTAGCTGTGCCGAGTGTTGGACCTTGGTGATGAGGGTAACGCTTGGGCCTGGCGCTAACCCGTGTGTCACGGCAAGCTGATAACCCCTTTTTGGAAGTCTCATTGCGAATACAAGGGCTTTGAACGTTGAACGTTTTAATATTCATACATATTCGGATTTATTTCCAATTTATTTCCAGAGGAGATTCTGGGAGGCGATTTGAAGGTGATAAATGTGATGGTACACTACAGTATGTTGTCTATCTGTGTTAACACGAAGCACTCTGGAAAGCGGTGCCGCAGAGTTACTGATAATAATAAAAAGTCGAACACTGGCAATAAAAAAACGAAGGTCTGGTCGACTAGAAGCACAATAGACTCGTGAGGGTGAAGCCCCACGTCACCGTCTTATCAGAAAAAAGGTGGTTACTAACACGATAACGAGAACCAAAAGTGCAACCATGGCGTATAAACAGCGCCTCGCCCATTTCAGTTCTGAAACACGCATCTCCGCAAGCAGCTTTTGCTTCTCCTCTTCAGATTTTGCAGTCTCCCATTCAGGAGTAGGTCGAAGTGGAGAGAAGATTATAGCAACTCCGACTATCCAAAACACTGGAAAGACTGAGCAAAGTCAGTAATATCCCGCATGTATTTGACAACAGACTTACAGAAGCCATAGACAAACAAATAGCGAGCGAGCGTTATGGGCTCCTTATCCGCACCCGGACATGGACAAGCAGCGTATACTGGGAGTTTCTCAAACTCCCCTTCATGCAAGTAGGGCGGAGGAGCATGTCGTTCGAGAGCTCTGGTTCGGTGCGGTTTGGCTCCGAAGAACTGTACAAGCATGTCATCCTGGAGCTGCATGGATGAATAGTGCGCTTCAGGAGGATGCGTGAGTTTCTCGGCGCATGTTGCTTGGGATGAACTGGAAGCAGTGTCTGATAGCGTCCTTGGCAGGTGCAGTTCGATTGGCAGGTTGGAAGGATAACATGATGATTCAGATTTGTCTGAGAACCACATTTTGCTGGAAGAATTGATGAAGCACCTGGATAATGGGCGGGGGGTATGTATTGTCAATTTGTGGTGCAGAGATTCTAGGTGAAATTGGTGGGCGGATGAACGACACGATTCCACCCCATCCCCAGTGTTCGCAAATAAATAGATTCCTGGCGCGGCATTGGCAAAGTGTCCACGGGCCAAGTTTGTGTTAACAAAAAGGTGGAAGACGAAGGCGGTCAAGACGGACCCCACGTTACCAAAGCAGTTTGGTCGTAGCCAAATTTGGTAAAGACTTTTCGTACTCACACGACAAAGACAATAACGAGGGCTTCCTACGATGGAACTACATATCAGAACCTAAATATCATTTGCCGGCAGGGAAGTAACTTTCATTCATGTGGGATAGTTGACAGTTGCAATCGGATCATGACTCCAGCTTTTTGAGTTATAGGGGAGCGCACCGTGTCTGACTCGGAAGCGCATCTGAGATAGACATTGCTAGCTCAATGCGAACTGGAGAGAAATATACACATGAAAGACAAAAACTTGGGGTTCAGAGCGAACTCCTTCCGAGGATTGATCTATAAGCTAAACTCAATATCGTGCCGATCTCATCTCTGGACTCCCACAAGGGCAAGATGATGCAAAATGTCCCGCTCGCAAAAGCCCATATACTGTCGAAATCAAGTCAGCGAGCGCTCCCTCGAACTGCATGTTGAAATCGAACACGTACATCGAGCAGGCTGTCCAAAAGGTATAGAACTTCTTGCTGAAGATATAATGAGAGAAGAACATGGGCAGTGGGACTAATTCTCTGTCAGTCATATAGCGAATTGAATAGTGCTGCCATACTGACCAAGTATGACAACAATCACAGTTAAAATTGACGAATATATGAACGCCTTCCGGAACACCCTCTTGAGGGATATGATACGCTGTTCCTCATCCTTTTCTAGGCCAACTTCGATGATGTCCGAAACAGGCTGCTTTAACGACGACTCGTTTTCGCTGGCGCCCTTTTTCTCTTTCTGTGACTCGGCGTCTGATACTCCGCCTGGAATTTCATCGCCCGAAATTTCACTTATGTTCGTATCATCCAAGGTGGCGATTGCCCGAGTAGCCGAGAAATCATAGTCAGCTGGATCTATAGAAAAAGATAAGTATTGTGTTGCTGAAGGAAAAGAAAACGAACTCCAGAGCGACACGCCCACAGTTAAGATTCCAGAGAAAAATAGTCCCGTGAGACTACTGCATAAGGCTGAGTACGGTTCTGCAAGGTTAGGAATGTTGATTTGGCCTGAAATTGATCAGCATGAGGTAGATTAAATTTGGAAAGATCATACCGTATATCTTCCAGCATCCGATCATCCAAGCCAACATTCCTAAAGTTGCGCCGCCTATAGCACCACTGAAAACCCCTGCCTTCGTGAGCTTAGACCATGAAACAGTAAGTCCGATGGGAATAACTGCAGGGCTGAGTATAGAGCCCCTGCATGCCAGGTAGTTTCAGCACGATTTCATCTCGCAGCAGTCAAAACCTTACTGAACATAAAATAACTTTTTCGGTCATCTCATCAGCAAGGGATCGTCAGCATCGAGGGCTATGCTATGTAACTCACCCATCCAAGGTCGATGTTACCAGCATTCAGCTGTTGAGTTTGAGCTTGTGCGGGAAACAAACGGTGAGACGAATGCCACTCACAATAGTCGCCCAACAGCCCATCCAGACAGCCCAGAAACATATAAAGTAGTGAGACACCCTCACTATCTCGTCTCCAGTTGCATTGGGGCGGAAATAGGTCCGGTAGATGCTGGTGTATGACGTCATTCCTAGCACCAATGACAACACTAGTTGTTACCTACTCATACGAACTGATCGTGTACGGTCAGGTGTGATTGCCTTTGGACGAATGACCCAGCAACTTACAATAGACTTGATACGCCGATGAGTTCAGCACTCGCGGCTGAAGTGACGGCCATACTGATATCCTGTCAGAACATTGCATCTTTCCATCCTGGTCTAAACGTACAATACCACGAGAAGCACGGTGATCGCACCCCCTTTGCCCATGAGCACAGCAGCTGCTGCAGGAGCTGCAAGACCTGCGCTAGTCTGACTTGGAGAAAGCGGAGAAGGATAGGTCGGAAAGTTTGGCTACAAATATTAATGAGCTGCCATCCATGGAGCGTATTGATACTGGACTTGCATTGTTCAGAAGGGCGCGAGCACTCAGACCGAGACAAGATGCAAATGCCCACGGAACAGCAAACCAAGAGATACCACCCAGCATCTGGTAGTCTATCAGTTTGTTTCAAAGCATGCAAATACAGAACTAACGTATGCCTTCGTGGTCGACTCTGGATGACTTGCTATTGCCTACTTCACTAAGCCAGTGGCAATATAGCAAAGCATAAATCTCACCCTTTGCCAGTAACCTGTGCGGGATTTCCCGTTAGAGACATGTGGATTAGATACGACATGAATTAGAGCCCGACCTTGGTCACAGAAGACTCCGGTAAAACCAGAAAGCATGGTGACGGCACCAAATACGAGGCCTTGATTAGACTTCATGGTCAGGTAGCTGCCCCCTTGATTCCCGACTACTGGAGTGTCGATGCTAGCCTGTTCTAAGAGATCATAAAGTCTGGAGACACTACCAATGGCAGGTGATGTTCCGCTATGAAAATAATCCATGATCAACCAATCCCACGCAGCAGAAAACACTCACTATGCTCGGAATATGAATATGTAGATAATGATGAATAAGATAATGGTATGACTCCAGTCACAGATGAATGTCGCGCGCAGACCCCCAAAGATGACATAAACAGCAATGCCAATAGGAAGAAGAAAGCATGCCGCAATAGTGTTCATACCAGTCAAGGCATTGACAGTCGCAGAGCCTCCAACTATCTTGGTCATGAGGAATAAGTTGAGAGAAAAAAGGTTCAGACATACGTAGCAAAGACCCGCAGACAAGTAAGATACACAAGAATCCATAAAATGTAAACAGAATGTGGGCACTTGTCCCAAATCGCGTCTTGACGATCTAAATGCCAGTAAACATTCCAGAAGACCTTACAAGTACGTGGTTCATACCTCGAGGAACGTATGGGCTCCGTTGGCGTTCTGCTTTACCTTGGAGGCGACCATGCCAAACATAGCAACCTGAATTGTGCCACCAACACCGTACCACCTACATAAGGTGAGCTAGAGTTGCCCACAAGACCGACAGGGCTACCCACCAAGGACCGCTCACGCCTTTTAACAGGAATTAACGTGCATCTCGTAAACAACATGAAAAAATGCTTACCAAATGTATATGCAGCAGTGCTCGATTGTAAAAGCGTGGCGCTCCACGTCCACGCGCTTACGCTATACACAAGTTAAGTATAGCAACACCCTTAAAAACCCCAGTATTAATACGCACATGCCACAGCAAACCAGACCAGGCTTCCATTGATCATGAGCTAGCAAGACAGGTATTTTACAAGGCAAACCGTACCTTCACACTTCGGGAAGCGCTCTTGTGATAGGTCAGAATTTCATTTGTTAAAAAAGTAACATTAAAGGATATCGCACCGTGAATTCTTCCGAAGAAGTGGGGGAGAATTTGAAGAATTTGCGTTGGAGCGTGGTCAAGATGAGCATGATGGCTGCGAAGAAGAACCCCACACCTGAAAGCAGTTAGCCAAAAGTTTCGAGCCATGAAGTAGACTTCATACCAACAACAACGCCATAACCAACGCTCTGGGCTTCATGAAAGATGAATTTGGGTATGATGGAAGCATTGCAAGCACCGACGTACCGAGGAATGGCTTGAACTCAGAATAGGACGGCTCGCTAGACATTAGTCGTAGAAGATGGGGGGAGAGCAGGTCAGCTGGTTGGCAAAGCGTTAGTGTACCATTTTATGTTGTCAGCTGTTACCTCATGAGATATTCTTAGAAAACGGTGGATCTGAGCCCCGCTAGGGTCAGTCAGAGATAAGCGTCCACCACTTGGCAATCCACGATTTGAACACAAAGCGTGAGTGAGCAGGAGTTAGCAAGCTGATAAGCTCTACGTACCAAGCGTTCCCATAGCAAACGATTCCTATCAATCAAGGTATGGTGACTCAATTAACGGGATTCCTTGCGGCTTCTTGATTCGAGAAGGCGTGAGGCATATGATAATAGGCATACTCGTTACTGTTCCATCTAAAACGTTAACACACATGCCATGAACATGACGTTAAGGTTGACAAGCGATCGAGGAAAAGTTTCAGAGCTGATTTCTGGAGTCGGAATGTTGAGGTATTTAGTTGCAACTGTTCTAGATATATCGACTCGGATGAGTGATCCTTCCATTTCACCAGCAAACATCTTCTAGTGAATGCCATGGTTTCATTGGATTTGATCAGCTTGCTTTGCAAGTCGAGTTCTATATCGATGAAGTAAAGCAGTGTTAGCAGCTGCTCATAGACGGCTCTCCGCTTCCAAAACAAATCATAACACACCTGTTCCGAGCTGCAACGACACGAATAGTTCTCACTTTCTCCTTTTCTGTCATGGTCTCCCAGTTAGCGATCCTCGATAAAGTCTTGAAAGCCAATGAGGTGGTCGTTTGTGCGAGCGTCAAAACGGGTGGCTCACCCCATCACCGTTCACTACCATCGGACCCAAAGCTTCGAGTTTGACAGTCTCAGAGGACCCCAGGGTGACTTGTTTTGCGTTCCTATCGTCAGCTGGAGGTGCTATGAGAAGTGGAGTAGCACTTGGCGTCTGCTGGTCGTCGTTTATACTGGTCCGAGGCGGAGTCGCTTCAGATGGAGCCATCTCCAACAGCAATAAATTTCTGCTGTAGGTCGCAAGGGAAGTGTTAAATAGCTAGAGCTCAGTCTTGTAAGGACTTAATGTTGCCTATTAATGATCGAAAGCTGAACGTTGAACATACATACTAAAAAGTAATTTCCAAGTGCTCTAGAGCTCTCAGCTTGCCATTGGCAATTGCTAAGCCTAGAACGTTCATCGACCGTCTTCAAGTTGCAGGAACAAGACCGTCAGTGACAGAATGAACTGAATGTCAAAATAAATTGAAATTGAAATTTCTACTAGTGACCAGCGTATTCTTTCTCTTCTCGCGGTGCCCCCGCCGTGAGCCCATTCGCCGTGCAGCATCCCGGTAACTATAAAATCTAGAATTTTCCTAGACGCTAAGATCTGCGCGTTGGCCGCCTCGATAATAGTGGTACTACTAGTATATTCCTATCAAGACTGGTTTCGCTAAAAGCACGTTGAAAAGGAAACACCGAATGCCAGACGGTATGCGTCATCCGAATTCTGAATCGCATCATGTATCTCCTGCCGAAAAAGGGAGAGAGACGCCGCGAAGGGATTCCTCTTCTTCCCCAATCAAGGCTTTCAACAGGAAGTTAATCTGGACAGTCGAAGATAACTCTTATAACGAGTCTGAATCGGAGGGAGTGGGATAAGTATGTATAACGTACGTGGCGCTTCTTGCTTTACGTTTTTGCAGCTTGAAAGCATTATTGCAAGTACGCGGAACGATCACGCGATGACAAAACATGTACTCAACATGCCTCGCGATCGACTTATTTCGCTTCCTAGTATCCATCAACATCCATCGCTGGACTCGCGAGGCTTGGTCGTATCTCACCCTCCAGCATGCCTACAGGTAGTAGCAATAGCACTGATCATTCAGCTAAAACCGATCGGCAAGGATTTGAACTGGCAGAATACCGCTTTGGTCCCTTGCTTCACCCAACCCCCGCTACAAAGAGCGCATGGACCAACTATTCCATCAATCGCCTCCAAACCATGAAAAAATACCGCGCAGTTCTCCCTGTGTCACGCAAGGACCCTGAGGATGGGTCTGAGGAAGATGACGATGACGGGTGGGATTCCGAAATCGAGGATTGGCTTGGCGACTCTGTCAAAGCTTGCGTTTCCCGGATTGAAAAGGAGATGAACTTGGAGGTGGGCACCCTCCAGAAATGTATCGTTATTTTATGGGACTGCACGGACCTTTACGATTCGCAGGTGCGTATGGTTCGCTGACACTGTTTCATGGCTGATGTCTACGGTGATCGACAGCCACGCACTACTGATAACATTGTCCGGATATACTCGCCCACTACGCCAATGTACATTGATGTGCATTTTCGCTACCACTGCCGCTCGCGTTGGTCAGAGGTTGAGTGGTTCTACGCACTCGGGTACAAGATCCAACACCGCCCACGTGCGACGGTGTGCGATGCACGTGCCTTTAAGGAAGAGCTTGTCGAGGGTGCTCCTCCTCCAGATTTGCACACGCGAAATGGGTGGCAGAACATATGCTGGGGCTACTTTGATGAATCGAATGGAAATTATGGCAAAAAATGGCGCCGGGTTGAGTTAGCAAAGATGGAGTTGTACGAGGAAGGAGTTATGGACGTGTACGAAACCTTGTTCGGAGAGCTGGAAAGGCCCGCTGAAACCGACTCAGAGGCCATGCTTGCATACCGACGATCACTCGTAAGGGGCATACGCCTGCTCCTCGCCGCTGCCGGGATTTCATATGAGGTTGCATGTACTGATGAGGAAAATGACAAACGGCCGCCCCTTTTGATGCTTGAAGGGCATCGCGACACCTGGGTCGGTCGGGGAATACGCAATGCATGCGGCATCCGACTCGCCAGAGACGCAGAAGAAGAGCGGGAAGGCGCCCAGGAACGTCGAAAGGAGGCGAAGGGATCCAACAACTCATATGATGACTTCGAACACGACGAACATCACCGCTCTGAGGATGACGACTCTGACTACGGCTTCTGAATGACACGATTTCATGACAACAAGAGCATCTTTCTAGTACGTGTTTAGCAGCCCTCTGTCAGCACAACACCACCACGTACTTATTAAGTCGTCTCATCTTCGTTAAGTGGCACATCTAAAACGGCCGGCGGGAACGGCGGACTCATGGGGGCACGCCTCACATCAAGGCATTTGTGCACTTAGAGATGCAATCAGGACACCGGGGGTCCATTAGACTAGATAGTAGTGTCCCGCATAGAGTACTACTCTTAATGGGACATAAATTGAATTTCAACGTTGAGGGCGAGTCCGTATGAGGAAATCGAGGAACATTCACAGTGCTGTCCAAAGGATGACGAATGTACCAATGATTGCTACATATAGCTGTCAAGAATCATGAAGTACTTATCGATATCTAGTGGCGCAACGTGCCTTGGGTGAGCCAGACAGAGTCAGATTAGACAAATGAAGGGCCCAGTAGAATGGATATCAATCAGGGAGTCGCAGATAGCTTGTATAATGAGGTACGCACCGCTGTATTGGCCTGTATAAATGGATAGTTAGTGGACAACCTTAGGCTAAGCTCGGTTAGTGCGAAGCTTGGTCAGCACCCACTGTGACCATTTGAACTCATGATCTGACTCACCGAGACATTGTCATGCATACTACGATCGACGTTTCAATCGTTGATAACGACCCGGCCCGACGAGAACAAGCACCAATTAGGTCCTTTCCATGTGCATGCGAACAATGTCAAGTTGGTGGCATCTGGGAAGGACATCATTGATCATTGACGCTGAACACTTTGATGGCGAACACCAGAGTCATAATAGTGGGTGCTGGCATTGCTGGTCCCGTTCTTGCTGTTTTTCTCAAGACGAGAGGGTATGACCCCATCATATACGAAAGACTCCCCGGTCCAGGAGAGGGTGGACTCGGTTTCACGTAAACGCCTACGCTTCTCCTCTTCCTCATCGATCCCATACTTACTTACCAAATGCCACACACAGGCTACAGCCCAACGGTCTCCGTGTCCTATCCCTCATTCCCAAATTGCTGGAACAGATACCCGGCCATTCTCCAGAGAGGATGATTCACTGTTCCTGCTTGGATGGAAAGGAGGACATCCTTATCGATAATGATATTTCGCCAGCTACAATGCGGGAACGTTTTGGTTTCCCTGTGATTGGAGTGCGGCGCCCAGAGTTCCAACGCCTTTTGATCGATACGGCCGAGGAGCATGGTATTGAGATCAAGTGGGGCCATCATGCCATTGCATTTGAGCAAAGCGAGGATGCAGTGGAAATCACGTTTACGAATGGTGCCAAGGACACGGCAAGCTTTGTCGTAGGCTGTGATGGGTTGCATAGCAATACCCGGACTGCACTCTTTGGGGTAGAAAAGGCAGACTTCACGGGAATGGTGCGGGTGAGCCTGTTTTAATGACGATCCTGCTGTGGAAGCTGATATTCGAATGATTTGCAGGTCGGAGGGTGGTCTCCTACGCCGCCTGCCCTTCAGGGGAACATTGCAATGGTAAATAATTACGGGGAGGGTCGTCATATGATCGCATACCCTATTGCAGAGGACAAGTATTCATGGGCGTACGTGTCATCTCGATCGCTTGTTCAGAGTTTGATTATCTTGGGGCTCAGCATCAGTACTCTGGGGGCTGAGGCCAAGGAGGATTGGAGAACGCAGACCGCAGAACAACAAAACGAAATCCGAAACGGGCCTCTTTCTGCGTGGGGGTTCGGGGCTGGAGATCTGGTAAAGACCGGTCAGAAGATCGTGAAGGTCAGTTCCTTCTCGTGATCAAGATTCGATTTTCTTGAAATGGACCCCTTCCAGTATGGTCTCTACGATCGACCTGAGCTTAATTCATGGTTCAAGGGAAGAGTTGTTCTTTTGGGCGATGCAGCTCACCCCACAAGTCCGGTACGTAATTTTACCTCGAAGTTTGGCGTTGATCTAGATGATCGTACTTAGCATCTGGGCCAAGGTGCCAATCAAGCCTTCGAAGACATTTACCATTTTATGCGACTCCTGAGGAAGCACAACCCATCTGCCGGCCAGCTATCGACAGAACTATTGTCGCAAGTGTTCACTGATTACCAGGATCTTCGGCTACCGCGTACATCCGAGCTCGTCAAGGGGTCTAGACGGCAAGGGGAAATCCGGGTCGTCGAGGGTATCGATGCCTGTAGAGCAAGAGATGAAGCAATTCGGGCAGGATTTAATGGTGATGCAGCGAGGAGGGCACGCGACGAGTTGTTATCCGGGCCATTTACATCCAGCGAAATGTAGTTGCCCTGCGCGAAAAGGATGCTCACGAAGTGGTGGAGGACCATTGTGCCAGTCCGATGCCAAGGACAAGGACCGAGTCAATAGATGATAATGCAATAGGACAGTACAACGTCTTTCACACTTCATTTGACCACTTAACTCCCTGAATTGACATAATTGATAATGTCGTGCGGGGTCGATGCCGATTGACCGTGCAGCCTATACGTCGGAGCGAATTGACAGGACGTCGGCCAACTTGAAGAATCCGATAGTGCTTTATCTTCAAATCTCGATTTTCGAAAGCAGGTGTGTTTCTTGCTACTGCAAGAACCTTACCCGGAAATTGTGAATGCTGTCCCTGTTTCTAGACCTTGAACACGAGTCCACAACCGCGGTCAGATTCAGAATGACCACAACATCGAAACTGGTGGTTCCAATTGAAACGATCGCAGACTATAAGTAGCATCAGCTCGTGCTGGGCCTTCATAGATAGTCTCACTGCTCACGTCCTCATTCTCGGAATATTTTTCTCTGTTCTTGCCACTAATCTCACCGCGGTGACGTCACCATGCAGCATCGCAGAAACAGCATCTCTCCCATCCCCCTCAGCGAGCTCGCATCTACAGTCGTTGATCGTATTCCCCTCCTTCTCGAGCAACTGCAAAATCTAGAGGCGGAGGAAGCTTTCCTGGACACCAAGATCGTGTTGCTAGAGGAGTTGCAGAGAAGATCCACGAGTGTCTCTATGGACACGTTGAGAGCGCAGCCTAGCACCAGTGTTACTGAAAGCACGCTGAAAAGAAATCATCTAGTTCCAGACGGTATGTGCCATTCGATCAAATTGCTCCTGCTGAACGACGAAATAGGAACCCCGAGAAAGGAGATTTCTGGGATGGATTCTTGTTCACTTATTGCGTCTCTCAACAGCAAGCGGACTCTGAATCGGCGAACGGGAGTAATCTGGGCAGTCGAAGACAACTCTGACACAATCTCAAAGAGAGGAAGATATGACTTGCATGTATAATGAATGGACTTGTCGCTTCTTGCTATGTAGGAGGTTGTCACGATCACGTGAAGACCAATATTTAATATCGCGTCACGGTGTCTTGGCGTGCCCTTCGTCGGTTCTTCTCCATCGATCCGAACCACTCAACTAGCAGCTCTGCGAGGGTTAGGCTTGATCCTATACAACATGCCTGCCAACAGTGCCAATCCTTCAGCCGCTCAAGTTGATCTACAAGGACTTGAATTGGCAGAACATCACTTTGGTCCCTTACTTCACCCAATCCGCGCCACAAAGAGCGCATGGACCAACTATTCTATCAACCGCCTCCAAACCAATAAAAAGTATCGCCCAGTTGTCCGGGTATCAAGCAAGGACTCTGAAGATGGCTCCGAGGAAGACTCTGAGGAAGATGAGGACGAGTACGGTGACGAACCCGATGATCTTTGGTTGTCCGACTCCATCAAATATTGCGTTTCTCAGATTGAAAAAGAGATGGACTTAGAGGCGGGTACCCTCCAAAAATGTATCACCATTTTAAGCGACAACACGGAACTTGACGACGAAGATGTGAGTACGGCTTGCCTGACAATGTAACTCGTGGCTGATGTCAATGATGATCGAATAGCCACGCTTCTACTGATAACATTGTTCGGATTTACTCGCCCACTGCGCCGATGTACATCGACGTGCATCTTAAATACCACTGCCGGTCGCGTATGTCAGAGATCGAGTGGTTCTACTCACTCGGGTACAAGATCCAACGCCGCCCGCCTGCATCAGCGGCCAATGTAGGTGCCATTGACCAAGAGCTCGGCCAGGGCGACCCCTCAGATGTGCACACGCGCAATGGGTGGCAGTCCATATGCTGGGGTTACTATGATGACTCCGATGGAAACTACGGCAAAAAGATGGCGTAGGGTTGAGGTAGCAGACATGGGATTGTACGAGGAAGGAGTTACGGACGTGTACGAAACCTTGTTCGGAAATTTGGAAAGACCTGCGGAAACCGACGGAGAGGCCATGCTCGCATACCAAAGGTCACTCGTAAGGGGCATACGCCTGCTCCTCGCCACTGTCGGCCTTTCATACACGGTTGCATGTACTGACGATGAAATCGACGTGCGGCCGCGTGACTTGATGCTTGAAGGGCTGGCTGACAAATGGGTCGGGCGGGGGATACGCAATGCATGTGGCCTCCGGCTCACCAGAGACGCAGAAGAAGAGCGGGCAGGTAGCCAGCAACGACGAGAAGAGGCAAAGGGTTCCAACAACCCATACGATGATGACGGCTCCGAGGGTGATGAATCCGACTGGTGATGATGAGGGGATAGATTCGAGGCGCAGGAAAGCCCATGCATAGTGCTAATACCTGTCAACTTGGATGCCGTTAATGTTAGCAGGCTTCCACGTACATATGGTACACGTGCATGTACGGTGGAGATTCCCAAAACAAGTGATTTTTTTGATGTTGTGGGGTAATTCCCGCACTGTGTGACTGAAAAATGCGGAAATGTGGTGTGGGAATATACTAGTGTGGGGAGGCCTGACATTGAGGAGGTGACCAAAATGGGATGGTAACCAATATCAAAAGCGAAGGAAGCCATGAGCCCTAGACTGGCAGCTGCTATCCTAGATAGGATCCTCCGTTGATACTACCTGCTAGTTATCCTCGGGAGTAGAGCGATTCATGTATCATCATCACAGCCTGCCTGCGACATCTCTTGGAAGTGATGCTGATTGTCTTGATTGGCTAGAATCGGCGTCTGCATGCATATGGCATGCATAACAAAATCAGAAAAAGCTATGTTTGGGAGCATGTGCCATCAGATGCCGCAAGCAGGTGCGTGTTTGAGGTTACTCCATACCCCTCGCGCATTTTTTTGCATGCCGACATGAGGAACCAAACGTGCCTGCCCGCGTGTTTGAGGAGGATCTATCCCCTCTCTCCCGGTCTGGATTGGTATAATAGGCCTAACTGTGAGTCTATGCGTCCTCCATCGCAGACGCAAACGCCAATTGCGAAAGGCATCTTGCTCGGTCACGATGTTAAAGTCCCTCAAAATATTTAGCTCCCTGGCGTTGCTGCAGGCAGTTGCGTCGCAGCAGATTTTGGACATCGTGAGCCGACGCGTCCTCGCGCTGATGCGTGGTGGTTGACTTACATCCATTTTCACAGTGGCAAACGACATGGGATAGGGAAATGCTTTTATCCTATTCCCAGCCCACGGAACCCATCAACTTCGTTACTCCTGGTGCTATCGGGAGTGCCGACATCGTCGTCGATGATTCATCGGTATACCAAACTGTGTACGGTTTTGGAGCATCACTGAGTAAGTGTTGTAGTCGTTTATCTGGACGGAGCGCTTGATTGAATCGTCCTAGCCGATTCTGCTGCTGAGTTGTTGAACAACTTGAAGGCAAAGCGTATTTTCTGCTTACTATGCGCAGTCCGTTGATAGTATTCTATAGACACAGAACTCTGGAACTTATTGGCAGCTCATGGATTATTTATTTAATGGTGCGTTGCTTGACTCCACGTGGGCGATGCACTTACGCCTTCGTCATCAGCTACAGATGGTGCTAACTCAGCTGGGCTCTCCTATGTCCGTGTCCCACTCGGAGCGACAGACTTTTCTGCAAACAGTAGGGCAATTTTATCTGCTCTACAGTAAGAACAGACGAACTGGAACATAGCCTACAGCTATGATGATGTCAGTGGAGACACTTCGCTGAACGATTTTGACATCAACGCTGCGCCGTCCGACGTTTTCTCGGTCCTTCAAGATATTCTCTCAATCAATTCCATGGCCAGAATCCACGTCCTTCCTTGGTCGCCGGTATGCAGACCATCTAATATCTACGTCAATTACTTAATGTTATCAATTAGCCTGGTTGGATGAAGAGCGGGGGGACCATGGACGGAGGCTCGCTAGATACCCAATATGTCAACACAAGTGAGCCATTCTAGTACACAACCTGCAGGCCTACGTGGCTAACGACTGTTGCAGTGGCAAACTACCTCTTGGAGAGCGTGCAGGAGTTCTCAAACAAGGGAATTTCCATATACGCAATCGGTATCCAGGTATGTCCATTACGATTGATTGATTCACCGGTATAACTGTCGCACCAGAATGAGCCGGAAGGCAACGACTCCACATATCCGTCTTGTAACATGCCGGTGGCGACTGAGGCACAGATCGGGCTGGCTCTGCGTACGCTCTTGAATGATAATGGCTTTTCGGGCGTCAAGATTATTGGCTACGAGCACAATTGGGCGGATGCTGCCAATTACCCGGTCCAACTGGTGTGTAATTCTCTTGGGTTAATTTCTGCGCGATATTGATGACATTGGCAGATGCAACAAGCAGAAAGTGCCTTTGACGGAGTGTCTTTCCATTGTTATGAGGGTTATGTCAGTGACCAGGCTTCATTCACGTCTCAGTACCCGAACAAGGTATTTTATTTTGGGTTTTTGATCCATCCGAGTCCTCTTAGTGAGTCGTGTAGGAAGTATACTTCACGGAGTGCTCGGGAGCCCTTATTAATTATGACTGGTGGCGCGACATTAAGGTACGAATAACTTGTGTCAGACGATAGTATGAACTAATCCTGTGGCCAGTGGCACATGGACAATCTGTATGTAACCAGTCCGCTCCTTGCCTTCATTTTCATTTCATGATCTGATTTTTTATGGCACTTTCAAGCTTCATCGGCAGCATCTCATACGGTTCCTCCTCTGGATTGATGTGGAATCTCGCCCTCGACGGAAACGGTCAACCATCACTTCCGGGCAGCGACAGCTGTAGCGGCGACGGATGTCGCGGCGTAGTCCAAATCAACAGCGATGGAACTTGGAGCTTGAACTCAGAATTTTACTCTATGGGTCAAGCTTCTAAAGCCATTCTCCCTCGCGACGTCGGCGGTCCATGGGGCCAGCGAATTGGCGTGAGCGTCGGTGGTTCGCTTGATTGGGCCCTCGTAGTGGGCGCGTACAAGACGGGAAGAGTTTCGTCGAGCGACTGGAACAGGTACAGCATCGTCGTGCTTAACTGGTAGGTATTCTGGTATTCAGATTGGATAGCAAGATGCTAATCGTTCGTCAGGGATGACAGTGCATCCACCAGTTGGAATCCTCAGCCCGTGGACAGCCACTATCGAGTTCAGGGGTATGCAGGTGAGTGAACGTTTCAAAACTTCGTGGACGAGTTCCCTGATGATCGTGATAGGCTACATACACATTTCCCGTCGGTGTCACCACGCTTTGGTGGTACGCATCCAACTAGTTGTATCCTGGTGTATTTAATTTTCTATTGGGTATTTTTCCATGTCTCTGGGCAGCTGTGGGTTCGATTTCATGCTGGCTTCCTGTGAATTATTTATTTAAGTAACTAATTATGCAATCTTGGTTGTCCTTGTCATCAGTGCGGGCGAAGGCAAGGTTGCATACAGCTGTGCGTCCATCACATGCAAGGTATATGCCATTGAACGTGATCCCGCCTCATGTCTGGCTCACCCAAAGCTCATTGCATTATTTACCGCCAAATTGCTCCTGTCAGACGTCGATGAACAAGACAAGTAGTTCATGATTGATGACAGCTATGTGTGGGCTTTCCTACAACTCAAAAACCATCTCCTCATCCGACTCACCCTCCTGCTTGTAATTTTAGATTCATGATCCTCAGAGGCCGAAGTCATCATCCCCAGAGCTGCCGTCTTCATCGTCATCGGAGTCTTCATCATCCTCGGGGTCACCCTTTGCCTCCTCTTGTCGTTTCTGGGCACCTTTCCGCTCTTCTTCGGCGTCTCTGGTGAGTCGGAGACCACATGCATTGCGTATTCCCCGCCCGACCCATCTATCACTCAACCCCTCAAGCATCAGATCACGCGGCCCGTCGTCACTTTCATCGTCAGTACATGCAACTTCGTATGAAATACCAACGGCGGCTAGGAGTAGGCGTATGCTCCTTACGAGTGATCGATGGTATGCGAGCATGGCCTCTGAGTCGGTCTCGGCAGGTTTTTCCAAGTCTCCGAACAAGGCTTCGTGAATGTCCAGCACTCCTTCCTTGCGCAACTCTACTTTTCCAACCTCAACGTAGCGCCAATTCTTGCCATAGTTTCCATTGCAGCCATCATAGTAACCCCAGCATAAGGTCTGCCACCCATTGCGCATGTGTACCTCTGGAACAGCAGCATCCCTACTGAGCTCCTTGTTGACGAGGTGTTGATTGGCGGCCGTCGCAGGTGGCCGGCGTTGGATCTTGTACCCGAGCGAGTAGCACCACTCGACCTTCGACCAGCGCGGGCGGCAATGATATTGGAAATGCACATCAATGTACATTGGCGCAGTGGATGAATAGATCCTGATGATGTGATCTGTAGAGCGCGGCTATCGATCACAATATTGATGTCAGGCACGAATAACAGTTTCAACAAGCTGTACGCACTTTCACATCGTCAATTACCGTGTCGTGGCCTAAAATGGCGATACATTTCTGGAGGGTGCCTTCTTCCAAGTCCATCTCCTTCTCAATCTGGAAAACGCAAGCTTGGACGGAGTCTAAAAGCCAAGCCTCATCGGAGTACTCGGAGTACCCTGAGTACTCGTGCTCCTCAGAGTCTTCCTCAGAGCCATCCTCAGAATTCTTGCCTGGTTCCGTCACAACTGTGCGGTATTTTTTCATGGTTTGGAGGCGATTGGTGGAATAGTTGGTCCATGCGCTTTGCGTGGCGCGGGTTGGGTGAAGTAAGGGACCAAAGTGATGTTCTGCTAGTTCAAGGCCTTGAAGATCGGTTTTAGCTGCTGAAGGATTAGCACTGTTTGCGGGCATGCTGGAGAGTGAGATACGATCAAGCGTTGCAGAGCTGCTAGTCGAGTGATTCAGATCGACGGAGAAAGTTTGACCAAGGACACCCTGACGGGTAGAATAAATATTGGGATCGTGACGACTAACAAGATCTGTCAATCCTGCGGATCCTCGTGGAGGAGTTCCCTAATTAATCGTCGTCATAGGCTACATACACATTTCCTGTCGGTGTCACCACGAACTCTTGAAAAAGAAGGAACGTCTTCCTTCTTAGAAGGCATCGAGTTCAAGGCGGCGTGCCGCTGCCTTTTTATGAAGGTTCGTTCCTTATGTGGAATAACAGCTGCGGAAAGATCAGCTCTGGGCGAATAGTAAGTTTGCAAAGTGAAGAGGGGATGATAAACAACTCGTAACCTGTGAAAGGCTATCTCCCCCCGACTGGTGCAGGGAGGCGGGTGCCGCTGGTCTGTGCTCGAAGCATTGAAGGAGATCAAACTAGGGATCGGGGTCGAAGAAAAAACAGACCTTCAGTGCGCGTTCTTATCTGGGCTGTGCGGTTCCAAAGGATAACGAAAGTACCAATATAATGATTAATGAATATCAATGGATACCTTATCCGATCCGGGCGTCACGATCACGTGAAGACCAATATAAATCTACGCGTCGGCGTGTCTTGGCATGCCCTTCGACGGCTTCGTCAAATTTTCATCCGAAACACCCGAGTCTGCGAAGCTCGACTGTATCTCACTCTACAGCATGCCTGCAAACAGTGCTAATCCTTTAACAGCCAAAAGCGATCTTCAGGGCCTTGAACTGGCAGAACATCACTTTGGTCCCTTACTTCACCCCACCCGCGCCACGCAAAGCGCATGGACCAACTATTCCATCAATCGCCTCCAAACCACTCAAAAATACCGCACAGTTGTAGACTCCCAGGAGCCTGAACCTGAGCACGACGAGTACTCCGACGAGGCTTGGCTTTCAGGCTCCGTCAAATCTTGCGTATCTCAGATTGAGAAGGAGATGGACTTGAAAGAAGGCACCCTCCAGAAATGTATCACCATTCTGTGCAACGAAACGGTACTCGACGACGAGGATGTGCGTACGGTTTGTTGACACTATTATTCATGCCTGACGTCAATGATGATCGATAGCCGCGCTCTCTTGATAGTATCGTTCGGATCTACTCACCCACTACGCCAATGTACATTAATGTACATTTCCAATATTATTTGCGTTCGCGTTTTTCGCTGGTCCAGTGGTTCTACGCACTAGGATACAAGATCCAACGCCGCCCATCTGCGACCGCAGCCGATGCATCTCTCATCAAAAAAGAACTCAGGAGGGGCATGCCTCCAGAGGTGCACACGCGCAATGGGTGGCAGACTTTATGCTGGGGTTACTATGATGACTCCGATGGAAGCTATGGCAAAGATTGGCGCCCAGTTGAGGTTGGAAAAGTGGAGTTGCACGAGGAAGGAGTTCTGGACGCTCACGAAGCCTTGCTCGGAGACTTGGAAAAACCTGTCGAAACTAACCCAGAGGCCATGCTTGCATACCATCGATCACTCATAAGGAGCATACGCCTGCTCCTCGCCGCCGTTGGTATTTCATATGGAGTCGCATGTGTTGATGATGAAACTGACAAAAGGCCGCGCGGTCTGGTCCTCGAGGGGCTGCACGACAAATGGGTCGGGCGGGGGATACGCAACGCATGTGGTCTCCGACTCCCCAGAGACGCAGAAGAAGCGCGGGAAGGTGCATATGAACGGCGAGATGCAGCAAGGGGTGACGACGATGACTCCGAGGACGACGATGAATACCGCTCTGGAGATGATGACTACGGCTTCTGATGACCATGAATCCAAAATGACGAGCACGAGGGTGAGTCGATGAGGAGATCGAGGTGAGGCTGCAGGAAAGCGCAAGCTCGAAAGCAGTCGCGTTCCAAAGAATGACGAGAACCAATAATTAATACCTAATATCTTACATAGCTGTCATAAATCTTGAAGTACTTGTCTTGTTCATCAACATCTGGCAGGAGTGATTTGGCAGTAATGACGCAGTGCGCCTACAGATCAGGCGGCACAGTTGTATGCGACATTGCGTTCCCCGTCCTGATAACGCAGAAAACAGAAAATACATAATTAGTCACTGATACAAATAATACAATACACAGAAAGCCAGCATGAAACCGAACCTACGGCTACCCAGGGACATTGAAAAAATACATAATGGAAAATCAAATACACCAAGATACAACTAGTTGGGCGCGTACCACCAAAGCGTGGTGACACCGACGGGAAATGTGTATGTAGCCTATCGCGATGATCAGGGAACTCGTCCACGAAGTTTTGAAACGTTCACTCACCTGCATACCCCTGAACTCGATAGTGGCTTCCACGGGCTGAGGATTCCAACTGGTGGACGCACTGTCATCCCTGACGAACGATTAGCATCTTGCTATCCAGTCTGAATACCAGAATCCTTACCAGTTAAGTACGACGATGCTGTACCTGTTCCAGTCGCTCGACGAAACTCTTCCCGTCTTGTACGCGCCCACTACGAGGGCCCAATCAAGCGAACCACCGACGCTCACGCCAATTCGCTGACCCCATGGACCGCCGACGTCGCGAGGGAGAATGGCTTTAGAAGCTTGACCCATAGAGTAAAATTCTTGGTTCACGCTCCAAGTTCCATCGCTGTTGATTTGGACTACGCCACGACATCCGCCGCCACAGCTGTCGGTGCCCGGAAGTAATGGTTGACCGTTTCCATCGAGGGCGAGATTCCACATCAATCCAGAGGAGGAACCGTATGAGATGCTGCCGATGAAGCTTGGTAGGACCATGCAAGATCAGACGATAAAAATGAAATCAAGTTCACGGACGGGCCACATACAGATTGTCCATGTACCACTAGCAACAGGATTAGTTCGTATTATCGTCTGACAGAAGTTATTTCATAGACAAATACCTTGATGTCACTCCACCAGTCAGAACCAAGGACTCCTGAGCACTCCGTGAAGTATACTTCCTGAACGACTGACTGAGGAAATCATGAATCAAAAACCCAAAAATAACATACCTTATTTGGGTACTGAGACGTGAATGAAGCCTGGTCACTGACAGAACCCTCATAACAATGGAAGGACACCCCGTCAAAGGCACTTTCTGCTTGTTGCATCTGCCAATGTCATCAAGATCGCGCATAAATCAACCCAAGAGAATTACGCACCAGTTGAACAGGGTAGTTGGCAGCATCCGCCCAATTGTGATCGTAACCAATAATCTTGACGCCCGAAAAGCCATTATTGTTCAACAGTGTACGCAGAGCCAGGCCGATCTGTGCCTCATTTGCCACCGGCAGACTGCAAGACGGATATGTGGAGTCGCTATTTTCCGGCTCATTCTGGCGCGACGGTCATACCGGTGAGCAAGTCAACCATGATGGACGTACTTACCTGAATACTGATTGCGTAAATGGGAATCCCCTTGTTTGAGAACCCCTGCACGCTCTTCAAGAGGTAGTTTGCCACTGCAACAGTCGTCAGGTACGCGGGCATGTAGTGTATGTGCAAAGAGTGGCTCACTTGTGTTGATATATTGAGTATTAAGCGAGCCTCCGTCCATGGTCCCCCCGCTCTTCATCCAACCGGGCTAATTGACAATATTAAGTGATTGACGCGGACACTAGATGGTCTGCATACCGGCGACCAAGGAGTGATGTGGAATCGGGCCATATCATTGATTGATAGAATGTCTTGAATAACCGTGAAAACGCCAGACGGCGCAGCGTTGATGTTAAAGTCGTTCAGCGAAGTGTCTCCACTGACATCATCATAGCTGTATGCTATGGTCCCGTTCGTCAGTCCTTTCATAACTGTGGAGAAGATAAGATCGCCTTACTGTTTGCAGAAAAGTCTGATGCCCCAAGTGGGACACGGATATAGGAGAACCCGGCTGAGTTAGCACCATCCGTAGCTGATGGCGAAGGCATCAGTGTGTCGCAAATGTGAGTCCAAGCAACAAACCATTAAATAGATAATCCATGAGTTGCCAATAACTTCCAGGGTTCTGTGCCTATATAATACGATCAGCGGACTACGCATAGCAAGCGTAACACGCGTCTTACCTTCAAGTTGTTCAACAACCCAGCAGAAGAATCGGCTGGGACGATTCAATCAAGCACTCTGTCCGGACAAACGACTACAATACTTACTCAGTGATGCTCCGAAGCCATACACGGTTTGGTATACTGATGAATCATCAATGACGATGTCTGCGCTTCCGATAGCACCAGGGGTGACGAAGTTGATGGGGTCTGGCGTGGGCTGGAAATAGGTGAACAACATGTTCCTATTCCACGTCGTTTGCCACTATGAGGGATGTTAGTCAATTACCACGCAACAACGCAAGGACGCCTCGGCTCACGATGTCCCAAATCTGCTGCGACGCAACTGCCTGTAGCAACGCCAGGGACCCAAATATCTGGAGGGACTTCAACATCGTGACCGAGTAAGAAGCCTTTCGTGTTCGGCGTTTGGGTTTGGGTCGGGGCCTGCGAGGGAGGATAGACTCACAGATATGCCTCTTATATCAGTTCAGACCGGGATAGAGGAGATAGATCCTCCTCGCAATACTACGCGGGCAGGAGGCTCGTGTGGTTCCTCAGGCCAGCGTGCAAAAAATGCACGAAGAGGGTACAATGCAGCCTAGATCAAGCTGAGAGACATTCCAATAAACACGCATCTGCCTTCCGCATCGCCGGCCTCTGATGCCACATTTCCCTTTTTCCGATCTTGCTATGCCAAAGGCATACAGAAGGAAGTTAATCCTAGCCAATCAGGGCAATCAGCATTGCTACTCTGGCCAAAGATATCGCAGGCAGGTCGTGAAGAAAATACATACTCTGGTACTCATCCGGAAGTAACAAGAGTAAGTTGGAATGCGTTGGGACTTCAAATTGATCGAAGGGGGCGCATTTGGGAGCCATGGACGTAGAAGGTAATCCGAGTCGATAATATGCGGCGCTGCTGGAAGAACTCGACGCAAGGGAAGTCAGCGAACGACAGAACGGGCGACTCAGTTTACCGAGCGCTGCGGCATCCGATATGTACGCTATAACACATGGTCGACTCGGAGCCGTCAGCTCTTCAGGACAGTGTCACGGTGTAATACGCACTCCATTCATTGATTCGTCTCAAATCTGCAATATATCACGTGCGAAATGAAACAAGGGAGGTGCTCACGGTAGAAGGCGACACAGTAGGATGACATACATACGCTGCCTAAATTCAGCACTGATTACCGTTTTGACATGGATATCACGGACAGAATCGTTCGTTGACCTGACATATGTGTGATAGAAGATCAGAATCCCATCATAAAGTTATGTAAGTAAGATGTGAGAGGATATCAATTTTAGGCTCCGTGCTTGTCTGCATCATGTGCATGCCTCGAACGCCTCGTGATATGAATAGCCCATCCATTCCTCAATCTGAAAATAACTGTACATGTATGTGTACCATACGTGGAAGTCTGCTAACGGCACACAGAAGTTATGTACATGTGCATGGTCATGCCAGGTACGTTAGAACAACCCTAACAGGTCCTCCTGGGGCTGCACATTCTGGGCTGGCTGAGGGGGTAGCGGCGACCCTCCGAAACCCTCGAAAGGCGAGGATATGGATGTCGACGTCGGCGATAGCACCGCTGATGGTGATTCCGCACCCATCCCCATAGTTTCCATACCACCGAAGATCGATACGAGGTCGTCTAGCGGATTCGCGGAAGTGCCTGACAGGAAATTTGCTGCAGCGGGTGTCGAAGGAAGAATTTGTGTGGCAGCGAGTCCAGAAGGCTGCCCATCCTGGGCAGAATCATCACCAAAGTCAAGTAGATTCTCTGCTTGTTGGCCAGCAACAACCGTCTGGAAGGCTTTCTGAGCATCTGAGATTCTATAATCACATGATAACAGTTGTCAGCTCAATAGAAACCGACAAAACTGGTTAGTGGGCCACTCACTCTGATCCTTTACGTTGCACTGAGTCGGCACCAACCCGTCCATGACCAACAAAGGTTTGGGCGGGTTTGTGGTAAACACTCGCTAATGATGATATCTCGCCGAGGAGCTCTTCAAGCAACGCAGGCGAAACCGTTGTTCTCGGGATGGATATCGGCGGCCGATGGGCAAGGACAACAGCCTACGATAGTTAAATTAGGATAATCGACCAAGGGTCAGGCAGAGTTCATACCTTCGCTGCAACAGGATCTGTCGACAAGAGTCTCCAATATATGTAAGCGCGGTCCCGTACGTCTGGCGAATCGCAATCTTTCGTTGCTGTATTGAGCACGCGCTGGACGACTCCTTGCGACGAGTCAGGCTTCTTTAAGAACAGCTTAACCACTGCAGTCAACGTTTGAAGCTGAACCTGTTGTGGAAGCTCAGGATTGGTGGCGTAAGCATAAAATAGCGCTGAAGTAAAATACCTGGTACGACTCCTCGATGAAAGAGTCCACAAATATCCCCAACAGTTCATCCGCGTTGTCGATCTTGTCGGCATACTCGCCAATTATCCAAATCAAGGATGCTTTCGCTTCTGGCTCATCCAGCTCTTCCAAATTAGCGCAGAGTGTGGGGATTACACCTTCGTATGTAGAGGGGTACTTTCTAAATATGTCCTAAAAGGCATATCGTTGTGAAGGCTTTAATAAGCTGTTTCATATTGCGCACCTTCATGACGACGACGGCTTCTTGGACCACATAGCTGACGCGTGTGTTAATGAGCTCTAACAGTACGTTCACGCAACGTTCCGCCGCGCTCTCAATAGAGATCGCTGTCTGACCGATCGCTTTGATGCTCTTCCGGACAAAATCGACGTCAACCTCTGACGAGTATCTGCCAGAACGATTAGCGTTGTGTAGTGCAGATACTGGTATGGCTCACTCTTTGAGCTCGCTCAGCAAAGCATCCACGTTGCTATCACTGGCCAATCGGACCATGATATCAAGCTTCTCAATCTTGACGTACAACGGATCGTTGTATTTACAGAAGAATACCCTCATCTCGTTGGAAAGTAGGTCGGAGCGTTTTTGAAGGAGAAGGTTGATATTCCGCAGTGCGACCCATTGTACTTCAGGCGGAGAGGATAGCAGGGTAACAAGTGGTGGTGCCATCTTGCGGATCAGCTGCTTAACGAGATCGTCTCGTCGAACTTTGCGTATGTGGATCATGATGACCTTTACATGTGAATGTCAAGTCATGTCAAGCATCGGATGAATGGCACCGCGTACCTTCATTGCGGCAAGGACAACACTACCATTTACGTGCTGGAATTGAGGGACGACACGCTCGCAGATGTGCTCGCTCTCTTTGTCGTCTTGTGCGTCATACCGTGCCAGAGCATTCAAAATTGCAACTCGACCCCATTCTGAGCACTCGTTGAGGGCGATGAGTAGCTTATTCAGTATTGCAGAGGTGATGGAGAATATGGCAGGATCAGAAGTAGAGTCAGCTGGTTGATCGGTGGTTGCTGCGATATGGATGTCTGTCAACGCAGCCACTGTATTGGCTACGACCTAACACAGATATCAAGCCTGCTGGGTGAGAAAGCGAAAGAATTGACTTACCATAGGGTTGCTATCTGAAATCATGTCGTGGAGCTGATCCAGGAAACCATTCTCGATGACAAGCTCGGGCTTGAGATCATACAGCTTTGCAACGCAAAGCGCAGCAGTCTTTCGGACATACGGATTGTCATCACGCAAGGCACGTTGAAGAGGATCGCACAGATAGTCTATAATCTTCTCTGCGCGCAGACACCCCATGGTTCTAATCGCTAGTGCGCGTACGAGTGGGTTGGGATCCTCAGAGTCCTTGACGAAGGTGTTCACGGCCAAGATGACGAGTTCTGGCTGTGTCTTTGCATAGTTCATGAGATAGAGATATACGAGCTTCTTCTGCTCGAGGTCCTCTGTCTGCATGTTCTTGAGGACATCGGGGAACAGGCCGCTGACGTCTAGGATGTATTAAGCACGCAGGGATGATCGAGCAGGAAAGTGGAACACCTTTGCCGACGGTCATAGATGCTATGACGCGCTTGATGGCATCTTTTCGTTTATCGCGGTACTCACTGTTGAGATCGACGCTGAGCTCATAGTTTTCGCCTTTCCGTGGTGCTCGTATGCTCATTGGCAAAGGGTAGAGATTATCCCATTACATAAGCAAACATGTCTAATTTACGACCGTCAACGACAAGTGCTTCAAGCTTCGGTACCGGTGTCAAGCGAGAATTTAAATTGTGATGATTGAAAAATGGAGGTCACGGACAGAGTCTGCAGCTCGATAACACGTTATGCGGCTCAATGACCTTGGAAACGACCATAGGAAGAAGGTACGACTCTTGATTCTTAATTCGACCATGGTCTGTCTTAGTCTGTGCTACTAGTCTCCCCGTTCCTTCATGACATCTTGCATGAAGCCGACAGTTTCAGATTCGTAACTGAAATTATGATCCTGGTTCTTGGGGTATTGTATTATGCGCCAGTTCCGGCACAGTGAAAACGGAGAGAAACCCATAGCGTACTAAAACTGTAGCTAGTCTTTATATACTTTAACGAAAACATATGAAATGTGCCGGTTTACTGAGTATTACTAAGTGTCGAGCTCGGCGCCGGTAAACTTCAATCACCGAAATCCAACATGGGGGACATGTTCCTGTATAGTATGCACAGGTCAAGTTCTGTATCACGAAAATCACTGAAACACGCACTTTTGCAAGTTTCTCCCCTTCGGATAGAATAGCGAGGCAAGACCGCAGATCTTTCAAACACCACTGCCGTTCGAGCCACGAGAGGAGATGGCGATCCCAGAAAGACTTGAATATACGAGGGAGCCTCTCGTCCCATCGATTCTGAGCTCGAGAAAGATGGACGGTCCAGTATTGACACGCATACTTGAGAGCGCCGGAGGCTGATTGACTTTGTTCCCGTACTTCATTTGCGAAACTCGAGAAGGCCTTCATAGCATGGACGATCTCTATGTTTGGTGGAGAATGTCCATTTGGTAGGACAGGGGTAGAGAGGTCTTGGTGCCTCAATGCAAGAAATGCCGGGAGCATCAGGAAATCAGGCAAGCTCTTGAACTTCTGGATTGCTTGAAATGCAGGTTGTAAAGGCAATTCTGGGATGACACTGTGCTTGCTGATTACTTCCAATGTGATCGAGAACTCTTCCATTGCTACCCAGGCAGTCGTCAACCGCCATGCTTGACCGTGTGGCGTCTGCACCCAGTCTTGGCCCCCCTGGGTCTGCACCCAGTCTCGCCCGGCCTGGGTCTGGAGCCAGTATCTCCCAGCCTGTGTCTGTAACCAGCATCGCCCAGTCCGTGTCTGCAGCCAGGCATGTCCGGCCGGGGTCTGCAGCCAGTCTTGCCCGGTCGGGGTCTTCAGCCAGTCTCGTCCAGCTTGGTTCTGCAGCCAGCCTCTCGCTCGGCTCTGCAGCCACTCTCGCCCGGCTATGCTCTGCAGCCACTCTTGTCCACTTACAGTCTGCAGCCAGTCATGCCCCCTCCCAGTCTGCAGCCACTCTTGCCCACCCTCAGTCTTCAGCCACTCTCGCCCCCACTTAGTCTGCAGCCACTCTTGCCCACCCTCAGTCTTCAGCCACTCTCGCCCGCTCCCAGTCTGTAGCCAGTATCGCCCATTCCCGGTTCGCAACCATAATTTCCCGCTCCATGTTTGCAGCCACTCTCCCCCATCTGGGGTCTTTAGCCAGCCTTTCCCGGCCTGGGTTTGCACCCAGTCTTGCCCAGCCTGGGTCTGCAACCATTCTTGCCCATTCTCAGTCTGCAGCCACTCTTTCCCGGCCAGAGTCTTCAGCCAGTCATGCCACCTCCAGGTCTGTAGTAAGGGTGGCGGAGAGGATGGTGGAGAGGATGGTGGAGAGGATGGTGGGAAGGATGATGGGGAGGATGATGGAGAGGATGATGGAGAGGATGGCAGAGGAGATGGAAGGGGGGATGGCAGACAGGGTGGTGAGGAGGATGGTGGCGAGTGAGGCAGGGAGGATGGCAAGGATGATGGTGGCGAGGACAGCAGGGATGATGATGATGAGGAGGAGGAGGGTGGCGGCGAGAATGACAGGGAGAATGGTATGATCTGTGGCCAGTCTTCCCCGCCCTGTGTCTGCAGCCAGTCTTCCCCGTCCTGCGTCTGCAACCAGTCTCGCCCGTTCCAGGTCCGCAGCCAGTCCTGCCCGCCCTGAGACTGCAGCCAGTCTTTTCCGCCCTGAGACTGCAGCCAATCTTCCCCGCCCTGTCTCTGCAACCAATCTTGCCCATCTTGTGTCTGGAGCCAGTCTCGTGCAACCGGGGTTTTCAGCCAGTTATGCCCGGCCTCAGTCTGCAACCAGTCTCGCCCGACCTGGGTCTGCAACCAGACTCGTCCACCCCAGGTCTGCAGCCAGACTCGCCCACCTCGTGTCTGTAGCCAGACTCGTCCACCCGGAGTCTGCAGCTGGTCTCCTCTGCTGTGAGGCAGGTATATCTGGGGGCCTGGCACAGGGTGTTGCAGGGAGGGTGGCTGCCAGTATGTCAAGGTCAGCACTCGGCGTTTCCCGTCTGGGGTCTGCAGCCAGGCTTGCCCACCCTGGGTCTTCAACCAGTCTCGCGCAACCGGGGTGTCCAACCAGTCTCGACCGCCAATGGTCTTCAGCCAGTCTTTCCCGTCCTGTGTCTGCAGCCACCCTCTCCCCCTACAGGCCTGCAGCCAGCTTTGCCCGCCCTGGGTCTGTAGCCAATCTCGACCCCTCCAAGTCCGCAGCCAGCCTCCCCTGCTCCAGTTCTGTAGCCAGTCTTGCCCGCCGGAAGTCTGCAGCCATATTTGCCCACACAGGGTCTGCAGCCATGCTCGCCCGTTCCAGCTTTCAAGCCAGTCTTGCCCACTATGTGTTTGCAGCCAATTTTGCCCGCCCTGTGTTTTCAACCAGTGTGGCCCGCGTTGGTTCTCCAGCCAGTATTTTCCGTCCTGGGTCTCCAGCCAGCCTTTTTCGCCTTGGGTCTCCAGCCAGTCTTGCCCGCGTTGGGTCTCCAGCCAATCTCGCCCCCTCCTGGTCTCCAGCCACTTTCGCCCGCCCAGAGTCTTCAGCCACTCATACACGCCCTGGGTCTGCAGCCAGCCCTTCCCCCCCTGGGTCAGCAACCAGTCCTTCCCCCCCTGTTTCGGCAGCCAGTCCTTCCCTCCGTGCGTCAGTAGCCAATCTTCCCCTCCCTGAGTCCGCAGCCATATGCGCCCGTCACGGGTCTCTAGCCAGAATTGTAACTCCGAACTGCGATGTCCTCGAAGCCATAGCAGAGTTGTAAGAACATGCAGTGGCTCAGGTGGTTGGATGATGAAGGATAATAATGTTTTCAAACTCTGGGGGTCATGAGGTTCCATAGCTTGGTTCTGCCGCGTCAATTCCGATAGTGCATGGAGAAGGGCTGATCTTTCTGGAAGGTCTCGCATCATCAAGCGTAATGAAGAATAAGCGAGTAGGGAGTGGGATGACGTGACATGCTGTACTTCAGGGAGGCTGCAGTTCGAGGGGTCGGAAACGTAGTCACGAACGGATGAGTGATATATATTTACGGGGAGACTGTGGTCGGTAGGAATGTCCATGACAGACCGTAGCTGAACGAGCGCTGTTTCGACGTCCTTGCCCTCACCAAGGCCAAGGAGTTCCGAGATCTGTAAAAGGGGAAGAGGGTCCACAAGGGCCGCAACAACAGACAGGTGCAAGTATGCACGCTTGGGGTTGGCGCATGTGGAGAGGATAGAGTCGTACAACTTGAACACCTCTGTTCCTGGCAGCAGTTCACTGGCGAGCTCGAGCATGAGCTGAAGGCGATCGCGGGGATCATTGTATCCATCATCGATGAACTTCATCATCGTAGACGCCACGATGAAACGTCTGCCCGCTCGGCTCGCCAGCCGAACAAGTTGATCCCTCGTCGGCTGCGGGAAACTGGAACAACGACTTCGCAGCTTTGTGAAGGAATGATCCAGGAAAATAAAGATGTCGTTGTCAACGTCTGCGCCGTCTAACGAGATGATGGAAGCAATACCCTCCCCAAAAATTTTCACTGGTATCTCGCATACCAGCGGGAGCACTCTTTCTTCTTGAATGGCTTCACGGATATGGTCTTCCGAGCGACTTGTGAGTAGAATGTGGGTCACAGGCAGATCGGGTTGATGAAGAGCTTCGCCAAGCAGGGAGATGAGATCGGCAAGCTCAGTTGCGGACGCGCATTCATCAAGGGCATCGATAACAAACGTCAAAGGCGGACAGTCGCGCAGCCTAGCTTGAAGCTTCCGCAGAGGTTGGAGAAACAACCCCTCCATCTGGAGGCGAAGAGACTTGTCGGGGTCTAGAAGGGCAGGATTGTCCAGGATAGCTCTGTTCACGTCCTTCCGGATGCTAGGAAAATTGCTAGCAAGTTGGTAGGCCAGCGTCGCAAAGAAATAACCAGTCGTGCAGCGTTTCGTGTGTTTGCGCGAGAAAAAGAATGTTCCCGCGAGCCGCTTCTCTATTTTTGTCTCCTCTGTCATTTTCAGATCTCTCATCCTTTCAGCTACAGTGAACGCAACAGCAGACTTTCCGACGCCCGCCGTTCCATGTAACCAGATGAGTTGATTCTTCTCTCGGTCGTCTAATAATTTGTTGATATATTTGAGAAAATCCACCCGGGTTCCTTCCAAACACTTCGGATGCGGTTGGCGTTCACGAGAGTCATGCTCGGCACCCTTGACAGCAACCTGGGACAGCCTGTCCCAAGTATCACCACAAACTGATAATGAAGTCAGAGAGCGAGAGATAGGACAAGAGATGGAAATACTGACATTGACCGGAGTGACTCATGGACACAATGTGATGATAAACTCTGATACGAACTCGGGGAAGTGGTGCTAGTCGAGTTCGATAATGTTGTTAGAAATTATATGGGCGATGGTTATCTCGAGGGACAACATACCACGACTAAGATCTTTAGAAGCCGGAGAAAATTGGTTCAAGTCGTGGAACGATGCTTTGGCGTTAGGGTGTCTTGTGAATTTGTTCGACAATTGGATGAGCTGGAAAGCGAGACGTAGGAATCTATTTCAATGGGTGCCAGGACCAATTGAAAAGCTGGATGGTGGTCAAGGATGTTTGAGCGCTCGTCTGTCTGCGACCAGCAAGGAGACACGAGGCACAGTGCTGTGCGATGCTGTGTGCCCCACCAGACGAGCGCCCGGGAGGTTACTACATAAGGCATGATGCATGAGTTGTACATGTGTTGCAGGAGGCCGAACAGAGTCACCACAACGGTGGGCAAAGCTATAATAAGTTGTTATGTCAAGTTGCAGTCGCAAGCAAATCGCAAGTTATGTTAAGCGCAGTAGGATAACGGATAATCCTGACAGCGCGACACCTAGGACCTGGACGGTTTGCTCAATGTCAGTGTGTACGCTTTCGAGCTGCCTTCCGTCTCCTCGATATCCCTGTGTAGGCAATGAATCCGAATTCGACCTTGGAACCGCGTAATATCGTCCATATATGTTGCTATATATGCCCCGACATCGAGTCTTCAGAGCATAATTATTAAGGTATGTGCTCTGAGTGAGGCCGGCCGAGTCTTTAATCTTACGAGGATTTCAAATTTCATGTTCAATATCATTACATCAGCGGAAGCGTCTACACGAACATGCCAGTACTACATTCTCGCGGTCAAGTCGCGGCCAACTCTCCCCTTCCCCCTATATCCCCTCGTGACTCAACCCAAGACGACCGTGCTTCTGCTCTGAACAGCTTCTAGTTCACCGATTCTATAACTCAGGATCAGCTTGCCCTCATCGATGATTTTTGCGCAAGTTGTACGATGTTCCTCGCACAAAGCAGATTTTCGAGCAGCTCCGAACTAGCATATACGACACCTTAGAGGCTTACATCGGCATAGCGTTTATAAAGAAGCCCGAGGATAGAACTTCGTGGGTGGATGACGCGTGTCAGCTTTGCGAATGGAGAAGGGTACTGAAAATTCAATCCGATCGCATCCAAATATACTATCACGCTGCTAGCGTGGAGACAGTACACGACATTCATCTACCATTTCCTCACTCTGATCACCCTTTCTAGATACAATCCCGAGTCTGATACGTCTATCTGTCTGATATGCCAAACCCAACCACCCTCTTTCACCCACAGTCGTCATTGCCGGTCACCTTTTGTCATCATAAGAAGCCTCTGGTATAATAGAACACCGTGCAGTAAAGCTCAACCTCTCTTGCGTATTGACTGAACTTGGTCAGGTAGAATCTCTTGGAAGTCATGTACGAGACCCATGGTGACCTGCTCCCCCGAAACATTCTTGTAGACGGTTCGACTATGGCCGCGGCCGTGGACTGTAAATTAGGACTTTATTTCCGAAGGGCACCATGTCCTCCGGTCCGTCTTTCCAGAACAGCGGTGCTAGCCGATGATCACATATTGGTAATCGCGGAACGATGCATGCTATTCCGTTGACTTCGGTGTAAAGCCGTGTTTGTCAGCCCGCTACCATGTCACCTCATAGTCCTACCTTGGAAGTAACAGAGTAACAGGCTCGCGAATTTAAGGTTTCTTGCTGTACTTTAATCCTACTTGCCTACAACTTGTCTAAATATCTAATATCTACATCTGCTCACAGATATCACGATAGACAGATGAGAGTGTCTTTATGTTGTCGGAACTCAGCTCAGCGCTCAGTTTGTACTATCAAAAATAGGTATCGCGTAACCAGGTTCTTCCTGCCCATATAGGTTCTCGAAAAAGGACAGCAGCTTCCGACTCGCATTGCTGATTCATCGATAGGGCTAGTACGCAAAATATTGATCCACTCGTGCCATGGGAGGATTTTGAATTCGAGGCCAGAATGCTGAATAGATGAAAGCCCACCAGGAGCCACGCAACTGATTCTTCGAGGTCAGGAATTGAAAAGGTGCTCTTCTAACTCCTGAGCATACCAATCATAGAACTTTTTCCTCCATTCAGCTCAAGTTCAGCTCGACATTCTGTCACAGTTGAAGGCGCCTTATTGTATTGAAGCTAAAAGGATCCGAATATTGTACTTGCTTGGGCTGACTTCATGCTACTGCTCTTATCAGCCCACATTTTTTTCCATACAAGGCTTTCACTCACAGTTAAAGGAGAACGGTCTAGGCCCTTCCGAAACAGCTTATCCCTGCCACGCGATCTTCCAGTACTGATTCATATCGTCGGTCTTAAACACTTCGGAAGCATGATCTAGAGTAAGTAATGTTGGTTGCGAAGCCAAAACAACGCTAATTCCCTTCTGACAGATATTTTGATTTGATTTGAGCGCTGTGTTTCTGCCTCTGCCGAAGAAGGGCGATTTTGGAGACGATCAAGAAGTCGCAGGACTTTTATTAAATAACAAGCCTGCGCTCATGCGACGTTTCCTTGCCCTCGGTTTCGCCTCGTTTCACCCTTCATTTACTGTATGCTTCATCACGCCCTACTTAGATGGAACACAGAGTTTGATTGTCATGGGTGGCCATTGGGCAATGGGCAGCCAAGATATACGAGTAGAAGAACCGAAGCTGTGAGCATGAATGATATTCGATTGGCTGATTCAGACTGCACTACAGATGTATCTGAGGTACAAGATAGCTAGAATTCCCGCCAGCCCCCCAGTGTTAGTAGGAGATACACGCAAATTCTTATGTTGTATGCTGATGGTTATCGATAAACACAGAAGTTCGGGAGGCGAAGAGAATCGTTTACGCAGTTAACGCACGTTCCTGTTGAAGATTGCGGTGCGTGACGGAACAGAGACGGAAAACGTGCGGTCAACTGAAGCCCAAGGTATGAACACAGCCTATGATGTGTGTGAGACACGAGGCTAATGAGAGTAAATAACGTGCTTGGTGGACGGTTGTTTTGACCTGAATGCCGACTTTGACGCACCGTTCAAGCTCTGTGTGTTATCCATTCATAGAGTCCTGTTAAAACACCTACTTGTGAGTAATGACCTAGACTTTAGCGCACAAAATTTGAGATATTGACTACCTACGATCCTCAGGTAATAGTGATGTCTTTTCCCACTGCTCAGACACCGAGCATATCGTCACCCATCGTTGGGACGCAAGCAATTTCGACGATAACTCCACGCCAGAGATATGAAGGACACACCAGTCGCATCTGGGGCATCACACACCTGCCCAACGGACAGCGGATCATCACTTGTTCAGAGGACGGCTCGTTGCGAGTATGGAACTTGGAAAGCGGGGAACAGATTGGTGGAGAGTGGCGGGACGGAGGAAATGGAGTGTGGGTCATAGCGTTGTCTCCGGACGGGAAGAAAGTGGTTAGCGGGAGTGAAGACGGCACAGTGAGGTTGTGGGATATCGACACAGGGGAGGTCATCGCCAAATGGTCGGGTCACGCAAAGACTGTGTCTTGTGTCTGCTGGAGTCGAGATGGTCGACGAGTGGCGAGCGGATCCCACGATGGGACTGCAAGGCAATGGGATATGGAGTGCGGAGAGAGCATCCTCTCACCAATCGAGACAGGGTACATCTCCGTGCATGCAGTCGTCTACCGGCCGGACACTACCATGTTTGCAACTGCTGGACAACACAAAGACGAATTCTCAGTCAAGATTTGGCATACGAAGACAGGCGAGCTGCTCATCACTCTCAATGGACACACAGGTTCAGTGTATTGCCTGGCTTGGGCCATGGACGGAAAGACGCTTATATCCGGGTCAGCTGACCACTCGATTACAACATGGAGTACCACAACATGGGAGCAGATCGCCATTCTGGATAGGCACACCAACATTGTCCGTGCCATTGCAATATCTCCGAATGGCCGCATCCTCGCAAGCACTTCGTTCGATGAGACAGCGCGATTATGGAACCTCGAAAACGGTCAGCCGATTGGTTCGCCCCTCCAACATGCGGATGCAGTGCTCTCTGTGTCTTTTTCTGCAGATGGAAAACTACTAGCCACTGGCTGTAATGACCACAATGCGTACACATGGGACATTTCTGCAATCCTTAAAGAAGCTAGCCTCGACAACCTCCTGTTAGATCGAAATGTGGGCTTTTCTCTTTTCGTCACTTTTCAGGAACTCAGCGTTGCTTCCCGCAGGATGGTGACAAGCCATTGCTCGATGTACGTAATACGTCTATAAAACCGTCTGATTTTAATCTCATTACTGTGTAATCTTCTAGGCTGACATTCGACATCCAGCGCAACAACTCGAGGATGTCCAACAAGGGTGGCTGCAGACTCTGAGTGGGCAAGAGTGGCTGCATACGAAGGACGGACGAGATTTACTAGACACCCCGAGGCTTAGTGACATCATTCTGCCACCGAACACCACGGCCCCAGCTACTTCGCAAAAGCAGCCGCAACAACAAACGAACCAAGGCGGGCCACGGCATGTAATTGTCACTCCGCCGCCGAACACCCAAACTACTTCGCAAGGACAACCGCAACAAGTCCCGAACGGGCTGTACCAAGACTGGGCGCATCCACCTTCTCCTACGAAACAAACTGGACGCTGCACTGGCTTTTGGTGTTGTATCTGGGGTTGTATCTGCCATTGTAGTTGCTGTAGTTGCTACGAGTCTAATGAATGTTGAAAAGGGAGTCTACTGTCGTTCACACTTGTTTACTCTTGGTCGCGCCCATCCCTCATCGTACTTCCATTGGTGCATCACTGCTCCGGTATCAATTGCTCTTACCATACGTTGCGTTACAGTCTCGATATCGTTATATGATCACCTATTTACAACACGATATCCTTCACCGATTTGTGCTTTCTCCGTATTGTACAGCAAATATACCACTCGGATACATTTGACAAATGACATTCGAATGCCGTCTCGTCCTATGGAGGTTCTCACCGAGACCTCACTGTTAGATTATGACGCTTATGACATGCACTTCATGGTAGACTGACAGAAGAAGCCTGCTTTAAATCATTGGAGTGTGAGAAAGCTGGAGTTGGAATTGTAATGTGCAGATCTAGACATGTGGGCCGACTCAGATGGCTTAAAGAAAAGTGTTGTTCGCATTGTTGGAAGAGAAGAGGCGACAAGGACACCTATAACTAGAATTTCACGGTCTCAAATAGACCTGTTACTTGTGCCTTGAATCTGACTACGCTGTCACATGAAAATAGCGATGCTAAACCAGCCCGTTTTCCCCGGGAATTTACAAACTGAAAACAACAGTGACGAAAGTAGCAGGGACCCGTGAAGGTACCTATCGATGGCGCATGTCTCGGTGGCTGGTACAGATGGAGGATGTCTGAGTGATGGCTCAGACTGGTGATGATTGTCGATTTCATTCTGAAGCAAACCCAGATCAGCTTAGTCCTGTGTGGTGAATATCCAGGAGAAATCGGGTATACTACAACACATCAACTACAACTGTATTAGGCATGAGAGCTGGTGGCAGCGCCCTCTAACGATCTAGAATGTGACATGTGTCGGGTGACCCATGACCTCAGGTGCGAAATGTGAAAACCATTGGCAGTCAGTACCGGCCACCCCGCCAGGATAACCATAGCAGCCCACATTGGAGATACAATCGAGATAGTGACAGCGCCAGAAGTACGGACAATCATGATGAGTAATGCTACAGCAAAGAATGCCATTCTGTAACAGAATGAGCCACTACTATGGTGTTTGAACGGATGCGCACCCCCAAATTAGAAGAGCATGCGGTAGACTGAGCATCAGGGCAAGGCTCTCGAGGCCGAGCATTGAACGCGACATCCCTACCATGAACGAAGTCTGGTGAACGTAAAGAACACAGGTCAAATAACTGAATAGGAAGCTTACTACGCTTTTAGCAGAGTCTCGCCGGCCGTCGTTGACTTGTCCGGCCAAAACTAGGGAGATCACTAACGAGCCCATGGCACAGAGGGTAGACAGATATGACACAAGAATCGCAGGAGCTTGATTCTGGACCGATGGGACCGCGAGAAAGCTGATATCAACGGCAAGCATCACAGTAGACTGAGATGGACGTAAATTGCATTGACAAATAAAGCTAAAGCACAACTCACAAATATTGTGTATCCATTCCATTCACTGTTGAGTCCGGTGATAAAATTCTTCCACCGTCGTTGAACGATGGTATAATCGACCCATATGTTGTGAATAGCCTTGCTATGAGCATCAGGGGATCCAAACAGAATGATGTTCATGACACGAAAAGGAAAGTTTTTCGGGCGCGTGTCGGGATCTCCATATAACGACTGGTTCGCATCAAGTCGGGCGCCTGGTTGTCCACAGAAATTCACAAACTTGTCCCTGCCTAACAAAGTAGTCAGGACAAGGGCGCACTCGCACCTAACCTGAGCTCACAGAACTGTCCCATAAATCGAGCTGGGATTAGAACTGTATCAGAAGCAATCAACTGAACTGTCGTACTTAGACGCACCGACGATCCACACCGAATGCTCATGCTCCTTATCAATACTGCCTGAAATGATAATCAACGACGACCCCCCGGATTAGGGAATGATTTACTCATGAGAGGATTCATAAGGCCGAGTATACTTGCAACCTGGTCCGAAGAAAAAGGTGTTAGGCATTTTTCAGAAGTGATACTGTCTATCACGAGTCATTCGGGTACGGTGCAAAACATTTATTAGTCCTTACCCACCTGCCTGAGTAAACATGACAATTTCCTTGAGTCTCACGACAACGTCTTTCGGCAGGAGGCGTTTGTTTGGGAATAGTTCAATGTGTCTCCTGTCGATATCATATCAGCGCGTGACCATGGGAGGTAAAAGGACTGCAACGAAGTATAAGCGCATTGACTTCGGTCAGGTGAGGGAACATGCGTACTTCTGAGGGGAAACGAACCAGTACTGCGACTCTAATGCATATCCTGGGAGTGACGAAATGAGAAAAGCGCGAGTGAATATTCGACGGAAAGAACTCACTGACGTGATTTTTGCGCTTTACTCCCCGAACGTTACTCATAAGTTCTTTAGATGGGTGGGGTTCAAGCCAGAAAATGACACATCTATTATGATCGGCAAAGTAGTAGCCCCATTTCTCTTTTCCATCTACCTCCATGCGCTCCAACGCTAGCTCAACAGACGGATGAAAGGTGTCTGCCTTGTGCGCTTCTTCATACACCTGCTGAATAGCTATACTCATTTTAACTGCAATTCCAGGTTCTCGCACATCTACATCAGTGAAAACTCTCTGGTGGGAGATGAGTAGTTGTAGGACGCTGGAACGGGTCGTACACGTACACAATCAGAGTGATAGAAAAATAAAGCGCCTTCCGGGTGCGTGAGCGGCTCCCACCCCAACACCGGAACAAGCTCCCTAACGCCAGTGGTCCTATTAAATCTCATCGCTCGCTCTGTCACCAGCATGCTTACTCTGAACAGTCCAAAGGACCTTTTGGAACCTCATACACTGCATACTCTCCTTGACTGTGGGTATGCCAGATTAGAACGATAACGCACTCGAGAGATATAATTTGCGTACGGGTCCTTCCTCCCGTATCGCTTTATCTGTCGGGGTATAATGGGAATTAGATCAAAGAAGTGTCCTGTCGCCGCAGGATCTGGTCGCGCGGTGACAACCACGGCAGTCTGAATGCTCGCCGCGGCAGCATAGGGTGGCGTTGTGGGCATGTTGGGCTCGGGCATACTCATATAGCTTGATAGAGTCAATGGCGCAGAAGAGTTTCGAGTAAATTGGGCAGTAGAAGTTGCGCCTTCGCTTTGTGAGGGTGTTTCAAGCAACGGCACTGCGAGGGTCCCAACATTCATCTCCTTCTCTTGAGCGGTTGGCTGAGAGCTTAACGCTAACCCCGGTTCTCGAAAAGTTCTTTCTTTTCCGCTAATGACGACTTGACAGTGTCGAAAGAATCGCAGGAGGACATAGAGGATGCTTGTGCATGACCGAAATGCACTCGTCCTGACAGTGAGCCTCGCCCAGGATATTAACATGCGAATGTATCCTCCAAGCATAACGACCACCGAGGTAGATACAAAAATTTGAGGGGGTCTTTACGAGGTCTTGTTCAATGTTTAACAAACTAGCCCTCTGAGGAAGAGTTGTTGTGTTAGGCGCTGCACTGAGCGCTTATAGTATTGTGTAGATGGCACTGGGCAGCCACCAGCATGAACCATATTTATCTGTAAGCCCGGTGGCTTACCTGAGTTCCCATAATCAGCATAAATACTGTCCGAGATAATGAAGCATGAGCTTTCATTATCACTGCCTTTTGGCGTAACGGTTAAGGGACGACAGTCTTGACCTACTTACATTATCATTGATTAGGGATACAGTGTACCTCGTATGGATTTTTCTCATCCAACACCTCCAAGACTTTTATTCGTTTATCACCCAGGTGTTCTCTTGCATATGTTCTCAGAAGCCAAAGCCATTTAAATCTGGCTGAACCTTTGCGCCCGCCCTTCAAGTCCATCTCCGCCGAGCGCGTCCCAGACGCATTGCACAATGCAGGAGAGGAACGCTTCTTCGAGCCAGGAACTATCCATATCCCGAAAAAAACAGATGTTCGTCGTGGGCAACGCCTTTAGGTCTCCCCATCGCACAATATTCATCTCAAACTCTAACGCGTCTGCTGAAGAACACTCTGAACAGCGTTCCCGCCCATTCATCGTCTCCATCTTATGCATATAATATTGCTGTCGCGTATGGTTCCGTCGGCCTCAAACTTTTTTATTAATGAGTGTGGTGTTTACAGATACAGGGCCTGACCGTACACGGTTCATACTAGGCGTACACTGGAAGTATCGACAAGATGTCTGAAATCATCCGAGATACACTTTCATTCATCAGTGGGGGTATGTACATATCTCCCACGTTAGTCAACTACAATACTGAAGGCCTCGTCGCAGTTCCGGAGATACGCAAGGGAGGGAGGAGACTAAGAGCAAGAAGGAAAGCTTGGAAAGTCGACCTTTGCACAACTTCCCATGCGAATGCAATATGGTCATACGAAAAGGTCGGAAAACATGTGTCCCTTCCGTATGGGCAAGAAACTTTAAAGCAAAGTAATGTCTGCTACACAGCTTGCACTAGGCATACTAAACGAAGCTTACGACCTCGACACTTTTCGTGTCCTCTGATAACTGGCAGATTCCACCTCCAATTCCATGAAACCCGAAAATATGCCATGTAGGCCTCTGCTCGATCTCTGAAATTGTGATTGTCAAATCCTGATCAGCGTCATCTACGGAAATCGCTGAATTTCTCGTGAGCGTCGGCATAGATTCTAATAGACCTCTACCGTAACCTTCGATGCAGTGGAGGTGAATCGTGTACCACTAATCAGCCCGCAGCCTCCGACATTCCAGCATAAAGGACACGGTCATCAGGAGTAAGCTCAAGGCGAACGACATCAATTGCCCCGCTTTGTGGGTTGTACGGTTTCGCTTGTGTGTGGGCGAGCAGTGCCCATGACTTACTTCCAGTCATCCCATCTGCAACTGATTCGCGGAGACAGTCGAGTTCACAAGCCCGATGTGCGGAAAAACTCCTGAATGTGTGATCTGAAGAGTGCAGGCTCCCTGATCCATATCTTCATCTGAAGGCAACTGAAAAGCATTGACTAAGGACGACCAGTAACCAGCGTTTACTGGTACCGCCCTCATGACTAGGATGTGGCTAGAGCAAGCTAGCAGTACGTGGCGATAGATGGAAGGATTTGGCGGCTAAGGATGAGCATGAATGTTGGTTGATATGTATCAAATTTGGCCCTTTCTTGACTAACCTGATTGACTAGATGTTTGCTTATGGAAACAGTGGGCATATACAAACGCCGGCGAAGTTTGGCGTCGATGACATAGACGTGTGCATGATTGTCTGGACGATGCCTCGGTGCGGCTATGAAACAACGTGGACCGGCGGTCACTATAAACTCCAAACCTGGAGGTACACTTTGTTCTAGAATCAATTCTAGGGTGGGAGCATTCAGCAATTGGTGCTCAAAAAGAGATAAATGATAAATCTTCAAATTCCTTCGACAGCTCAATCGGCGGCTGGCACAGTTTCTGATAGGAAAGTGGCGTACTTTTCGACATCCCAAATGGTGGGATGGTGCGCATTCTCTTGGACTACCGAACATGCGCTACGTTGTCCGCCTGAATATGATGCCTGGACAAAATCGAACTTGGGGATTCCGAATTGAGACTGAGCGTTGTAGAGTACTGAAGCATCAACATCCTCTGAGTTCGCGTTATAACAGACGATTTTATCCCGTACTGCAACTATGAGCCAGGAACTCATCAAGAACGTCGAGCTGACGATGTGAAACTCTACACAGGCACGGAGAGCATAAGGGCGTGTTCACTACTACTAGTGGTCCATACCCTCCGAACACGGACAATGTCCTGCACTGAAAGGAAGGTGAAGATGTACTGTAGGATTTCTGCGGGTAATGACACTGGTAGGTAATTTACCAGCTGAAATATTGTGATCACCTAATGTATAAACAAGTAATGGATTGCAAATTACGAGTACTCTCTGGGAACACGAGCAGGAGTGATCAAACGCTGTGATAAGTAGCTGCTGAGAGTTCCGAGTTCAGCATTTAGGAGTGTTCAGGCTGGTGAGCGTGACTTAAAATCAATAGGAGCCTCCGGAGGTCACAAAACATTGCAAACAATCATTATACACTGAATGGTTAAAAAGGGTGGAGCGAGGAGGGAACTACAAAAATCTATGACGGAGGGACCATCTTCGATATACGGAAACCGATCATCGACTCGAGACGAAAGGCAAAAAGCAAAGACGAAAACGACACTTCACAAGTTCATACGGCGCACGACAACTCCGTCACAGACTCCGCCTTGGTTGGCGATAGGTCCTGCTCTGTTCCGTATCTCAAGGCACCGTCGTTGTGCGTATGCCGGGATATATGCACTTGCAAAGGCCTCGTAGGATGATGCCGCGAGTTCCTTCGTGTCGTCTCACTGCCTGTGCTTCCACGGACAGTCGGGAGGTGATCGGGAGCTCCATTTTTGATTGCGATGCGGATAAGCACCGTGTAGAAGGTGATCGAGATAATCGGCATGATCTAGTTGGTCAAAGCTCAGTAACTTTTGACGACAGGCATTAATGGCGGCATTACCATGTCTAGCAAAATATAATGTCCGTTGTTCTGCAGGACGAAACCCACCAGTAGAGATAAGAGCGCTATAGAGTACAAAATAGCGGCCTCCACAAGCATGCGCACTATTGACTTCGTGGTGCTCTTGGTAGTGGGAATTTTACGTGCGATCCAGATACGATATGCCAGAAGTGCTGGTCAAATTACTGTTGGGCTTCAACATGGCGCTCAGGCAGAGGCATGCTTACCGGAAGCCCACAAATTAGTCGTAAGTGTCATGGCATAGTACGCAATGATCCATGGACCAGTCCCTTTGGCATAGACGTTTCCGGCATCGCTGGTCGCTTGTGAGGCATTATAGACCGCATAAATACCAGACGCTTCGATGGAACATCAGTCTGCATAACTTCCTAAGCATGATTTGCGACCTAACCTGTGATACCGAACAACAGCATGCTCGGGAAGATGATAACCCAGATAGATTGCCAAATGATGTAACATCGATAAATCTTAAGGAGAAAAGACATTTCTATCAGCCAAGAGGATTACAAGCTGGCGAATAGAATTTGAACCCACTAGCATCCCATCGCTAACAATAGTTTGAAAGATGTATATCGCACTCTTGATCAAACACGTGGCTTGGGTAATGTCTGCGAAGAACGCCGCTGGCCCACCTGGGAATGTGTCGCGATACGTCACCAATCCCAGTTCGATACGAATGATGTCTACGACCATGTGCTTGGGAGAATTGAGCAGATGACACCGAACGTAAGAAGCGAGAAGCTAACTGCAGTACTCAGTACCAACAGCAAGATGGCCACCACAACGATTGGGCGATTGACGTCCTTCATACGACGTTTGTGGGTCAATGTCCAGATGGTACCCATGAACATGAGCACCGAAAAACCTGGATAGACCTTAGTTTGGGGGATGAAACGGGTGCACGCATTACGATACTCACCATACAAAATGCCTTCCATCACTGTTGAGATTACAGCAGCGGTATCTAGCGTGATGCCGATGCCTGCCATGGTAAAAATGGTGCTTGGTGGATGTACGAGCCTTCGCCAGCTCCATGTCAGGTGAGAGCTCAGCTTTTAAAGATATATTATCCGAGTAAAAGAACCAATGTCAATTGCTTGAACTATTGCGATGACAGACAACACGGGACACTGTATTTCACGAGACAGATACCTCCCGTATTAGGCAGAACACCCTAGTATGATACTTGGCAGTTCCCCATGGGCTGTGGAGGTGTTGCAAAGCTGTTATCTGCACGTCAGTATCTGCTACAAGATATTACCAGACTATCACTTACAAAACGAAAGCCTGCTGTCATGATCTGCAGCTTTTTTCAGTTTCTGGAGCTCTTAGTCGAAGCGACCATTGCGTCGGAACGTCGGATGTTCAACCTTACATTAATGAGAATGCTATATTTATGTATAACACGGAGAGAGAGAGAGAAATTCTATATTTATATACCGCAACAAACAAAGTGAGCTGTTAAGACGCGGTGCCCTGTTAGGGCTGTGCTGGGGAGTGTTGTAACAGGGTGAGGGATGTAGGTATAGTACGAATAGCCAAGCGGTCCGCGTTTGATGAGTTTTGGTGTGCGTGTGGGCTCGTTTGGTGTCCAGGCTTAGTATAATATGATACACTTTCTCTCCTTCCTCCTCCTTCTGATCTCTCCTCGTCTCCTCCTTCCCTCGTCACTTCCTTCTTTGCCCTTACTCAGGCTTCTGTCCCTCTCCTTTCTTCCCAGTCTCCTTCTCGTTCCAGTGCGACCTTCTTTAATGCGCTGGATTCTTGAATAAACTTCGCTAGTGCCTTTATGCCCTTCTCCGTACCCAAAATTTCGTTGAGTATGATGTTGTGTGATACCTCACGCAGATGGATGCGTTGTCGCGCAAATAGTGGGCAGTCACGTATGATATGTTCTCGTGTTTGACGTGGTTCTCCACATGGGCAGAGGGTGGGTTCGGTTGGAACGAATGCAGCGTAGTATTCTCCTATGAATCCGTGTCCTGTGCGGCATTGTATAAGACGGCCGTATACTTCTCGAGGAGTGTGAGTGAAATGTTGGCGGGGTTTGAGCGTTGGTGGGAGTCGATTTGCGAGAGCGAAGCGTCCAGTCTGTGCTGCCACGTCTCTATTCCAACTCTCTGTCCATTTCTGCAAGATCCCTTCCTTGTTTCTTCGGCGCGCATTTGCATAGGTCGAGTGGTACGAGTCGTTACGTCCAGTGGCTTCTTTTGCTATGTATAACACGGAACTGCCCGTGGCATTGGCATTGCATCTTCGTGATCTCTTGGCAGACACCTCGGCGTATCAGATAGCCTGCCCCGAGTATATATTGAAACATGAATGTATGGCGACTGATGCTGATCCCAAAGGGCGTTTTGCGATGAGGCAATAATACTTGATACTCGCAAATTCACTGATGACAAGTATATAAGTGAACTTTAACAAAGCTTTTGGTGGGGTAGGGTTCTGCCGCCTGCGACGAGGACTGGGCTTGGGGAGTGAATGGACAAGACCAGGAACATAGTACGTGTAGCCCTGTTGTGGTGACCCACATCAAGGAAGATATATTTGTTGTCCGTCGTACGCCTAGTCCTCATCATGCAGTCCTACAAAGCGCAAGCAGGTTGTAACCGCAGACTGTTGATGGCATCTTCGACCCAGCCGACGTGGTTCTCGTCCAAGTCATTCGCAAGTAGTCTCGACGCATATGATGTCCCATTGGCTTTGACATCCTTTCTGTGCGACTAATGCGCATAAAAGCACCAATGGCAATTTCTTGAACTATCGTAATGACAGACAATATAGGTTAAGCCTGTTATTATAGTCTGCAGCTTTTTCAGTGTCTGCAGCTCTTTGTCGAAGCGACCTTTCAAGGAGAATGCTATATTCATACCACGGAACTGCTCGTGGCATTAGTTTCATGATCTTAGCAGACACCTCGGCATATCGGATAGCCTGGTGCGAGCGAAACATGAATGCATGACGGACGATGCTGATCTCCATGCAAAGGGCATTTTCCAATGAAGCAGTACTACTTGATGCTCACGAAGTTGATGCACAGGTATACAAACTTCAACAAAGCCTTTGGCGGTGTAGGGTTCTGCGACGGGGGCTCCGGAGTAGAGGAAGGAAGTACAAATACAGGGACATACGCGTAGCCCTGTTGTAGTGAATCGCACTGGCCAAGAACCACATTAAGGAAGAGCAGACTCGGTGACCAACCCCGCATCATTCCACGGCGGACGGATGTTATCATCATCGAAGAGAAGACTGATGCTCCGGGTTGTCGATGTAGAAACGATCAAGAAATCGCGTACTTTTCCTCATAATATGCCGTCTTCCCAGGCGACGTCTCGTCGTGTTTCTTTGCTACATGCTTCATACACCTCACATCAGCATATCCACCGCATCAATGCAATCCGTACTCGCCTCACACGATGGTGTTGCTGAAAATGATTTATATTACAGCCCTCCAGGGTTCTCTTGAGGGGCGGCACCGATTATCTTTTCACAGGCAGCCAAGACCATATTTCGACATATCATGTCCATAACACACTTCCCGCCAACTCGCGCGATACCGTCACAGTCCATCAAGACGCACACCTTCACGAGTCTCGTAGCGCCATCCAAAAGAGCACCGCTGAGTATAGATCCGAGCCCGTCTTTTGCTCCGCCTTTGCTTGAGCAAGAGTTGAGTATGTGGCACAGGTACCAGGTAGCATCTTTCCGCGCTACAGCCTCGAGCCTATCCTTTCTACTGATCGCAGTCCTCTGCCTGTGGGGGTGCGATGTCTGCGACGACTCTGGATCTCGAGAACCCTCCTCCTGATCTGCATTGTTATCCATTGTCCCATCGACACCGACGCGGGTGTGCGTAGAGTATAATGATTCTAGCGCCCGGATTGATTCCAATGCTATCCGCTCCCTGATGCCTGAGGTGTACCCAGAGTAGCGGGGTGATATCGAGTCCAACGCATTCAGCGCCTCGCCGAGGAGAGTCAAGAGGTCCATGCGAGTGTCAGGAAAGAGTGACTGGCTGGCTGTTTTCGGCACCTTCTCGTTAGCTTTGTTGCGGCTTTTCGACGTCTTCTTTGCTGAAATTGTGTGTAAATGACGCATGATGTGTGTCTGAGATGTGAGAGCGAAGCTGCGGACAAGAGGGACGAACAGGGAGTCGATGAGACGGGATACAACGGCATTATTGGCAGTAATGACACCTTGGTAGAGGAGGCCTGGAAAAGCGACGCGTATGACATACACCATAAGTGGAGAGGCCATTGCGATTCTCGATTCATTGAGCTCTGATAGAGAGGAAGGCGTCGAAATGTTGTGGAGGCCTAGAAATTTGCTGATGATGTCAATTGTGCGCGTGATTGCAGCTAGCAGGTGCGAGTTGCGTGTTGGGCCGTCACCTGTCTGTGAACTCACTGAGCTGATTGCAGTTCGGAGGGAGGTGAATGCTGTAGTAAGGGATGGTGATGACTCTTCGACGTTGAGACGTTCTTTTCCAAGTCGTGAATCGAGAAAAACAAGACGCATATATGAGATTCGTACCTTTCCGTTTTGCAGACCAGTCGTCGTCCTGATACTCGGGAACTTTGCCTGTCTTCTTCGCCTTCTTCTTTGGAGGAGCAGCGTCCGAATCGTCTGGCACGTCCTTGGACACGCTTTGCCGCAGACGAAGGAGTTCTACATCATTCCAGTAAGGCTTGCCAGCGGGAATGACATTCGAAGATATACCGTCTTGATCTTCCTCCCGTTTGTCTTTCAAGAACTCGAGTTCTCTTTCCAGCGCGAGTGCATGGTCCCTCCACCCATCCTCATCGCACGTTCCTTGGCTATCGTCGGTCAAGGGAAAATGGGACTTGAGGTCAAGGAGACAACCTGCGTAGCGTCATAGAGTGAGCCTCTACACTTTACATAGCAACGTCAAGCGACTGACTTGGGATGGACTGGTCCTTTGACTTGTGTTTGAGCACTGTCAATGCCTGGGGAGGAAACAAGTAATGAGCCGCTTGACCACTGATTTTGATGCTCCGCGAGATGTTGATCGTACGATGGCAAGGTGCACTGCAACCTGTGGTGAGACCGACATATGACTGAAAGTAAAACTGGTGTTAGAGGTATACGAGTGGAACTAGAACAAGCTGCGAGCATGAAAGATGCACCCACACATCCAAACAACACATTGGTTGACCGTTCACCAATGCCAGCTCAACACTCGGAGTGCTGAGCCCATCCGAGGCTTGTTCAATGCAATCACCGCTGTGAACTCCACTACCTTTGGAGATATAGAGAAGGTGATCGGACTACAAGAAGACCAGACGCATGTCACATTTTGTTCGCTTGGTGACTCTCAGGTGAGGCTCTGGATCGTTCTATTAGAACCTATTAGTAGTTTTATGACTTCAGGTTCTCGCTCCCCCCAGCATCAGTCGAAGATGAAAAGATTCCAGTCAATTTCAGCACACTGGGTGAAGTTGTTGCGTTGCAGGAGACAGTGCAAGTGATGTTTATCACAGTGCGGTGGTCCTCGCCTAGTTCCAGATCTCCACGGGCGTTGCTGCTGCCATCATCACGTTCGTAACCGGTGTCGCATCCAACTCGGAGACTGCATCTCTAACTTGTGGTTACATTTCAGCCAACGTTGTTCTAGTTTGCGTACAGCCGGTCAACTCGTCAAGTAGACATCCTCCGCTCGGCGTGTTTATGCGAGTTGCGCTTTCAATGGATCGAGTTTAGCATCTGCCAACCTACCAAACGACCTCGAGCGCATCTGTAACTATTATGGTGATGCCAATTAATGTGTTAGGTCTATATGACTCTGTATAGACAATGGCGCTTGTATGTGAATCTAGGCGAATGCTGTGTAGGTGTGCGGTGTTTGTGTGTCATGTGGGTGTCATTGCCAGGGGGTGTGTGGAATATTTGCACGAATCCAGCGCCTATGATAAGTATTATACGACTCTGAATTGACTAGAACGCTGACTTTGACACTTCGGTCAACCTCCTCGTGTTTTTCATCCATAGAGTCCCGATAAAACACCTGTTCGTGAGTGGTGACCTAGACTCCAGCGATCAACAATTGAGGCACTGACTACCTGCAATCCTCAGGAATTAGCCATGTCCATGCCCAGCGCTAGGAGGACGCAAACATCAAATTCCTATTCATCCATCGTTAAGACGCAGGATATTTCGGCGATAACGCCCAGCCACAGATTTAAAGGACATACCGGTATTGTCTGGGGCGTCAAACACCTACCAGGAGGTCAGCGAATTATCACTTGTTCACTCGACGGATCGCTGCGAGTATGGGACTTGGAGAGTGGGAAACAGGTAGGGAAAGCCTGGCGGGATGGAGAAGGTGCAGTGCAGACCATTGCATTATCACTGGACGGGAAGAGAGTGGTTAGCGGGAGTGAGGACGGTGTAGTGAGGTTGTGGGACATCGACGCAGGGAAGGTCGTCGCTAGATGGATGGGACACAGAGCATATGTATCGTCCGTCCGCTGGAGTCGAGATGGTCGGCGAGTGCTGAGCGGATCTAACGATGGGACTGCAAGGCAATGGAAAGTGGAGAACGGAGAGACCATCCTCGCACCAATCGAGACCGGGCACAAACACGTGTACGTAGCGACCTACTCGCCGGACAGAGCTTTAATTGCGACTGCTGGATACGACAAGTCCATCAAAATCTGGGATGCGAAGACGAACAATTTGGTCACAACTCTACACACAGATAAAATGGTGAATTGCCTAGCTTGGACCCCGGACGGAACGGTACTTATCTCCGGATCATTCGATCACTCAATCAGGACGTGGAGTACTAGAAGGTGGCAACAGATCGCTGCTCTGTATGCGCACACCGACTGTGTCTTTGCCATTGCAGTATCTCCGAATGGCCGTATCCTTGCAAGCGCATCGTACGACAATACAGCACGATTGTGGAATCTCGAGAATGGCCAACCCATCAGTTTGCCCCTCAAGCATGCAGATATAGTGACATCTGTGTCATTTTCGGCAGATGGAAAACTGCTAGCTACTGGCTGCTATGACCGTGATGCGTACACATGGGATGTTTCTGCGATCCTTAGGGATGCTGGCAGAGTCGACCTTCTGTCAAATCTAAATGTGAGCTAAAAGGCTTTTCTCATTCTAAAACTTTCAGGAACTGAACGCGCTCGTCTTTGCCTCCCGCAGGAGCGTGAAAAGCCATTGCTCGATGCACGTGAGATGTCTATAAAACCGTATCATTACGTCTAACTAACCATCAACATTCTAGGCTGCTACTCGACGTCTAGCGCAACAACTCGAGTACGTCCACCAAGCACCACCTGCAGTTGTCGACTCCTCCCGGGATCATGTTGGTGTGCGTGCTCCGCGTGTCATTTTTTCTTCTGACCTTCTTGTTTCCTAGTCTTCAACGTATCAACCTCCCTACTCGTCCACGTGGCATGGGCATGCCACCTCAGCTCCATCTTCTGCTTTAGATCGCTTCCCATCCTCCTCTACAAGTCAGCATGAACTTGCCACATCAGCGCCATCTTCTTCCCCGCACCGCTATCAGCCCGATGCTGATGTCGCACCACAAATCTCACCACACCCACCATCAGCGTTTTCCTCTCCGACTCCTCGTACTGTTGGTCAGCGCACATCGGTCAGTTCTATTCTACTTTCTTCCTTCCTGGACTCATTTGTTCCAAAGCGTGTATATGTCGCTCCTAGGGGACCGATCACCCAAGCCACTTCGCAAAGACAGGTACGACAAGACCCGAACCAAGGTAGAGCGCCATTGTTCCCTGTAGCGGTTGTCCCTACAACATACCCGCCATCGTCATTATCACCTCCACGACCACGACCTCAAGTTCCTGTTTCCATTATTCCTCCCACAGTTACACCAATTACACAAGAGACTGGATGCTGCACTCGCTTTTGGCGTAGTATCTGCTGCGGGTGCAATGATTCTTCTGATGATCATTCTTGAAAAAGGAGCCAACCACCATTCAATCACGCTTGTTTACTATTCACTCGCTTTTCCCTGCTCGCGCTTTCCCCTTCATCTTACTTGCATCACCATTCCAGCGGTCAATTGCTCTTGCCATACTCTGCATTACAAGTTTATCATTGTCATACGATCACCTACGTACAACAGGACGTCCACTATCGATCTGTGCTTTCTCTGCATAGCCTACATATATCACTGAGATACATATGATGAACTATATTCGAATGCGAGCTCGTACCATGGAGATGCTCACGGTTAATCTCCAGTAGCCAACCTAATATAAGATATGACAGTCGATATCTTTGTACAAGTGACGTGCATTAGAACCTGGCATCATTCATACATAACTTACAAGCCTTATGTATCCTACTCTTTTACTGACCACCCGTTCTCCGAGGCTCAACAGGAGCATGATACGTCGATGGTACTAGGCTAAGTAGCACTTCAAATTAAAACACTCGGAGGGCACAGCTTATCAGCGACTTCCTGCAAAAGCACGCAGACATTGTCCATATTCCAATCCCCCCCGTTCCCTCTGAGCTTATTCTTGAGGATACGTTGAGCGTGCAAGGCTCCGAGAAGTCGCAACAAATGATCGATGAAAGGGGAAAAGCGCACAATAAGTCCCAATGCTGCGACTTGACGGTGAACTGTTGGGGAAAGCGACAAATCAAAAAACACGAATATGAACGAAAGGTAATGAAAAGTACCAATATCACCCTCGCTCTCGCGTTCGATAGCTGCGAGAACCGAACATGCGATTGACGCCTCCCATTCCGCATTCAGGAGAGTCAGGGACAATTCCATCTCCAAATGGTCGGTCTCGTCTTCGTCGCCCTTGCATAAATTCTCTATTCTGAGCTCTTGCAGACGCGCAAAGGTGTTGAAGTCAAAGTCGACGCGCTTTTCCGAATAGCATGATCTTCATGAACCAACGTATGTTCCAGAAGGATGGCTAGATTATTATGCGCTGACAGGAGAATTTTCCATCCCAACGCCCTGTGACTGAATGCGTTGGAGAGCATACGAAGGAGCGTCAACAGATACTTCTTCGAAGACCATTCGCATGCCTTGGACAACAGCAGTCCAAGGGGGCTGTCAAGACCGTTTCTATCGGCGCACCAAAAGGAGACCTTGTCGTCAAGGATCGCTATGCGCCATAAATCCACCAGTGGAAACAATTGATCTTCCGGCATATTCCATGACATGCAGCTCGTGACGTCATACCAAAGATCAAAAAGAGGGTACGAAGGCAAGTGTTGCGACGTGGTGAAAGCGGTGACGTACGGGAATATTATCCCAGACAAGATCTTCGTGGTGTCGGCTTTAGATAGGGAGGTATCGAAAGGTTGAAACCAGGTTGTAGTGGAGTCAAGGAAACCCATCAGCTTTGCAGATACAACAGCGAGATCAGGAACCTGCTTGAAGAGAATAGGCTCAAGAGATAGCAAATCCATAACCGGAAGGGATAGCGACAAGTGTGGATGAACTATGGCACGATCGATGGTGTCAGCTGCGAATGCGATGTAGAATAACTTGAATTCGCAAACCTGGGTGTAAAAACATTTCAAACTGCATTTGTAACTGTTGAACGTTACATCCCTGTACTTCATATACCTGGGACATGAAATAAGTAGACGATTAGACGAAGCTCGCGGAAAGCCTGACCTTCGTTCCTCCTACAAAGAAAAGAAAAGTAGGGGTAGCGCGGACACCAAACTCGATGCCAACGGCAGCTGCACCACGGCAAGAATTGAGATCCACGTGCACAAAGGCGACAGGGCTACTATTCGAGTTTTTGTTGTGCGCAAATTCTTCAAACAATGGCTGTGCCTTGCGACTCAGGCGACATATTTCCGTGGTAAAGAACGCAAGAACACCACGATGCTTTTGTAGAAGAGAATGAAATGATGGAAGAGATGCACAAGAGTGAATACGTTTGATGGTGATCGCGGAGGTGGGCGAGGATGGTATGCGCCGATGACGATTAGGGTGCAGGAATGGCCGTACAGTCGTTTGCAAATAGCGCAGGCGTCTATGTTTTGTTGATGTACGCAGATTCTCGGTAGGCGTGTCATTTCGGAGATTCACACTGATAGTATGTATTAATATGAGAAATGATCAGGATAAATGCATCTTTACCGAATGAAAAGCGTTCTAAGGAAGGTAGACGTCAATGTGCTGCGTCTTAGAGAGGACGCGAGAGTTCCAGCGGACTTCACAAGCAGGGTCTTATTGCGGAGTGAAACTGCCTTCGTCGTGGCTGGCCGACTAGTGACTTTGGCGAGGATTCCTGAGGACCTCACCGGAAGTTCTTGAAGCATCGTGGTGAGAATGGTCGCCCGAGGTTTATACATCGCGAGATTGTCCAGGAATGATGCACAAGCACGGCAGCTGTCGTCCAAATTAATGGCCCAGCTGAAGTCGAAGGTGATAAGATGTTCGACGTTGACATCTTCAGCTTCAATGAGAGCCTGACGTCGTTCGACAGTATCAGAGAGCTCTCTGTAGTACATATTCCTGATCTTGTTCAAAAAACCTGCATCAGGCTTTGGCGTCTTGTGGTTCAGGTACAGTCGCATGGGCGCCAACATAGTAAAACGATTGCCCTCGCGATGAGTCATTGAATGTAAACAGAGCACGTCTACCATGGCGGTCGCAGAAGGACAGAGGGCTTTCACCCTCGTAGTGTCGAGGCCCTGCGGGAAAAAGGCGATGATCTCGAGAAGTTTTCGAGCATCATCACCAAGGCCGATCACCGACGGAGCATTCAAAGAGAGCTCGACTGTAGCACGCAGGCTGTGAGATTTTTCTTCACCGTTCTCCAGTAGTGCTGCTTGTTGTGTTTTCCATGCCGAAAGTAGTTCCTCCCCCGACCATTCGTACTGAGCCGCCCGACGAGCAAGGATGTTGACCAATAACGGATGGTTATCCACACCGTCCAATAATCCATCAATTACCTCCGCAGGAATGTGCTGCGGGCATAAGCTCTCGAAAGTCTCCTTCGCGTGCTTGCGTTCTAACGTGGGAACGCTCACGGCTTGAGTAATAAGGTAGGGTGGAAAGGTCTGTTTACTGCGGGTCGTCAGTAGGAGGACCACGGAGGGTGATGATGCGAGGTCGTCGATGATACGGGTCACAGAGTTTGCGTTTCGAGCTGTAGGAAGAACGTCTGTATGGTCGATGACCAGGACTGTGTCGTCGCCTGTCAAAAATGCTACAACTGCTTCCCACCGTTCACCGAGGCGCCCATACAACCCGGCGGCTTTGCAAATCCGCTCCCTGATTATTCCTGCGGATATCTGGGATGCATCGAAATGATACAAAGTAACGACGGCCTTGAAACTTCTCAGCTATGACTGAGTCATGAATAACAGCTTTTGCAAGGGAGGTCTTGCCGATACCTCCGGGCCCGCAAAGTGTAACATGACGTCGATTGAGAAGTAGTCCAGTGATATGGGCAATGAGATGATCTCTGCCAAGTAAAGGGGAAGGTGCATTCGGAAGGATGACGCGCCAGCCTTCATCTACGGTATTCATGCTTGGTCTATTGATCTGCCTGCTCAGTTGATCTATTCTGCGTTGGGTAATCATGCTCAGGTGCATCTTAGCGAACGGTCAGTTCATAGTTAGCTTGGTATACGGAATAAATATGGCTTACGTTAATGAGCGACACGCGCCTATCCAGTTCCCGCACCCAAGACGCGATTTTGTCCTTGTCGGACTGGGCAAAAAAGACTCTCTTGGTGACGCTGCATTCATTTGCAGACACTACTGCCTCATGAATGCTTTGGACAAAGCTGCACTCATGTCAGTCAGTCCCTGATTTATCTGGAGAAAGCCCCCACCTTTTGAGACTGGTAATAATGTCGCTGAGCTCATCATTCAAGTCGCAGTCAGGCTGGCCTTGAGTAGCCCTTGTTACGACATCACATATCGCTCGGCACTGCTCAATCAATCCACCGAAATCGTCCACATTCTGCAAGGTATTCTATAATAAAACTCAGAAAGTCACCCGAAAGTGTCGCTCAAAAAAGACTTACTTTTACGATGGCCAAAATATTCGACACTGTCGAAAGAATGCTTCGCGCGAGAGTGCTAGGCACAGCAGCATTTACGGTATCGATCGCTGTTATCGTCCCACTCAGCAATGCCAGGCGTCGATGACTGATCGATCTTGTTCTGGGTAGATGCCTTCCGTTAGAAGCTCGACTATGGCTGCTGTTAATGTGATAGGATGAGTCTCACCTTCGATGGCAAGACCATGTCTTTGGGACAGAAAGGTCAAACTAGGTTGATCTGGGAGTCTATCGATACCCGCTGGGGGGAGCAAAGTTGCTGTTAACGGCCATGATCTTATTCAGATGGCACAGCAAGTTATGTCACTGGGGCAATGCAGCATCGCCACCAGTCAACATCAGCTGATAGGATAGGGTAGATGAGTCAGGTAGGCCCACACTGGCACATTCCGCGTTCTGCGGGGGGTGGGTAAGTGATTTCCCTCGGACCGGTGTCTCCCCAGGAACACTACATAGTCTGTAGCGCGTACATGCAGAACTAGACTCGATCAGTTGCTGCACACTGCATCGCCTGTCCAAAAAAGAATGTGTAGTAGATGTATTGTCAGGGTTAGATATCAAATAGCGAGCCCGTGAAATCGTACTTTACTCAAGTTGCCGTCAGTAGCCAGGTAACATCCACTCGAGCAAATAGTACCCTTCACCGAAAGTAAGTAGGGAACTCCAAACACGTCGATATCATAAAAATGGTCAACATAGTACACAGGACAAACCGATGAAATGAACACACTGTCTATGGTTAATACTAGGAGAACTCTGCAACATATTCCGACCAACTGCATGCGGGCGAAAGTCCAGTGTGACGGGGTCTCCAGAATCTAGTCTGTATATATAATAAGGTCATCTATCAATCCATTCATCCATCCCTTCGTGAAAGTCGTGATTCCCTAGTTGCGGCGGAAGCGCGACAAGAAGCCGCCCTTCGAGTTGCCCAGCTGATATGAATCAGTAGTAGCACCTGCCATTCTATCGCGGCGACGGCCGAAGCACACAGTGCATCCAGCCAGGAGAAGCAGTAGTAGGGACACAAATGTGAGCCAAAAACCTGCCGTAACATTGAGATTTGTGGTGAGCTGAGAAAGAGAAACTAACCAGGTCCGGTGACGGTCGTCGCATCAATATTTAGCGTACCCATTTCATGCTTGACATAGGCATAGAGAGCGATGTTGATGGCAAATGCGATGAGAGTAAGCAGGGCTGCGAGGAACGACACTAGAGAAGCCACCAAGGTGATTGTGATGTGCTGAGAAATAGAAAGAAGAAGGGCGACAAAGGCCACGGAGGCAGCTAATGAAAGCAAGTCAAACTGTGACCTGATGTCATATAGAGTACTACTGACCAACGGGAAGAACAGCGAGACCGCGGGTCCATGAAGACCCTATAGTTATTTCGTTACCCTGAGAATTCTCGAAGATGAGCGAGTATCCATGGCCTGTCATGTTCAATAAGTATAGGATTGTAGCGATCTCAGTAAAAACGTTCACCAGTGTTGAAACATGTGCGACCCGAGGATTGGTCAATACAGTAACCCCTTAGATAGTTTAGTTGTGTGATTGCATATAATAATGCAATATTTACCATATGCCGAGCTAGGCGCCACAAGGAGGAAAATGAGTTCGACGGCCAGCTCAACAAAAGTGCTACTCACTCGGAGTTGGGTAATTGCCTGATTACCGTTACTTGCCACAGACTGTGCACTAGAGTGTACGCGAGCAATATCCATCGCCTGAAGATATGGAAGAGAGATTGAGACGATGAAAAGGAGGAAGAAGGCGCAGAAGAGGAAGAAACCGCCCGGAATACAGTACGCTCTCGACATCTTCGCCAGTTTGATTGATATTGGTCTTTGTTATCTTGTACGAATGAGCAGCGTCAGAGACGAAGGTGGGGTAGGCGCTTTGCGGAGCAGGCAAACGTTGGGGCTGACTTTTATGCGGTTTCGAAACGGTGCAAAGTTACATACTTACCGGGCGCGCACCCTACTGCACAGCCACATTATACCGTCATTCCGGAAGCTTTCTCCTCGGAGCAGCCACAAAGGTGAGCTGAGCGCTGGATGAAATGGATATGGCTATGCTATCACCGTGACAAAACCTTGATGCAGCGCGGTTTATTACCGCATTGTGCAGTCTTGGCCACTGAGTATCTATCCATCTTGACGAGTTTGATAGGCACTATCAGACTTATTACCAGGGTCTGGCAGGGTCTAGTTCTTAGGACTTTGGACTTCCAGAAAGCTGTCAGACTTCAAACTTTCATTCCATTCATTTTTCCATCACCTGCTTAGAAACAAGAAACCGGTCTCCTCCATATCACGACATGTGAGATACCTACTTGTTCCGCTTTCAATTTATTTAATTACGTCGTCTGAGACATGATAAGTTGCCCCGACTTTGACAGCCAGGGATTATTTCGGTTCAGACCATAACTTGCCCCTCACTGTCGACGATGGCTATACACTCTGCTTTCACAGTCAATAAATATTCAGCAGGACTTGTCATTCAGCTACGCGTGATAACGCGACCATGTCAGTTCCGAGTCCAAGCAGCGTCCGACAAACGAGTGCCCGTACCCCTCTGAATCATTTCAACGCACTCACGACTGCATGCATCCTTCTCGAACACATACAGTCTCTCGAACGACTCCGTGACGAGACACAATACCGCGTGGAATCTAAGAGAAAGACAGGTGCACTTTTCTGGAGGCGAACTACTCGGAAATGGAGGCTTCGAGAGGCTTTGTCGGAGTCCACCGTCACACAGGAACAGATGCAGCACACACCCACCTCCGCACGCAATCATTACCCATCACCTCGACTTCGCGGACTATACGACGTTCATGGTCCCGGATGTGCCAACCAGGACTCTCTACAGACTACGGCCGATTTTTCCCCACTGAGTCTTGCCGATCTTTCTGTCTACGGGAGGGGTCATGAAGTAGTCTGGGAGGATGACGATGACGAAGCTTTGCTGTTTCAATCTGCCGATGAAGCTGTTGAGGATTCTGCAGGAAGCAGAGACACTTCTGAAGGCTCCTTGGACTGAGCTCACTTGTCCCGCCCCTCCTTCCCACCTTGTTTCTTCCCCGTCCAGGGCCACCTTCATTACCCAAGGTTTCCCACCAGTATTCGGTTCTACTGATAACTTACTGACTATCTTTGCCAGATCCTGACCGTACTCTTGCACCGACCAGGCACGCATCGAACAGGTACCGATCCATCGCCCGCGGCAAGAAGTCTCATGGTTCCCCATCAGGCATGAAGGGCAAAGGGGTCACACGTCGTGGAACTTCTAAACGCGGCAACGCTGTTCAATCCAGGGCAAAGAAGGCTTTGAGCAGAATTTTGCACCATAAGAAACTAGGCATCGCCGCTGCTGGATTTCATGTATAGGAACTCAGTCATGACTCGGTTATTACTCTTTCGTATCGCTGGCGTATCATGATGTCTGTCTGCATTTAAATGTTACGTTTCAATTCTCTGGCGAATGCATTGTGAACCACAGACGATTGCGCATCCTTACGGTTTTCGATGAAGCACTGTTCAACAGTTGGCGCTCGCCGTTTCGCAGTTAGAACTGAAATTTAACAAGAGGTATCGACATGTTCTGTAGAATTCCGAACCTCGTAAACGACAAAAGGTCAGATACTGACTGGGATAATTAACTAGTACGGGGTAAGATGATGAGTTATGGAGCGGAACCATGTCTTTTATCTAGTAAAGACGCACAAAACAGTGGACCAATCATACAGACATGCATGGTCAAAATTTATATGGACTCGACCAGCAACTAATTACTGGGTTAGACGAACGAGCCTCAACGTCAGAGAACTTTTGCCAAGGTGAAGTCCGAAAAGATGAGGTGAATAAAATCATGTGAAAGTGAATTCACGTGATTCTGTATTTCCCAATACATTCGTCAATTGACCCCTATTTAAAATTTCAATCTCTTTCCCTAACCACTCAATTCCATCATGCTCGGGCTCATGAAGACAGATACTCTCTTCAGACCTCTAAAGCACACTCTGCCGCTGGACGGCTCCAACTTGCTCTGCTCAAACATCTCAAAACTCATGCCATCGTTGCTCTCACCACTCAAACTCACCATGCTCAGTCATCTGTTAAGGCCCCTTATCTTCATCCTCTTCCGACTATGCAGTTGCATCATGCTTTTCCGACCCATATTTAATCGCGTCATATTGAACAAGCTCGGACAAGTATTTCGATGGGCGCTTTTGTTCAATTCACCCCAATATTTCATTGCGCTGTTCAAAATCCTCATGCTGGCACTCATGACCGCCGTCGTGTACAATCCCGGTGCTACAGTAAAATTTATCGCTTTCATATACGCTATTTCAATTTTAATCATGAGGCTGACGCTGCGGCTTCTCTTGCGGGCAGGATTGCTGACGTTTAAACTCCTTGTCATGCTTGTAGGATTCGCCTGGCGCGTTTGTCTACGGAAATTGGAGCGTATATATAGTTACAAGCCGCGTTATGCTACATTGTCGTGGACAACTGGTGTATCCTCAGTAGATCGTACCTCGTGTGTTGCTGTATAGAATGGACCTAAAACATTTATAATTATTTTGTGGTTTTCATGTTTCAGATGTTCGAAGACCTCCTAACCTTCCCTCTTGTTTAATGTGTGAGCACCTATAGCGGTGATTAATCACAACGATCGTACAGCTTATGCCGCTATGGTGTCTCAACCGCCGCGGCCGTACAAAGTGAGGCTGATTCCAAGGCAATTGCGGGGGGGGCATTGTTCTACATAACGTCGTTTTGCCAGCATTCGCACGGGACCGCTCGTCGAGCTTATGTGCGTAGTAGTGCGTGTCACAGGGTATCAGCACATCCCCTGGTGATGGGCTTATTGCCGATACGATGGCCCCGTGACGTCCAACGAAAGCTGAAAATAGGCCGACGGAGCGCCCTTTCAAAGAAGTCATCCAACAAAAGACTAGAGCATCTTCAATATTCCGCGAGGAACGCATGTATCATAGTATGGCCCAACATGTTGAAATACCGGTGACATAACCGTTTGAGCAAGGCAGTGCTTTGCAGGTACCTGACTTGACGTGTCTTCATTAACATCAGTAAGGCTACAGTAATATAGCGGCATTTGCGTTTGTCTCGCACGACACTCCACTGCAGCACTTTTTCATCAAAAATTATATGGATTTCATACAGGACTATGTATTGGCAGCATTGATAGGTACGAAAGAGTGTAGATTCTTGTGCAATGTTTTGTTTCGTTCTTAAATTTTAGGTCCCAATGTGTGACATGTTGACATTCGACTCTAAAACTGATGCAATACATGTATATAATCTCCATACACAATAGGTGCCATTGTATTCCGCAGGTGATCAAACGAGCGAGTGCATTGCCAGAGCAGTGCCGGTCGAGGATGTCTCGAGAGTCTCTAATCAACTGATAAGCGAGTGTGATAGACTTCGCGATCGTCGATCATTGTCACGGTCGTGCTTCAATATGTAATGGTGCACTTCATGCGACTCAGACTTGTGACTGGCACAATGAATGAGAATGCCCTCCAATCAACTTCACTCACATCTCACCATGGCCAAGCATGCAGTCCATCTCCAGGGGGAGAAAGCTCGCACGCCGAGGACAACTGTTAGGCATCGAGCATCTGTCATCGATTAGTAATTTCGTAATGCGAACTGATCGCAGGAGGTTCGTTTACCATTTTCGAGTCGACGCAAATGACGGTGGACCGTGGTGCAGGTGATAATCGATAAGGACTCGAATTTAGTGAACATTCATCGTGCAACAACGACTTATCCGATGTGCTTCAAAATTTGAGACTACGAAGTTTATGTATAATTAAGTTCATCGCCCAAGGCGATTTTCGAAATGTTGCGTCGTTGTGTTGCAGGTGAGTGCATGAAATTTGCAAACGCAAATGCCGCTGTGTTATTAATATTGTATAAGCAATGGAAATGATTCACACCCATGGACACATTCTGCAATATGGCTGCTATGAAGCGCACCAGATGCTGACCGTACTTCGGCATTTCAAGTTAAGAGGTGGGTAACTCGCCAAGAAGCAGAGGCGCAACAGTCTAGTTGATGGATGGATGACTCAAGACGCCAGCGCCGGCTATAGCTGTGTTCCCGTGTGCTGATTTGGTGAGGGTGTTTGAACGAGTCGTCAGTTCCTGAACACGGGCGGTCATAACAATCAACGCATTGCATATAGCCAAGCGAAACGGCCAATTCCATTATCACGATTGGTCCCCGAAATAGCGAGCGCGGTGACCTGACAGGGACATGGAACATCAAGACAACACGTCCCAGGAAGAAGTCGGAAAATACTATTTCATGACACTGAGCTAAGCACCATCGGTTGTCTGGATAGGCACAGGGTATGCCAATCGCTTGTTAGAGCTAAAAGGTCGTCAAGAAGCACATCTACTCCCGCCCAATTTCCGTTGACTGGAAGCCTTCCTGGGCATTGAAGTACTGGAACGGGCCGTATGGAAAACACTCAGTTATGGGCAGAAACAGCATGGCCCTTAAACCAACCCGAAACACAGCTCTGACACTACGGTCGAAGAGCCTCTCTTGAGACATATAAAACCTTGCTGGCGCTCTGCTTCGTCCTTCTTGCTCCTCTCGACCAGTAGCAAGCTCCCCGTATATGGCGTAACGGTCACGATCTTTATCTTCTAGATCTTCCTCGACATGCATGCTTATAACCGATCGTGAGTCGTTCGGGAGATTCTGCGATGCCTGACAAGCAGACGATTAGTGTTAGCCTTGGCTCTACTCGTCATCGACTATCACTTGATTGACATTGACACTGCAGATGTAGACAACACGCCATGTGAACTTGTGGCTCCTCGCTCGCGTCGTTCGTCAATTTACTTTGTGCGTGCGAGACACGCGTCTATTATCAAGAGCACAGCTAAATTGCACCACCCACCATCACAAACACTAACTAGCACGTGTTCTTGACGTGTCGCGTATTCTTTCCCAACACCAAAAGTCTTGAGTGAGAAGACATCGACCATCTTTCAGAAGGGCGAACTTACAGGAGGTCTGGGAGAGCAAAGGCAGGCAGTCGAAAGGGGAACATCATAAAAAGTGTCGAAGTCAGAAAGCTGAGAGAAGGTTGACCAAATGAGGCAACGAGCATAACGTCGATGAGATATGATTAACGATGAGCTGACATATGCGCGGACAACAAACATGCAGGAAACGGGTACCACAATAATCAACAATAAACCTAGATGATCACCATTCCACTATGAATCGCGATACTCCTCCGTGCGCTGCGAGCCCTGCCAGTCACCACCGTATGAATTTTTGCGACGAGACCCTTTCTCCCTTTGGTTGTCCCTCGGGTTGAATCTCCGCTTTCTCCCCTCCGGGTTGCTCTTGAAGTCAGAGGTGGAGTCGAGACGAGAAGGCTTTGCATATCTGAGGATGACCGGCCTACCCGTCGAAGGGTCCTTTTGATCATTTATGGCCTCAAGCGCCTCTGTAGCGGCCTCGACATTCTTGAATTCTACAAACGCGCTTCCCTTTGAAGCCCCGGTCTCCCTGTCCCTCACTGCAGACCAAAGAGTCAGACACCATCACGATTTAAGAGGAGGAATACAACGAAGCACACGCACATAATCTCACATCCGCGATAGACTGTTCAAAGTCCCTGAATACCTCACGCAAGTCGTCCTCTGCACCGCCGAACGGACGGACGTACAGCGTGTGGTAAGGTTCGAGCACAGGCGGCTGCTGGAGTGCCGCATGGTCAAGGTAGATGTCACGGTTCATGATATATATCGGGTCCTCCTGGTCAGCCTTGATGACCTCACTGGCGTCAGCCACATTGGCAAATTGAACGTGCCCAAACCCGCGGCTCATCCCTTCCGGCGTGGTGCCTACGATGCATACCCCGTCAGTACCTCTCGCGAATATTCTAATGGAGCACAGAAAACACACCCAAAGATACCCGTACGATCTCCCCAAACTCTGCAAACGACTGCCGCAGCTCTTCTTCGGTAATAGCATATGGGAGGTTCCCAATGTAAATTGTTCCCGAAGGCGGAGTGGCTCGCCGAAAACCCCTTGGCTTTGAGTCCCGGTCGCCATGCCATGCCTCGTCATTACGCAGCGCTAGCGACGTTGATAGTGCCCGCTGCCATTGCAATGGCATCGAGAGTTTTCCGGGGCTTGCATGGCGTAACAGTACCAGCGACGAAAGTGAAGCACGGGCCTTCAGCGATACGGAGAGCGTCCTTGACTGAGCTAAAAGAGCTTTGGAGAACATGGCAGAGAAAGAATGAAGGAGTAGAGGTTAGAGGTACGAAGCAAAAATGGAAAATAACTTGGTCTCTGTCACGCGACGCGCACCGTTACATGTGACAGTGTGACACGAGCTGAGCTGAGGCACGGTTCAGTTTAAAATAGTCTTGTGTATGGCATTATGATATTAACGAAAACAAACACGACAGCCATATCGATAGTAAAGAAAGAACAGAACAATGACTATCTGCAAAAAATATCCCCCTATTGCACCAATGCCCTAGATCATGGCGTATGTACATGACGCACTCTCATAGACGCTTCAACGCTTTCTTACGCTTCTCTATCCCCGAGCCAGCTGAGACTGCAGATCGTTTGACGGCTTTGGTTGTTGCAGTCGCAGCTGGGCCCGCAACATTGGAATTTGCAGTCCCCAGCGGTGCCAAGCGCTCTTTGCCGTCTTTGCTGGATACAGTGCTCGTAGAGATGGATGATGGTAGGGTATTTTCTGGTGATGATTGGAGAGGTTGTGATGGTGGCGTGGGGGACGTCGATTTGCGTGGCGATGATGCAGATGTTGGGACAGGTAGCATAATAGTTGGTGGTGGCACCACAGCTGGTGTTGGAATCGAAGCCGGTATCGGCGTCGTAGATGACTCTCCTTCTTTCTCGGTGGATGTTGTTTGAAATTCGGGAGGTGGTATGCGAGGAGTGGCGTGCACACTTGTTATAAGCTTCGCGCGGGAACAATACGCGTCGTAGTCCTCCAGGAGGAGCTTCCCCGCTTCCTCGTCGAGCGCACTTTCGGGATTAGGATAAATGAGGAGGCACTTGATTGTCACGAGAATATGACCAATGCCATATGACGATTGCCAATCCTTCTTCAACGTGTTCACACAGATCTCGCCCGCAGAAGAGACGTTTGGGTGGAAGATCTTGGTTGCAAACCAGCCTATGTCGATATAATTTGGTCAATGTGATCAGACTGTAAATAATGACGCGTACATTTTGGTGGCGCAGTGGGGAATTCATGTGTAAATTGGAACCGCACCCTGAAGTACCCACCCGCGTATGGCGTTTGCTCTGCGGCATAAAGAGGACTTGAGCTTCGAACGCGTATCTTAAGTTTCAGCGACTCACCTGGTCCCTCAACAATGCCTGTGAGTTCAAGCATATTCTCCTCACTCGTGACGACGCGAATGCCCTCCGGTGGGTTGTTCTTCAACTCAGTGATCTCACGCATCAAGCGACGCATTGTTAGGGGCGTTACAGACTGTAAACCAAGTAATTTAGAGCTGCATCAAGCGAAAGTTGCGACAAACGCACCATGGTAGAATAAGACGTGTTGTTGAATTTGGTAAGTTGAATGGAATTGCGGAGAAATGTGGCTGACGATGGTTCGAAAAGGAGTGACAATGATCTCAAATTCGAACTCCGACACTCACAACCCTAACCCTAGTCTAGGGCCCGGGGGAGAAGGATGTCGAGAGAATAGTGGTCACCAAGCTTGGTAGTTGGAGGGACAGAACCTATGGAGAATTGGTGAGAGGGAGCTTTACACGAACTCGGAACCGACCCTCAGTGGCTGGCCATGGATCGTCCCAGCTGCGGCAACATCCATTTCTGACTGAGCTTCAACATCAGAAGGTGGTGCGGCGATTCTGCCAGTGCACCAGCGCGTTCACTGAATCAAGCATGATACTGCTCGTTCCAGGCTGCGCGAACGACTTATTTTGATGTAGATAGCCTCTTCAGTTATTGTAAGCGCCGTTCTTGGCTACTTATTGGATGACACCGAGGCTTCCAATGGTGTTTGGAGTTTTACTACTTACTGGGGTACTCTCTGTAGAATGGGAGTGTGTTAGATATTGTGGCATGCAGAGCCTGGAAGCACTCGGTAGTACCCTAGGCCTACCTGATGGTGGTTCAAGTCGATTGTGCTCTGATAATAATATGTCATGATAGCTCGTGCGCAGTACTTGATCAGGTGTGTTTTGCTATAAATAACTCTGAGGACTGCTTCTGTGACTGATCGGCGACGACCTTCTCGACTCCATATCATGCCTAGAGAATACATTCGCATGTTCATCTCCTGGTTGAGGCTCATTGTCAGGAACACCGCATTTCGGTCATATGCGAGTGTTCTCTCTGGCCTCCTGCGACTGTTCCGACACTGTCAAGCCGTCATTGGTGGAAAAGAGAGGGCTTTTCAAGAACCGGTCTTAGCGTTGAGCTCCCAGCCAACCGACCAAGACAAGCCGACTTCTGTGACCCTCGCGGTCCCATCATTTGGTGCACCTCTACAAAGCCAAGGGTCGAACGCTGTAGCTTCGAATGCCCAGTCTCCTCAGAATTCTTATGCGCCATGGACATCAAGCTCTATGCCCGAGCCTAGCATCACGGGTGTTGCCACACCACTGTATCCTGTGGTGCCAAAACAATCCTCTGATATCACTCTAATTCCCATTATACCTGGACAGATCAAGCGATACGAGAGGATTGAATTGTACGCGAATGATAATTGTCGAGTATGCTGCCATTCTAATCTATACCTACAGTCAAGATGAGAATCAATTGTATGAGGTTCAGAAAGGTCCTTTGGACTGGTCAGAGTAAGCATGCTAGTGAGAGAGCGAGCAGTGATATTGAAAAGGACTGGTAGCGCATTGACTTCGGTGTCGGGATGGGAACCGCTCACGCATCCAGAAGGCGCTTTGTTTTTCTATCACTCAAATCATGTACGTCTGTGGTCCGCTCTTACACGGATTTACTCATATCTGCCACCAGAGGGTTTTTACTGATGTGAATGTTCGAACCGACGAAATCGCAGTCAAAATGGGTAAGATTGCTGAGAAGGCGTACGCAGAAGCGCGCGACGCAGGCATAATCTTGCATCCATCCGTCGAGCTAGTGTTGGAGCTCATGGAGGAGGATGGCAAAGAGATATGGGGCTACTACTTTGCCGATCACGATAGACGTGTCATTTTCTGGTTCCAAGTCCACAGGTCTAGTGATCTCATGGGTAACGTCCGAGGTGTTAAGTGCAACAACCACGTCAGTGAGTTCTTTCCGTGGAGTATTCGAGCTTCTTCCATTGCGTCACTCCCAGGGTATGCACTAGAATCCCAGTACTGGTTCGTATGGCCTCAGAAGTATGCATGTTCCCTCACTTGACTAAAGTAAATGCGCTGACACTTTGTTACAGCCCTTTATTGTTTTGCATGGTTTATACATCATGATCTTGATAGGGTACACATTGAACTATATCCGAACAAACGCTTCCTTCCGACGGATGTTGTCGTGAGACTCAAGGAAATAGTCATGTATATTCAGGCAGGTGGGTAAAGACCAATAAGTGTTTCACACCATGGAATGACTCGTGATAGACAATATCACTTCTGAAACATGCTTAGCACCTTTTTCTTCAGATGAGGTTGCAAGTATGCTCAGCCTTATGGATCCTCTTATGAGTGAATCATTCCCTGATCTGGGGGGGGGGGTCGTTGTTGATCGTCTATTTCACAGGCAGTACTAACAAGGAGCATGAGCATTCTGTGTGGATCGTCGGTAAGCCTAGGCACGGCCGGTCAGTTATTTGCTTCTGATATTCCTGCTGATTTCAGCTCGATTTATGGGAGAATTTAGTGAGCTTAAGCTAGTTGCGAGTGCACCACGTCTCCTGATTACTTTGCTAGCCAACGCCAAGTTTGTGAATTTCTGTGGACAACCGGGTGCCCGGCTTGACGCAGACCAATCGTTATACCGAGATTCCATCATCTACTCGAAAAACATCCTCCTTCGCGTCATGAATGTTATTCTGTTTGGAACCCCTGATGCTCATAACAAGGCTCTTCACAAGATATGGGTCGATCATATCGTCGTTCAGCCGCGGTGGAAGAATTTTATCAACAGGCTCAACAGCGAATGGAATGGATACACGATATTCGTGAGTCGTGCATTTGCTTCATATTGTCAATGTAATCGACGTCCATTTCAGTCTACCGTGATGCTTGCTGTAGATATCAGCTTTCTGGCGGTCCCATCCGTTCAGAACCAAACGCCTGCGATTCTTGTATCATATCTGTCTGCCTTCTGTGCCATGGGCTCGCTCGTGGTCTCATTGGTCTTGGCTGCACACGTCAATGACAGCCGGCGAGACTCCGCTAAAAGCGTGGTAAGTTCTCTTTTCGACTATTTTGCCTACCTTCTTTACGTCCACCAGGCCTCGTTCATGTCAGGAATGTCACGTTCTATGCTCGGTCTCGAAAGCCTTGCCCTCATGCTTAGTCTGCCGTTTGCTCTTCTGATTTGGGGGTGCGTTACTGGTCAAACGCTATGGGATAGTGGTAGCTCATCTTTTGACAGAATGATATTATTTGCTGCAGCATTGTCCATCGTGATTTTCCGCACTTCTGATATTGTCACCATCTCGATTGTGTCTCCTATTTGGGCCGTTATAATTGTTCTGGCAACGTGGCCTGCACTGGCTGCCAATGATATTCACATTTCTCACCTGAGTACCTGGGTCACAGAACAGGTGTCGCGTTCTAGATCCTCGCGGGTCGCCACCAGGTCTCATGCCTGATCTGATGTAGCTTGTCGTGATTGCAAGGGATTTGTGTAACTTGTATAGTTGTATCTGGTGTTTTGGTTGTTTTATATGATACCTATTTCCTCCTGGATATTCATACGCAGGACTTTGCAGCTCTGGATTTGCTTCAGAATGACTGAACACAATACTCAACCACTAGGGTCGACAGGTCGGTTCAAAATTGCCGTACCACGGACAAGTCGCGTAACTTAGCCGTCAAAACCCTTCTCTCTCAAGGAACTAGTCGGGACCCTACTTGAGACCATGGAACTCTACTTATGTATCTCTACCACCTCGCTTCCAACAATGCGACTGAAGTCTGACTTTCAGCCCTCGGTGCACATGTGGCTGCACAACTTGCTCCAACTTCAGACACTCCAAACCAGCCTGCCCGCACTCCAATGCGTCAAAGCAGACTCTCCTCTGAGTCTGCCGTGAAGCGTATATTCGATGTGCTGTCGGGCATTGGCCGACTTGGCCCTGGCCAGTACGAACATTACAACACGATAATGAAAAGGCTGTGCGCACTGCCTGTTCATTCCTTATCATCGCCGTGAGCAGCCTCCTAGTACGCGCTCGCATTTGAATAAAGTTTATTATATCCGAGTGGTACATACAGCATACTTGGTGACGCAGATAAACTTGAAATATCAAAAGGGGACGGGTGTCATATTGTACATATAACAATGTCAATATGAGGCATCTCATATCAAGAGCGATTGATGCTGGAACAATGATGCACCAAATGAAAGCATAATGTACAATAAGGGACGGGGGAAAGCAAGAAAAAAAAGAAATCGACAAAACTTGCGTGAAGCATGGTGGGCTCCTGCATTAATGAATACCATCGGAAGATTTAGTGGACGCGCAGCAGATACAAGACCAAAACCGAGTGCAGCATCCAGCCTGTCTCATCACACCATCAGACGCGCCCATTACGACTGAACGTGACGAGGATGACACCTGGTCCTGGTTCATATCTAGTTGGGGCTGCCCTTGCGAGGTAGCTTTAGTCTCCTTCCCAGTTTCCGGTACTCGAGCGACATATAAAGGCTTTGGAACAAATGAGTGCAGAAAGGAAGAGAGTAGAAGACAACAGACCTTTTTGCTTTTAGAACCACGAGGAATAGGAGCGTGACGAGAGAACAACCTGTTCCATAGGTGGTGTAAGAGGCCTAGTGTATCATCAACATCAGGAGGGGGCGCTAGTGAGGGTGTTGCAGTGGCAGCAGGAGCCGCTGGTAGTGAAGTAGTAGTGACAGGAGGGGCCGCCGCCGGTAAAGTTGTAGTGGCAACCAGTGGACGGGGCGCCAACGACAATTCCTCCTGGCCTTGGTTCGTGTCTTGTTGCAGCGGTCCTTGTGAAGCAGCTTCAGTCTGGTTTGCGGTGCTCAATGACGAAGGCTTTTGAACGAATGAATACAGGAAGGAAGAGAGTAGAACAGAACAGACCTCTTCGACAGGAGTAACACAAGGCCTAAGAGCTTCATGTGAGACAGGCTCCTGCAGGCGTTGCGGGAAGTGTAGTAGTGCGTTATCAACATCGGGCAGTGCAACCGCTGGGGGTACTACTTGGCAGACTTCTTCGAGTTGTTGGACTGGATGTGGTGTAGTATCAACCTAGAATATCCGAATCGTTATTTAAATGTAATGTGATGGTTTTATAGACGTGTCACGTACATCGGGCAACGGCTTGTCACCGTCCTACGGGAGGCAACGATATCGAACGTGCTCAGCTCCTGGAAAGTGATAAAATAAGAACTTTTGAACTCACATTTGGTCCGACGAATTCAAGGAGATCTGATGGGGGGTCACCAGCTTGAGTATCAGCTTCTCTAATAATCGCAGAAACATCCCATGTATACACGTTCTTGTCTCGGCAGCCAGCGGCTAGTAGTCGCCCATCTGCCGAAAATGACACACAGGTCACTCTATCTGCATGCTTCAGGGGCAAACTGACGGGCTGGCTATTCTTGAGGTTCCACAACCTCAATGTCTTGTCGTACGATGCGCTTGCGAGTATATCGTGACCATTCGGAGATATTGCGATATCATAGACGCTGTTGGTGTGCTCATCCAGCACTGCGACCTGCTCCCAGGTAGTAGTGTTCCATGTCCTAATGGAGTGATCCGCCGACCCGGAAATGAGTGTCTTCGCGTCCGCGGTCCAAGCAAGGCATTCCACTGTCCTTGTGTGTCCTTTGAGAGTGGTAACCAAAGTGCCTGTTATGATGTCCCAGATTTTGATGAGCTGCTCGTCCTTGGCCTTGCAGCTTCCGGCAGTCGCAATCATGGAGCTGACTGGCGAGTAGACGACTGTGCACACCCAAGCATGCCCAGTCTCGATTGGTCCAACGATGGTCTTTCCGCTCTCCACATCCCACACCCTTATAGTTCCATCACCTGATCCGCTCACCACCCGCCGACTATCTTGACTCCAGCAGACAGCCCACACCGGCTGCGTATGCCCAATCCATTTAGCGATGACCTTGCCCGTGTCGATATTCCACAGCCTCACCGCACCGTCTTTACTCCCGCTGACCACTTTCTCGCCGTCTGGGGACAATGCCACGGTTTCCACTGAACCTCCTGCGCCGTCCCGCCAGTCGTCCCCTATCTGCTTCCCGCTCTCCAAGTTCCATGATCGCAACGAGCCGTCGAGTGAACAAGTGATGATTCGCAGTCCGTCGGGCAGGTGTATGACGCCTCGCACATTCCCAGTGTGTCCTTCAAATTTCTGGCGGGGCGTTATCGCTGACGTCCGGGTCTCCTCGCTAGCGGTGGAAGGAAAGATCTTTGGTGTGGGTTTCGTGCCCATGACCTGGGCATTGTAGATGGTCAACTGTGATCCGCTAAAGTCTATGTCATCACTCACGAACAGATGTTTTTAATCAGGACTCTATGAATGAAGAAAATGCGAAGGCAGAATGATGCGTCAGAGTCAATGTTTTGGTCGATTAAGAGTCGTGTCAACTGAAAGTTCAAATAAACTACAAGTACGTTTTACTCGCCTTATTCTCGCCTCCAACGCGTGAATGAAGCGCCAAGGATCAGTCCGTGAGTTCTTGATGACTTGGCAACTCTCTTCCGTCTTGCATGCCGTCAGTCGGTCTTCAACTCACCACATACAGGAAGCTCGTCGCACACACTACTCCGTACCATCTCTCAAGTGCCTCTCCATTCAAGAGCGAGGGGACGCACCAACCGTCCAATATGGCACCTGGATGAGTTGCTAAATCACCAATGGTGCAAAAATAAGTACTTACCTGATCTAGCTATCCATACTTATGGGTCCGCGTCAACCGCGTGAATGATCTCTTCGCCTCCCTGAGTCTCGATGACTATCAGCATACGACATCTGATAAGGCTGTTCGCATATTAAAACCTATTGCATACATTCACCGCCCCGCGTCCCCTTGACTCACCATAAACAGAATATATGCGGTATCATCGCTGGTACCGGGGTATGTAGTAGAACACACCGATAATAGCAATCCCCGACTGGATGTATTTTGTGGAGGGCGACTGTGTCGCGTATTTTTGTTGTGTATGAGAAGGACGAAACTTCAGCAGTGAGATTTGGGCCCGTCTGATAAGTAGATGGACTTTGGATCTAGGAACTCGCGCAGGGAAGTTCATATTAACGCGAATTGTCACAATTCGGCATAACGAAAGCGAGTAAGCAGGGTATGGGTAATGACTGTAGCCGGGTAGCTCTGTTTGAGGAGTTTCTCACTGAGAATTCTCTGAGCGTAGGTGGAAAAGGTGTGAAAGACCGAAGAGAGAATATATCGGAGGCCCAGGGGAAGGATGCTAAGACTTCGCTAGATACTCGGCGCTCTACCTTCCAACACTCCCAATACGCCAAATGTTTGATGATGTTTCGGAAGGGATGTGGATTACCGGCATGCACGTGACTTGAACATGCACAACGACTTGTTCAATGATTTCAGGAACCCGTCCTTCGTTCAGGTGAGCGGGCGAAGGAGTCGGAGTGACAGGGCTATGGATAAGCAGGCACGATGTCATGAATAGTAGACAATCTCCCCTGGAAGGAGTGCATGCGCGACCGCTTATTATAGGTCCCTCACAGCCTGATTTCTACCCATCTGGCACTCGACGCGTGAGGAGCCTCACACTTGAGCGCTATGATTGTATGGACTACCAGACCATGCAGCTCGTCATGAAGGATGGATGTATGGTCATACGAAGGGGTCATCACGCCGCAGGTAGGGTGACGCATCACATGAAAGACGAGGGCTACAAGATACTCGCATGATCTCGATGCTGATGGTTCCAATTATAAGAATAAGAACAACGAAGCACCTGTAACTATTTGTAACCTAGTCTGATCGCCCACATTAATACATCTCAGTGACAGCTTTTAGTAGCTAAGATCAGCATAAAATGAACTCGATGACCGCTTCATGCATGACTATCTGATATCTCCACGAACCAACTGCTACAATAAAATCATCATCAAGTATAGCTAGACATCTTGATTGAGCAACTGCGAGGGACAGTAGAAAGGCTAGGCACTCACGTGTCGTAGCAATTGGACCAGTGTGTCCCATGTGCCATGTGGCTCAAATCAAGTTCTACACCTCCTCGCGGGATCACCATTGCAGTCCCAGGAGAATAGAATGGCTGTCGGGAAGCGGGAGGTACCCAGAAAAGGAGCCGATTATCAGGCCCGACCATCCATCCATCACCATCCAGCAAGAAAGGAGTTGAACCGGAATCAAAATCATCATCGGAATCATCGTCGGAATCATCGTCGGAATCATCATCGGAATCATCATCGGAATCATCACCACCCAGCAAGAAAGGAGTTGAACCGGAATCAGAATGATCATCAAAATCATCATCAGAGGTGCCCTCGAGAAGCTCAGTAGGGTGATGCAATGCATGGACCATGCTAGATGAAAAGCAAATGGAGTGATTGTTCGTTGACGTGATGGGGCTCTGTTGTGCGCGAGGCATGGTTAAACTGCTATCCAGAGGGAATAAGGGGGTCTCAGGGTACTCCTGCAATGGCTGCCCAGCCACAGCATGCCACAGCCGGACAGTGTTATCCCTTGAACCAGACAGGATGCGAGTGCCATCCGGCGAGAACGAGACTGACAAAACCGAAGAAGTGTGTCCCCGCAAGGGCTCACCCAATGGCTGCCCCGTGGCTGCATCCCACAGCCGGACAGTGTGATCGTTTGAACCAGACAGGATGCGAGTGCCATCCGGCGAGAACGAGACTGACAAAACCAAATCTGTGTGTCCCCGCAAGGGCTCACCCAATGGCTGCCCCGTGGCTGCATCCCACAGCCGGACGGTGTGATCGCTTGAACCAGACAGAATGTGAGTGCCATCCGGCGAGAACGAGACTGACTCAACCGAATGTGTGTGTCCCCGCAAGGGCTCACCCAATGGCTGCCCCGTGGCTGCATCCCACAGCCGGACAGTGTGATCCCAAGAACCAGACAGGATGCGGGTGCCATCCGGCGAGAATGAGACTGACTCAACTGAATGTGTGTGTCCCCGCAAGGGCTCACCCAATGGCTGCCCCGTGGCTGCATCCCACAGCCGGACAGTGTGATCCCTTGAACCAGACAGGATGCGAGTGCCATCCGGCGAGAACGAGACTGACTCAACCGAATGTGTGTGTCCCCGCAAGGGCTCACCCAATGGCTGCCCCGTGGCTGCATCCCACAGCCGGACAGTGTGATCCCTTGAACCAGACAGGATGCGAGTGCCATCCAGCGAGAACGAGACTGACTCAACCGAATGTGTGTGTCCCCGCAAGGGCTCACCCAATGGCTGCCCCGTGGCTGCATCCCACAGCCGGACAGTGTGATCGTTTGAACCAGACAGGATGCGAGTGCCATCCGGCGAGAACGAGACTGACTCAACCGAATGTGTGTGTCCCCGCAAGGGCTCACCCAATGGCTGCCCCGTGGCTGCATCCCACAGTCGGACAGTGTGATCCCTTGAACCAGACAGGATGCGAGTGCCATCCGGCGAGAACGAGACTGACAAAACCGAATGTGTGTGTCCCCGCAAGGGCTCACCCAATGGCTGCCCCGTGGCTGCATCCCACAGCCGGACAATGTGATCCCTTGAACCAGACAGGATGCGAGTGCCATCCGGCGAGAACGAGACTGACTCAACCGAATGTGTGTGTCCCCGCAAGGGCTCACCCAATGGCTGCCCCGTGGCTGCATCCCACAGCCGGACAGTGTGATCCCAAGAACCAGACAGGATGCGAGTGCCATCCGGCGAGAACGAGACTGACTCAACCGAATGTGTGTGTCCCCGCAAGGGCTCACCCAATGGCTGCCCCGTGGCTGCATCCCACAGCCGGACAGTGTGATCGCTTGAACCAGACAGGATGCGAGTGCCATCCGGCGAGAACGAGACTGACAAAACCAAATCTGTGTGTCCACGCAAGGGCTCACCCAATGGCTGCCCCGTGGCTGCATCCCACAGCCGGACAGTGTCATCGTTTGAACCAGACAGGATGCGAGTGCCATCTGGCGAGAACGAGACTGACGAAACCGAATCTGTGTGTCCCCGCAAGGGCTCACCCAATGGCTGCCCCGTGGCTGCATCCCACAGCCGGACAGTGTGATCACTTGAACCAGACAGGATGCGAGTGCCATCCGGCGAGAACGAGACTGATGAAACCGGAGAAGCGTGCCCACTGATTACGGTCTGAACAGCCGTCCAATTCAAATCACGTCCAGATATTAGACGAAGATTATTTGGAAACCTTGCCGTAAATTTAGTCGCCATGGTGGAGTTGATTGGTGAGAATGGCAGCGCTGATATATACAGATGCGGCGTGCTGTGCAAAATCATGCCGGCAAAGACTTGAATGAATCTCTGCACGTCAATTGCAGCGGACAAGACATCTTCGTATCCAGAGTGGCCCTGTGGTTGTGCGTAAGCGCTTCATCTTACACCGCACATTAACCATGTGCTTACCGGCAGCCACTGGGCAATCAGCGCACGCGCGGCAGCTGCGCAGCTCAGTGTGTTTAGAAGGGCGAGTATTTCGATCCAGAACAGCAGTCGCTCGTGGTTGAAGAATAATTTTATTTCCTTTGCAAGCTCCGTGTCGAAATCCGTGGCTTGTACGTGTGTGGCCCAAAGTCGACAGGAATAGGACAAATGTAAGGGGATGCATGATTCGACTCGTTGAGGCAGCCCGGTGTCTTCGTGATTGGAGAGGTATGAAGACTTTAAATCACATATATTGAAGCGAAGGTCGTGTTCCATCACTCGAAGTGACGCAAAAGCAAGGTCGCGTTGCGCGTTCGCAACGTCGACGAAGAATTCTCCGCTGGATGATTCGTCTGTGAGGAATTCGTGGAAGGATGCGTGAAGGGGTCGGATTGGAGCAAGTGAATTTGTGGTGCCGCTGAGGAGGGATCCCAGATGTTTGACCATGACCTCCACTTCATAGCGCTCCCTTCGGTCTGGAAAATGGATCCGCATGGCCTTGAGGGCATCTAACGGGAGGGGTTCGGCTGAGCCAAGTATTTGTCCCATCACAGAATGGAATTCCGCTAGAGCTTTCTGGTACTCGACGTCGCTATATTTGTGCCTTGGTATGGTTTCTGTCAAAATAAACCGATATATATCATACAACTTGTCTTCCCACTTCCCAGGATCGCGGTTCATGACAGCATTGAGGCGAGAGATTGGGTTTACGCCAGGAAGATCTTCCTTGATGTATTCGCAGATGATACGGGTCCACTCGAAAAGTCCGTTGGCTCTCGCAGCGAGGTTGGTAAACTCTTTGTCCCCAAAAACCGACAATCC